TCCGTCCAGTTCCCTCACTATTGTAAGCTCTCGTCCTCCCGCTTCTTCTGTCCGCAACACCACTGTTACGTATCACCAGAGCGGTCCTCGCGATTGCGCGGAATGGAGGAAACACAACGTCCAACCGCGTGACTCTATGAGCACGCTACCTCTATGCATCAACAAATGGTATTTACACTACTGAACACAAGCACGAAGGGGTTCAATCCAAGATGAAGTCTAGAAGTCATCTGCTCTTGTGTTAGGCTTAGTGACTCGCAGCTGCCTAGAAGTTATGCTAGTATTTCCAGTATCACATGTAGTAGTATGAGTAGTTATAAACACACAAGAACGTATACAAGATTTCAAGAAGCGACGCTCGAAATCGACACCTCGATTAACTGTTCATAATTTGTGATTCGTAGATGTAACTTACCAAACATGACTTATAACAATATCCACCATCCAACCATATTCTTGCACCACACCTTCAAAGGTTGAAGGATGGTCTTATGACCAAGCTCCCCATGTTTCACCCATCTCTTCGGTTACCGCCGAGATCGATATCAAAGCTCCGATCATGCGTTAGGGGGTCACATACATAAGCACTGCTATCCCTTGCCTGGGGTCTCTCCTATGCAAGGAGAGGGAGGCATTCGAGACGAGCCGAGCTGAGCTTGTTTGGAGGTCAGGATGATCTCCCTAGTGCAAGTGTGTGAAATTGTCTTAGCATCGAGGGGGATGGTATGAGTGGTTAGGAGAAGGAAGCTGTTCAGGGCATGAGAAAATCATCCTATACCATTGCAGCTGATGACGCAGAGATACGGTGGCTAAGACGACCAATCAAGCCTCGGTCTCATGCACCTGTGCGCGAGCACGAATCGTGTGTCATTTCGGCCTTCCCATGAGCACTATAGTCTATGCAACATGTACATTCTTGCATGCATACTATTGCACTTACCTAACCCCGAAAGATTAGTTATCCCAGGACATTGAATGCGAAGGCATTCAGCTCCAGAACAATCTCAAGCTAACTTCTTGTCAGGTGAGAGAGCTGTGTTCAGATTAAATGTCGTAAGGAAAGAAAGCGCATTTATCAGTAGATGTCCCGGATTAGGAGTTAATCCACTGATAAGATTTGTTATGTAGGGGAAGTCGTTACTTCCTGCCGTCATGCAGGTTCGTCGATCTTGGGTTAGCCCTCTCGTGGTCCCAATGCAGAGGTTGGCTTTGCTTCCGAGGCGGAAACTCAGATAGATTGGTTTTTGCTGTGCAGTGTCGTCCAAGCGGGGTTGATCTTGTAGATCGTTTCCGTGCCACGCTCTGCCATCTTGCGGTGAAGGAGAAAGGAGAGATCGGTTGAGTGTATCTCATCATGCGGTGAAGGTGTGAAGGTGCGGAGGTGCGGGTGGAGGGTTGTCGCAATGGAGGGTGTGGAAGCGTCGATGTGCGAAAGGAAAGCTGCCGAGTGGGTTGCTTGGTTGGCATCTCTTGGGTTTGGGGTCTGTATGTCGTGCCAACCGTGTCACATTTGATTCGTTGTCATGAGATCTGCTTTCTGCAGAATCCCTTAGGTTGTGGCTGGCGGAAAAAAGATACGGACTGCGCGAGATGCACTGTTAAGTGGTTGCAGGTGTGCAGGGTCCTTGACTTTACACGGCCATCGGATATTTTTCTCCTTTCGTTGTTGTCGCAAAGAACTTCATGTGATCATCGTGATGGAGACGCATGCGTACAACCTGCACAATGAAGGCATGCTCCCGGAGAAGCCTGGATGGGTAGCCGAGGGGTGGCTAACAGGATACCGAGTACTGCAAGCTGTGAGTTGTCGCATATTCGCGCCGTGTCGTCGTGGAGAGTGATGTTCGTTTAAATCAACCACCGCCGTGGAGACGAAACAGGCAGAATGTAAACAAAGGTCGGCGGTGCTGATTGGAGGCCAACAGCTGCATGCCAGGTCAATCCATGAGCTACCCTGCACCACGAAGGAAAATTCCTCTTTTCGACTTCGCTTGTGCTTTCCGCCTCCCGAGTCGCATGCATGAGTGCAGGCTTGCTCTTGCTGCTGCTTTCTGTTCCTTCGCTCGCGCCTCCTTATCTGCGCTTGAGGCTTGAGGCCCGAAGAAATGCTAAACGGACCCCAAGCGCAAGATTGACAGGTCAACTTTACCACAAGCCGGTCCGTGAGAATTGCGACGTCGCGAAGCCTGATGTTATAGCCTTATCAAGGCTCTCCAAATAAACACAGACCACTGTTGTCGCTATGGTTGGAACATGGAAGACATGATAAAAGTAGAAGGCGTTCATTGCTCACGATCGGCAATCGCCAGTTTCACTGCCGACAGCCACAGTCCCTACCTAATTGAACGTTTTCTGCTTTCAGCCAGCCGCAACGAAAGAAGGCCCAAGCAAAATAGAAAAATCACCATGACGCCTGGATTGGCCTTTTATCTGGTGTTTCACCAACTGCTGCTGCCGTTCTCGTTTCGTGGCTGCCGCAAACCTTTTTATGTGTCTTCCCCATGTTATGATCGGCGCAAGACGTGATTCCTAGACACCAGCCCCTAACGAAGAAGAGAACAATCGCGCTTCTTTAGAGCGCAGCAAGGAGTCGGCCTGTACGAGCGATGGACAGAGCGTCTCAATCAATCTAAAAATGCACTTAGTGTGGAGAAGGCCCTACAAGCCATTCGTATCAACGGCTCCTTTTCTTCCAGGATTGTCATCTGGCTATTGGCTCGTTGTTCTTTTCGCCTGCACATTAGCACTTCTTATATGTAGGTCAATATCGAGTAGATGTGCGCGTAGCCGAAAGCGCTGCTTGCGCCGCTTGCATATCGATGTCACTGTTTGGTTCACTTTTATGCCTCAACCTTTCGGCAGGCGAAACGAAGGAACCAGCCAAAGTCGTCATGGAAGTTGGTCTGGCTGGACCAAACAAGATCGCACGATTTCAGCCGAGTCAACTGCGTGTTTTCTACTCAGATCCACCCATCCCCAAGGTCTCAGTGCGGAGATTTGGAGTGAAAGCCGGCGTTTCAGGAGCCCGGAGTGCCGAGCTGAGATGGATGTAAAACAAGGGGAACGCAGCGGCGGTCGTCGTGTGTCGCGTCTCATGCGAGCCAAAAGGACGAAAAACACCAGAACAGACTCACCGCGACTCGCAAGGGTGCTCGAGGGTGGATCGTCCCAAAGGGAAGGCTCCGCTTTGTGGAAGCTTCTCCGTTGATCTTGTGGCAGCGTGAGTCAGTGTCAGGTAAGCTGCAGAAAGCTGCAGACTGCTGTGAACCCTTCCCCTTCTCTGACTCGCATGTTGTTACCAATGAACAATATTGACAGGGCTGAGGTGTACAAGGAGGTTTTGGTTCCAAAGAAGCAAGGAGGATACAGTGTATGGGGATGAACAGGGTTTGCCAAGTGCAGACTTCGTGTTCGTATCGTATCGAAGGAACGACAGAATAACAAAAATGGTTCAATGGAGTCGGCAGGCTCGGCAGACAAGAGCTGCCAGTACAAGAAGAATGGTATGCAAGCAGCCGGCATGACGGAGTGATCCAAGCCGGATGGACGGACATTCCGTATGCCGTACTCGAATGGTAAGATGAAGATGATTCGCAGAAAAGACGCCAACGGATAGACGGCGGCAGTTGGGAAATGGTCACGGTGGAAATGGGGAAACAAGAGATTGGCTTGTTATAGCTGAACGGGGAAAGATTGTTTAATGATGGTACTTTGTACTTTCAAGCAGCGTGTCGCAGAGACAGTGGACGGGCGATTTCAATGTGCATTCGGCAAAGGCCAAGACAAGGTTCTCTTGAGACAAGATACGGGCTAGGGAGACGCGTCCCAGCGGTTGAGGAAAGAGGAGGAGAGCTTGGGGAAGGAGCACTGGGTGGGGAGAGACTGGGCGACTTCCCTTCTTACAAAGGTTTTCAAGAGCTCAAGACAGGAGCAACGGAGGCTTTGCAAGATGTTTATTGGCATCAGGGAGATTTGGCAGCAGTATGACGATGATTGCAGTGGCCGCCGGTGGATTCTTTTTTTTTAAGTGGCATCGCGAAACGACCTGTGGTCTGTGTTGCTTGCCGTCGATAAGTGCGGCCACTGCGGCCTGTATGTTTTGTAGAAAGACCGTGCGCAAGCAGGCAGTAACTAGCGCCTCACGCCATCTGCCCTGGCCGTGTCTGTCCCTCCTCGTTGTCCTCCTCCGTCCAGCGTCCATACACGCACCGGCTCAACTTTTCTCTTCTCTTCGACTCCCGTCGCCCATTACTGTTGGTTTCGATTTCTGCTGCGCTTCGAAGCCGTCTTGATTGATTGTCTGCGAGCCCGAACTTGTCGGTTCACTGCCCGCCGTTCTTCCCCGTCGTGCCTTCCAGCCTCGTCGCTCAACCACCTTCCCTGCACACCATCATCGGCTTCAACTTGGTCCACCGCACGACGACTGCATCCTGTCGCCGTCGCTCCTGGTAGTTTGGCCTTTGCATACTCCGACTAGTCTCTACTTTACCTCATGGTTGTCTGAGAGATTCGTGTCCGCCCCCGGCCGGACCTGTGTGTGGCTCGTCAACCGAATCCAATTCAATCCAACCCAATTCTCAAGGTATGCACCTCGCTGCTTGTCCTGACCGCCTTTGTCACATGCTTTCGATATGCCTGTCTACCATGCCTTGTGAGATGTGCCTTGATGGCGTCTTCTCCGACGTTTCAGCATCATCCTCTCCATGCACGCACTCGCACAACAAAGGCACCGCACCCAAATAGCGCATGGCTATTGAACACAACGTCCGCCAACACTACACACACACGACTCCTCTTCAATTGGCTTGACTGCCACTCCCCTTGCCGCATTTACCCCACTGTCTTTCACCACTTTTATATCTTATCAAGCTGGACACTGCTGACCCCTGGTTTCCAGTCTCGCAACTTTACCAATCGTTAATATTACTTCATAATTGACTTGCATCTGCCGTCAACCGTCACATTATCCATTCAAAGCGTCTCTCGCGTCGCGTTAGCCCATGGCGGAAGTACTGTCTCCTCTGCCCTCGCCGCCTAGCTCCATCAACATGCTGCACTCGCGTCCTTCGTCTTCGGACGCATACCAGGCCAACCACCAAAGAGTTGGCTCTACTCCTAGGAGCAATTACCGCAGCTCGCCTTCTGCCGCTCCAGTGCAGCCTTACGCTTTCCAAACAACTCCCCATCTGAGACAGGAATCGCGCACCATCTCGGCCTCCTCCAGCGTGCCTCAAGCCCAACAAAAGGGCCACAAGAGCACTTCATCCACCTCGACCACCTCTTCGGCCGATCTTACCACAAAGACACCGCCGCTGAGCCCTGGAAAGGACGCCTTCATCAACCTGTCTTCCAGCATTCCTGACCTCTCATTGACGTCGTTTGAGACGACGCCAAAGTCTTCTCCCAACAGATATCGCCGAACACCCCAACGTGCTGATTCCAACCACTCGCTACAGAAGGCACCATCGCCTGCCTCGTCGGTCGACAATCTGTTGACGCCGCCTGCTCCTCAGCTCAACAGAACCTCGAGCGATGACATTACCGTCACCAAATCTAGCACATCTGAGTCTGCAAAGAGGTACCGCCGACGAAGTCTGAACAACTTGGAGATGAGCAAGCTCGAGGATGGTCGTCCTTCTTCTCAGGGCAATGCCACCATTCGACCTGTCTCTTTCCATTCGCGCACCAGTAGTGGCGATAGCACTGGCCGACGAGTGCCATCGTCGTCTACACCTCCTCCTGTAAGTCAACGACCCAACACTCATTGATCCCATAGACTAACAACAATTGCANNGGCTGAGTCTGGCAGAATATCTCCTGCTGCATCGGGTAGCCCTGTGAAACTGCCTATTCGTGGCAGTGCCACCAACCCGTCTCCTCTTTCCAAATTACCCATTACCGGTGCGCCTCAATCACCAGAGGAGGAGACTCCTAGGCGTCTGAATACAGCGCAGGCACAGAGTCCGGCTGCTCAGCAACTCGCTCATCTGTCTGCCAGCGATTTGAACAGAGGAATGAGGTCACGCCTAAGACGAGCCTTCTCCTTTGGCGCCACCCAAGAACTGCGACGATCGAGTGAGAACCTTCCCCCACAAGGTCCCATCAACCCTCTCGATGAGATGGACCCCGAACAAGCTGCCATTGCCAGACAGCAAGAAGCTGCTGGCATCGGCTCAAGCATTTACACTGGCCAAGGCGGGTTTACTGGTTCCACGGACAACTTATCCATCTCTTCGACCGCTTCCTCTGCGTCGATGATGCTCCGTAAGATGGGCAAGGGTATGAAGAAAGGTGGTCGCTCGATCAAGGGTCTGTTCAGACCCAAATCAGTTATTGGAGTGCCTGCCGCCGATGGACCTGTGCAGCCTAGTATGGCACAGGTATCAATGGTGACAGTCGAAGCTGAGAGGCGGAACGTCAACGTTAACGCACATCCCGGTGAACAACCCGCTGGAGGGACCGGTTTCCCTAAGCTGGAGAAAAACTCAATCGAGACTGCTCGGAAGTCGATGGACGGACGTAACGACTCTATGCGCAAGAGCATTGTCGGGAATGATGCGGAGAGAGCAGAAGTCCTGGCCGCAGTCAAGAAGGGTATCCTCAAGCGCGCTGGTACTGGCTCTCCCATTGCTTCTCCCGACCTTCGCCCTCGCGACGGTACCCTCTCGACCGATTCGCACAGCCCCGTATCCAGTCTCCCAACCACACCCAGAGACGATCGTGGTTCGCGAAGTATGTCATCTACCACCAGCGACTACTTCAACAACCGCCTAGGTGTTTCCGCAGCCAAGAGCATGCCTAACACTCCTCAAGGAGGTTCTCGTAACATTAGCTTCAGTCCTCGCATCCAATTCTATGATGCATGGTCAGCTTCTGACTACGATCGCCGTGGCGACATTGCAACCTGCAATCGTCTGACCCCAATGCTCGCCCAGCAGATCAAGGAGGAGCTCAACACTTTCAAGATGGTAAGTTCTGACATCCTTGACTCTGATCATAGAGTACTAACAAGTTTGTAGGAGATGGAGGTGCATGAGCTGTCCAAGCCCCACACGCATTTTTTCTAATCATGACCGGACTTTAAATGCAGCATACTCAGCGTCGCACCGAAAGGTATAAAAGGGACCTCTTCACATTGTATTATGGCGTAACTAGGGAGTTTATTTGGGGATAGGCCAGTTGCATGCTTTGGTACTCGCCGGCGTTTCTCTCCAGGAAATTCTTCATCTCTCTTCACACTCACACCACGAAGGCTCTTCTTGTCTTTTTGCCTACATCCACTTCTCGGCAGCGTTTAGTCAGTCGCTTCTTGTTTTTGCCTTTTCTCTTTGTCATGATTGGGGAGAAGAATCATTGTTGTTGTTCTGGTTGTTTTCGGAGTACCTTCGTTTTTTAAACTCCCGGATGAACCCTAGGAAGGAAAGATTTTTGTTTTTGTGAGAGATACATTTGAGCGAAAGAGAGAAGAGAGTATGCAAAGCAAAGAGGACACTGTTCGTTGCCTTTGTTTCGTTTCTTTTACTAGGTTGGCGCATGTCGGTTCGGTCTCAAAGTTCCTGATTCAATTGTTCATAATATCAGTCACCACCAATGCTTCCAGCGCCCTGTTGTCTCTCCTTGCTTGTCCACCTGAACGTTCTGTGCCTTGAGAATTCCAAATCATGAGCCCCGACTTGTTGCTCACCAGCACTGCATATGCGAGAGGCACTGCATGTACGCCGCTGCATCTCCGGAAAGGCCCTGAGTTCTGGTTGACATGTCTGTGAACCACGGACAGAAGAGTACTGAACACCTCAAGAGCCGTGGGTAGCAAGCGGTCAAGGAAGTACTGCCAGCATGGCCTGCGAAGCACAGTCACCAGCATGGCAACATTCAGTGTTCAGTGCATCTCTGCTGACTACATGGAGCACAAGGATTCACATGCCTGTGCAACCAGGCACCCGATACACGCAAGCCTCTACGGAAAAAGAAGGTTGTATGCTAGTATATGTAGGTCCCGAAGTTACTCTTTGGCTGTTGTCTTCCTCAGCTCAACAACTGTCAGCTCCGAGGATCGTCAGACTATGTCCCAGTCTGGAACGTTGAAGCAAGGCGCCTGAGCAGCTGAATACAACACCGGAGTAGCATGAAGCTGTGGTTTGAGTTTCACGATGGAGAACTCCTGTCTGGAGCTGCTTTCATAGGATAGTACAAAGGGTCCGTTGCTGGAGCTGCCTACTGCATGGCATGGGGTACCATCAACAACGTGCCTGATCCTTGGCTAACCACCATTGTGACCCTTGTCTGTATTCTGCAGCCACTGTGGCTCTGATATTCGGGAGTTGAGGTCGCTGTGACCGGCAACACATACCCCGAGTAGATGGATTCGGATTGGAATGTGGGAACAGCGGTGACCCTCTTCTCACAAAATCCATTGAACCCTGTCGATGAACAGATAGACGGTGATACAGACCGCGCTATTAGCGTTCGTCCTGCCCAAGCAACAAAGGATGTGCAAAATGTTCTGCTGAGAAAAGAAACATTGGTTGAGCAGCACTGTTCGAGTTGCATGCAAGCCACAATCCTTCTTAAGGTACTCGGGAACCGCGGGAAGCATCTCCTAGAACGAGGACAAGAAATGCTTGATTCTTCATCAGGTTGTTGCTCCACGCGCTTTTGCTTGTGGCGCATGGTTGACGACCTCGATCGAGGATGTCGGATGGTGCACCAGGGGTGCTCTCCAGACTGGAGGCGGCAGTGCCCCATGGTCAACGCTTTTTCCACGTCATCGACGGCTACGTTTGTCGTGATACTTTTCTACTTTGACATCTGGCGGCCGCAGCACACGGGAAAGCCAAAATATATTTGGGATCATCGCGGGCAACGGTGTGCGATTCGAAGAAGAGAAGGAAAGACCTTGGCAAATTTTCTGTAAGGCCGAGGAGATGCGAACGCGAACAAAATGTCATGCTAAACTTTCGATCTTATGGCTGCTTCACCACACTCTCATGATGGGTCATCACCTCGATCTCGAGAACGGCAGACAGGACTTTGGTCATCATCGTCATTATTCATTGGTGCGGTCGTCGGACTCGGATTCCGCCTGAATGGACATCCATATCTCGAACGCGCGGCCGGTATGCAGGATATATTGCCATAACAACTCTGCTTGCAGTGTTTGCTGGCATCAAAGTCATGCTCCCGTCACTACTGCGTGTGTGCCGTTGGCCGATTCCCAGCGTCGTTCTCCTCTGATCCGCATACCGACGATGCATGGGATGCAGGACAAATTTCCTCATTCGGATAGTCAAAAGACGTTTGCGATGATGGTGCGTCCCTTTTCTGTTTCTAAAACTCAAATGCCGTCAAGACCTTTATGATCTGCATGGCCCGATCTTCTAAACTCCGCAAGTCCCCGGGTCATGAGCTCCACATGATGAGGCTTGTGGTTTGCGCATGATGCAGCAGAGCAACATCTTTTCTGCGATGACCACTTTCCCTATGATGTCTTGCCACAGCTCTACAAGTCGGTACGGGCGGAAGTTGGAATAGAATTTTCGATCGACGTATTTAATAGGACCCTTCTTCCTTTGCACCGGATGTTAAACTATTTGGTATTCTCATACGTCTTGTGTATATATCTCGCCCACCTCTCGCTCACTTTCTGCGTGATTTTTGTTACCACTTTTCAACCCATCGCTGTATCGTCTCACCAAAACTTCAACTCTATATATAAGTCACCACCAACAACATTTCAGCTGCAATCGGGTTTTCTGGTTCCAACATGGCCGCTCTACTTCTCAGCTGTCTAGGTCTGACGACCTCCAAGCTCAGAGCAAAGCAAAGAGCAAAGAAGGAGCGCAAGCAAGAGTACGACGAAAACTTCGACTTTCTGCAGGAGCAGAACGCACATCGAGTCCGACAACTGTCCAACCAAGGAGAACACCAAGGATCAATGGACGGCAGAACTTTGTATGGCGACGGTGTGACCGATCACAGCCCTGAGATGCAGCAACATTCGAGAAACGGCTCTACGACACAGACCACGACACATGCACCACCAAAGTATGATGACATTGTCGAAGAAACGGCATCAGCGTATTCTGGATGACCGAACTCGAACTGATAACGAAAAACGAAACTCATTATCTTTCTCATGATCAATTACTACGAACCACGAACATGATCAACCATCTACTTCTTCCTTCCGAAGACATAGTAACGGTACTTCCGATTATCATGGCACGATGCACAACATGACCTCAATCATGCACTCTTCATTCAGGTTTCACTACCATCACCCCGCCTGTTTAGGTGTGTACGAAATCAACCACACCATACCTGATCTCCGTCGTTGGCTTCAATGAAGCAGCTTCGAATCTCATCAACCATCAGCCAGGCGTCAGCTTTCCTCCAAATTGCGTCCAGGAGACGCTATCAGTATTTTCATGTTATCTCTCAGATTGAGGACTGCTAGCTCAGGCATTCTTACAATCAAAGCAACAAGTTTTGGACAGGTCTTCTTTCCTTTCTTTCAATCAGCATTACCGCGTCTAGAGAACAGGCATATTTCAAACATCATTTCCTCTATCTAAGTTCTATCCGCTATTATAAACATGCTCTTTTTGATTGATGTTCTGTCCACAACCCCTTACTTCTCTCGAGCTATTTTACACAGCCGCAACTTTTTTGTCATGCACTAAGCTTCAGTCCTATGAAAGAATCCAGAAAGCCATAGGTGATAAGCCCCACACCAAAGAGTGCCAATGTTGACAACATCGAGTCACATGAAATCATACAACTGAGAGGTAACTTGGTCAGAGTCAAAACGGGTTTGTTCTGGCATGGTAGCAATCATGACTCTGTTCTCGAAGCCCACATACGTCTTTGTCTGCCACTCTTCATACCGACCAAACAATGACCTCAACAGCCAGAAGCCACTTGAGAGGTTTTTCGGATTTGTTGGAATAGGTACACGTCTGGTGCAATCGTTTGGGCTCCTTGACGAGTTTAAATCAAAAGGTTCTTCGATATATATTCACAGAGAAGCTTGACATTAATCTCAGCACTCCCACTTTGACCTAGGAATCGATCAGGACTTACAGCTTTCATCGCTCCTTCCGTCAACAACGATTGCTAAAGCCTTCCATATGCATACACAAGAATGTTACAAAGCTTTTACTGGAAAGTGCTACCGTGCTATCTCAACAAAGACTCAGAATTCTCCAGATGATCTACTATCACTAAGTACTGTCAGTTTCTTTACCTTTCTGGTCGTGCAAACCGACGTAGCATTACAGTGGCATGACAGCAATGTCGCTCCAAGCTATAATACTGATCACATTCCAAGTTTTCCCCTCCCCACTGACACCAACAGCTGGAAATGACGGATCATCTCACTGCTTCTATCGCCAAAGTATCTATCGCCGATGTCCCCATCGCCCACGTTTCAGTAGCCGACATGGTTGCTCAAGGACTGCGAATCTTGCCGAACGAGCTCTTGAAGAAGATTGCTACAGAAACTTTTGCTAAGGTAACCAAGACGCAGCTCAAGAAGATTCGCCAAATTCACAGCATCTTTCATGATGTAGCGGATCCTCGCTTCATCGATGACTACTTCACCGAGCTGCTATGTCCTCCTTTGGGAATAAGTTTTGGTAGATTGACTGCCATTGCTCTTCGCTCGCGCTTCAGTCCATACCTCAAAGCTTTGGTCGTGGATGGATACTCGTGCTTTGACAACCTGCATTCGAACGACTATTTGATTTCAATGAAGAACATCCTCCGGGTACAAGCTGATGCTGGAAACCGCTTGACCCTCATCGCCACCGCCAGCTCTAGAGCAGATCTTAGCTTCGGGCCCGGGGAAAGTCATCTATTACGTGAGATCATTTTATGGGCCTTAGAGTATGAGCTGATAGAGAAGCTGGAATGCGACTTGAGCACTCCATTTCCTAGTCGTCTGTATTCATACTCCTTCCATGCTTCGATCGTTCGACACCTGGTCATGAGTCCTCAACGTGCGCCGTTCATCCCAGAATTGTCTCAATTGGACCAAATTATCCGCCTACACCATCAATCTACTCCCTGGACCCCAGCCACGATTTGTACAACCACCTACACTCGTGCTACCCGATGCTTCGAAGGTGAGGGTGTTGATCAACACGAGTTCAAGGACTCAATGGCTAAAGTATGGAAGACTTGTCCTATGGTACGTGACCCCATTACAGAGCTTCTTCGAAGGGTTGAGCAGGTATTTTTCGAACCTCTGCCGCCGCTGGCCACCAAGCAGGCTCCCGATGGTGGCTTTCAGCTCCTATGATACGACAGTCCTTGCATCATGCCAATTTTCTACGTAAATCATGCTAACTGTGTTTCTGACTGACAGGCCGACCACATCATCATCCGCAATTGCCGCATCGAAGTACACTGGTTGAATGCTACACTTCGTGGCAACGCTAGCAGACTCAAAGATCTGATGTTGGAAGACGTACACCTCTATGTCCAGCACAGATATGGCATAGGGTTCGAGAGATTGTGGACTGAAATCCAGGAGGCCATTCTCGCGTGCTCTGCACTTGAGTTCTGCTCGTTGGAGAGACTGTTTGATGAAGACTTCTTGTTTTTAAATAGCAGCGTGGACGTCTCGAATGCGGTTGACCCGCAAGCGATCCGCGATACGATCACCTCCCTCACGCCTTCTGTACTTGTTCCAAATCCTCTGCTTGGTGTGGCACGCTGAATGTTATTCAGTGGATATCATTCCCTGCCGTTCAACGGTAGTTAGCTAACAAAGAAGGCCCATTCTAACGTAGAACCAGGCTAAGTCAAGCCTTAAATCGTTGAAGAATGATAGATTGACACTGTGTTCTTTCTTTCCCATTCTTTCTTTCCAAGTCAATCAACAGCAGAGATGAACAAATTCCTATTGCTCAATTTGAGAGATTGGTCTACAGGAGCAACGACAGTGCCTGATTTTGCATTGGATGACTCTCACATGCCTTTTTCCATTGAGGCTAGAGAGATGCCGAAACCGCACAGAAGATATCTTTACCTTATCCTGTATTTTCTTGTGATGAACACTACTGGTGGAAGATTTTTTGGGGATTCTACTTTAGCTGGTAACAACCTTGTTGTCAACAGGTGTATAGTGATGCAACATGCTCTTGAGCCAAGCGACCATTCACAGCACTTTCGATAATGAATGTGCTGGCTGGCTGTGTCTAAATGGCAAATTGAAACAAACATTGTTTTACTGATCCGACACTCTTCGTTGCGGAACATATATCATTTGCAAGGCCCTAGAATCTCGAAGTTTTTGCTCGCTTTTTCTGTTCTCGCGGTCAATTTTATATCAATTAATCGATGTGGAAGCCACGGCGATGGCTATCTGTAATAGAGTAGGGTAAGAGTAACTCTGAACTGTGGTCATGTGTCTATGTATGTGACTCTACGAGGTACTGGATGGTACTATAATTGAACAACAAGAATACGTGGAAAGATCAAGGGAAGAAAAAGGAAACAACAGAAAGAAAATCAGGTGCTCAGGTCGGCTGTATCGTGTGCAGTAAAGAGTACAATATCTGATCCGAACCGTCGTGCATGACATAAACCATGGACTTGGTGTAGATAGAGAACAAGATGCATGCGTTATAACAGGCTAAACAAGGCGATTTAGATTTCGAAGCGATAGTGACGAGACAGGAAGGCATTGCCGACCCAGCACCATGGTAAGGAGTGAAGAAGATGGTGCCAGGCCCAATGCAGTGGTTGATGGAACTCGCAATTTGCCGAGGTTCAGGAGGCCCTCGGATCGTGTGTTGATGTAAGCGATGTAATCAGGTGAGATGGTTGTACATAGTTCCTTTTCAACGAGGTTGCGTTGTCGTGTGCCATCTGATGCAAGATGCGAAGACAAGGCGGGAGTCCAGCATTGCATACGATGTATGCATCCCGTGTATAGGACTTGCGGCCCGTTCATGTTTGATTCGCAGCTAGCCTCAATACTGAAAGTAGTTGAAAAAGTTTGGTGGCTTGGTACTGCGGGCCAGCGAGCTTCGTTTGTGTTGTTGAGGTGATGGTCTCTTCGCGGATGAATGCGTCGGGCATTTGTATCCGACAAAGACCACTCTTTCAGTGATGCCATGACTTCGAGAGCCATAGGCAGCGCAGGGGTCGATAGAGTGTCTGTGGTAGAGGCAACGACAGACTGCGTAGCGCTCCACGACCTGGATGCACATTGTTGCTTTGATGCTGGCGCTGTCGAGTGGTTGTAAACTGGTGTGTTCGCTGGCCTTCTGGGCTCTGGCTGGTTTCAGAGATGGTTACTGCGTACAGGATGTTGTCGCGGGAAGAGAGTACGTGTTAGTATATATCGTGTGTGTTCAGTAGTCAGGCCTACGGACGTAGCGTGTTGGATGAGCGCGCAGGGTGTCCAGCATCTGACATGCGTACGTAGTATTTCGGAAGACCATTCTGCGGCGACAAGGCAGCCAAAGCAAAGTACTTTAGTAATCCTGTACGAAGGCCTGGCCAGTGGGATAGTGTGTGACAGTGTGGATGAAGATGGTGACGCGAACAGGAAGCGAGTAGAAGTGCGGTAGATAGGAGGATAACGGATATTTCTGTACACCGTCCTTGTTTTCCCTAGAATTTCTCATCAGTCACCTATGTCCCAAAGCAGAAAATGCTGGCAGCAAACATCGAAGGTAGGGACGTCCCAGTCCGCGTGGGTTGTTACTTTCTGGTACCCGTCATGGCCGTCACAGGGTCTTGCGGCTGGTGTCGGCTGTATCCACTGCTGCCAAACATGCTATTTTGGCAACTACCAAAAGACCTTCAGACTCGTCTTCGCGAACAGTTGTACCTTCATGGAGAGGAACTGCCGTTATCGACAATGGCGAGACTGTATGTAATCACATGGATTAGCCATACTCTTGGCGATCAATAAGTATGCTGCAGGTCCTCGAGACACATCCAAGCTTTCCATGTGGGTGAGCTCGCGGTGCCTTGTACATATTGCTATTCTCATGAACTGAGAGCCAAAAATACAGTGACGATGACATAGATGGCGCACCTTGATTCGCACAGTCAGTAGCAAAAGAATAGATTCGAGTCATCGCAAGCATCGAGGTAATCTTTTGACTTGCAGTTCCATCGCGATTTGCAAGCACACTGGGGAGGGTGGGGTACCGGCATATTTCGTATACATGGGTTGCCTGACGAGCGCCTCAATGAAAGGCGCACACATGGAAAAGGTTGCCCGAATGTTGGGCAGGCCACTAAAATACAAATGTAGCCTTGATAAACGTATAGGTAATTCAGCCATCCCACTGAAGACACCGCCCTAGTATCGAGCTGTCTTGATGGACACATGTTGGGACGCGGGTCAGGAGGTCGGCGTTACCTTGCACAGTGATAGGCTCTGACACGTTACAATACCTATTGGCAGGAACGAAGGATCATGCTTGTCGCATATGATTTGCGAACGACAGTCTGGAGAGCTGCAATATGCTGCACGATCGCAGTACCGAGACATCGTCTGATCAAGTATAACCGAAGGGGCTTATTTTGACTTCATGTTATCCCGCCTAGAATGGTCGAATTATCGACCAAATAGATGCGCACTCTGCGTTTGCATACTTTTGGGTAACGCGATTGGGTTTCGAAGGACAAGCACCACACAAGTTTGATTGGTGTGTTGCCGATTGGATCTCGAAATCTGGAGACTTTGCCATATCAATGAATTAAACAATAAGCGACACTCCGGTCTCCGCCGATGACATTCAACCGGTACTCGTCCGATCTTACAGCGCATCTCTTGGGTTACTTCTCTAGCGACAGACAGGCAAGAACTGGTATCCACAAGGCGTCATTCATTATTGTATTCATGTTCCTGAGTTCCGTACGTTCAAGAAGTCGACTGTCGGATCGTACATGAAATTAGTGATGTTGAACTCGCTGTTGCTACCCAGATCCGCAGCCTGGAACTCTCCGCTACTGCCAGCTGCAGCAAGAGAGGTGTCATTGGGAACGGGAAGACGAGGCATGTTGAAGAAGTCGAAGACATCCAGATACTCCAACTCTTGCGGAGCTGGGGTACGTGCAGGAGTGATGGCATGCTGTTTACCACCATTGTATTGCTGCCGTGGTTGCCTGGAGATCAAGAAATCCAGATCGTAGGCGCACCGTCTCATGTCCGCAAGGATCTTCACCGTTGAGGGTGTGACTCTTTCGCCATTGGCGCCCGTAGGTGCACGTTCAGACTCACTATACTCGTCAAGTACACGCTGTAGGAGTGTAGCATATCTTTCTGCGACGTTCCAGTACCGACCCATGTCTCGCAACGTTTCGACGAGAGGATATATGGCTGGGTTGACCTGGTGGTCGATCGTCGAACCATGAACGAGTAGCAAGCGAGCTGCAACCCAGATCGAGAAGGCAAAGTGCGGGCCGAGGTTAGTAAGCATGTTGTTGTTTCTGACGTAAGTGCAAAGTGAGCAAATGTCCTCGACGGCGGTGTGGCATCTTTGGCTAGCACTGAATGATGGAGTGAAGATGGGAGACCTGGTCGTTGGATATGCGGCAGATGAGTGCAAACGGATCACGGCACTAGGTGACATCAGCAACAAGTCAGGGAGATCTATGCGTGAGAGAACTTACGTATGATACGTAATATGCAACATAATCCAGATGCAGTTGACAATCTTGCTGCTGCCGTTGGGGTTGAACAAGCGTGCCATGTTTCCGTACTCACCAGGCAGCGAAAACTTCCAGCTGTTCAAAGCACTGTCGAGCTCGCGGTATTCACGTTGCCACTGTTCAACATCTGACAGATCTCCGATATCAACTGGCTTCTTCAAGAATCGATGTATCCTCGACAAGATGCCCACAATCTCGATGTAGTAGCTGAGAGATCCCAGGTTTTCTGGCTTGTTCAGAGTGTAGTCGATTCTTTCCGATGTGTGGAACCATCGAGTCTCGACAGGCTGGTTCCTAGCGAAGAGGTCATCTCTACATGGCAGTTTGCGGTCAATCTCTTTGTCGTCGAGTGCAAACTCGAAAGCTGTAGCGATGGTAGCATAGCGGTCCAGGAGATAGACCATCCAGAAAAGGCGTCGACGACTCTCGTCCTCAATCCAATCGTTTGATTCTGGTAGAACCATGGCACGAAGAGTGTAGATTGAAGGATATAGAGGAGACACAGATGTCGACGTGGTTTCAACTGCCAACCCAAGTTGGACGACACTACGCGCAATTAGAGCAAGCAGGTTCCAGCCAGGCGGACCGTTCGAACATCCGACAATATCCAAGGCTAGAATGACTAGAGCCTGAAGTGCCTTGACAGAGCTGTTCTCGAGCCCGTAAAGTAACACTTTCTGTTTTGAGTTTGAGTAATATCGTTCTCGAGCTTGTTCCGTCAGACGCACATCGTTCGAGAACCTCAATGTCGTTGCGACGATGGCATGAAGGAGAATTCTATCAGCTTCCTCAAGACTGGAGGTACCGAACAGAGAGTCGAGGGTACTACGTCGGTGCAAGATTGGCGCCCACGTATTGACGTGCTTGAAAAACAGGTCGACAAGAGAGTATAAGAGATCATAAGGCGGCAGCTCAGCATCCTGACTGGTTGCCATCTGGCTAGGCATCTGCATCTGAGGACTTGTCAGATTTCCAGATTGGCCAGAACCGGGTATATTCAGGCTAGGAGATTCTAGTGGTGGGTTGGTTGGAGCATAAGGTGCTTCAGGGTGAGATTCGAGCCTATTATGAGGCGTGCTGTTTTGCTGCTGTGCCTCTTGTAAAGACTGAGGATACTGTTCGCCCTGCTGTGCGGATTGAGACGCATTCAGGGTGTGTACTCCAAAGCCTGTATTAGTGATGGCAGAAGCAGGAGAGGTCACAGAGGGGTAGGACGCTGGCCTCTGCATATAGAGGGCGGCCTCAGAGCGGGCGCCATGATCTACTGATTGTGCAGTGGAAAGTGCTGATGGGGATTGATGGTTGAGCTGTTGAGGGGTCAAGCCGGGAATGACCGAAGTAAAGTGCTGCAGGAGCTGTTGCTGTGCTTGTAGCACGTTCTCCAACTTGTNCTGATGAATGTTAGTATCTCGAATACAAGATTAGATCTGGCAACAGTTACCAAGACGAGCTTCTAGCTCTCTACCATAACNCTTTGAAAGTTCAGATGGAGTTTTTACAATGTTTTTGAACATTAGATACTGACCAGCACGCAAGCCAGGCTTCTTGCGCTCTTTGTATTCGCATATCTGGCTGTTTCGAACACNACCTGGTGGGACTCAGCATCTCAAGACGACTTCGTAGGAGCGAACGACTAACCAGCCGCATGATGGCTTGCCACGATCGCAGCGGACTTTGCGTATTTTGCAAAGCTCACACGAAACACCTTCATAGTCGTCAGACATAATATACTCGAGTCAACAGAGGTTTCACATGTGATTTGTGGACAGGAAGCAGTGGGAACGAGGCATGAGTGGTGTTAGGTTAACGCACTCAAAGGACGCAGTCTTTTCCTCTTTGGGCCCTCTTCCTCGCCCTCGTCATCGCTCCAGGCTTCCTCATGGCCGTTCTCCCGGTCTTCGGCAGCCTCGTCGATAGAGGGTCGGGCGTGTATCTGGGCGACTTTGGGTGAAGAGGGTGACTGGGCCTCGTTGTTCGGGGTGATTTGAGCCGCCATGATCAGAAGAGCAGAGGCTTCGGAGGGATGGCGACCGAGAAGGCTTTTGTTTGTGCTGGGGCTGCCCCGCTNTCTGCCAAGCGATTGACCATNGTACGGGACATCATTGTCTGCGAAAGCCGATGCCGCGACATGTTTGCACCGGTNAACAGCACCTCGATGTGAGAGATGCTGGGTGATACTGCCTGCTCGTACGCGTGCCGAGGGAAGCATGTTGCCCATCGGCATATAACCATGCTTCCCCCAAGAGCAGAGGCCAAGTCTTAGATTCTCCCTTCCTCCCTCCCGCCCCCTCACTGTGCCTACCCTCTCCCATTCATTGGCTGTATACACTCATCATGACCTCTGTCAACAGCTTCCCTACCATCAAGGCCGTCAAGACCTTCGTCATCCAAGGCGTTGGTTCTGGCGGTGACTACCACAATGTCAAGGGCGGCCATTGGCTGATCGACTCCAAGATTGCGACTCCCATGTCTGGTTATGACAAGTACCGCAAGTCGCGAACTTCATTTGGCATTAACGTCCTCGGTTCTTTCTGCGTCGAGATAGAGTCTACCGATGGCAAGAAGGGTTTCGCTACCGGTTTCGGTGGTCCGCCGGCATGTTGGCTCGTTGCTGAGCACTTCAACAGATTCTTGATTGGTGCTGGTGAGTTGCTGCTGCTCCTTCAGTCACACGTTGTTTACTGACATACGAACAACNNAGACCCTCGCGATACCAACCTCCTCTTCGACCAAATGTACCGAGCATCCATGTTCTACGGACGAAAGGGTCTCCCACTGGCTGTCATCTCCGTAATCGATCTGGCTGTCTGGGATCTGCTAGGCAAGATCAGGAACGAACCCGTGTACAAGATGATTGGCGGCGCGACAAGAGACAGACTCAACTTCTATTGCACCGGTCCCGCGCCATCTGCTGCCAAGAGAATGGGCTTCTTTGGTGGCAAGGTCGCCCTTCCATACAGCGCTGCCGAGGGCTTCGAGGGTATGAGAAAGAACATTGAATACTTGACCGAGATGCGCGAGAGTGTTGGTCCCGACTTCCCGCTCATGGTCGACTGTTGGATGAGTTTGACTGTGCCCTACACTATCGAGATCGCCGAGAAGTGCAAGCATCTTAACATCAACTGGTGGGAAGAGACTCTTTCTCCCGATGACTTTGATGGTCATGCTCTCCTGAAGCGTGCTCATCCCACCATCAAGTTTACTACTGGCGAGCACGAGTACACACGATACGGTTTCCGCAAGCTCATCGAGGGACGCCACGTCGATATCCTCCAGCCTGATGTTATGTGGCTTGGTGGTTTGACCGAGCTGCTCAAAGTTTCGGCTCAGGCTGCCGCATATGACATTCCCGTCGTTCCTCACGCAAGCGGTCCCTACAGCTACCACTTTGTCGTCTCTCAGACAAACTCGCCTTTCCAGGAGTACCTCGCCAACTCTCCTGACGGTCAATCGGTTCTTCCCGTGTTCGGAAACCTTTTCCTCAATGAGCCAATTCCCGAGAAGGGCTATCTCGATGTGTCCGTCTTGGACAAGCCTGGATTCGGTCTCGAACTCAATCCTTCTGCTCCTTTGATAGATGCTGCTGGTATCCTCAACCCGGCCCCTTCAAGATCGTTGGCCGATCCCACAATCCCTGACGGGGTTCAGAACGAGAAGACAACATGAGTGTCACGACATATGCACGAACAGAAAACTGTATAGATCCTTTGCATCATCTAAGGAGCTGACTCGAGGCAATCCCATAATTTAGTAGTTTTCGTATGATAGACATTTTCGCACACAACTGACTCATAACGATCCACTGGTTCTTGCAAACACAGTAGAAACACAAGAAACCTCAACTCACAAAGCAGCAGGGTGAACGATCTTTGCCTGTTTCGTCAGCCAAGACATGTCCCGAAGTCTCCGAAGCGGCGAAGCCCTCTCTCCCTCTCACGCTCTGGGGCTCGCGAACAAACTTGGAACGTGATTGTCATGTCCACAGCTTTCACAACAAACACTTTCTCCGGCGACTGACTCCAAATCGAAAAACCGGCACACTGTGATGGGTTTTCAAGCCAATTGGCACGCACTGAAAAGGACACTTCGGTCAAGAACGTTTTGGCAATGGATTCTATTCGCCGCAGGCATATATCTCTTGGTGCGACTGCTAAGACCTCCTCCGCGAGCACCTGTTCGCCATACGTTTGAGCCTCTACATGTCACTCCAGTTGGTGGAGACTCGGATGATGGCATTGACTGGACACGATTTGCTTATGTCCAATATGTCACGGACAAAGAATATCTTTGCAACAGCTTGATGATGTTTGAGTCTTTGCATCGACTGGGCAGCAAGGCAGATCGTGTCTTGCTCTATCCTCAACAGTGGGAGTTGTATCCAAAGCCGCCGACATGGGAAAGTATCTTCCTACGAAAAGCTCAAGATGACTACAAGGTTCACATCGTACCAATAAGGCCTCAGTTCACAGAGTCAGGAGATGGTACATGGGCAGAGAGTTTCACCAAGCTGTTGGCATTCAAACAGACCCAGTACGACAAAGTCCTGAGCTTGGATTCGGACGCGACGATCTTGAAGGTACGTTGGACTTGTATTCCCATGAATTTGATGTCAGGGCCCGTCTGACTGTCCCACCAACCATAGTCTCTTGACGAGCTCTTCCTTCTGCCAGACCATGCCGTGGCAGCACCGCATGCATACTGGCTTCCTGAACCTGACACAATCTCGTCGGCGGTTCTACTGATCAAACCGTCGATGCATGAATTCAAGCGTGTGTTCAAGGCCATGTACAATCGCTCGAATGCAAGCGAGTTTTATGATATGGAAGTGATAAACGACGTTTACGCTGGAGAGGCGATGATCTTGGCAAAAGACCACTGGGTCGTATCTGGAGAGTTTCGACTGAAATCTCACCACAAGTATCTGGATGAAGGCGAAACCTGGGATCCGGACAGAGTTTTGAATGAGACGAAACTCGTTCACTTCTCAGACTGGCCGCGCCCAAAGCCATGGTTCCCTGTAACCGAAGATATTTACCACAGAACAGTACCAGTCTGTGACACTATGCCGGGTTCAGCGCACAAGGACTGTCGTAACCGGGATGCATGGAATTGGCTGTACAAAGATTTCGAAGAGCGCAGAGGGGTACGTGCAACACTCGAATGCTATAAGAATTCTCTTCTAACAGTTCAGCAGAGGGTCTGTGGTTGGGCCTTCACATTATATTAACCATAAGCTTCGGTTGAGCCGCGCGGCGAGAAAATAGGCGCAGTCGACATGCATACAGATCTTGGATATGATCTAAACGACCCAGGGGCCAAGGCAGCACAGCAGGGGATCTTGCTTGGACCAAATTGTGCCAACTTTCAAGACCGCTCGAGCAACGAGCACCTTGGTTTGACACATGCGGAGGCCCGTCAGTCGAGTGGGCACGCATGTGCGTACACGCGCAAATCAAATTTCAGGCACACGGATCGTTGATCCCGGCGGGATCGACAGGTGTCGGCAAACAACCATGGATGGTCCTGATATGACGCTTAGAAATTGGGTGGTTGCGTGGCGCCTAGCTAGCAAGGAGAATTGATGGTCTTGACTCCACTCGCTGATGAGCGTTTTGGCAACAGTTGAATTGTGGGAGACGGCTGGTAGGCCGTGGACATAACCCCATATACGACGTCACTAACAGTCCGTGCCCTATCCCGATCTTGATTGTTGGAGGACCGGACGGTCACTTTTGTAGACGACGGTCGCCGCGTCCATTGCCCGGCCTTTTCAATATCGAACTTAATAGAGCAGTGGTTGCTTCCTGTCGCTTTCTGTTTTCCTTGCATAACCTTTGTTTGTTTGTTAGGCATTCTACATCTGGCATACCATACACCATGGCTATCAATTCACTACTACTAACGGCTTCATGCTTCACTATCGCACATGCTGTCTCTATCTCCCTAACACCGGCCGCCAACGCGCCTGCAGCTTCTGGCATTTCTCAAGTCGTTGGTCCTTCGTTTGCTGGCCTCGGAATTGAACCTTCGAATTTGTTCTCCTTCACTGGTGGCAACACACCTAATCAACTCTCCATCAATCTCCTCCAACATCTCACAAATTACTCGGGCGCACCTCCACATCTCAGACTCGGTGGCAACACTGGTGATCACATGGTCTGGGATGCTTCTCACCAAGGATATAGTCTCGCAAAGAACCCCAACCAGGAAGAAACCAACCCCACTCCTGCAGATGGAACAGTTTTCGGACCCGGTTACCTCGAGGCTCTCGAGCGTTTTCCCAAGGGCATGCCTGTCACTTTCCAACTGAACCTTGCTTATGACATGGGTGATCGTCTCGAGAAGATCAACGAAGCCGCAGCTGCCGTTATCGATGGTCTCAACAACACTTCCCTCTACTCATTCGAGATCGGCAACGAGCCAGACTTGTATTTGGAAAGCTGGCAACAGATGAGAAACGGCACCTGGGACGGCACCATCTACACACAGCAGTGGTTAGAAAGAGCAGAGTCAGTATGCGACAATGTCCTGAAGCCGAGAGGCAAGAACTGCGATTTCTTTGAGGCCGCTCAAACTGCTTCGACAATCGGCACAACCTTCACGCTTAGCGACCTGGCCAATGCTGGAATCTCGGACGAAATCAATGGCACCACCTATCTCTCGTCATGGAACCAGCACGACTACTTCTACTTTGTCGACGTCTCGACTTACGACATCACCCTCAACATCATGATGGACTTTGACAGGACCGAAGATCAGTTCAAGTACTGGACTACCGAAATTGCGTATGCTCAATCCACCGGGATCCCTTACAACCTCCGCGAGATGGCAAACGTTGGTCCCATCGGTTTGGCAAACGTGAGCAACACTTTTGGAGCCGCTCTTTGGTTCCTCAACTTCTACTGCTACGGCGCCACCCTCAACATCTCCTCCGTCGAAATGCACATGACCGACAACTCGTACGCTTCGCCCTGGCAGCCCATCTTCATGAATGGAGAGGCCGCCAACGTCCGTCCTAGCTACTATGCTCTGGCTGCTATGGCTCAGCTCCTTGGTTCGGGTAACGGTACTACCAGACTCGCTCCTTTGGCTACTCAGAACTCTTATGTCCGTGCCTACGCCGCCTACGCTAATGATGATCTTTCTTCTTTGGTCATTATCAACGCTCAGCAGGTTAACGCATCTGCTGCCGACAAGAGTGGCATCGACTTTGACATTTCGCTTCCCAGCCTCGGTGGCCAGACCCTGTACCTCTCGTACTTGAGTGCTGACGGCGCTGACACCGTTCACAACGTCACTTGGAACGGCCTCAGCTTCGAAAGCGACAGCGTGGGTTCAGCTAGCACTGCTCAGGACCAGAGTGGCCAAACTGTCGTTCTTGACAGCAACGGCGCCGCAACCATCACTGTTCGCGACTCGCAAGCCATCATCGCAAACCTCGGCGCTCGTCTGGGCTCGCTCCCTGTCGAAGTTGCTAACTCCACGTCCTCTTCCGGCTCTGGGTCCTCTGGTTCCGGCTCTGGTAGATCCAGCCACAAATCCAGCGCCAGCACTAGCGGCGCAGCACCCACAGTGAGTACATCCGCATCCGCAACCGCACCCGCGTCCACATCAGCAGGAGACATCCAAGCTGCAGCGGCATCAGGCAGCGCCGCTAGTGCCAGTGCCAGCGCCAGTGGAACCGCGCATTCATCGAGCTCAAAGACCATCATGCTGACGGATAAGACCCTGTTCACCGTCGTCCTTATGGCCTTGGTGTGTATCTTCACATCCTAGGATACTTTCCACTATCCCTCCTTCTCTTACCGCCATGATACCTGGATACGACCTCTTTTGCTCTTAATGTCTTCTTCTTTTCTCTTCTTCTGTACATGATACACGCTTAGCGGATACTTTTTCTTCCAATCTTCTTCTCGAAGCATTGTTTTGCTTCGTTTCTGCATGACATGACAACCGGCGTTTGTAACGGCTTTGGATGGGGACTTACATGAGACGCTTTCACTCTATTTTAATTAGACCCAGCTTCACAATATTAGACCGGGCCGCGAGGCATTGACCGATCTTTTCTTCCCACATTATGCAAAAGTGTACGTGTATTGCAGCCTTATCAAGTGATACCAATGTCATGGTGAAGAGGGTGCGACGACTCGACGGATTTGGTACATTGCAGCCTCTTCTCGCAGACTTTATCCGACTCTGAAATAAGTTCATCTCTTGACTTTTTTTTTGGCGGGGAACAAGGCAAACATCCTCATCGGCGAGTATCCTCAAATCCATCACACAAGGCCACGTCACCACAATCCTCTTACGCAACAAGTCAATCGAATAGACTTATAGGCACACACATGTAGTTTCTATTTCAGTACGCAGCTTACTCTTCAGCCAGAAACATATACCAATGAAGAAAGAAAGAGAAAGAGAAAGAAAAGGCAAAAAGAATAAATCTTCTTTATGTTCCAAAAATTTGTGTGTTTAGAGGATTGCCCTAAAGGCGAATCGAACTCTTAGAAGCAAGAAAACAAACAAGCTTGAGGGTTTACTTTTGCTGGGTGAAGTTTGCTTGGCCTGAGGGAGAAGATCAAGTTAGCAGTTCTGTGGACGGATGGAGTGGATAAGGTGGAATGGAGTGGATGAATGCGTTATAGCAGACGCCATACGAAACAGTGTGCAAAAGCATCTTTCTTAGTAGCGACAACTGAGAACAGAGATATTTTGATCAGCTATGTACAAGGTACGATGTACAGAGCATCACGCCGAAACAATCCCTGGCACGAAGGCATCTTTCCGAGAGGAGAAGTGTGATCTTTGACATACGAAAAGGAATGGTGGCACGAAGGCATCTTTCTGGTATACTTTATTGACGTACGAGAAGAGTTGTTGGCACGAAGGCTCTTTCTGAGTGATAAAATTGACATACGAGACGGTGTGATCGTGCAAAGGCATACTTCTGTGTGGGTGTGTTGACGTACGAGAAGGTGTGCAAAGGCATCTTTCTTTGGAGGAGAGATGGAGGAAAGAGACGGCGTGGTCAGCTATGCGCAAAGTGCAATACGTGGAGCCTCATCCCAAGCGATCTCTGGGACGAAGGCATCTTTTGGAAAGTGTGAAGTGTGGAGGATGATACATGGAAGGAATGGTTGCACGAAGGCTCTTTCTGGACGATGATGATATTGAGGATATTGACATACGAAAAGGGTGATGTGCAAAAGCATCTTTCTGATGATGGATATTGACATACGAAACGTGGGATGGGAAAGGACGTCAAGGGAAGGAAGAGGGAGAAAACCATTTTGAATAGGAAGAAACCCCTCGGCGCCTAGAAAAAAAAAGTCAGCACACATCAGAGCCATAATAGCAGAGAGCACTGCAGCCATACCAAGCTGCGGTGATGAAAGAAGGAAAGCAGAAACAGAGTAAACGTCCTGATTATATACCATACAGGCTGCAGCCATCACGCGACCACCTTACGATGCCTGTCTCACTAAACAACTAACTCACTCTTATAGGTAGCTCAGTAGAGCACATGAGCGCGGTTAGCGCTGGGTTAGGGTTGGAAATCCCGGGATTCTCCTGAATTCCGAAGCTTTTCAGCGAATGGTTCAGAATCCCCTCAAGGCTAGGGCTAACCATACGACACAATTTTGAAACATCGACCGCGAAACAGATATTGGCAATCGGGGTCGACGCCGCCAAAGGGCGGGCGATCAGGAAGTCCGAGAGCTTGCGGGATGTTTGTCGTGCTAGGATATGTGATAGAGCTTTGGCCTGTAGATGCGATTTCGGGTCTTTGTAGGGAAACGCTCTAGCACGAAGCAGTACAAGAATATTACAAAAAATGCACGGGCAGGCAAGGGGTCACAAGAAGGGAGAGACGATGATTAAAATGTGTCTTTCAAGCATATAAGCATATGTGTACTATAAACAAGTGATGTATGTCTCCTTCACACCAAGACTTTTGGTATGCGCGGTCCGAGGGGAAGATGTATGCTGCGTGTCGTGTAAGTATATGTAGCTTGCTGATTGGCTTAAGCGAGCGATGTGTATGTAGATGCTGGTGTCGATGCTGTCGTTGGTCATGGTCATGTGCGTATTTATGTTGTGGATGCAGAGGATGGGTTCGGTGAGGCTTCTTGCGATTTTTTATAGAAAAGCTGTGATGAGCAATTTTGTGCGTGCTGGGCTTTCCACAGTGATGGCGAGGACGAGTCGATGCGATATGGTCGGACTGAGTCGCTGGGCTATGCACACGTAGCGACCACCAATAGCATGGAGGTCTGCGCGAGCAAATAAATCGATGCCAGTGACTTCCAACCACTCAGAGTTGCGTTTCGATGAATGCGCCGGGTGCTGTAGCGATAATACACGCCCGCGGCTAGTCGGCAACGATGATACGGTCAACTTAGAGATGACTGCCGTAGGCTACTCGAGGCCCATGGTGAAAGGCGACGACATTCGAAGATACGTCAGAGAATATGTGTTACCTTGCAGTATCTTGTGTTGTCCCATGATGATGGAAGCACGGAGTTGTGCTGGTTACCAAGTTGGGTGATCTCGTTCACATCAGGGTCTGGACCTTGGACCACATGCCATTCCACTGTGTTCTCCCGACTGAGGGATCCTCGACGTAGTTTCCGAAGAGTGGCTGGGTGTTTAGTGTCGATGCGACAATGCGGTCACACCAAGAAAGATAGCGCGAGAGGATGAGGCCATCCTTGCCATTCGAAGCGATGACACTGAGACCTCCTCTTGCTTCCACCATTCTCTGCAATGCGGGGCCGTGTACATCAAGCGCGATATGGCGTTCTGACCGTAGTGCTTCGCTGAAGAAGACATAGGTAACGGTCAAGATGACGGCATCCGTGTAAGCGCGCTTCGGATCCATGATAGCTGTTCTGAGCGATTCGACGGCTTTGTGTCGTAGCCACTGAGACAGGAAAGGTTGTTGTTGCATGGATATCGAGTTGGAAGCCGGCGCCATGACGCTGGTGTTGGACAATACAGCATAGAACATTGCAGGTTCTCGCTGCGAGACAGAGATATGCAGAGGAAAATCGACAAATTCGATGTTGCCTTGCTGGCCCCAGTCGGAAGATATCAGGCCCATCCACACTCCACCAAGACAGTTGCGATCTGAAGACGTAATGTGTTAGCCATGAGCGACGGAGGATGTGTTCACGTGACGGTAGATATGATTTCGGCTACGAGCGAGTGCTCTCTACGATTCCGGACTGACGGATAGGATGGAGATACTTACAAANNATTGAACCAAAGGACCAAATGACTCCTCCCAACTGACGGGAAATTGAGAGAAGGGGTCATGAGTAGAGCCGAGCTGATGGGGAAACAACATGGATGAAGGCTGTGAGCTTGTCGAGTCTGTTGAAGCGATTTGCAATGCATGCGAGTTGACATTTTCGATGTCTTGTTCATCGTCAATAATGATTTTGTCGTCTGTCATGGCATCGATAGCAATATCATGCGGTGAATGAGTCGACGATGGGGTTGAGCGGGAAGAATTGGTTGAGAGAGGAGAACGCGAGTTAGATGAAGCCAAAGACGGTACGACTCTGGATGCAGTATCATCATCTGGCCAAGATGGCACAGCAGGTAGGTTCCTGTGGCGTGGTGGTGCAAGTTGAGCCGCCGGAACATGTTCCGTGGTGGGACCAGGCAGGGGACTTGAGGCGGCGGCCGCTGCGGCGAGGCTCCTCGAGTTCTTCCTCGACTTCCATCCTGCCTTGGCGGCATGCGACCTGATGGCACGCGTCGATGTCGACTGCTGCGGTTCGCCAAAGGTGATGAAGTTGAGCATTCCCTGCCGCGGCTGTCCTTGAGTCCGCTCTTGGGACATGACTCCCGGGTAAACGCCTACACGAGCGGTTGCCTGCGTTGTGCAAAAAGGAAGGGACGTCGAGCAGAGGAACAAACACAAGCGACATGGCGCTCCTCGCCCTCTTTAGCCGCTGATGTAAAGATAGCCTTGAAGCCTCGCGTCCGGGGAGGTTACGATGGAAAAGGCATCATTACTCGGCCTCAGGTCCTCGACGGCTTTTGGTGCATCGTGATGCACCCGTCAGACCCTTGTGGCTCGTGCGTCAAGGACGACTCACCGCCTTGGCGAAAGTCTGAACGCGGCAAGCCACCACGACCACATCGAGGCACCTCCTATACCTGAAACGCTCATGCTGTCTGGGTGGACTAATAACGAACTGGAAGGCGGTGATCACTGACGGAATTATAGGGATGCAATTATGCATACATGATCCCTGAGCAGATTGCGCTTCGCTTCACAAGCAGATCATTAGAGCAATACGACACTTGACGTCTGTAGCACGAACGACATTTCGTGAGGTGTCGTGTCTCATGACACGACTGCGACTGCTCGCTATACTAGAGCTCTAAATCAATCGATTCCTGTGTGAAGCCTTTTGCCTATTGCAACTCTGGCGACCTAAATCTTCTTTGGCATGCCGAATTTAATGTTTTTTGCGTCTTTTAGTACCCTGATGCTTGACGGTCGTCTGAAACTTCTGTTCAGTATCGCTCTTCCCAATGCATGTTTGACTCTTCAACTTACAGTTGGCGCCCATAGCCTTTCTCAGCTTCATGGTGACTTCTGACTCCTTGAGATCGGTCTTGCTGTCGGTTTGGATCTCGATGGCGTAGCTTCGCAGGACCTGCTTGACTTGACCGATTTGAGTAGTCATCTTTGCTCTGCGCATGACTCTTGTGTTGGGACNCTGGTGAGAAGTGAAGTTAGTCATTGTCCCAGATACTGCGAGCATATCGTATTGTAAGAAGGCTTCAAGTCTCTCCATCAGAAACTTCGCTGAGATGCCGATGTAGACACTTCAGTAATCTCAACATCCCATCTCTTCACTCCCTCCTCTTTTCCGAAGCTGTAAACATCCAAAGGAACAGAAATCACAAAACCCACCACACCAAGAGACAAACACAAACTTGACTCTCTGCGACAACTCATCATTCCCCACCGTCATCCTCACAAATGCGTACGCAGCCTCATCGTCCCCCAAATTCTCTACCATCTCCGTGATATCGCCTTCACCAGTAGAATCCAACTTCAACGCATCGGAGGTGCCGGAAATGTATTTGAGCACCATCCATGTTGTGGCTGATTTGTCGGATCTTACGTCTTCGTAGGCATTGGCGATCTCAGGGTCGCTGAGGAGGTTGTCGGCGGTTTGAGGCATAATTGATGTTGATGGTGAGAGTTGTGTGGGGTGAGGTAGACGTGTGATAGGAGGAGGATAGAAGTGTGTATATCCAGGGGTAAACGGCTGGGTAAACTGCGGGTGTTCTTGGGTCGTCTGGAACGCGGCTTTACCTTTGATGCTGGTCGATGAGAAGAGATGTCCTGGAACATGATCTGGTGGTCTGTTCCTCCTTGATTACCCTCATACTGGAGTAGTGGATGCAATTACAAGCAAGGTATGGTTTCTACGCTCATGGTTCTAAGTGACGTCGACTTCTATTCGTCAGCTCGAGGATGTTCTGTGCCAACAATTGAAGCTTTGTGCCATTTTTCGAACATGCTTGGATTTGTCCACACAGCGTCACATGAAGACCTGATTGGTGTCTAAATTGTATCTCAGAAGACTTAGCGACCTTGATTAGCCCTTCAAGCAGCAATAAGACTGTTGCTCTCTTATAAGACTGAGCGGTAACCGTTATAACATGTGACCAGGGTGGTATATTCGGCAACTCGAGTAAGTAAGCTCGGCAAAACCTGCCGATTTTTCCAACAAATAGTAGGAAGCAAAACGCACAGCTTTCACATCTTCCGTGGCGCAATTGGTTAGTGCGTTCGATTGTTGAATTTCTACTGTGTGCAAGAGACCAGCCAGTAGCATCCAAAAAGACAGCCCAGCCTGTGACCTGGTCTGCTGCTAAAACCAGCTTCTCCGCCACGAGGAAAAAAAGCTCTCCCGGACAGGCTTGAACTGTCAACCTCTCGATAGCCGATTCGCGAAAGCAAATCTAACAGTCGAACGCGCTAGCCAATTGCGCCACGGAAGATGTGAAAGCTGTGCTTTCTGTGGCTGTTGGATGCGGCATTGTGAATTGATTGTCAATATTAAGCACCGACACGCAGAGCTCGGAGGCGAAGACGATATCCAAGTCCTCGCAAAGAGAACCTTCTTTGTGCTCTTCTCGATGATTGCGAGCCAGCTCCGGAGGCTATGCGCTGAGCACATACTCAGTCACATAAGTGGGCGCTGCGACGTATCTTATCTGTTATCCCTCCGTTGAGAAAATTTATGTCGTGGTGGTCGTTGAGGTTCGGTGGTTGAAGTTTTGGTTCAAGTTCTTGTGCAGCGTCAAATGCATAACGTACCTATGCACCAGTCTCGCTGCATACCTGATACAAGGTGTTTGGACGGGATATATTCGAAAGGTTGGTGCCCTAAAGCAATCAGGAGCGACAGTGACTTCAGCGGTGTATGAAGCCCAGCAGGTCACAAGAGGGGGTGTCGCACAAAGTCATGCTCGGAGTGTCGTGGTGCGCAAGATCGAATTGGTTTCGCAAAGGCTGATGATTAAGAATCGCGACTGTAAGGCATAGTATCTGATCGCATGATGTGCCACAACTCTTGAGCACCTAGATTTGTCAGAGGATGGTCGGTCACTTCGTTTATAGTCAGGAATGGGGGCAGATAAAGTGCGGTAATGAAATCGTTTGGTAAGTCGCTCCTTCCCATAAAGACCATGGCAACCACGAAACATAAAAAGGACCAAAATGCCTTTCCGTAAAACAGCGCCATGCCCGCTCACTCAAATATGAGCCGAAAAAGGTATCATCCTCCCCTATATCTTATACACAAGAACTAGAATTCTTCCGAAATTCTTCATGATCACCTGAACTCATCCATAAACTCCTGGTGGAACTTGGTGATTCTGCCGACCCACTCGGTACCAGGAGCAAGGAAAGTGGTTCTGAAATGCAGAGTTCCCTCCTTCTGTCCAAATCCACTGCCTGCGACAACACAAACACCAGTTGCGTCGAGCAGTCTAAGACAGTAGTATTCATCTGCGCTTCTACCCTCTTGCTTGGCCTTTTCGATGGCCTTGGGAGGAAGAGTGATGGTAGGGAAGAGGTACATGGAGCCAGTGGGTGACTGGCATGAGACTCCCTCCATCTCGCTGAAGGCTTCGTAGAGGGCGGTGGCGCGCTTCTGAAGGCCGTCGAAAATACCACGTTCCTCAGCATGGTAGGTATCGTACGACGGGTCTCCTTCAACAGGTGGCTCGACCATAAGGGATACTAGACATTGACCGATGACTGGAGGGCAGAGCTGAATGCTGACATATTTGTAGATTTGCTCAGTGANCCTGTGATGAGGAATTAGTTGGTGGAACAATCAGTATATGTATGTTGCAGAACTTACCTTCTCATCAAAGCCGACAAGCTCAAAGTAACCACCACGGTGGCCGCACTCACCAACCATACCCTTACTGATGCTGTGCAAGCTGACAAGCTCGAGAGTGTCAAACTTGCCATCCTTGTTCTCCTCGCTTTGCTGAAGCTCCCTAAGACATTGCTTGAAGCTGGTGAACTTGCCAACAAAAACATTGGTCTGGTACACCTCATCGGCCATGACGACCAACTTCTCCTCAGCAGCGAACTTCAAGACTGACTTGATGTCTTCGACAGAGAGAGACGCGCCAGTAGGGTTACCGGGGTTGATGATGACAATGCTGCGGACGCTTGTACCCTCTGCCTTTGCCTTTGCGTAGGATGCACGGATGGCTTCAAGGTTTGTGCCCCAAGCCTTCTCTTCCTCGAGTTCGTAAGGCACACACTTTGCGTTCAGAAGAGCGAGGGTTGCGGTGTAAAGAGGGTATTGCGGAATGGGAACGAGGATACCGGAGTTTGCATCGGCACACATGACATTCATCAAGGTGCTAACACCACCTGAAGCACCGGCGGACAGGAAGATGTTCTCAGGATCGGCAGGGAAGCCGTCTCTCTTCTCAATGAAGTTAGCGACACTGCGGCGAATGCCAGAGGCACCCTTGGAGGCCGAGTATGCTCCCACGCTCTTGACATCGTCCAGCAGTGTCTTTGCGCGGTCAATGGCGTCTTGCTTGTAGCCAAGAGTATTGGTGAGGACATCGGTGTGTTCGAGAAGGAGAGGGTTCTCCATCAATGACAAGACCTGGCGGAAGAAGGTGATGGGCTTCTGGTCGAGTTGCTGGGGGTTGCCAATGTTGGCCGAGATGACCGTGTCGAAGGGCANGGAAGTGTCCTTGTTTCTCAGCTGCTCGCGGTACTTCTCGCTCTTGACGGCGAGCTCGCCACGCACGGCGTATTCGGCTTCGACGACATTCTGGTTGATGTTCTCGATGGTGAGGCGTCTCTGGCGGGGTGTGGTCGAAAAGGAGCGGCTTGACTGGCCCTGGAGCCATGCTGGGATGGGTAGCGAAGACATGAGACCTTGTGTTGCCATGGCTGCGGATCCTGATGCTGGAGAGACTACCGAGCGTGGGGATGAGTATGGGGATAGGGCAGGATATGTAGATAGGCGCTGCGGCACAGAGTGAACCCCTCCAAACCTTGTGGTCGCTCTACCGACGACAATCCTGTATGACGACATGGCTGTGGTCCGTCACACGATCCAAGAAGAGTGAAGAACGATTGGGGAGCGGCCAAGTGAGGGAACCTGGTGACTCGGAAGGCCTCAATCGAGTGAAGGAGGAGGCTCTACAATCAGCCTAAAAACAAACCAGAGATAAGAAAACCCGACAACCAAACATGAGTCAATCGTCTTCCGCGACTGCTCCGAAGCGCGGTTCGAGCTCGGGGAACAGCGCCCTACGCCGGCCCGTGACCTGCCGATCTCTGTGCCGTGCGGGGTACTCCCGACCCCTATCTTATCACCGCATCTCATCCTGACCAGCACTTCACAGACCACACGCATGTACTAGCAGGGTCGACTCTATGGATACGCATAGCGACTTATGCCAAAAGATCAGCAGCCTGTTGAAATGCATCGCCGTGCTCTAATCAGCATGCCGATCAAGATTGCCAGCTTTGAGCATCGTTCGAATAGGTAGGTGTCTTTAACCATGGTCGAATATACCCTTTATATCGCGATAGCCAACTTCAATGGCTGTCATCGTCTAAAGTCGACAGAACATTGCATCAAGGCTCAGGTAGGTATGTATCTCTCTCAATGGATCAAAGCATCCCCAAGCAGAGATCACGCTCTGGACTTCTCATCACCATTGACAGAATCACTCTTCGTTGGCCACACTTGAACCAAACCCACCAACAATGACATGTCCGGATCCGGCGATGCTGACCTGCATCATCATTGTGCTGATCATCGCCATGAATGCATTTACCCCGGCAGCGCTGTTCTTTGTGCATCTCAAATCCATAAAAATCAAGGAGCGTAGGAGGATTTTAGTCAAACTCCTTCGCTACCCAAAAGACTAACAGCCTATCGAATTTACAACAGCATGGACGGACCTTTTGGAGAAGCCCTCGGCAGGTGAACGTTCTGGGTCATGGATCGTATATGGCCGGGTAGAGACTTGCCATTCGAAGTTCGCGTAATGATTATGGGTCATTGGCTCCGCCACAATCAGCCACCCTGGGACATCGGCGCCGAGATGAGTATCCCGGGTTGGATCACGCCGGACCTCGAAGAAGTTTGGTTCCAAAACACCAAATTCATCTTGCCGGCTTCCAAGCTCCGCAGACCAGACTTCTACCAACACGACGTTGGTGCTAGACTCGAGGCGAATACTGTCAACTTTCTCGCGAGACTCTATGGACGCCGAAACGCTCCGCAACCAGTGACAGTAGAGGTGCTTGTCGATACACATGAAGATCTCAGAAGGGCTCAAAAGTCTATTCATAGGCTACTCCTGGTCAGCTACTATCTCGGAGACCGTAGCGATCTGCTCAACATCAAGATCCTGGTGGACACATACACAAACATGGGTTTCATCGAAGCAAATGAGGAAATTGCTAAGCCCCTAATGACAAGACTACAGCAAGACTGCACGAATATGCGGAAATTCAGGGATGGAAGCATGACAACGGCGCAAGTGCTCAATTATGTTGGAGTATCGCCCCTTACAACGCCGGATGTGATTCCTCGACCGCCCGAGGTCAAGGTAGCAGGGTTCATGTGTTGTGCGGCCACCTATGTGGGCATTTATGCGCATGGAACGACGAATTCGAAGACAATGCTCATGAAGAAATGTAAACAGCTTATCAAGGATGTGTGGCAGAGGGAAGAGGAAGGGGAAGGAGTGCATAAAGTCTACAGCACTTTACTCGATCCTTAGAAGCAAGTAAAGGCTGGTGGAGATGGAGTAGCACATATAGCCATCTGGGCACGGCTTTCGTAGAGACAGTGTATGGAGCGTTTGAAATTCAATACGAATCCGAGCACATATCTCTACAAGATAGACAAAGCTCGTGTGGTTGCTTTGTGGTATAGACGTATCGTGTGCTTGGCTTGGCGTTGTGACGCAACAGAAGCTTCCCGAACTCGGCCTCCAGAGTCGAATGATTTTCTTGACTTTTGTTCCTACTTGTTCGCCCTTCTTACCACCCTGTTATACAAAAACTTGTTGTGTTTCGCTCTACCTGTGCTCGTTACCACCTTACTATACACTCGCATAGAGGTCGGTTTTCTTGAAATTCATTTTGTTTCGCGCTTCCTACACGTTACCACCCTTTACACAAACACCGACTCGACATCATGGCCAAAGGGGAAAATTCAAAGAAGGCTGCCGGCAATGCTAAAAGGCTGAGGTTGCCGCCCAAAAACAAGCTGTCGAGAACCAGAAGAAGAGCCAGAAGGAAGCTGAAGAGTGGAACAAGGGCGCAAAGGACAGCTCTAAGGCGTGAGTTTACACTATTGAACTTCACTATCTGGCCAAACATACTGACTCCTCTTCCTACAGTGCTGCCGCCGCCGACAAGAAAGCCGAAGCCGAGCGCAAGAAGGCTGAAAAAGCAGCCCTCCTCGCTGAAGAAGACGCTTCCCTTCCTGCCAAAAAGACCGGCAATGCCAAAACCGCCCAAAAGAAATCCCGCGGTCTGGATCTGTCTGGCCTCGACGGTCCCTCCTCGCTCTCATCACTCTCGGCAACCGGTATCGACAATGCCCTCGACGCTTTGTCTCTGACCGCTGGCTCCTCGGACAAGGTCGACCGTCACCCTGAGCGCCGCTTCAAGGCCGCCTACACCCAATACGAAGAACGCCGCTTGGAAGAGATGAAGGATGAGAAGGGTCTGCGCCGCCAGCAAAAGATTGAGCAGATCCGCAAGGAGTTTGAAAAGCATCCCGACAACCCATTCAACCAGGCCAACGCTTCCTACAACAGCACGAGGGAGGACTTGCAGAACATTCGTGAGGGAGAAAATGCCAAGATTGAAAAGAGATTGGGTGGTCCTTGAGTGGAGTGCGAGAGAGACTGAGGAACATAAGCAGAGGTCTGGCCGTTTTCGACTGCGACTACGAAGAACATTTTTTACGATACCCTATGCATAACTTTAGAACAATGAGGAAGAGACGCTGGCGCTGAGATAGGCGCTTGTTGCATGACCATCAACACTTCGAGCACGTCCGACACGAAATGCTTTGTGAATAAACGATAGGGAGCACTACCCGACTCTGACATTGGGAATTTCCTCACATTTCATGACATGCCTCAGTGAGACTGCTGCTCAAACATCGAGCAAATCTGTTGATCTCTCTGACCACTGCTGGCCGTCTGGCCACGAGAGTAGCATAAAGCAATACGTGTGTCCGCAAAGAAATTGTTTCAACAATATCCGATATGGTCTAGTGGCTAGGATTTCTCGCTCTCAAACCGTTCGAAAGGACAACTAGGTCCGAGGAGGCCGGGGTTCAATTCCCCGTGTCGGAATCTTCTTTTGCATTTTTGACGTTGTCCATCAATCGCTTCTAAGAGTACAGCAAGTGATGAGATTGGAAGGGCGGTCAAGTGTTTTGTTTGGGCGATCATTGTCATGGTTGAGAGCCAGGGCATATTTCAGGTCGCCAAGACTTCACAGCTTCTCATTGGAATCCACGCCTCCAGCTTGCAGTTCTCGCACATATGCCCACAAGCATACCTTGCGGCGTGCCGAACGGATGGCGATCCCCGAACTCATCCAGTGTGAGACCTCTGCCCGCATTGCGGTCTCCGGTAGGGCAGTAATAGGTTACGCGATGCGCAAGTCTTTGTGATGCGATTGTGACCACCATCGTCGCGATATGGCTACAGAATTCACCGAAGTCAAGCCTTTCTCAACAAAGTCTTGTTCTTCAGGTTTCTTCAATTGCCATCACCAAATCACCCTTGCATATAGACTAATAACAATTGTTGGCGCTTGCTGGTGTTATACACTGCTAGAACAAAAGTTCTTTGCGTTGACAATAGGCAATCCTGGGAGCGAACATGTCGAATCAAGGCTCTGCCGATCAAGGACAAGACTCGAATCAAGTCATATTGGGAGTAGTGTCAACAAACCAAAGCAGAGGTTCAAGGAGAAGCGTTGATGCCCGTCGAACAAGCACGAGTTCACACGGCCGTGCTTCGATAGCATCTGGTCTGCGACACAGGAAATCCACCAGACGTCTCACACAACAACGCAACCAAACCCAACCTTACACCACTGGCAGAGATCAGAATGGTAGACGACTGTTCACCCTGGCGGGTTCTGATTCCCATGATGGCGAACAAAGTGGCCGCTCACAAAACCAACACCGACCGTANCGACCCATATGGGGACTGGCAGATCCCATGCCTCGTGTTGTGCGGCGTGGTATGAAACCGATGCAGACCGACAGACCAAGGCCAGGCGATGTGAATGAAGATGTGCTACAACCTACTGATTCACAGATGGAGCAAGGCATTGGTCCGAGATTGGATCTGAATAAGATTCATAAGAACATCCATGACGCGACGAAAGATAGAGAACGCAAGTATGCTGAGAAACATGGCAAGAAATTCGAGCCACCTTCGGAGATGGGCCAGGAGTCTCATACCCAGCCGATCAGAGTTCTGCAGCAGCCTGGACCTCCACAAGAGGTAGATGAGGATATCGGATCAAGACCATTGCCTGGCCAACTCGAATCAGAACGACACCATCAGGATTCTAACGAAGTCGACGACAAAACAGAGAATGGAGAGACAACTGACGAAGATGTGGACGCCACGCACGGTCAAGGAGAAGATGACCACGTGTCATTGAACAAGACTCATGAAGAGTTACATAACCATCACACGTTATGGGCAGTTATCCGGACCAAGCTATGCGAACCTCTTGCAGAAAATCTTGCCGTAAGCTCAACAGATTAACTNCAACTCGTCTCACATTCTGATCTGCTCCAGGTGCTCGTCCTGATGACGATTGGTATCTGTGCCAACATTGCACACAATATTGCCAACAAAGGCTCCAATGATTCTATGGCGTGGTCATGGGGATTTGGTACGATGACTGGCATCTACATCAGTGGAGGTGTGTCTGGAGGACATCTNAATCCGGCAATCACCATCATGCTCTACGTCTTCCGTGGCTTCCCGAAGAAAAGAATTCCTGTGTACATCGTCGCACAGTTGCTTGGAGCATACATTGGCTCACTCGTTGCTTATGGTATCTATCGGAACTGCATACTCAATCACATGGAGTCCAACCCGGAGCAAATAACACAGGTCTATAACTCATTTGTCACAAACCGCGTGGAAGGCGTAGCCGATGCTGCCTCAGGCTTTCTGACTGAGTTTGTTGCTGCAGCATTTATCGGTGTTGTTGTATTGGCTCTGGGTGACGACAGTAATGCACCACCTGGAGCAGGGACGAATGCGTTCATCTTCGGTCTGGTCAATAGCATCATGGTCATGGCNTTTTCTGCCAGTACTGGTGCTGCGCTCAACCCTGCTCGCGACATGGGGTCTCGCTTGGCCTTGATCACGGTTGGCTTCAATAGACATGACTTGTTTGGAGACGGCTGGTGGGTTTACGGAGCGTGGCGTGCCTCAATCAGCGGAGTAATTGTCGGCGCGATCCTTTACGATACTGCAATCTTCGTAGGAGGAGAGAGCCCAATCAACTACCCCAAAGATAGTGTTAAACGAGCTGGGAGTAAGGCCAAAGCAAGGTGGAGGCATAGGTTCAAGCGCAGGGAGAGATAGCGGCTTTCTCATACACTATTGAACATGAGTCTCAGAGCCTCCGAGAATCACGTCTAGGCGAAGAGTATCTCGGGATGAAGCGGATTCCTGGTGCAGTCAAAAACACTTTTCTCCGAGCTCGTCTCGATGATCGATGCTGACAAGCGCTTCAATCAGCAAATGGTTCTTCGCGTGTCAGTTCAGCTATCGTGGCGGCCTTGGTTGACCGTACATTGAGGCCTCATCAACTCCTTGTTTCTGCATGCTACTATCCCGCTGTCTCACCAACAAGACGCGCTTTTAACAACTCTAACTATATCGCTATAGAGCACTGACTCGATGGAGTTCATCCGTTGCACTGTGGCTTGAAGATTGCCTGTAACGGTCTAGCAACCGTCCGAAAACGTCGTCAAACTTTAGCATTCGATCTGCCAAGACATGGGTTGGCGACCACGCTTTTCAGGAGAGGTGAGACCTTCTCGAAGACTCAATCGAAATATCAGAAACAGTTGTCTCGCGACGATGAGATTCAACCTCAGACAAGGCAACGTCTGTTATACAGGAGCTGTGTTCGGTGCAAGCCGAAACAGTTGAACTTCAGCTCGTAAGCCATTGCACAAGGAAAGCGCCTGAGATATGGACATATCGAACTCGAATTACTGCGACTACAAACAATTTTTGGAACAGTCTTTTACGTCGAACTCTGTTCTTATTCAATTGGATTTAGACGACGCCTCGTGACTGCCACAGTCTATTGCGCAAACAAGCTAAGGTTCCTTCCTCAGCCTCATACGTCGTATTCAAGGTACGGCCATCGTGACACAGAGCCAGATTCACACATCACATGCTGGTAACCATGGCTCATCGTGTTCATGGCATTCAGGAACCACACGGGGCGGGCGGTAGTAAGTATGCTTGTTGAAGTGCACAATACTTAATCGTGACGACTTGAGTCGAGAGGAGAGGATACAAAAGCCGATATGATCCCCCATCAATAAATGAGAAACATAACAGAGACCTTGAGAATATTGAAAACTTTGGTCTCAATATGCGTTCGACCTTCTTTATTCCCGCCCTTGTGGCAGTCGTTGCCGCCCTGCCCGCCCCTGCTCCTCAGGAGATTGACCTTGATCTGTTTGTCAACATTCCTACGCCGACTGTCATTCAAGCAATTGGAACACCTGATAAGATCGTCACCTACGATACAAAGGCCATTCTTGCCTCGGCTACCAAGGTTTCCTCAATCTCTGTCGCTGTCACAGATGCTGCCTCCTCAACTCCGAGTGTAGTGAAGCGTGCAGCTTGCGGACCTGAACCTTCTGGCTATGGACCTGTTACTACCAACCCCAAAGACGACGCTGCTTCGTTTCTAGCCAACCCTGTTTACGTAAACGCTGCCAATGCTGCTGCTGTTCCCGCTGGATATGCTCAAACGTTCAAGAATTTGAATGCTTCTAGCAGTGCTTATGGCTACCTGGGCTTTACCAACCTCCAATCGTACAGCCCTCAGACCTGCGCCACTAAGTGTGGGTGACTGGTCAAGAACTCTCCTCTTTCTTGGATCCCTCGCGCTGACATACTACTCTTATGAACAGGCAATGCCATCAAAGGCTGCATGGGAATTAACATTTATTTCGAACGCGATCCTAAGGTCACCCCTGACAAGACCGCCTGCCCAAATCCTGCCTCGCTGACCCAGATCAAGTGAGTCTACCATCACAGCTTATTTTAGAGCTTACCGCTAACCAAAAAAGGNTGTGTGTACTGGGGTGGTCCTGTCACGGCTGCAAACACCAAAAACTACGGCAGAAGCTGGGTATCGTTCTCAATCGTAGTGGCTGGTTCCAACGGTTATGTAAACCAAAACATTGCCGCACCCTCTGGCTACTCAGACGCCAACTACCTGGGAAACGTAGCTATCAATGCACCCTACGACACCCTGGGCTACAACACATACATGGGCGCCAAGGTCTTCGCTGCAGGTCCTTTCAACGCAACTCTCTGCGCCGAAGCTTGTAACGCACAGAACGCGTACAACCTTGCCAATCCACCTATTGATGGTAGTCCTGTCCAGACCTGCCAGTTCTTCAACACTTACATCTTGTCTTTAAATGGCAAGACGGCAATGGGCCAATACTGTGCGATGTACAGTGCCACTTGGGCAAACAAGTATGCTACCAACGCTGGGCAGTGGCAGGGTAACGATCACTACACAGTTGGCTTTTCATACTCATTCTCAAACCTCATAAATGCAGGCACCACCAACGTAGCTGCCGCTGTCGCTCAAGCCAAGGGAGAGATCTCCGTATCTTCTCTGCAGAGCTACTGCAGCACTTTCTTGGGTTATAATGACCTCAATGCCTATGTCACTGCGACATCCACAAAGACTCCTATCTCGACTGTTACTTCCACCTCGACGCTGAAGATTAAGGCTTCTTCTTCTTCGTCTTCGTCTTCTTCGAGCGCAACTTCGTTGTCTAAGCGCGCTGTGGCTTCTTCTTCTCTGTCTACACCTACTGCACTGACTAAGTACCCTGGTAGTATCATCTCCAGCGCTTGTTCGGCTTTGGTGACTAGTGTGCCCAAGACTGCCACTGTCACTTTGAGCACTTCTACAGTCACTGGCGCTACCAGCAGGTCTACGGTTGTCAAGACCGTCACCACTACTACTCGCTGAAGCGGATTACGACGATTTCGGAGAATGATTTCAGGGTTTCATCGGAGGGATGAATAGGATGAAGGAAGGATATGGATATGCACGGATTTAACATAGATTTATTCAGGGGCTTTTCGTAATGTGAATAGACTACAATTCTTTTTGGTCTCGATTTATGCATTCGTTCTTATGCCTCTCAGTGTTTGTGCCACTGTGCTCGTACGATAATCTATACGGATCTAACTCGCGTTGTTCACAAAGTGCAAGGGGAGGATAAAGAAGGATACATAAAAACCAATAACTTTTACTAGGGGTATCTTACACATAGCTCTTGTCATCTCGTGAACCTTTCAAGCACCTTTGTTATCCCTCTCAACCTCACTCTGTCCAATAATATGCTCCGCGCTCTCCTGCTGCACACCCATCTGACTAACATCATACCCATTCTCGGCGAGATAGGCCCTAAACTTCATGTCTTCCTCATCAATAGTATCCTGCCCAATATGGGGCAGAAGGAAGAANNAAGCAATGAAAGCACTCAAGATACACAACGCGCTGGATACAAAGAACGGGTATTGACCCGCTTTGACCATGTCGGTATCTGCGTAGTGGTTGTAGAGAATGGCGAGCACTTGATCGCCCACAAACGCGCCGATCTTGCCAATGGCGGCGGCAATGCCGTAGTATTGGCCTCGGACGGCGGTGGCGCAGGATTTGGAGGCAATGAGACCGATGTTGTCGCCGGGTCCGAATCTGAACGCTAGTTAGTTTACTGAAACTTGATACGAGAACTTTGGAAGAACTTGCTCTCCGAGCGCGAGGAAGACACCGTAGACGATCACGAAGCCAGCGACGTTGGAAGGGTGGGCGAGATAACTGTACACGCCAGCCATGATGAATCCGACGATTCCTTGGGCAAGCACGCCAATGCCGAGAGTAAGCTTGGGACCCAGCCAGTCACTGACAAAGGAACCGCCGATACAGCCAGGAAGGTAAAAGAGATAGATCAATGTGGTCCAGCCAAACGATTTCCAGAGTGGAGCATTGTCGCCCAGTAGGTTTGTCACGATAGTTGAGCTGAACAGCGAGAAAGAGTAGCCCGAGAAGTCGTAGATGAACCAGATTAAGGAAACAATGGTCAGTCGCCACCAGTAGAACTTGATGACCAAGAGCCAGGNGGTCTTTGCTTNTGCCATTGTTTCGCGACGGTAAGCTTCAGGCTCCTTGAGTTTGAGACGGAGGTATAAAAGCGAGAGAGGAGGAATCACTCCAAGACCTAGACAGATACGCCAGGCGGCACGGAGATGGTTCTCTCCTGTGCAGAGAACNNCTGTAGTACAAAGCTTTAGCAACGATGTAAAGAGGACAGTAGAAGGTCAAAAACACACCACAATCATTGGCACCAGTGCAGAAACCACAAATCCGATATCGATTTGCACGTTAGTGAACAGAATGAACCATCTGTTTCTGGTTCCACTCTTGAGTTCTCCAGTGCTCTCGGCACAGCCCACACTGCCTGCTGGGTACTCACCACCGATACCAATACCCAGCAAGAAACGCCATGCGGTCAAGGCAGCAAAGAGACTAGAGCTACTGCCGCCAGCTCCATAGCTACCTGCACTGAGTGCGGCAAAGAGAATCAGGATGACAGTACTGGCGAACAAACTCCACTTGCGGCTATAGTGGTCGGAGGTGTAGCCGAATATTAACATCTAAAACATATGTCAGAGCGCGGTCTTGTACCGAAAAGGTCCAAGGTTACTTACACCAACCACGGTTCCAGCAAAGGTGATGGACGAGACGTTGCGTTGGGCGGGCGAGGTAGCATAGGTAGTAGGATAGATTTTTCCAAGCATGGTCGACACAAAACCGATCACACCATTCAAATATCCATCACTGAAGAGACCAGCACCGCAAGCGATGACTGGCCAAAGACGTTCCCATCTAGACTTTTCGGTTTCATCGTAGCTGGTTGTAGGATGTCCTTCGTGGGAGGTCGATGGGTGCTCTTGGATAGGCGCAATCTCTGGGCTAGCACCACTAGAGTGTTTCTCGGTGCTTGTTGGCCGATCCATGGTTTCGGTCCGACCAAATCCGATGTTCGAGGTCGCAATGGGCTGTCGTTATGTCGCTTTGGGTAACTACCAGATTCTAGACTGTGTGAGTGAGTCCAGTTTGTGTCAACAAGGCCGAGAACAGAACACTGAGCAATGATTGGAAACCGCAGTAAAACCACAGGTAGTTAGAATAGATGCAGGAGATAAGTGATATGTGTGATTCTCTGAGCGACAAAGGCGGGAGATGATGCAAGGAAAGAGGGAAGCTCGCTCTCGAGGGACACGCGACCAGTTTTATCGTTTGAGATCCTGCGATCTGCAGTCGAAGGCGATCTTGCCTGTACGGTGTCGTAAAACCACCTCCGAACCAATTGGAATGTTTCTTGAAGGAATGCTTATCCTGCCACTGGGAGCTTAAGATGTGTGTCCGGCTGCCGGCACACACGGCGGGCGTTCTTGGTATCGGAGCCCTCACATCCCGAAGCACCTAGAGGCAAACAGTCAAGTCCAGCCAGCACTCTAGAAAGACATATCTGCGTACTTCAATCGCGATTTATAAAGCGATGGTTTCTCAAAGATACTCTGTTTGATCACAAAGAGTAAATTTGGAGGTTCAAGTTATCTATTGCAATGCCTTGAGTATTATACTGGGGGTCCAGCTACCACCATGCTCTCAGCGGCGCCTTCCGCCGACCCCCATCACTCCCGCCTCCAAACCCTGAAAGCTTGTACTCTGTCTCATTCCCTTCGTCATGAACTCACGCGAGCATCCGAGTATCCATATCAACTGCGAACAAGAGCACAGAAAACGACAACGTGCTGAACTTCCAGTAAAACTTTTCAACCACCGATGTCCCCACCTCAGGATATGTACTTTAGTACGTGGGCTTACTTACGCGTCAATGTTGAGGTATTGTAGAAAAAGCATCATCTAGCATCCTCCCGCGGTAATACGAGATGTTTTTGAGCACGGGTATTGAGCTGTCAGCGCATGTTGAACGTTCAAAACTCAAGCTGTAGGTAGTGAGAGCACATCGAACAGCCGGATTGCAGAAACTAGGCACTTCATCTTTGCTCAATGTGTTGTGCATTTCGACACCCTGCTTGGTAGTTACAGCACGGCAGCGATACTTATGCCAGTCACACGAGATCCTAACAATGGGAAAGGACCCTTCGACTGATATTGCAGACCAAATATCGAGTCCTACTCCGCTCACTTGCTAGACGTTTGCCAATCGATGCAATTTCCGTGTTCATGTGAATTGACGAAAGATATTTCTCGTACATATAACAACAGTATAGTGTGATCGTTCGTTCGAACATGGCAGTTTCACCAGTATCCATCCATCTCATCTTTTGTCTTAGGCCGGGCAAAGCTATCTCCAACCTTGTTGGGGTTTGGGCCAGCACTTAAGTTGAGCGTACATCCCTGGGGTATATTTCCTCGTCGGCCCAAGTGTCCATGCCACGGCCATGTTTGGGCGCACGTTCTGAAACCAGTTCCAGTAGCTCAGTCGTAGTAGGCCTTGATTCCGGTTCGAAGCGCTGGCAACGCCAAACAAGATCAATGGGATCGTCGCTGTACTTGAAGTCGGGAAATCCTTTGATGTCGATCGGATCTTTGTCCTTGATAGGACAGTCCTCAATACATATCTCATCCTGGCCTTCTCTTACGACAGTTCTTAGATACATCATGGACTCGATAGTTCGACCGGCTTGCCAGACATTGGTCCAAGAGTGCAGAGGTTTCTCAATCGCTTGATTATTCGTTTTGAATACTATGTCGCGTTTGACCATCTCCGGAGCAAAGAAACCAACCGTGGCTCCGTGAGAATAAGGCTTTTCATGTTGCCTGTTTTGCCGTGGATCTTCCTTGTAGAGGATGTGGGCTGCGCCAAAGTCGGACATTAAAGGTTTAGGGTAGACTGGATAGTTGTCTCTTCGTGTGACGTCCGGCAGCATGTTGGGTGGCTTCATGTCGACAAACGTGATGACTTCAACTTGTTCTTGACGTGCGTTGGGTCTTGTCAGTACGACTCTCTCCGACTGCACTAGAGCTTCGGCGATACAGGTGAAGACCAACCAGTTAAAGGGCTCGGGGATCGGCTCGGGGATCGGGTTCTTTGTATCATCCTCACTCACGGCATGGGATGCGAGGATTCCGTGAAGGTCTCCTGCATGGAACAAGTCCATATAAAAGCGCCAGTGAGTGTAGAGCTTCTTACTCGTTTCACCGTTATGGATCCTCCATTCATGATTATGACCTTTTCGGATGCCTCGCAGGGGACAGTAGTAGCAGAAACGCGCGAATCAGGATCGGTCATCATGGCCTGCAGGTAAGCCTCTCTGTTGAATCTTTCTTCAACCTTCGCTTTGCCTGGTCTGTCAGGGTTAATCCCGAAGTCCATTTCTTTCTTCACGAGATGTTCGTAAAGACCTCGGTAAGCTTCTGGCTTCTTGTTGTCGCCTGAGACCCAGTCATCTTTGATGACCATACGATCCCCGAACTTTTTGGGTTCCGTCGACATTGACCCATAGTGTACGACACCGTTACCGCCCTTGCCGACAAAGAAGCCACCTCTCCAAGTACATTCATCATCTTTTGGCAGACCACTGGCATCACACTCTCTCCTTTTTGTCCCATGATATTTGTTGTACGAAGGTCGAAGGGAGATGGCAGAAACGAAGTATATGTGTTCAGCACACAAGCGGTGAATGGTTGCGGATGACCTGATGAAAAGGCTTATATCACACTGCCGGCGTATGTTACTCATCGAATCAACTTGCATTGAGATGGCCGGATCCGGACATGGCTCACTTGGCAGAGTTTAAGCAAGAAATGAGTGCAAGGATTCTCCAAGCTTCGAATACAAAGCGAACAGCTCTTTGTCACACCGAGTAAAACGAGTCGTCCAGCGCGAACTTAGGCTAAAACATGACACCAGAGGTACTGACCGCTAAGAGGAAGCAACATGCTGGGAGACTTAAAAAGAAAGGAGAAAAGCGGATGGCGCTCTCGACGGCCGCAATGTTGAATGCAGCTGACGAGAAAGTGCCGATGTGCTGACGAGCGGTATTCTCAACAGAGGCGGAATTGGTGTGTCAGCTCACGGCGACAAGGTACTCATACAGTCCTTGATATAAAAAACAATTCTGTGTGATGAGGTTGGTAGTTCAGTGTTTTGGAAGGGACCATCTCAATGTCTTGGCATCCGAATGCTCCATCGTCATCTTTCAACAAGCACATCTTCACCAAACAAATAACTTTCCTCACCCTGCAACAAACTGATCAGGCTTATCACAATGCCGCCGCCTCCACCTCCCAAGAAACCGACCGAGCCTCAGGGCAAAAGCGAACGCAACGAATACATTCCCTCTTTCATCTCCAAGAAACCCTTCTACATCGACGACGCAACCGCCTCGCAAGAAGATTACCTCGAGCATCAGCGTCTCCAAGCCCAGAAAGATGAATCTCTCGCAACTCAGAAATGGTACACCAGAGGTCAGCGCGCCGGCGCTGCTACAGCTACAAAATACCGCAAAGGTGCTTGCGAAAACTGTGGCGCCATGGGACACCAAAAGAAGGATTGCTTGTACAGACAACGGAAAGTAGGCGCGAAGTTTACGGGCAGAGACATCAAGGCAGACGAGAGTGGTCAAGACATCAACATGGGCTGGGAGGCCAAGAGGGATCGATGGAGTGGCTACGATGCGCGCGCATACCAAGAAGTCGTCGACGAATACAACGACCTCCAAGCCATCAAAGACGCCAAACGCAAAGCTTCTGGAATCCCCGAAGAGGGAGATGAGGACGACGAAGCAGCAAACCAAGAAGACGGAGACAAGTACGAGGAAGAAACAGACATGGGCCGCAAACAACCAAACTCTTCCCGAAACCTGCGTCTCCGAGAAGACACGGCAGGCTACCTCAANAACCTCGACCTCGAATCCGCAAAATATGACCCGAAAACTCGCACCTTGATTGACGATGCAGAAGGTGAATTCCAACGTGCTTCGGGCGACGCTGCCGAGTTCGCGCGTGCACAACGCTACGCCTGGGAAACTGCAGAAAACAACGGCAGCAACAATGTCCATCTCCAAGCCAACCCTACAGCAGGCGAGCACTACCGCAANAAAGAAGCAGAAGAGGCCGCCGCAAAGAAAGAAGCTACAAGGAAAGCTCTGCTGGAAAAATACGGTGGACAAGAGCACCTAGCCGCCGATCCCCTCAAACGCATCGCAATTACCGAAAACGAAGTCTACGTCGAGTACGACGAGAGAGGCAGAATCAAGGGCTTGCCAGAGAAAAAGGAAAAATCCATGTATGCAGAGGACGTGCTACTCAACAACCATACCTCAGTATTCGGCTCATGGTGGAAGAACTTTACCTGGGGCTACGCATGCTGTCACTCCACAATGAAAAACAGCTATTGCGTTGGCGAGGCAGGCAAAACCGCTTCCTCAAATGCCGACAAACTGGCCACTGGCGCTCTGCTCGAGGACCCAGCAGCTCTGGAATCCAATGCTGCAACAGAAGTTCCCAAGTCCATCGCTTGGAGGGAAGAAGAGCGGAATGAGGAACATGTGCCCAATGCACCGGACAGACCTGAAAAGGCGCGTATGGATGAGCAACACAGCAACAAAGCACCAGAAGACAGAAAAAGAAAACTCGACGAGATACGCGATGGCGTGACAGAAGAAGAACTGGACGAGTACAGAAAGAAGAGAAGTGCTGGCAACGATCCTATGGCTGGATTGCTGGGTAGAGATGAACTGGTCGAGTGAATGTCATGATCGAAAAATCCGAAACCATCAAGGAAAGGGGCCACGACTCGAGATCTCGATCTAGACGATCAGAAAGGATGCCAGGAATCTGGTAGAGACAATGTTGCTCTGGAAAGTCTGCGTCCGCACGCATCCGATCATCCTATCACTCTTTCTCTACATCCGGGTTCCAAGTTCTGATTCACGGCTGCTCTAATCTCTTGCATCCCAAACTAGGGAGAAGACGAGGAGCGTACGCCAGTGGCTGGTCACCTAGTGCATCGAATCTCTGTTGGACAGAAGAAGCTCGGCAGACCACATTCAATAGCCACCGGAGACCGCTCGGTTGCTGTTTACTACCATTGCGAACTAGTATTATGCACGGTCACATGGACTGAAGAGCATGGCGTTGTCGTTACTGGCAGCACGAGGGCCACGCAACCAAGCAAGCATGCAAATCATTGCAGCAAAGCTACAACAATGTCGAAACCGCATAAACACATATTCGCTTCGAGCATTAGGCGTGATGTTTTCGGATATTGTGTATGGTTTATTGCCAAAGCTTGATTGATATATAAGAAGCAAAGCAGGCAGGATAAATAAAATGCATCTGTTGGGCTAAAATACGGTGTCAGAAAAAGGCAACTTTCTCTCGAAAGAGCGAGAAGTAATGTTGTTGCAAGCGTGAATTTTGCACCACCCCAAACCGCCGTGAAGCCAGTCCCAAGCATATCAGCACCCAGCAATTCCAGTGAAACCCTTCCATTCCATCTCGTTCCCTCAGAGATCCCGTGATAAAACGCCAGAAAGCAACATTGTGAATCGTGTCTAGTCGATGTCCATGGCGGCAGAAGCCTGAGGAACGACGGAAGGAATGGCAAAGGTTGGGCTTGGTGAGCCCTTGTCTGAAGAGTCGTCGGCGACAGGTTCGTCACTGGCGAACATGGACTCAGTCGCCGAGTTAATGATTGTTTGCGGAGACATCAACTTCGAGACCAGCTCGTTGGGATTCTTCGTGACAAGAACAGCTTGCTTAAGATCGTTGCTCCAAAGTAGAAATACCTTCTGACCAGAGACTTTGTTGGTTGCAACACCGAGGTAACCAGGGATGGAAGAGTTCTCGAACCACAGCTCGATATTGGTAAGACCAGGATAATGCCTGCGAACCCATCTTGTGTAGGCTTTTGCCGAGATCTGAAGGGCTTCACTAGCGTCGAGACGCATCCACGAGATACCGAGAAGGCGCGTGACCTCGTCAATAAGAGGCTCGACTGATGCAGTACGACGGTGAGCAGAGGCCTCGATGGTCAGAGCAATGTCGTTTGATTCAGGGCCAGAGGGAGCGAGACGTTGGGATTTGCGACTGGGCATGGTGGGTCTGGATGCTTGGGTGGCTACAGGACGGATGAGGGGTGTTTCAACCCACGTGTTTTCGACCCAGGTGCCAGTAGAAGATTGACCGTGAGGCTTGTTAAGCAAGGTCATTCCAGGACCATAGACGGGCTCTTCATGATTGATTGGTGAGTTGGAAAGAGGAGCAGCCAGGGTGACCTCTTCGTCGTCGTCATCGTCGCGTGAGCGTTTGCGCCCAGCAGCAGAGGATAGCGATTGTGTGGGTGGGGTGGTCGGCTTGAAGAAGGTCTTGTTGCCCATGGTAGTAGGTGGTTGGTGTAATTGCGAATGAGGGAAGTATTGCGCCGAGGGAGCAGGAAGGACGACGGTAGGCGACGAAGCGTAGAAGGAGGACATTTTGGGGAGTAGGTAGTAAAGACTGTTTGCTAGATCAGAATGCTACAAAGGCTGAGCAGTCAATGATTTAATCAAGTAGTGGTGTCGAATGAATTGGTGAAGCTTGTCGCGTCGCGAAGCCGGGAAGACGCGACGGCGATGATAAGATGGAGAAAGTGGAAGATTGATTAAATGACGTCGAGTCGATGAGGTGAAGTGGTGAATGGTCGTGTGAAATGAGATGCAGTGAGGGATGGGTAGTTAGAGCAAAGTGTCAGAAAGAGAAAAGGGGAGAAGTGAGAATGGGCCGAAGGAGGGAAGGGACGTCCTCTTGAGGAGCGAGAAAGAGCTTGTCTGTGGTTTCCTTTCCGAGAAGCCTTGCGACTGGACCCTTGATCAGCTTTCTAGCCGGGCAACAACGACTTCGACAAAGGTGGAAGCTAGACATGCGCCAAGCAACTGTTCGATTGGACGGTGGAGGGACCCACATTGCCAGATCCGGGTTGAACCATGCTGTCAGAGTGGATGGCCTTGCGCTGGTTTTGGCCTGTCGTCGCCGTGGCCAGAAGTTGTGTCAGGAAAGCATAGTTGTGCAGCTTACACATTCCAAGCTCACAAGTTATGCCTCGCTGCACAAGACACCTCCGAGAGCTTGGCGCTATTTCTCCAGCGGAACTTCTCCAAAAGTTGAGGCGCGCGCAATTGCTGGTCAAGGGCCCAAACAGACCGTCTATCTGCATCTTTCGACGATCCAACCAAACAGTCGACTCTGCACCAAGCCAGAGCTTCTTCGAAAAAGTCTATACCAGAATCCTAGTTGCCAGCTTGGACTATAGTCCAGCAACAAGACAGTCAAGATGCAGGCCCCCGTTGTGGTCATGAGTGAGCTTCTACACACTCTGATATCTGCTATACGTACTAAGCATACAATGCAGACACCAACAGTGGCGAGCGCCAATTCGGTCGCAAAGCCCAACTGTCCAACATTACCGCCGCAAAGACGTACGCTCTCCACCTCACCTCCCCTGCCCGCACCCATCTGACAATTTGCAGCGTCGCAGACATCATCCGATCATGTCTGGGTCCCAAGGCCATGTTGAAGATGCTGCTCGATCCCATGGGCGGCATCGTCCTCACCAACGACGGTCACGCCATCCTGAGAGAAATCGAAGTCGCCCACCCCGCCGCAAAGAGCATGATCGAGCTGGCCAGAACACAAGATGAGGAAGTCGGTGACGGTACCACCTCAGTCATCATCCTCGCTGGTGAAATCCTCGCCCTCTCTCTCCCCCAACTCGAGCGTAACATCCACCCCGTCGTCATCATCCAAGCATTCAAGCGCGCCCTCAGCGATGCCCTCCAAGTCATCCAAGACGTCTCGGTCCCCGTCGACACCTCGGACGACGAGCAAATGTACAAGCTCATCTCTTCGTCAATCGGCACAAAGTTCGTCTCAAGATGGTCCGACATGATGTGCAACCTGGCCTTGACTGCCGTGCGCACCGTTTCGTACAGCGGCGGTGGTGGTAAGCAAGAAGTCGACATCAAGCGTTACGCTCGTGTCGAGAAGATTCCTGGAGGCGAGATCGAGGACAGCAGAGTCTTGAACGGAGTCATGCTCAACAAGGACATCACCCACCCCAAGATGAGGAGGCGCATCGAGAACCCCCGTATCGTTCTGCTCGACTGCACACTCGAGTACAAGAANGGAGAGTCGCAAACAAACATTGAGATCACAAAGGAGGAGGACTGGAACCGCATTCTGCAGATCGAAGAGGAGCAGGTCAAGCAAATGTGCGACGCCATCATCGCCGTCAAGCCCGATCTGGTCATCACCGAGAAGGGTGTTTCCGACCTCGCCCAGCACTTCCTCATGAAGCACAACATTACCGCCCTCCGCCGTGTCCGCAAGACCGACAACAACCGTATCGCTCGTGCTACTGGCGCCACCATCGTCAATACCGTTCAGGACCTCACCGAGTCGGATGTTGGTACCCAGTGCGGTCTCTTCGAGATCGAGAAGATTGGCGACGAATACTTCACTTTCCTCACGAAGTGCCAAAACCCCAAGGCTTGCACAATCCTACTTCGCGGTCCCTCAAAAGACATTCTGAACGAGATCGAGCGCAACCTCCAGGACGCCATGGGTGTCGCCCGCAATGTCGTCTTCCACCCTTACCTCTCTCCTGGCGGTGGTGCCACCGAGATGGCCGTCGCCGTACGATTGTCACAGCTCGCTAAGGGTGTCGAAGGTGTAGCCCAATGGCCATACCGCGCCATTGCCGAAGCCATGGAAGTCATNCCCCGCACTCTTATCCAGAACTCTGGTAACTCGCCCATTCGCGTCTTGACTCAGCTCCGTGCAAAGCACGCCGAGTCGAACGACAACAGCAGCTGGGGTATTGACGGTGATGCTGGTAAGGTCTGTGACATGCACAAGCTTGGTGTCTGGGAGCCTCAGGCCGTCAAGTTGCAGAGTATCAAGACTGCTGTCGAGTCGGCTTGCTTGCTGCTCAGAGTCGATGACATCTGTGGTGCCAAGAAGGCTGCGACATCAGGTGGTCAGATGGGTGGTGGTGATGATTAGATGTCTTGATCTGAAGAACAAAAAGGAGATACCATGTATTAGCATAAAAAGAAATTTTCAGACAACCCAAACCACAAAAGATTGCACATGTCTACAAACTGAAGTTTTCAACTCTGATCTTGTTGCTGAGGAATGATTGTGTCACATTTCGAATATCGTACTCGATGCTCAATGCTGACCATGCCATTATTCCCTTTCCCTCGCTCCTTTCCAATGCTCAGGGCTCGAAATACTTGGGCACCCTCTTGACCAACTCCCCGACCTCCTCATCACTAACAATATACTCAAACCCTTCCTTGTCCACCACTTCCTCGCCATCAACCTCCCACGTCATCCTCCTATACCCATAACAATTCCTCCATCTCCATCCCTTTGCCTTTACCCCATTACCCTTTTTCTCAGCCTCCGCAATACTCAACCCACCAACCACCAATTCCCACGTCACAAACACTGCCGCCGAGCACGAAGAAATTTCCTTGACGGATACACGGATGAGGCGGATATCTGCGCCCACACCAGCAGAGACGAGTTTTTGGAGGTGGGTGAGTGTGCCTTTGGCCGCTTCTGCTTGGGTGGCGACCGTGGTATTGGTGCCCAAGGTAAACGAAATCAGGTTTGGAAAGTAGTGGGAGCTCATTTNGGAGGAGCAGGCTTGGAGGGCGGAGGGCGAGGAGCTAGCGCCGGTTGCGGTTGCTGTGGCGTAGGAGTGCACAAAGGCGGTTGCGTGGGNGGAGATGCCTGTGTTGGAGGACATTCTTTTCTGGTGTCTCTGGATGGGTTTGCTGATGGTGGTTGGTGTTTTGTCCAGAAGCTTGCTTTTGGCTTCTTGTATCATAGAGAGTTTGACGTGATCCAATTCCTTGACACTTCCGGAAAAGATATGCTTCAAGATCTCACAGTAAAGAACTCAAAGGGATCAAACGATTTGGGGTTGTTGTTGGTGGTGCTGTTAATTTCTCACCAACAGTCCATCTCATGAGGTCTTTGAAGTTGTCGCGGGCCGAGATCGGACCATCCCTCTATATTGCTTCTGGTGGTATTTCAACCACAGAGGGCCATTCTCGAAGGAGGTCGTTCACGATAGTAGTTGATTGTTCGTGTATCGGACGTTGCACTGTTTACAGGATCACAGCAAGATTGGCAAAGCACGTCAGTGGTATATGATTGAATGTAAGCATTTCTCTCAGAACTATAACTGGTCTCGAGCAAGAAGCCATTCATCTACTATATCTCTCTTCTCAATCTGTAATCCTAGTGGTAAGGTAGACAAAAACAGAATCCCCAGCGCCACGCTATCCTACCCATTCCATGATATTGTATTTGCACCGAAAGAGGAGAAAGAACATCGACAGTGTTCAGAACAACAAAAACAAAAGAACTGAGAATATAAAGCAAAGAGGGGAGATTTTTTTGTGATCGCCATTTGTGAATGCAGAAACAGGAAGAACAAACGGGAGAGGTGAACAATCAACCAACTCGATAAAAGCAGAAGCATGGTCGAAGGTAATCAATCAGCCAAAGCAAACAGCAGGGGCTCATCATCATCCACAGGAGCAGAAACTTCACGGTTCTTGCGTCTGCTGCTGACTCCACCCGAGCCACCACTTCCACCCTCTCCCTGCGACAGTAACTCGGATAGACTGAGCTCGCCTCTGCTACCCTCAGCGACAGGCATGCTTGCTGAGCGCATGCCATAAGCGTCCTGGTCTTCGACGTTGGTAATACCTCTTGCGCGTGCTTGTTGGGTTGTAGATGATGAGCGGCGGTTCGAGACAAATGTACGAGGGGAAGTCGGGATATCAATGGCTGTGGACAGAGGTGTACCAGAGCCACGAGTTGGTGGATGAGCAGACACATCCCTTGCCCCATCACTCGAAGGTTGGATGTGTGTGCCGGAGAGACGACTGCGACTACGATCGCGTGTGTAGTCTGCAGTGATGCTGTTGTTGCTCAGTCGTGATGGGATGGCTGGTATGTGTGGTGTATGTGGTGAGATTGGTTTGCCCGGCGAAGATGAAGTCGAGATCGAGCCTGGAATCATGCCTGGTACGTTTTGCAGCTGTCGACTTGATGAACTGGAAGATCTTTGCAGCATTGTTGACGATTGCATCGAATCAGATAGCTGAGCTGTCGAGTCTCGCATACGCGAGAATTTGGAGAATTGCGCAGCAGTGCGTTGCGAATTGGCGCTCAGCGAAGCTTTATCGGTTTTGTTAAGACTTGACAGGCCTTTGTTTTTGTCGAGCAGTTTGAGGAAGTCGGCGATGTTGTCTTCATCGGCTTGCACTGAGCCTGAACTGGCACCTCCTTCGCCCTCCTGAAGCGTGCTCGACTCACGATTAGTGGACGAGACACTAGCTCTGCCGCTGCTGTTGTTGTCTTCTTCGACCCTACTGCTGGAAACCGAGGGGAACCGTGCTCTTCTGTTACTGAAGCTCGACGAGTATCTCTGGATGGGAGCAGGCTTGGGCGAGCTCGATGCGGAAGAGCCTACAGCCGTCTCGGCGACAGCACCAGGGTTTCGCAAGGCCATTTGAGGCAGTGTCGATAACGATGACTTCCTCGCGTGTGCGAGCAGTGGATTGCCTGCACTTCGACCGACCGAACTGCTTGGCGAGCTGGACAGAAAGTTACCAGCTGCAGGTGATGACGACAAAGAGCCGGCCTTGAAAGGTTGAAACGACACAGACGGTCTACGCTGTGGTGCGTTTGGCTCTCTCAGAGATGAAGGAGCAAAGCGCGACGCTTCTCGGTCTCTCTGGCTTTGTGAAGAGTAGCGACGAAGTGGTTCGTCTTGTTGTGACGATGGCGACGGCTGCGACGTTTCACGTTCGTCGATTGCCTGTGCCGAGACAGGTCGATCAGCAGGCTCACGGAAGGAGCTGGTTCGAGGAGATGATCCGAGGGTTGTGCTTCTCTGGGCAGTGCGTTGAAATGATGAAGAAAATTTAGGTCGCAAGGAAGGGCGATCCTGGTCCATAGAAGTTCTTTCTCTGCTCGACTCGCCCGACAGACGACTGTCAGGCCGTTCGTGACCAGCCATTCTAGCGCTGATCAGACGTTCAGAGAGCTCGACCTGCAAGTCAAGGTTCTTGCGGTACGTGACGGAGATGTTCAGAGAGCCCAAAGGGCAATGTAGAGGCGAAAAGCGGTACGTCTCGGTTGGGCGTCTGTCCGAGGGAAAGATGGAACAGCTCAGAGTGTCTACTCGTGATTTCTCAGCGAGCGAGCCGTCAGAGACACGATACCTGGGTCGTAACGTGGGAGGGCCCGTAGCAGCTTGCTTTCCGAGACGCGTCCTCAGCTTCCATGCTGGAAGCAGGCGGGCATAGGTGCAAAGTGCTCTGCATGTGATGACGCCCTTTTTGTAGAAGCTAGGAGCGGGCTCATTGAGGGTAGCTGGAGACACTGACGAAGCGTCGTCCAAGCTGATTGTCCATCTCTCATATACAAAAGTGGAGAGGGTGTGGTTTTGAGGCGTCGGGGCGTGTGCTTCGAGTCTTCTCAGAGTCTCGCTCACATCCCACGGCTTTCCTTCTTCATCTATGGCGACCAGCGTCTGGTTTGGGGCGAGCTGGGCAGTGTCCAGGTAGACATCGATTACCAAGGGAGCGGGCTTTTCTACGGTTGCATCCATGGACCTCCACTCTTGCAAGTCTTGGTTCAACATGTCTGTTTCCTCTATCAAGGTATTGAACTGGATGTGGTCAGACATGGTTATGGTACGTGATGCAATACGGATGGAACAAGGCAAGATGGAGATGGCAGAAGGGATGCAAAGTTGTCTATTCTAGAAGAATGACAGGTTCGGCACAGAAACTCTCCGACACAAGAGTGCCTGGCAGTGATGTGGCCGCCAGGTTCAAGATCGCACAAGGCCAGCCAAGACTCGAAGAGAGACTACCGCGGTGGTCAAGGGAGTGTACGGCAACTGCTGCGGGTGAAGGCGGACGAGGAGAGGATACGTACCCATCTATCGATCTTTGCTTCGCCAGTCTTGGACATGGCAGGGGCAGGCTGACTCGGGAGGAGCAGATGATGAGAGCGGCCTTTGTAAAGAAGTGCTGAACAACCAAGTTGGCCCTGTCTTTTGTGCTTTGCTCTGTACTCTGCTTCTGGGCGGCCGACGACAGGTCCTCGCTGGAATATGTCCGGTTCGACATGGTGTCTCTCGGGTTGGAGGGTCTTTGGGTGTTGGATAGGGTGGTCGGTTGTGTGGGGTGGGCCCTTGTCGAGGGGCGGGGTGTTGGTGCATGGTATAATTTACAAGAGGTATGGCGTATATACTAGATGGGAGTGTTTTGGATGGGCAAGCGATCCATCATAGTGACAGTCGTCAGGTGTTGAACCTTGATGGCGGCTCCCGGCGGTGGTCGATGACGGGGCAGTTGTGGGCGACGACGAGGGAGATGCTGCTGGTGAACTATGGCTGCATGGTGACTTGTTCAGGAGGGCAAGGCTGGGTCTTGGATGAAGGACACTGAGGACCTGATGGGGTCTTGTGGTGTTGGGTGTGCGGTCCCTTATCGCCGTGTGCTCGATGCAGCTTGTGACTCGACAATGCGCTAGCTTGGACAAAGCTCCAGACAGGTCCCCGCGCGAGCTGACTGGCCAGCTCTAACAGGATAGTAGGCAGGTGAGTAGGTGAGTAGGTGAATGAGGAGGAAAAGAGGAGAAGGAACGACCGACCCAAGGTCGAATGAGCACTTCCCTTATCGCCTCGACGACGACTCATAGCCCAAACCATCGACGCTGCATCATCCGTCCACTCGACTTCCCCAGATCTGAAACAGCAACTGCACCCGGCCGACCGCCGCCGACCTTTCCTATTCGTTCAACTCTCCTGCTGCTGCTGCCTCAAGCCTGCCTATTGCTGCTGTCTGAACACATTCATGCTCTTCTTATCAGTGTCTTGACTCATACATCGCTGTGAAGCCTTGGATTGTCCAGCAAACCCTCCTTTGTTCTCTCCACTTGCTTTTTCGCAAGCAGCAAGACCCTGTCTGTCTCCTCGACTACAACCTAAAGCACGCAACCGCCACCACTCATCACGCGCCATGTCGCAAACTAGACACAATTCTTCGCCATAATCACCTGCGCCCTATTCGCGCATACTGCTGTACTCTGCTGTCTGACTGCCTGTTGGAGGAGAATCTCGCCTGTCGGGAGTCTTGCCTTGCAGCAGGGCTTGAGCGGCAATATTCCCACTGGTTGCACTAACCTACCGTCATCATACCCGCTCACAGTCCTCAATCTTGCTCCATTATTGCAAAGAAAGAAACGGTGTTTTTCCACATAAGAATACTGGTCCTACGATTGACATATAAGCTACAATCAAGATACACATGCCTTCCACTCCACTTCTTGAGACTAGACATGAGGTTCCGTCGAAACTCGCTGGAGCTCAACCTGCACGCATCCGCCATTCGACGTGTTGATCTGCACGCCATCTATTGGCCACCTTGATGTTAACTTATATCAACATGTACCTGCATGCACATCATCATGTATCATGTACCAAGACAACCTGAAGAAGCCGAGTCTGACAATTCATACCTCTCTATACGCATGATGTCTAGGGTTTCAAGAAGTTATCGCGCAGATGCAGTAACGACAATATCTTCATGTCTTGACGACCTCTTCCAGTATTACGAACTGCTCGTCTTCTTGAGCTTCCGAATCAAGCAACACCATTGCATCTAAAGGCAAGGTAAGCATAGGATCCGAATGTCCGGTATCAACGCCTGCCAGTATCGGAATGTCTAGATCATGACATTGGCTATTGAGCATCTTCTCGAATGCAGCAGTCATCTTCTCGTCATACATATATGGACATCCAACAACGATACCAGCGACTTTCTCGAGTATGCCAGAATTACGCAAGTCAGCCATCGCAGACCGAGCAGTATTGAGTGAGGAAGGAGTCCCTGGCTTGTCGCCCTCTGGTAGTTCAAGAAGCAGAACTCGACCTGTATAGTCAGGCAGATACTTAGTCCCGCAAAGCTGAACCAGAGAAGGAAGACATCCGCCATAAAGTCTGCCCTTCACTATACCAGGCTTGAGCCATTTCCACTTTGGCGCAGGGATCAAAGTCCTTGGCTTCTCTTCCTCATCATCGGATAACCAGTTCTTGAACTCCAATGTATGCACCGCGGATTTCGGTACACCTCTTCTTCTGCCTTTCCCCATCACCGTATCAAAGAAGTGATCAACAGTAAACTTCAGTGGGCTCAGTGACTCTCCAAATTCTGGAATCACAGCAGGACCATAGAACGTCCTTAGTCCCGTCTTCTCGAAGATCGCATGGTGCAACAGAGTAACGTCGGAGTATCCACAAAATACTTTTGGGTTCCTTCGTATCAGGTCATAGTCAATGTATGGCAGTAATTCATTTGCAGACAATCCTCCAATGGTGCAAAGTATTGCTTTGACGGCGGGATCTGAGAAGGCGGTGTGGAGCTCTAAGCAGCGAAGTTGGATGGCTGATAAGTGATCGGAAGGTAGGGTCTCGTTGTAGATTACTTTGATGTCGAAGCCGTGGTGCGAGAAGAATGAGGTGGCCTTTTGGATGCGGCTAGAGAGTAATGTGTTCAATCTGGATGAAGGGGAGATGAAGGCGATGGTGTCGCCATATTTGAGGGCAGGAGGAACGAGTGTTTTTGGCTGTCCATTTTGATTTTGCTGAACCCATGGACATCTGCATCTCGACGTTGTTATGTTGGTTCGTTATATGTGGCACGAGATGAGTCGCTGGTTGGGTTGGCTTAGTCTCTAGTCTGTATTATCGATTATATATGATATGTTTAAGTCATCATTCATCACGTCAATCCGGTGTGGTCTAACGGCTAGGATTTCTCGCTTTCACCGAGGAGGTCGGGGTTCGATTCCCCGCACCGGAATTGTTTTTGCTCTGCAACTCTGCTGTATGCTTCTAAACACGTCTGCCGCGAGCCATTTCTTTTGTATCACCTCAACAGTCGTCGAGATAGACTTTTTGGTGCTTGTGGAAATCTACTGCTTCTTAAACGATGGCAGATCGCTAGACTTTTCGAGCGCCATGTCTGACTCATGAAGGTTCTCCGAAGGATCAGTCGCTGCTGCCTATCTACTGGAGCACCATCCTTCGATGTTCTCTGAAGTCTTCGACCTTCGCCCTCGAACAAGCCACAAGACGTTGCAATTGTGATCGTACCAAATCATCATCTCGACACAGAGATATCTCCAGATCCCTTATCTCTGCCCCACAAGCAAGCGCGCATGGATGCCGAAATCAAATTGGACTCGCTCTCCCTACAGACGACTCCCCAGCGGTTGACTCCAACTGGATTGTCAATACCAGAAATCATGTCATGTATCTTCAGCTGGCTGAGAAATGATCGCAAAACTCTACGGTCAGCAGCCTGTGTCAACCGAATTTGGTTCCATGAAGCCTCACGACTTCTCTGGTCTACGTCGAACATAAAAGCCTTGATGGCCGTCGAAGCCTCGCGTCGCACAATATATGCTCCCAAGATATGCGAGCTGACGCTCCAGGCCGTCTTTAGTCATCCGAATCTTGACCTCAATTTTCAGCTGTTGCGTATACTCCGGTTCACTGANTTTCCTGGGCCTCAAGATACGAACCTCAGTCAATACCTGCAGCCAGCTCTGGAAGAAGTTCATTTCAGACACTGGCCACCTGCTGTATTCCTGCATGGACTTAATAAGCACTGTCCACGCCTTCGAGCACTGTTTCAGGTTTCAACAGCATATAAAGANAAAACTGATATCATTGACTTCTTCAGCTCAAATCAGTCTTTACGATACGTACAGCTCTCAATCATTCCCCTCAATGAGGATGAAGGGCTCGCAGCGATGCTAGCGCTGAGCAAAATTCCTAGTCTAGAGGAACTCACGATCGTTGGCGAAACCTCCACAGACACATTAACACAGCTTCAAGCGTTGCACCCCTCAAGTTCCAAATACTCCTTCGATTCAGTACGCAAAGTCAAGCTCACTGTCGGAATCCCGTCTTTGCCGTTGTTGCCTACAATCTTCGGAGCGATGACTACCTTATCACTTGAACTTCCGCTACTAAGTGATGACCACGAACTCGATACGCTCGTTGGTCTGCCTCTAGAGAGCCTCCAGCTTCACATTGCTGCTGGTGTCACGTTATCGCCGCAACAACTTCTATTCTTACGCAACACGGAGGCTTTGCGAAGTCTCATCATCAAGCCTAGGCCTTTCAACCCAATGGCGATCATGCCAACATTTGAACTGTCGAATATACATTTCAAGCATCTTTTCGCGAAACTCTCAAATCTGGAGACTCTGTTGATCTGGTTCGCTCTGGGAATCCCTGATTCAGATGTCGCTTTCCAAGATCTTGGTCAGTCTTGTCCGAGACTTGAGAATCTCCGTTTGTACTGTTACATCGACTTGACAGCATGGTGTGATGTACTCAATCCACTTTTTCCAAATCTTAAATTCGCTTGGGTATCCTCTGTCAGCAGCCAACACTTCTTGGGAGAAACAAACGAAACGACTGCCCAACTTCTGGCGGAAATCCTCGACCGACACGCACCACAATTAGATAGATTCGTGGCTCTTAAGCGCTACAATTTTCGTCCGACAGATTGCGATCCATTGTCGCAAATGGTGATGAGGGCACATGGCAGGATCAAGGAGATTGGGCAGACGCGCCACGCCAGAGATGAGAACCGTGGTATGATCGGTCATTCGATGATTCCAAGCGATCGGGTTGGATGAAGAAGACATGGTAGTTGTAAGAGTCGAATTTGTTGCTGCCAAGCCGACATCGGACGGACAAAATCTTATATCTCGCTTCCAACTTGGAACACACATCTCTATCTCTCAAACGTACGGCTAGAAAATATTCGCATTGCCGTAACATGAACGTGGAAAAAGGTCAAGATACAAGGTAAACGATAAGTCCGCGTTCTGCGCAGAGCGGCTTCATGTCGAGACATCGGCGTCATACCACTATGCGTCTCAATGGCAACCACCGCGATCCTCTTATACATCAATTTTCTCTACTCCCGAACTCACTACAACAAACCTACATCCTCGGATTCTCTTCATGGCAGCTGCACAGGTATTGAGCTCTCCCGAGCTCCTTTCTTTGATTCTAGAATGCTTTGGAGAACAGGAAAGTCAGAAACACTACTTCGAAAACCGTTCAACTCGATCCACCCTTGCAAAAGCTGCACGCGTGAACCGTATGTGGTTTGAAGCCGCTACAGGAGTACTTTGGAGCTATGAACAGATATGGGGTCCCTCGCTTCAAGACCTGAACAAGATCGAAAGCGGTCGCCGTTAAATATAAGCTGCGAAGATGCCATCTAAGACGATCTAGAAAGAGCCAGAAAACGGATCAGCTGTGTGTATACTGTCATTTCCTCGGCTGAAGAGTCTTCATGTTGACCAAGTGGGGTACGATGATGGTCCCTTACATGCTACCGCTAAGGAAAAGCTATGTTCATCAATTGAGTCGATATCTTTCTTCAGATGGGCGGATGGCTTCGACAAAGATCTTTTGGCTACCATGGACTCAGAATGCCCTCGACTGCGGTCAATCACCTTCAAAGACGTCCACGAGGAGAATACCGATATAACGCCTGAGGATTTCAACAACTTCATCCGGAACAAACCACTGGAAAGCATCAGGATTGACTTTGGACTGCCACTGATGAGCGTCAACCTCATATCTACGTTTGAACAAATGGAGACCCTCAAAAGCTGTCCATCACAGAGAGACTGTGGCCGCAGCAGATACCGGAAGTTTTCTCGAAGGAAGGCGCTTCGTTCTTCGTGAATCTCCATGAGGTTGACCTTATGCTTGACCGAGAGTCTGTAGAACCTATTACCCTAGCGATACGCCATGCTTCCAAGATTAATCTGAATATCTGGTCTCAACCAGATGAGCAGATGACAATGTTCTCGCATCTAAAGCATATGGAAAGACTCGAAAAATTGGAGCTCGAGTTTGAGGGCGAAGGTACTCTTTTGCAAAGCGAAGACCTGTGCTGCCTCGGCACTTTGCAGTACCTGAAACATCTCAGCATTGGCGCTACAGAAGAGGACTACGATCTCATCATTTTCGAACCCTCTGCAGAATCCGACCTGTGGAGGATCCTACCTGGTCTGCCACGCCTACAGCGCTTGGAGTGGTTTCTCGAGACCGATATCTCAGTCGAAACTTTGTCAATACTATCGGTCAGTTGTCCCAAACTTTTGTTGGCTAGCTACTCCTCTAGAGTATAGATCCCTTCCACGTGATGTATCTAAGCCGTCTTGAGGACTGATCAAACTCTTTCGAGCCTGGTTTCATGCACAGCGGACAGTCCCGTGAGTCGACGAATCGCAGTCGAGGTTGCGGGAAACAGTGTGACCCCGAAGGAGAACCTGAAAAGGATTGTATCATCAAACAACATGAAATCCCGATGCTTGAAGCACTTTTCTGGACGAATCGAGGAAACAATAGCTTCTGATCCATCTCCGCACTCTCTTATCGTGGGGAACCGAGGAAGTCCGTCTGGTACAACCTGTCCTGCCTGCCAAATGGTCGACCACCATCCATCTGGGCATTCTCACGTACTCTCAATATATGCAAAAGTTATTTACTCTCTCTACAACTGGTTTCGTAGTTTTATAGCTTCAACAATGTGCATGACTCAGCCCGGAAGTGCAGAGTCTAAAGCGGGGCGAACCTACCCCATACCACCCCATACTCATACATGAGGCTTGTCAAAGGAGAATTATGGGCAACGCCTTCCATTGGAAACGCTCGTACAGGTCATTGACTAATCCGTGGTTCAACGGCCACAGCTGCGCCCAAAAGCAACAACCACATCGTCTCTTCATCCTCGTCAAGTTGTTGGTCATATTGTGTCAGCATATCGAAGGTCAAACACAGACATGGATCAAGCGACCAGTACTGATAACTTAAGATAGCAGAATCTTGGCTGTCGAGGAGGCATTATTTCGAGATCGAGAAACCATCCTTTTTCCAACGACAATATATTTATCTATACCGGAGCTATCAACCCGTCTCACACATGCACTTCTTCACAACCGCCTTCCTCCACATCTCACTCCCAGCTCGTGGAGATTGGCAGACTAACGAACACCAGCGATCATTCCCCAAACCCCTTGAGATCCGCTGCAACCATTGCCTGTCACGGATGAGATATGTAAGACAAGCATATAATGGCCTACCTGTTTCCCTTGGCGATTCGCATTGGCATCCCTGCATGGGTGGCTATGTTTTTCTGGACACATGGACGGAGGATGCTCTCCTGCCGTCAGTAGTAGTTCCTAAATAAGAGTATTGACATATCTAGTCAGCCATATCCAGTTCTCTCTCATTTGTCTCCCTTGCTTTTGACTCAACTATTCCCCTACCAAAGCACGTGCAATGGTACTATCAAAGGAAATTCTAGACAATGACAGGGCCGAAGAAGGTCACATTCTACTGGATCTGGAGAAGCTCCGTCATGATTCCTTCGACCACAACGCCAGAACCACATCAGCTTCATCACACTCATCCACAGGAGACCGCACCAGCATCACTTCCGTAATCAAAGGTGGACTCCCACGTCTGTCTACCGTATCAAAGTCCTGGAAACAGTTGCTTTTCTTCTTATTGCCAACTTTTATCCAATCGCGTTATCTACCTTGCCGGACCGGACAAAAACGACCTCTGCATCCGACAGCATGGTTAGATGGCATGAGAGGAGTTGCAGCTTTCTGCGTCTTTATGGACCATCTGTCTTACTCCAACCATGACACATACACAGCATACGGCTATGAATCATCCAACTATGAATTCTTCAAACTGCCCTTCCTACGATTCTTATACACTGGAGCTTCACAAGTTGCCATCTTCTTCGTCGTATCGGGATACGCATTGAGTTACAAACCAGTCAAACAGATGAGAAACGGAGAAAGAGAAGGATTGCTCACAACACTGTCTTCCTCGGTGTTCAGGAGAGCCATAAGACTATATTTACCTTGTGTCGCTTCTACCCTCCTTGTTATCTTATGGGTCAGATTGGGATTGTACGAGGTGACGAGGGACTTTGCGTCCAACGACAAGCTCTTGACTGGAAGGAGAGAACATCATCCTTACAGGTATGAGACCTTGTCGAAACAATTAAGTGTCTGGGCAGTCAAAATGTGGAACTTTTTCAATCCGTTCGATTTCAATATGAAGATTGGCGACGGAGCACTGGATGTTGACGGACACCTTTGGACTATACCTGTTGAGTTTGTGAGTTTCTTGTCATTTCCTCTCTCGCTCCTTCCTGCTCTTCGATTCCTTCTCCGTGCCTCATGTTCTCCATACGACATTCAACCCACTTGAAAGACAGATATAGCGGATGACTAACGTGTTGTGACANNGAGAGCATCGATAGTCCTATACCTCTCCCAACTAGGCCTATCCCGCTTAAAGCCTACCATCAGAATACTAACACTCATCGCGCTGATCCTCTACGTCCTCAAGACAAACCGTTGGGAGCTCTTCCTCTTCTATGCAGGTTTCGTCCTCTGCGAACTAGATTTCCGTCGACGCTCATCCAACACAACNCTCAACCTCTTCCCCACTATCACCCATTTCCCCACATCTTCTGCCTTGTCTACGACGAACAAGCCGTCGAGAACATGGTCAACAATTTATTTCATGACGTTCATCTTGGGTTTATATTTCGGCTCGCAACCAGCACGAGACCTGCAGCACGCACCTGGATGGCAAACGCTCTCAACCTTGATCCCCAGCCATATAAACCCGCGCGACCGCTACTTCCCAAACCTCGGTGCCATACTCCTAATCTGGTCAACGTCTTCACACCAGCCTCTACAATCCGTTTTCACACACCCAATCACGCAATACCTGGGCAAGATTTCTTATCCTTTGTACTTGGTGCATGGAGCCGTGATTCACACACTGGGTTACGGCATCATGGATTTCATGTGGGGCAGTTTTGGAAGAGATACTGTGTTTAAGAAGGAGTTTGGCTTTGGTGTTGCGGTTGTTGGGGTTGTGGTTGTTGTTGTTTGGATGGCGGATTTGTTCATGAGGGTTGTGGATACGCCGACCGTGAAGTTTGCAAAGTGGTTGGAGGAGAAGTGTGTCATGAAGTCTTGAATCGCTTTCTTATGTTGATGGCATTCTTGGAGAGGAGTTTTGTGTATATATCTTGGCAAGAGTATTGGAATGTCAAGAGGGCTCTCGACTGATCTCTCTTATATACGTCCATTTGTTCCTATATATGTAAAAGCCAATTTCTAGTGAAGCTGTGTCCGTGGAGAGCCCCGACTCAGTCATATCATCCTCAGCATACGTCTCCTAGAAGCCTTGGTCGTTCTGTATATGTATCATCGTCTTGATGATATTACGCTCACTGGAACTCAAGTTCTTCAGGAATTTGGGTACAAATTCCCAACTCTAGAGACACTTCCATGGCCGCACTTCTGGTTTTGAAAGTATCTTGCGTCTCGAGAGCTTACAAAATCACTGTGTTATCGTGAGGGAAAGGTCGGTTGATACTGTGACAATATTGAGCGAACGAAGAGATTGCATCACAACATGTACCTGAACCCATTCGCCTGCTGCACTGGCGTAGGTCCAGATCTTCCCAGAGGCTTCGCTTGGTCCATCATCTGATTTTGCCTCCTCAGATAGAAGTACGTCGCGGTAGCGCTCACAAACGCTATCACTGCAGCACCCAAGTTTACCGAGAAAGCAGCCACATATCGAGGAGAGTCGTAGTACAAATAAGAGGTCCAGATGTTCGGAGTATTACATATCGCGTTTATAATGGCAATTGAAGCTGCACGCTTGACTGCTGGCTGCGAGAGCGAGCCTGAAATCCAGGAGAGCTGGCAGATGGCGGAGGAGTAGAAACTCAATGGTAGTAGACACATGGCGAAGTAGCGAGCGCCAACGTTGAGTGTGCTAACAGCGATGATGTTTGCAAGGACTGTGATTGTTAGGGGTAACGCGATGTGCAAGTAACGTTCNNTTCCATCTGTGATTCATTGTTAGGCGTCACGTCTGCCCAGTATTAATGAATCACTGACCTTGTCGCTATGGAAGCCGTTACATAGCATGGCAGCCACGCAGAGGATGAACGGCGGTGCCGTCAATACGTAGGTTAGGTTCCTGCCAAAGCCTAAACCACCGACGACCGTCGGAAAGAAGTTGTTCACTGCAGCGGCCGTGTATGTGGCATATAGGGTACTGCACATGAGCCATGTCCTCGGATCTCTCACTGCAAGCAAGAAACCTTGCAGTGCTGTGACCTCGTCGGACTCATCTTGTTGTTTCTGGTCACGTTCAAAATTCCACTTGAGAAAGTCTAGTTGCTGTTGCGAGAAAGTCCAGATCTTCCTGTTAGAGTTTGGAAGAAATATGACNNACAACTGTGCAAATGTTAGATGACACAAGCACAATTCTTATGCCAAAGGTTTTGCTTACACGAGTGCAATACCTATGGTGAGCACTCCTTCTATCAAGAAGAGCCACCGCCAGCCCTGCAGACCATGGTGGCCATCAAGTTTCAAGATACCGATGGCCAGCAGTGTGCCGAATGCGTTGCCGAGCTGAGAGCCGGAATAGAGGATGGCAGTACGAAGAGCAACNNTGTAATGCTCAGCGACATATAAAGGTTCCAGGGCATAGGGGGTCAACTTACTTTGCTTTCTGTTATAGAACATGGACAGGTAGAAGAACGCTCCTGGAAAGAAGACACTCTCGACGGATCCCAGCATGAATCTGCAGGCTAGAAGGCCGCCGAACGATGATACCGCAGCTGTGGTAGCAGAGACTGCGCCCCAGGCAGCAACCGCGCTGCAGATCCACACAGCCGGCCATCGAATCTTGCTAAGTACAAGATTGGATGGGACCTGCATAAGTACTAGCAGTCGTTGTCAGGCTAGTCGTAGGCAAAACATGGAAACATACATACTGTAACCCACAAACAATATGCTGACACATGTGTTGTATTGCTGGACAGACATGTTCAAGTCTTCCATGATGTTGGCCAGCTTACTCGCAGCAATATTCTGACGGTCCAGATAGTTNNCCTAGACAGTTCATCAGCAATGGTACAGTTAGGACTAGAGCGAGTCTTACAAGATATAGAGGATTGTAAGTGCTGGCATGATTATACAGTCCAGCTTCAGAGTCGTCCATTTGCCAAGTGTGGCTAGCTCTTGCTGGTTAAGTCCACGAAGTGACCCAGGAAGGTCTTCGGAATCATGTTGAGCATCTTGCACTTTGTCGAAATCCTCGACGTGTTGTATGGCGATCTTATTCTCGTCGACCGACATGACTCCGAAATTCAAGTATGATGATGGAAAGCCAGCGCAGAAAGGAAGCTTCGAGCCATATACTTATGCTGTCTCCACCAGGGAGCAAATAATCTGGAGGCATTCTGCATGCATGAAACCCCATGGGGTGCAACGTCGATCGTTCCTTCTTACCTCATGTATATTGACCCCCAAACCAAGGCGGAGGAGTAAGTGGTGCGGGGTTAAATGACCCCACTGACCTACAAAACGACACCTACCTAGCCAGGAGCAAACAGTTCTGTGAAAGACCAGAGGGACATGATTTGAGCAGATCTTTGTCAGTTCAATCGCCTTGCACACAGGACTTTTGAAGAGACTGCTACACAAACATGTCTGGAGTGTTGAGTCTCTTTTCGCTGCGTGATCGGACTGCTGTCATCACCGGCGGGACGAGAGGGATTGGCCAGTCCCTTGCGATCGCTCTAGCAGAGGCTGGAGCCGACATTGTTTTGATACAGAGAGATTCCAATAACGTTGGCACCAAGGAACAGATTGAGAAGCTTGGAAGGAAGGCAACCATATATGAAGCAGATCTCGCGGTCCCAGGTCAGATCAGTGGTCTGATCGAGCGAATTGTTTCAGACGGCCACGACCTGAGTATACTAGTCAACTGTGGTGGCATACAGAGACGCCATCCTCCTCAAGAGTTCCCGGATGGTGATTGGAATGAGGTATGCACAGATACTCGTATTCAACAGATAAACAGCTGACAGCTTGTGCACAGNGTGCTTCAGGTCAATCTCAATACAGTCTTCACACTCTGTCGGGATATTGGGGCTCACATGCTGACACGAGAAGGACCTCATCGTGGATCTATCATTAATGTAAGTGTTTGGTCGAAAGCCCTTTGTGAANNGAATCGTGCTGAGAAATCACAANNGATTGCATCTTTGGTATCATTCCAAGGAGGTCTCAATGTGCCCGCCTACGCTGCCGCCAAAGGAGGTGTAGCACAATTAACGAAAGCGCTGTCAAACTCCTGGGCCGCGCATGGCATCAACGTCAACGCTGTAAGCGAATTGCAAGGGTGATATGGCAGCGAACTGACTAGAGTGGTANNGATTGCTCCAGGTTATATCCACACCGACATGAATGATGCTCTGATCAAGGACGAGAAGCGTGCAGCGAGTATTCTGGAGCGTATCCCAGCTGGACGATGGGGCTTGCCTGAGGACTTTGCTGGCTCAATAGTGTATCTTGCCAGCCGAGCAAGTCTGTATGTATCTGGAGAAGTTTTGACGGTAGACGGAGGCTGGATGGGTCGATAATCGCAAGGACGCAAGCAGTGTAGTGTAGTGGATGGAATAAGTTTGCTCTTCTAGTATACTCTCAGCACGGGAGCTCTAGATGCTACTCTTACCAGAGATCAATTATGGGTGGCTTTAGTCCATTCTACGTGCACATGCCAGGGTATTGACGTCCTTCTGATACTTCAGAGACTGTCAGTGCAGTTCAGGTGCACACTCAAAACATTGGAGGTTATCTCCGTGTCTTCATGTGCCCCTGTCGATTGGTCGGACGCGAGCGAGCTCCATTGAGACTGTACACGCCGTGAGTGGGGTCACACCATAAGGCAATCCGAGAACGTTCTGGGGGATCCAGTTATAAACTATGCTCTTCCCACATCTTTTGTCAACGCGAAGTATTCTTGTTAGCAGATCGTCCATCATGGCTCCAACATCGACACAGGATTTCGATGCTACTGCATCCGTACCGGCCCCTGTTGACAGGACGAGACTGGAAGCAGGCATCTACGTTCCGACCGTAGCTTTCTTCAGGAACGACGAGGAAGTAGATGTCGAAACGACGCGCAAGCATGCCTTGAGATTGGCTAGCAGTGGCATAAAAGGCATTGGTAAGAATGACGATGTCCTCAGAAGAGAATGTATGCTAATCATGGTCNNAGTTACACATGGTTCCAACGGAGAAGCCGCACACCTTAGCCACGAGGAACGTATTCTTATCACGCAAACGACCAGGCAAGCTCTTGACGATTCCGGCCATGACGTAAGACTCATCGTAGGCTGCGGAGCCCAGACAACGAGGGAAACCATAAAGCTTTGCAGGGATGCTGCGTCTGCTGGCGGTGACGCGGCTCTTGTACTGCCGCCAAGTTACTTTGCATCGCTGCTGTCTTCAAAGCTTCTTCTTGACCACTATCGGAAGGTTGCTGATGCTTCGCCAATACCACTCCTGATCTACAACTTCCCCGCAGTACAAAGTGGTATCGATATAACGTCGGATCAGATTATCGAGCTGGCGCAGCATCCCAAGATTGTAGGCGTCAAGCTCACGTGCGGTAACACAGGCAAGCTGGCTCGGGTTGTGGCTGCTACTAAGGGTTCGGATTTCCTAACTTTCGGAGGATCTTCCGACTTTCTTTTGCAGACTCTGGCGGTCGGAGGTGCTGGTGTGATAGCAGGACTGGGTAACCTCGCCCCCGCAACGAACGTGCGAGCGATGGTGGCATTTGAGGCTGGCGAGCTTGAGCAAGTACGGGAGATACAAGCCGTCCTGGCTGAAGCGGACTGGATCGCGATTAAAGGCGGATTCGTAGCTGTGAAGGTCGGGCTCAATGAGCAGTGCGGTTACGGAGGAGAGCCAAGGTCGCCGTGTGCAATGCCTGAGGCAGACGTGCAGTCAGACATGAAGGCCGGCTTTTCTCGACTGTTCGAGCTTGAGCGCAAATTCCAGAAGCTTTAGATGGCGTGACTATCAATCGAGACAAGCTACGCTTTTAACATTGGTCTCAAAACATCATTAATGGTCACGATGAGCATTTCGAACGTCGTGAATTGGGAAGCGGCAAACTTGGGCACGAATCGAAATCCTTGGCGAAGCTCCTTCTTGCTGTTTTCTACGCTCCTTGTCTCCATCACACTCCTCTGTACCAACCCAACAAGACAAAGATAACATGAACATCTATGAGTGTTCATGTTCTCTAATGTCTGTCGGCAACATTGAGCCATTGGCTCGTCCATTTGTGGATATGATGTTCTACCGTCATTGATCTGAACGCGATGCCTCAAAAGCCGACGCACCCCCACTGCCCCCAACACGCCCGCCGAAGTGCTGTGGGGTCAACGAACCTCGGGAATAGCATGCATCTGCTTACCTAGCCTTGGGGGTCATCTCAGATCTGCCCAGCTCTCCTTACACCTACTCAGGCTCTCGGTGGACATGATGGACACGGGCTCACAGCAAAAACGTAAGAGGGCAAGTCGAAAGAACACCCCGAAACGGTTCAGATGTGAATATGAGGGTTGCACAAAGGTACATTGCATCATTCGACTGATCGCATCATTTGTTGACATGCCANNGATCTACTCTCGAGCTGAGCATTTGCAACGTCATCAGTTGAACCGTGGGTCATGTTGGACATAGGCGTGAAAACCATCTTAACATGCTGCAGATCAGCCAAAACAATTGTTCCAATGCCAGGTTGAAGGTTGTGATCAGACCTTCGTGCGTCTTGACCTTTGCATGAGGCACCAAGCCAGACACGACGAAGTCTCAAGAGCGACGGTACACAATGTTGGTGCGGTGGTTTTCGAAAATACGAGTAACACTGGTTTGATAGACCATGTTCAAGAAGTGAATTCGAGTTTTCATCAAGAGGCTGGTACAGCTGTGACCTATGGCCCTCCAACAGATGCGATCAACGCCACAGATTCGCATCTGAACATATCACCGGGCGTGGAAACAGGAATACCCGGCTGGATGCAGGACCAGATACTGGAGAACCATGCTGGATCTGTAACAACTTCTTATCAACCTGGGAACGGCAACTTTGTGTCTTGGTTGTTTGATAGCCCTGGTTCTCAGCAGCAGAATTTCGATCTATCAAACTATCTACCCTACGTAGACTTTGGTCTTGATTACTGCTCTCCCATGAACGACCTTTGGCAGTTTGACTCCAACCAGGGTACTATCAACGCTTCTGTCGGAAACTCATTGGCTGCACCAACAGTGGCTGATACGTTGTGTGAGATCCCTGGCGATCGCTGCTTGAATAGTCATGTGCGTGTGTCTACCAAGTGTAGATCCAGGATCGTTCAGAGCATCAATTCGTTTCTGGAGAAGAAACGCCCACCAGGGCTGCAAGAAGCTGTTGGAAATGAGGGGTTGTTGTTCAGTACTGACGGAAAAGACCTACCAAACTTGACAAGGAAAGTTCTGGAAAACTGCTTATCTAGCTTCTGGTCGTACGTGGCAGTTCAGCTGCCTGTCATCCACCAACAAACTTTCTCGAGTGACGACTGCCAAATGCTGCTTCTTCTCGCGATACTCATGCTGGGTGCGGGCCAAGTTGTGCGTCTAAACCCAATCAGAACACGAAACGACTATCGCGCTCTTGCCGACCTCTTAGCGATCAATCTTCGATGGGATATCTTTCCAGAAGCTGAACCTCCCATAACACTGTGGGTAGCTCAGGCACTCTTGTTGCTTGAGTTCTACGAGAAAATGTTCTCATCCCGTCGCCTTCACGAGCGCGCATACATTCATCACGCTTCGACTCTAGCTTTGCTACGGCGTGGCAGTCCCATGGTCGGCCATGCTGAGGATGAAGAGCCTCCAACGCGGTGCCCCTCGCCTGGGACGACTCCACAACATATAACTGGAACTTCAAAACAACTCAGCTGGTTTCAACGCTGGGCGCGTAACGAGTCATGGCACCGTGTCGTCTTTGCGGCTTTGCATATGGATACTCTGCACGCTGTGGCTTTTGGACATGAAAGTTCGCTTCTGCCATACGAGGTTCGACTTCCACTGCCGTGTGATGATTCAATATGGTCTGCCCAGAGTCCTGAGGATGTCTGGAGATTAGAGGAGACATTCTCAATGCACGGCATCAGTCAGCAACTCTTCCTTGACAGTTTGAAAAGATGCCTGCACGGACACGAGGTACACTCGAACCACGGCGCTCGCATCATCCTTGGTTCTGGCCTTCTGAATATTGGCTGGCAGTTGAGGCGCAGAGAAAGAAACCAGCAGTTCTTGGAGTCGATTCCATCAGCTCGTGAACAAGAGCGGTGGCGAGTCCTGCTTCTCGATGCGTATACCCATTGGTGTCAAAGCTTTCAGAAGGCGCTTGAAAAGTCCAAAACGCATAGTCGGAAGCTTGAAAACATCAGGGACGTGGTGACCAATCCAGCAATTATCTATCGTCTGGCATATATCACCTCACATGTTGATATTCTGGATGCTCAGGTATATGCAGGCTCGAAGCGTTTACTCGGCCGCAAGATAACTGATAAGGATTATCTCGGCTGCTCAACAAGAATGCACAGTTGGGCTACAACCAGCTCGGCCAGATTGGCTGTCGTCCACGCTTTCGAGCTGCTCAACGAGACTCTGGTAAATGCGGACTCGAGGATCATGACACAGACGCCTGAGCAAGTCACGGCGACACACTATACTTGCCGCGCTGATGCGGCTATTTATCGCCCTTGGGTCTTGTATCTGGCTGCGTTGACGATATGGTCGTATCAGTATGCATTAAGGACCGCAACCATCGCATCGCAAACAGCATCAGGTCCAGATCGAGTTTTGTCTCAAAGTGTTGCCTGCGACTACATTCGAAGGTGTGCTCAATCGGAGATCGACAGTTTTCCTAATCAGTTGTCTGCCCAGGGTTGTGGTGCAATATGCAAGCTTCTGGCTGAAGACTTTGCCTACTCGGAATGGGAGCTGCTGTTGGAAGCCTCCAAGATACTCGATTCGTGTGCAATCGTGATCCTGGACAGAAGTTGAAATGAATAGAAAAACAGATTTGACTTCGAGTAAGTTCAGCAAGAAATTGAACTGAAACCCCCACGACATCGCGCAGTGCTGGTGAAGTTCAACCAAACCGGATGAGGGTTCACGACAGCAACGCTTCCAATAGCATGTTATGGAAAGAATGTCTCATACTTCAGTGTCTATACATTCATGTTCCGAGATCTACCATTCCCTAATGGAGCCATCGGGACCGAAAAATTCCTTGGGCTGCCATGGCTGGGTCTCGGCCGATATCTTGCGAATCATCTCCTCGTCTACCTCAATGCCTAATCCTGGTCCAGTAGGAGCCGCAACGTGTCCACCGTTGATGGCGAATACTGACTGGTCCTTCAGATATGTATTGAGATCTCTATCGCCCGCCTCGGTGTTGTAGTGCATACCAAGCGACATCTCTAGGATGACAAAGTTGGGCGTGGAGAGTCCGACATGTAATGAGGCAGCNNCTGGTTCGATATAGTTAGTTCGGTTCATGCCAGCGAATGAGTGTACGCGACTCACAAAAGCAATCGGACCCAAAGGACAATGTGGCGCNNACTGTAAAACTTCAGCATAGAGGTTCCTCCACCAGAAAGGCTGTATAGCTTACATTGCAACGTCGTACGTCTCTGCCATATTGGCAAGACGCTTTGTCTCGGAGATGCCACCAGCGTGAGCGATGTCAGGCTGGAGTATATCAATCAATCCAGCTTCAAAGAACGGCTTTGCGTCCCAACGATGGTACAAGCGCTCTCCTAGGGCAATTGGGATACTTGTTTGTGCTGCGAGCTGCTTGAGAGCCTCAGGGTGTTCCACTCTGTCAACAAGATTATCAGTACTACCCATGCAAGCTGTTACAAAGAGTCTTACAATATGGGCTCCTACGATAACGGCTTCGTTAGCAATATCATCTGCAACAGTTCAGAGGACGGCNNTTACCTCGATGAAGAGTGGTCGATATGGCTCCAAAGCTTTCGCCAACTGTTTAGCCATGGGTCGATGGAGTCGTCCATGAAAATCAAGACCAGCATTCAGGCCGAGACCTTTGACAATCTTGAGGCGTTCGACTGTTGCGTCTAATACTGCTGCATCGTCAAGCCAACCAATATCTTCCGTGGCGTTCATTTTGACGCAAGTCAGCCCTTGCTCTTTCCTTACTTTTCTATTTGTTTATCAGACTTGTGTCGTTGTTTCCACTGGAAGGATCACCTACGCAGCATTCTCTATGTCGGCCGGTCTATCTCCACCAACCCAGCAGTAGACTTGGCACTTCTCTCGGACTTTGCCCCNCAGCAGTTCATAGAGTGGGACGTTCAATCTCCGAGNCTGTGGTCAAAATCAGCCCAGTCCAATCTTGCTATTCCAATGCATCAGGTGCCGCTGACCTTTGAGGTCCCATAACGCAATATCGATGCCGGATAAAGCAGACATGAAAACAGGTCCACCCCGGTAGAAACCTAGATTGCAGCATCTGGTCAACATCTGTTTTACTCGGAGTAGGCATTCGCCGTCGACTTTTGACATACCGAGTCTCCAAATCTACATCAAATAAACGAGATGGTCAAAGACTGTGACCGTAAGAGTTCCCGAGTTATCACTTACCAATTGCCAGATATGCTCAATGCGGCTNNTTCGTGTGTCAGCAGAGAACTGTTCTGATACCTGGATCAATACGCACTTGGCATCTTGCCCGATCAAACGCACGATGATCTCGTCCAGTGCTCCTTCCACGGCAAGAGTGTGACCTTCGAGTGTACCTTCAACTTGTTTAGTAACCTGTACAGACTTGAAGCTCTCGACCCTCTGCCTTAGCGGCCAATGTGGGATTGGACAAGTACCTTCACCCCATCCAATTTTCCCGTCTTCATCTGTAATTTTGACAAAAAGCCAACGTGGCTTTACTCTGAAGTATTCAATGAGCTTGATTGGTGCCATGTCGAGCAGTCCTCTCTATTGCTTGTTGTTGTGTTGATCGAATGTGGCTCTCGTGTTACAAGACTTGAACGAAGCTTCCGACCTCAAGCTCTTATACGAGTTCTAGCCAGATCACTCAAAAGCCGAAGTAAACTCGGTATGTTAGGTGACGATGTTCGGTAGAGAATTGCATCGAACCCCGCAGATCAGCGTGGGGGGCACAGAGCTCCTTGGGGGTACAATATTATGATTTTGTGGTCTGGATAGATGGTCTGTCGAGGAACTGCAACTCTCAGACTCGTTTTGGGAATCTGCTACGATACTCTGGATTACAGCATACTCTGCCTATCGAAATCAGACGAATATGTATCGAGTATGCTTTTTCGAACAATGTTTGAGCTCAACCCAGGCTACCTCAGTCCCATCTATAATTTCACCGATCCTACCATGTCTTTTTCCAGCTTGCTCGTGTTGACCATGTTGCGCTCAAGCTCCCTGACGTTGCTTGCACCAATAAAGGCCATGTTTGTCTGCAGTTCGTTTCGAAGTATCTGGATCATGCGTCTGATACCATATTCACCATATCCGCCAGACATGCTGTACAAAACTGGCCTTCCAATGCCAACGGCATTTGCTCCCAATGCCAGCGCCTTGATGATGTCGGTGCCTCGTCTTATACCACCATCGACGAAGACTTGCATATGTTTGCCAAGGATTTGGGGAGCATATCGATCGATTTCGAGGAGTGTTAGGAGTGGAGGCTGGGCGGTGTCTTGAGATCTACCTCCATGATTGCTGAGCACGATGCCGTCGACTTTGTGGTGGAAAGCTGACACGGCGTCTTCGACCGTTTGGATCCCTTTGATCACAATTGGCAACTTGGTGGATTTTCGTAGCCAGTCAATCATGTCCCAATCGAGGTCGGCGTTGATGAAGCCGGTGTTTGCCTTTGCAATGCCGACGCTTTGTGTTGTCTCGACAACTTCCTCCATCTTTTCTTCTANTCTGTTCGCTTGTTAGTAAGTACGGATATATTCGTAGCAAAGCATACTCACATCCACTACTGATTTCGATCTCTCGTCTCGCTCACGATTTCCAACCACAGGAGAGTCAACCGTGAGCCAGATTGCTGCCACACCGGCTCTTTCAACTCTTTCGATGAATGCCTTCGACTTTTTCAAGTCTTTGTCCGCATATAGTTGCCAGAAAATGACTTGATCTTTTGAAATTCGTGCATCCATGATTTCCTCGATCGGCATACTGGAAACAGTATTGACTACCTGGATGCAGCCTTCTTTTCCAGCAGCTGCTGCAATGGCGCACTCACCTGATGGATGTACCAACTTTGCCAGACCAACAGGTGAAGTGTAAATGGGCAGAGCAGAAGGATAGCCGAGAATGGTGGTGCTGCAGTCGACTCTTCTGACTTTTCGCAGTATTCGACCACGTAAAAGGATCTTTTGGTAGGCCTTGGCATTTCCTTTCATACTGATCTCGTCGTCGGCTCCTGAGGAGACGTAGGCCCACGCAGTCGGTGTCATAGTNNCTGAAAGGTCAGCCCCGAGTCGATCTAGCCTTCGAAATCACCAACGAACCTTCTCTGCCACGTTCTCGAAGTCATTTACACTGATCATAGAGCTCAAAGGTGGACTCTTCTTGGCTTCTAGTACCAGCTCCGGTTTCCCGTCCATCATGATCGGTATGGTCGAGACATCTATCGTCCCCATTCTTGCATCAGATCCAAGAGTCTCACGGACGAGTTCAGCATCGTGAAAGAGGTCATACTCGTCAGAAGCGTCTTTTCCGGCCAACTTGAGAATCAAATTCGCGCCGCCTGGATGTTGTTCGAGGAACTTGGTTGTATCCCATACCTCGCCATGGATGACAAGCCAGCAAGACTTTCGGTCATTGTGCTTTGCGAGCTCTGTGCCCTTGACCACCGCCATTTTGAAGGAGCAACACACTGTTCATACATCGAGAATTGATTGCGGCCATCATCATAACATGTTGATTGAGGTTTGTAGCACCGTAGGTCGCTCGGAGAAGAGTGGGGTCACATTGTCCCCCACTCCACCCGCTTTCACCCCGCCTTCGTCGGCCTTTGGTATCCACCAAGGTTCTACCTCATACCTCTTGGCCCATCGAGAACACGTTTCTAGTCATCTCTCTTGGTTTTGCTACAAGAATTGTTGAATGGATATGTCGACATCGGCAAAGGATATCAAAGTTCTGCTCTTTGGGCTGGGAGCGTAAGAGTGTTTTCTGATTCCAGAGTGGTTAATTGACTGAAACCATACAGCNATTGGAGGTTTCTACGCATTCGTCCTCGGACGCAACAACAACGTGTCTTTGAGCGTAGTAGCAAGATCCAACTACGAACAAGTCAAGACACATGGATTGAACATCGAAAGCGAGAACCATGGCAACCACAAAGTCAACATAGATCAGGTCTACAAGTCACCAGATGAGATCACATCACCATTCGACTATATCGTCTGCACCCACAAAGCTGTAAACCCAGGCAAAGTGCCGCCGCTCCTCGAATCTGCTGTGGACGACAGAACCACTTTCGTCATAATTCAAAATGGCGTCGGCAACGAAGAGCCATTCCGCACCACCTTCCCTAACAACACAATCATCAGTTGTGTAACCTGGGTAGGAGCCACTCAAACTTCTCCCGGACTGATCAAGCACACAAAATCTGAAGACATGCAAATGGGTCTATTTCCCACCCCTTCAATCTCCCCTGACCTCGAGCAAGAAAGACTAAACACATTTGCGTCACTACTCAAAACCGGCAAGACAGTCTTTCAAGTCGAAAAGGACATACAGATCAAGCGCTGGGAAAAGGTCACTTGGAACGCCGCGTGGAATTCGATAACCACACTCACAGACGTAAACACCCAGGACTGGCTCAAGTCGTCTCCTCAAGCAATGACCATAACCAAGCGTCTAATGCACGAAGTGATCGACATAGCAAACCAATGCAACGTACCCCTCGACCGCAAGCTAGCGGATGATTTGGTGGATAAGATACTAGCTATGCCTGGCATCTATTCAAGCATGCACACGGACATGAAGGCAGGGAGGCCTTTGGAGGTAGATGTCATCTTGGGGTATCCGATCAAGAAAGCGCAGGAGTTTGGGTTGGATGTGCCGGTGTTGAGTACGATTTACGCTCTGACGACTGCTGTGAATGGGAGATTGACCAAACTTTGAAGATAATACTACAAAGAATTCATGAATCATGTGTAAGCGGAGAAAGATTTAATCTATCGAGTCTATACTCCCTGAAACCGAGAAAGAAAAATTAATACTTTGAAGACGAAACCTGTTCCGACCCTGCTCTGGAGCGCGCGATGTTCCCAAACACCAAACCCCTTGCTCTATGCATAACAAATAATACCTTCCCCGATGCTAATATAATCAATCGTCGTCATTAATCTGATAGACCTAATCCGCTCTTGCTCTCAACATGCGCAAGCGGTTTTCCTCGTGTGGATGCAATTGGGTAAGAGGAGTAAGGCCATTGGGAGCAAAACTACCAGGAGTTATAGCACCCGTCAACGTCGCATTGCTCGAATGAGATCCAGNGGTGCTGATGCCGCTTCTGACATGGACGGCGCCTGGCCTTTGCGGAAGTTGCAGAGTAGGACTTGGCGGTCTGCTGGTGGCTTCCATATAACTAGGTGGTCCATCGGCGAAGGGCGTGAATGGTCCAGGTGTACGGACAGCAGCTCCGTAACTTGGTACTCTCGATAGCGTGCCCATGTCGAAGTCGTCCATGTGGGGTACGGTGTCGTCGACCATTTCCTCGCCATCTCCAGAAGCTCGGCGTGACTCTGGTACGCTATGCGCGGGCGATTGATGTGGCGGAGAAGCATGTCCTGAGTGCGATTGGGAGAAATGAGCAGCAAAGTAGCCTCCAGTGTATGCGGGAGTGTTACCGCCCGATGGAGAATGGTGGGCTACGGGCGCAGCGCGGATCTGTCTGCTTGAGCCTTGGTCTTGCAAGTTGGCAAGACGCGAACGAAGCTGGGCGGGTACAAAGTGACTCTCGCCACCACCAAGTGCTGCCATTGACTGCGAGTGATGCATGTCTGCGACACCGTTCAAAGATTGCAGGTTTTCCGAAGATCCGTTGCGACTCTGGGCGTAGAAAGNGGTGGCTGATCCACTGGGAGCGCGACTCATGTATCCGCCAGTGTTGATATCGTTGTAGAGAGCATCGAGCTGGTGTCGACCGTATTCTGGTGGGGCGTTTAGTGTAACTTCTTGTTGGTTCAATTCGGCGTCGGTCATGGTTCTTGTAGCGACCTGGACCTCGTTCGAGTCGTCGACAGGCAGATTAGGAGAGATGAATAGCTTGACAGGAAGACGGCAAACGAGCTGAGAGATGTGACCTTCGGGGTTGTGGATGTTGACCATGAGCTTGAAGCGATGGGTAATGTTGATGTTGTGAGAATCGACATCCTGTCTGCATTGCTTGAGAGACTTGGGCAGTTCCAGAGTCGCCTTGAAGACGTATTTCTCGTCTTCCATGATGGGGTTGTCGGCGCTCTCGTCAGCAAAAGTGACACGCGAGTCTTCGGGGAACTCCATCTCTGCTTTTGCAACGTCCGACTCGTCAACCTTGCATCTGTCACCACGCTGGTCGGGTACTTCGGCCGACTGTATCCTCTTGGTCACGGCCTCTATGAGCCTCATCTCGATCTTGCCGAGCTTAATACCCTTTCGGATAGGCGACAATTCGACGTCTGCAACAATGGACGTTCCAANAACAACGGCGTCGGTCGGGATTGAGATGCTGTAGCTGAGCTTGTTTGCCCAGATGTCGGCGTTGGTNNCTGTTGGACAGCGAGTCAGCATGCGTGTTGCGGCAGTCGAGTTCGAGGTACATACCCTTGAGCGAGTTGTCTCCATCTGCTCGGAGCCCAGAGTCCTTACGATACGAATGTGCTGCGTGGTAGTGATGTCCTTTGCGTTCCAGCCAGGTCTCGAAACGCTTGCGTGCAGGTAGTAGACAATGTAGGTGCTGTTCATGCCTTCGATGCTCTCGGGCATGCTGGGATCGAGTGTGTATTCGAAGGGCCATTCTATCGTTCCCGAGTTGATCTTGTGCGTGCCAGATGTGCCTAGGGCGCGCTCCTCGCGCCAGAAGGTCTTTTTGTCCGACACTTCGCCTGCAGCCATTCCACCCATGTAGAACCACCTGTGCAAACGAGTCAGTATACCGGACTTATCGGACGCTGCCAGACGAGTGACTCACGAGATTCGTCGCTTGCCCTCGAGCCAGATCTTCACGTTCTTGATGCTCATGGCATCTGGTGTGGTCAATCGGACCACACCATTCAACTCTGATAGTTTGGGCTTCATGCTGGTCGCCATGGAAGACGATGAAGCGGTTGTTTGGGCTATTCGGGACAAGTCAGTCTTCTGGACACACGAACCTGACGCGGATGGCAAGTACATGATCTCAAGCACAGGCTTGGCTCGAGGGTATGCACCATGGCGACGGCGGGGTCGTGGCGTGTCTGTCGCGGGCGCGCGAGCAATCAAATCAGACAGTAATAAGGGTCGAGTCTTTGCGACACAGCAATCAATGTTGTAGAGGATGCAAAGGAGAGTCTGAGGCGCAAGCGTGCAAAATGCCAAAACCGAAAGCTTGATCCAAATGACGTTCTCTCAAACAAGAAGCTCGTGCCCGGTTGCGATAAAGATCTGTTGGTTTTATCGGCGCGAGACGGGAGACCGTTCTTTGTCTTTGGTTTGACAGCCAGAAAACAACAATTCCTGCGGCCCCTTCGGCCCCTGGAACCTTTACCGTACGGCTAACACTCGTCGTCTGCCGAGATAGACAACTGCCCGGGCTGGCTGCTGCGAGTGCACTGCACTTTTCGGGCTGCTCTGTCGCAGCAAAAACAAATCATGAGCACGCCGCCATGCATATGCAAAGCCCATCATGATTCACGTCTGCCACTCTGCAGGTGATCAAGGGTCCGGTGCCGCTTCGGTCTTACCTCCTAGAACCCTGGATTTTTCTTGTTGGACAAAGAAACCTCGTTTTTTCCCGTCGTCTTATCGTCAACAGATCTGTATATCCCGTGGTTGGGATTTCATTGTCAAAATCTGCCAGCTGTGCAACGGTGTGAGGCCTGACCGATCTTTCTGGCTATGGCGTGATGAGTCGCGGTCCATCACTCCTGAGCATTGCATGAAGCGAGCATATCACAGAGTCATGACAGGCCATTAGGGTTGTTCTTCTGAATAGCAGATAGGCAACTACAAGGACATGATGTCTATATGTCTATCCAGGCTACACGTACCTCTTATACACAGATAGCCAGGCCGTTGCTATTTACATGACTGTGGTCAGATGCATATCATCACCGACCGCCAGAGCTATACATTATAGGGCCTGACCGACCCACAATCTTTATATACAATGTCTTCATCAGACTATGTGCTTGAGTCAGTTGGCATTATTGTCGGCATCGTTGGAGTTGTGTCCGTTCTCTCCGGTTCCTTCCTTGGGCCTGTCCCAAGTATGGATGTGGCCNNTGTGAAGCGTGTCAGCCCAACGTGAAATTTTGCAAAGTGCTACATCAAAAGGCCCGATCGGCTTCGCGCGACAACGCGCAATTGAGACGTCTCTTGGTGGATCCCGGACGTCCCAACATAGAGTTGCAAAACACTTACCGTCTTTGCACGCTGTCATGATACAGTCTTCCTGGAACTCGAGCCAGCTCAACGGATGGTTGTCTATCTTTTTCGACTGCAATCTCAACATTAGCACGGAGAGCAAAGTTTAGTAAAGCAATGTTTCCTTATGACTCACCATGACGGGCGGTAGTATGGCTGTGCTTGCTTTCGTTCTGAAGCCGTGAACGACGTCTGCACCATTTGTCGCACCTTCTCCATCCTCGGAAATGGTCGAATGTGATCTGATACGACCGATGGTAGAGTTGGTCTCTTTCCGGGTGATGGCATTAGAAGTCACACTGCCTCTGTGTTTGATCGACATCTGCGCAGGTTGCATCAATAGACTGTATCACAAGCAAGAGCTAGGAATAGAACTCACGGCTCTCGGTCGACCGAGCATACCAACAGAAAAGTCCCAGAGCAGGAGTTTGCAATCTTCACCGACGCTGCCAAAGCGATAGTTGCGCTCGTCGCATCTCCACGGGTCGAACTTGACATCAGTAACCCAACTACTGTGTCCCTGACAACGTGCTACCAAAGCAGCATCTGCAAAGGACCAGATACTAACAATATCATCTTGGCCACCGGTTAGGATATATCGGCCATCAGGCGACCATGTTACCGTGATCAACCCGCCATAGTAGGAGGTAAAGGCGTCCAGGAGCTGTTCCTTGAGGTAGTCGATGATGCGCAAGGAACCGTCTTCTGACACAACGGCAAGATGCCTGCCATCAGGTGAGAAAGAGATACAATTGATTTGCTGGTTGTTAATCTTCCATACGGCTACAGGGTTGGTCTTTTGGTTACGCGATTGAACAGACTTTTTGATGACAAAGGATGCCGGACCAGAATGAGTGTCAGCAGAGTCGGAGGATTCTTGTTCGGCAACAAAAGGAGCATCTTCCTTCTCCTTGTCGTAGACGATCAAAGTACCATCCATGTGAGCTGCCAAGAACAAATTCTCACTGTTGGGCAACCACCAGATGGAAGAAACAGCAGAGGAATTGATGGCACCATTTTTATTGATGCGAGCATACTTCTGAGATACAGGCTCGTACCATATGATGTCTGAGGAGGAGAAGCCCAGGATGACGTCCAAATGGGTAGTGCTTTTGGTCAGAGGGTTGACATGGTGACACAGGGCGTGGGCTTTTGTGAACAAGATTTTGGTGAGATTCTCGGTCTTTGTGTCGGAAGAAAGGTCTAGCCATTGAAGGGCTCTATTGATGTTTGAAAAGGCAAAGGTTCCCTGAGGGTTACGTTCTTGAAGGCGCTTCTGGAGGGCTTCGTGAGGAATGACTCTGGACACAAAAGAGGAATTGCTCTTGACGATGTTGTTCTTGGGCTTGCGCCTCTTGGAGGGATCCTTGGAATCCTTGTTAGGGATAGGGGCTAGGGCGGGGTTGGAGTCTCCAAAGACAGGGGCGGTGGATCTGAAGAAGGAGGCCGAATCGGTGGTGGGGGTCAGAGGGTCGTCTTGGTTGTTCGGCGAAACAGCAGAAGGCTGACTAGTTTGGGTTATGGTGCGGGCAAGGGAGTTGTCAGGGAGCTTCTTGGGGGCGACTATGCATAGCGAGAGTCTGGTGCCCTGGGTGGGAGGGGCAATGGTGGTCGCGAGTGGGTTGGTGTTGGGCACGGGGTTGTCGGAGGNGTGAGGCGGAGGAGTGGCTAGAAGAAGCTCGTCGCGCTGAACATAGGTACCCTCACCGACAAGCAGCTGGTACTCGGAGCCGGTATGCTTGGAGAGAGTGTTGTTGGTCTCGATGATGGCGCCGGGCGGGTAGCCAGTATACAGGTTGCCGCTCGGGTAGCGCGGCGGGGGCGGCAAGACACTGGCGGGCTGTCAGACATGGTAATGGTACTGGACGGGGATACACACAACATTGCGACAAGAAGCGAGTGAGTGGTGTCGAGGCTTCAGGGTGCGCGGGTCGATGCAGCGCTGGGGTAGGCGGGATTGGAAGCTCGGTCGCAAGGCCAGTGGCAGCGAGTCTCTTTTGTACGTCAACAGAAACAATGACACGGGTCAATCAGCGATACAGCATGTCAAGATTACAAGCGACGAGTCGAAGAGGAGATGCGCAAGGTCTCAGATGCAAGAGTCGCGCGCGCAGCAGATGGCAGATCCAGACCCACGCGAAAGGCCGAGGTGTGGGAAGCCGCGGGGAAATGTTCCGTCTGGGTCGGCTTGTGCTTGTGCTTGCTTGCTCCGACTCCAAAGACATTCAAAGGCATACGACGAGCATGGCGACGGTGCGCGTCTGCGTCTGCGGCGACGAAGGCACGGGCAAGTCGAGCCTGATCACGTCGCTGGTCAAAGACCTCTTCGTCACCAACAAGATCCAGCCTGTGCTGCCGCCCATCTCGATCCCGCCCACGCTGGGCACGCCGCAGAGCGTCACCACCACCATCGTCGACACATCCGCCCTNCCCCAGGAACGCGACAACCTGCGCAACGAGCTGCGCAAGTCCAATGTCATCCTTCTCGTCTACTCGGACCACTACAGCTACGAGCGTGTCGCCCTCTTCTGGCTGCCCTACTTCCGCTCCCTGGGCGTCAATGTCCCCGTTGTCCTTACCGCCAACAAGGCCGACTTGTCCAAAAATGTCTCGACCCAGCAGGTCGTCGATGAAGAGATGCTNCCCGTAATGCAAGAGTTCAAGGAGATCGACTCGTGCATCCGCACCAGTGCTCGCGAGCACCACAACATCAACGAAGTCTTCTTCCTATGCCAAAAGGCCGTCACCCACCCCATTGCTCCCATATACGATGCAAAAGAGTCTTCGCTCAAGCCTGCTGCCGTGTCCGCTCTCCGAAGGATCTTCTACCTGTGCGACAAGGACCAAGACGGTCTGCTCAACGATGCAGAGATCCTCGACTTCCAGCTTAAATGCTTTGAAAAACCCCTGTCTGATCAGGATCTTGTTAGCATCAAGCGCTCCGTCCATGCTCACCAAGGTGGCATTGATATCGATGGCTTCATTCTCCTCAACAAAATGTTTGCCGAAAAGGGCCGTCACGAGACTATTTGGATCATCCTCCGCAAGTTCCAATACACCGACAGTCTCAGTCTCAAGGACACCTTCTTGCACCCCAGATTTGATGTTGCCTCCTCTTCTTCCGCCGAGTTGAGTCCCTCAGGCTATCGTTTCTTCGTGGATTTGTTCCTCCTGCATGACAAGGACAATGACGGAGGTTTGAACGACTCTGAGCTCGCCGCTTTGTTTGCACCTACCCCTGGACTCCCGGCTTCTTGGATCGAGTCCGACTTCCCTTCATGTACCGTCCGTAACGAGGCTGGTCACATCACTTTGCAAGGTTGGCTAGCACAATGGAGCATGACAACATACGAGGAACCAAAAGTCACATTAGAGTATCTGGCCTATCTCGGCTTCGAGAGCCCTCAACGAGGAGGTACCACCACTGCACTAAAGGTCACCAAAGCTCGCAAGCGACGCAATAAGCCTGGTCGTGTAGAGCGCAACGTTTTCTTGTGCTATGTCATTGGTGCTGGCGGCAGTGGTAAGTCAAGTTTATTGTCAGCTTTCCTCAACAGACCTTTCAGCACGACCTATCACCCCACCATCAAACCAGAGATTGCCGTCAACAGTGTTGAGCTTCCTGGCGGCCGGCAATGCTATCTCATACTAAAAGAGCTCGGGGAGCTGGAACCTGCCGTGCTGGAGAATCAGGCCAAGCTTGAAGCTTGTGACCTCCTCTGCTACACATACGATTCGAGTGATCCTGACAGTTTTGGTTACATTGTCGAGATGCGCAAGAAATACGCCCACCTCGAACACCTGCCNGGTGTATACACCGCCTTGAAGGCGGACCAAGACAGAGCGGTACAGAGGAGTGAGATGCAGCCGGATCACTACACAGAAGAGCTACTAGTACCAAAACCGCTCCACGTGAGCGTGACATGGGCAAGTGTTTCCGAGTTNTTTGTGCACCTCGCCGAGAGCGCGACGTTCCCATCGACAGCGTTCCCAAAGAACGAGGAATCAGATGTGGATCGAACGAATTTGTACATTGGGATCGGAGCAGCGGTATGCGCCGGAGCGGCTCTGGCCATCATGTGGAGGAAGAGTGTGGCAGCCAGCAACTAAGAAAGTGACGCACGAGGAATGAATGCATGGGTGGAGTTTGGCGGTGGAATTAGCATCAAGATACCCAACTCTGAACAGTTAGTCTGTATTGCAACGACAGCAAAGATCTGAACCAATTGTTCGGGAGATGAATCAAAAGACAAGGCGGGCAGTGAGCAGTGGTTTGGCTTCCGTCTCGGACGGCTTCTGCGATCCGGATCCGAGTGAACGGTCTTGCCAAGGCTGCCTGTCAGGCCCCGAGCCAGTTCAGGGAAGCGAAGAATAAACATGTCGTGTGTATCATTGTTGCTTATTTATTCCTATCCTACATCTTCGGCCTGGCTCTTCGTGTGAATCTGCCGCAAGTCTGATGTGGTGGCCCATGTCGCGTGTATGACGGTCTCCTGAAGTGACTGGCTTCTCTATCGACTGCCTCTTTTTCCCCTCGCCATGCAGGTGCGTATCATCAGACGACCCTCGTCGACCAACAATGCCACAGGCTGATGCCCTACAGGCCTCACACGGTGCGCCGAGCTATGTGCGCAGGCATACGCCGCAAATTTCCATATCCGACGACAACCACCACGTCACAGAGGCCATCGGAGGCATGTACGGCGGCGACGACGATGATTACCTGACGCCCTCGAACCGCAACTCGCGACCGCTCAGCTTCGTCGGATCCGCCATAGAGGCCTACCAACTCGCNCCCTCGTATCTCGATACTAAGCGCTCCTCACCGCCCCGATCCCCGCTTCAGCAGACTGGTAGCAACGAGAAACTGCCCTCGTCCGACACGGCCTCGCGCAAGGGCAGTCTCGGCTCCGAGAACCTCCCTCTGGACTCGTCTTCNCCGCCCACGTTATCCAGGAAGTCATCGTCATCAGCCGAGACGGCAGTACAGCAGTTTCCNCTGAACGATATTGACTATGAGTCGAGTCCTGCCGCCGTGGCTCAAGAGCTCAACAACCTTCAAGCCATCCGCCGCATGTCCATGAGTGTCGACAACGCAGACCCCGACCTACCTAGTTTTGGATCCTCCGCTCCGACTTCACCAGAAGCGGTCGATGAAGATGAAGCCTCGCGCTTGTTCTGGGTCCCAGCGCGCCTACATCCCGAGCTTGCTCCCAAGGAATTCAAGACATTTGTCGAAGACCGCGTCGATCGCATAAGAAAGCGCTCTGGGTCTGGTGACTCGCTGATGCCTGGTGTGGAAAGGTCGAATTCTGGTAGTAGTCTCACAAGGAAGAAGAGCATGCTTTCACGCCAGATCGATTCGTCCAGNGGATATGAAGATGGTGCCGAACGCTTGCAGCGGAAGCGATCAGAGGGGGAACAATCACAGATATCACCGACAGCCGAAAATTTGCAAGAGCTGGAAGGTCTGGTCAACAACGTCAGTCTAGACTCTGCCAGGAACAGTCTTGATTCGGGCGTACAGATGGCCGATGCCCCGGTTCTGCCTGCTCCAGGTCCTGCGCTCAAGCGGTCTACAAGAACGTATATGCGCAAAGATCGTGCACCTTTCTCAAGACGTGGCCACAGCCGCCAACCTGACAGCAGGCAATCCGAGTCCGATGGTGAAGGAAGCCGAGCTCCCTCGCCCGCTTTGTCAATGCGAGAGCCTCCTTCCCCAGGTATCAACCGTGTACAGACTGAGCCTGCATTAGCTCGTGATGCCGTTGCTGGTGCTGGACGCCTGTCCTCTGCTTCTTCAGAAGATTTGATCCAACATAAGACGAAGGCTAGCCAAGCCAAAGATAGCACTCCTCCTCAGAACGCTGTCCCCGCCACAACTTTCCATTCACGGATTGCTACCAATGGTCGGACTACTGCTCCTATCCCTGGTGTTAGCAGTCCGATCCCACACATAGTCGAGACGCCTCCTGTGACCAACAGCTTTACTGTTCCGGAACGNAAAATCATCACACATCCCACCCTCTACCCCGCTACCAACCCAGCAGCATTCGACCCTGCTCCTCCTTCACATGGGCCAGCGCAACATCATGCCCCTCCTCGTGCTCGTCCGAGTGCTAGAGGCGCTCACTCCCGTCCGTCCATGATTCACTCCAACTCGGCTCGCTCCACCAAGTCCACTCTAGAAGACATATCCTCCCACCCATCACCTCTGCCTGGAAGCGGGAACACGCGGACCGATGCTCTCACCATGGTACCAACATACGAAGAGAAGAAAGTCGAGAAGAAGGACAGCCGCAAAACAAGCTGGAACTGGCTCCTCGGTAGCGAGGAGAAGGACAAGGAGAAGGAGCGTAGGACAGAAGATAAAGAGCGAGAGAAGGAGGCGTCCAAGAAGTTGAAGGCTGCCGCCAAGCAACATCCAAAGACTGCAGAGAAGACTCGCCTGGACGTGCTGCAGTCGTCCATCGATGGCAATGCCACGATTCCCAAAGGTCGAGAGTCATTGGTTCTTGATCGCGAGAGCTTCAAGCTCGACGAAGAGCGTAAGAAGGAGAGCTCGCGGAAATCCGCCGATGGCAGAAAAGACAAGGATTCGGGCATCCTGTCCGCCATCTTTGGAGGTGGTAAGCGATCAAAAGAGCACAAGCAACAATCTCAAGCGCCAAAAGAATCTCTCCGGGCACCTTCTCCAGAGCCGGTTTCAAGGATACTTCGGCCGGACATTGATTACAACTGGACGCGATTTAGCATCTTGGAAGAACGTGCTATCTACCGAATGGCGCACATGAAGCTCGCCAACCCTAGGAGGCCACTACACAGCCAAGTGCTGCTGTCGAACTTCATGTACAGCTATCTCGCCAAAGTACAGATGTATCACCCTCAGAGCTCGGTCCCAACAGCACAGAAAACGGCACAGGCCAAACAGCAGCAACAGATGCAACAGCAACAACATCAGCAACAGCACCATGACGACGCTGAAGCGGATGATAAGGTTCGTGAACGCAGAGAGTCAGTGACAGACCAACGACTAACATTCTTGTAGCAGCAAGACCACGTTTCTGCTGCTGCCGAACAAGCTGCTCAGCCTGTCCACGAGACCCCTAACAACAACTCGAGCCAAAAGGACTACTTGGGATATTCAGCCGACTCACAGCCATTCGGTGACCAAGGCAGCCTTTGGCAAGATGAGGACAAGAGCGAGCTGTGGTGATATGTCAACGCATTTGCATTGGGAAAACGGAGTTTTTGCAACCAAACACACGAGCGGCGTTGTTTTCTCTTCTCCTTTCTGGGTTCTTCTCGTCTTTCCTTGGAAGAACGGATTTTGCATACGAGTTGTCCTTATTCTTCTCCCATCTTTCACTCTCTTATTGTAGTATCTCCAGCGGCCACCGAAATGCAAACGAAAGCCACGACTTTATTTCGATCGTCTCTTGACATGTCCACTCGTCTCTTCTCGTGCAACCCTCACAAGCAGTGGCAGAAGCGAGAGCTCGAGAGCTCGCGCTAGCTATGTACGGCTAGTGGGTCACGGGATCCTGCTAACGTGTTCACCTTGATATTCAGATATCCTAGTTAAATCAATCGACTATCTTGGAAGCCATTCACTCTCTTGTTTGTACCCTTGTGCTATATTCTGGCGAAATTCCCAAGCTACATGACGAGGACATGAACATCTCTATACACACTTGGAATGATACAGTTCTCATTGCGTTATTTAAGGAGGCTCGAGGGTTACCTCTAACGGCATCAAAAGTCGTTCAACAAGTTGCAGGCTTCGGATAAACATATTCAGCTGGCTGCATTCCTGGTGTCTGGATTTCCATGAGGTGCATGGTACAGAGCTCTCGAGGAGAGAAAATGCCGAGGACTTCGATATTTGGAAACGCAGTGGTGTCAAAGCTCGATTGGGTGTCATTTCTCGTACACCGCCTGTTGTGGTTCGAGCCACCTCCTCAAACGGCTCTTCGCAATGCAGCAGCAGCATGCCGTGTGTGGGCTTTGTGGCTTTTGACGTATGACTTCGAGATTTGAAAGGGTCTTGAGTTTTCGTTGGCTGGGGAACGCCAATGAATGCGGGATGGTCTCGAACAGCAGCACGAGCCCGCGATTTACGACAGTGGCTTGGTTGCATCAAAGGCTAATCGTCATTGAACAAATTATCGACCAGGATTCGGTCGACGTTTCACGATTGGCGGGTTGCAAGGTGTTGAGCTGCGCCTTGAAGAACGATATATAAGTACAAAGGGAGTCACTCATACCATTATTCCCTAGATACCTTGCAACTGCGACGGTATACATATTCACAGATCGCACAGAACCACCGGCATCCACGTAAGTTCCATCTCATTTACCCCACATCATCGGTCCACCACTCTGTTGCTAACACCCCCCTTCGAGCATTCAACTAATTCCCCTGTCGCATAGAGCCAAGTCTATACCGCACACACACACACACACACACACACACACACACACACACACACACACACACACACACACATATATGCACATACACTCAACCGAAAAGATGGCCGCTACTGAACGCCAACTGCCTACTAGAACGGCTACAAACATGACCGACGACGATGCCATCCCTGACGAGGATACCAGCGAGGTCACCAAGCTCTTCCACGAGCGCCTGCAAGCATGGAAGCATGCGTGTGGTTACCTCGAGGACTACGTCTCAGCCACTGAGAAGATGCAACACTCACACGCAAAGGAGTACGAGAAGGTGCTCAAGGTCAGTCACAGCCCCTTTCCACCCCGGCTGCGTGCAAATAGTATGGCTGTAGAAATGCACAATACTTTTCACAACAGAGCGAGGTCCACTGAGAGCCGCAAACATGATGACTCTCAGTGGATACTCCCTGTTTGTCGACAACACTGTGCATTGCTATGGCTACCTGCGTTGCATGGCACGGCGAGGAGATCTCTTAAAACCATCGCACGATACTGAAGACCCTGGCAGACTGTCTCGCANCCCCTCAAGGAGGGCCACCACTTCGACCAGAACCTGGGCGGTGTCGCTGGCACCTTTGACACTATCCGCTCAAACACTCAGGTATGACAATGAGCATATCGAGAAGCGAGCATGAAACTAAGCAGACACCAGGGCATCTCCAACTCGCACGCCGAGACAGCAAAGACCCTCAAGGGCTCCGTCCTCCCCATCTTCGAGCGTCTTCACACCGAAATCAAGAACAAGACCAAGGAACTCACAAAGGGTGCCGGCAAGGGTGGCAAGCTCGTCGACAAGGCCCGCGCAACATCGCAGAAGCACATTGAGCAGCTTGGCCAGCACACTGCTTCCTTTGACAGCACTGGTGGCAAGATCAGCGCACACGAGGATCCCTACGTCCTTCAGCGTGGTGTCTACCACCGTCTGAACAAGCAGATCATTGAGGAGAACAACAACCGCAACGATATCATCGCTGTGCAGAACAGCTTCGCCCAGTTCGAGGCCCACATCCTCACCACCGTCCAGAATGGCTTGACCCAGTTCAACCAGGTCGTCGGCAACCAGGCCGAGCAGACTCGCACCATGTACGGCAACATGACCAGCACTGCCCAGCAGATTGCTCCCGACTTTGAGTGGAACGGCTTCGTCCAGCGCAACAACCAGGTTCTGATCGACCCCAACGCTCCNCCACGCACCATGTCCAACATCAGCTTCCCCAACCAGAACCACAGAGCTACCGAGCCCTTGATTGCTGGTGCTCTGGAGAAGAAGGGCAAGCTGCTTAAGAAGTACGAGTCCTCGTTCTGGGTCATCACTCCTTCCAGATTCATGCACGAGTACAAGACCGACGACGACTTCGCCAAGGATCCCATTCCCGAGACTTCTCTGTACCTACCCGACTGCATGATCGGTGCCCTCGATGGTCTCAAGTTCCAGGTCAAGGGCAAGGACGTGTCGGGCAGCAGCTTTGGCAACAAGCTCTCCATGGCACACGAGTATGCCTTCAAGGCTCATACTCCTCAAGACGCTGCCAAGTGGTACGAGTGCCTCAGAGGCTCGACCGGCACAACCACCAACGAGCTTCCNCCTACCAGTCCTGCTACTAGCAGACAGCCCAGCGCTGCCATGGGATCTGCCGTCTCACCCACAGACTCTTCGGAGCCCACCAAGGTCTTTACCGAGGAAGACACACGTCCTCGNACCACCGACGCTGCTGCCCTTGAGGCTGAGCGCAAGGAGGCTGCCTATTCCGCAGCCGGACCCACCGATGGCGTCGCTACCCACAGCAAGGTGTAATGGAGCTATCCTGACGTACGAAGTAACGGACAGACAGAACACAGCGACGATGATTATGAGCGGTTGACTGATTGATTGCATGATACCTCTAGAGTTTTGTAGTAGAGCAGTAATAACATGGTTGTTTATTTCTCATTGGTTGTGCCTCGTCGTATGCTCATGTGCGTGCCTTCATTTTCCTGTAACACCCAATGCTCAAACTGGCTTGTCGTCCTTTCTCAGCATCCACCTCATCTCATCTGCCTGCTCCTTGGTGACCAAGGCTTCCAGTCTTTCGATCCTCATAAAGTCATGATCACTGTACTCGAAGCCAGGAACAACCGTCTCACTAATCAGCAAACNCCCATTGTTGGCGGGATCGTCACCCTCCAGCGGCAGCAAAAAGCTACTCTTGTATTTTCCACCATCGACAATCCACTGCAGCTTCTCGCCCTTTTCCACATTCTGGCCAACGATGAATGTCTCCACTCTTGCCTTTGATCGTACGCCTGAATGCGAGTCGTATTCGGGCATGACCTCGTCGGCGTGAATGATGACGTAGCGGCCCCTTCCTCTGTGCAGTGTATGGATTGTTCGTCCTCTGTTGCGGTGGAAAGCCCCCATCGGCGACTCGGGAGTCAAGAGGTAATGGATACTGGTGCTTGCATTTCTCGTCTTGTCTTGACCTTCGTCTGGACTTGTGGTCTTCTTGTCCGCATCTGTGAGCTTGTTGCTGAGGTTTGCGCTTACGGCGCCGGTGGAGGTGTAGAAGGTTGTTTGCTCATTGTCTGATGCTGAGGGCGAGGTGTTGAGGAAGGGGTTTGGTACGCGGTTGGTGTCGCGGTCGGTTTCGACAAAATAGCCTCCTTCTATGTGCTGTTGGAGGTTGAGGGTGGAGATGAGTTTGGCTAATTGTGGTGATTCGTCGCGCGGGGCTGAGCTGTCTTTTGGCGAGTAGACGGGCTTTAGTGNGGGAAGGGAGGAATCGATTGTTGAAGTCATGATTGAGCTGTCTTGTGTGGTGTTCAGAGAAGATGGTTGGCTCGAGTGCGAAGCTTCGAGATGATCTCTAGGAAGCTCTTTCGTCGTGGCTTGCGTCGACCAGCTGCTTTGGCTCGTTTTCACGTGCATGTCAATCTATCCGGCAGGACGATCTTATGGCAAACTTGGTGTAGCTGAAGTTTTCAATGGAGCCATATGTTCACAAGTACAGACTATATTCGACAAGCGGTCAAGTCCCGCATCAAGCTATTCCCACATCTGTCGTACATTGAGGTTGATCCTCTTTCGTGCCATCCACCCTTTCCAATGTTCATATGTTTCTCCATCTACTCCATCTTTCTTGACAGGCCAATCCGCCATCCATTCTGGACATGTACCTGGCAATATCTGGGGCACGCCGTGCCAGGCATACCGAGCTGGACCAGACATGACAAGCGCATCCCCAGACCGTAGGCGGATCGCAAGACCTTTGCTACCTTCTAGGCCTGCCATAAAGATTGCATCGCATCCCAAAGAGATACTGACTAGTGGTCTATCGCATTCCTCGCTCACGTCTCGATGCAGACTAAGTGTATCACTAGGCGTGTAGAGGTTAACTATGGCCGCCTGTGCTTTCATTGATGGGAAGAGCCCTTCGACCAGTGCGGCCACATCTTTGGNGAAGGGCGGTGGTGGTGATGCAGGGTACACTTNTTGGGTCCAATCGTATTGTCCGCCAATAGTGGCCCAACGTAATTTCCTGTTCAGACAAGAAGACATGGGCAGCGGCTTGTGGACGGACGGGTCTTTGGGTTCATGTGAGAGATTTTGAGCTTCCTCACTGAAGAAAGACAATGGGCTTCCATCAGACCTTTGAGGGTATGCCATGTCATAGTGCATGTGTAGATTGGTCTTGTGAGAAGGATTGGACAGGTCCCGATGTAGCAGTTTGTCCAGCAAGGCAAGCTGGACTTGTTTGTGCAGAAGAGAGGGATTATCAAAAGACCTACCATAGGCTCAGAAAGAGTTTCGCGTGCCTTACAATGGAAACGGCGTACCTGGGGCATCTGGGTGTTCGTAGAGTCTAGCAGATTGAAGTGACGGCGGCAATGTATCGACAGGCTCGCCAAGGAAGTGAGAGTAGAGGTTGGTGATATCATCAGGACCTTGTTGAAAGAAATTGCGGTCTTGACAGGCGGACAAATTGCGCCGGTGAATGTCAAACAGGTCAGGGTCTGCATCTAATACGTGGGTGGAGGCCTTTTGGTAGTGCTTGTACTGGCGACGGAGGTCTTCAGGCGGACGAGCATGGGCATCGAGATGGTGGGCCATTATTAGACGCGAGGATTTGTTGATGCAAATTGATGATGATGATGGAGGATATTGTTGGTGGTTGAAAGCGGGTTATGTTGATGTTGATGTTTTCTGAAGGTTGTTGTGTTTGCATCTTGGCTCTGTTGCCCACTTTGTGTTTACTTTTGGTGGAGCGGCAACTTGTTGACGAAAATAAAAGAAGTTGTGCTCGACTTGATTGACAGCTCGACCGACGGCCTTTCGCTCTTTGATCCAGTCATCTCAGTACTAACCTGCAGCAAACCGTCTTCGCCATTGCCGCCACTCCAAACTGCCCCTTTCTCGTCGCCAAAAGAGGCACAAACGGCTGCTGCTTTGAGCCCCAGACGCAGCGCATACTCATACATCACAGCCCGCCAGCTGCCAACTCGACTCTCACTCCAATACGCATCCACAAGTCGCCGTCATGGAGAACTACCAGAAGATGGAGAAGATTGGCGAGGGTGAGTCTTGCCCAACACGCCGGCGCTGGGCCTGAGCACCCCAAAACTGACGACTGTGTTGCNNAGGCACATACGGAGTTGTTTACAAGGCGCGCGACCTCACCACGCCCGACAACCGCATCGTCGCCCTCAAGAAGATCCGTCTGGAAGCCGAGGATGAGGGCGTGCCGTCGACGGCCATCCGCGAGATCTCGCTCCTCAAGGAGATGAGTGACCCCAACATCGTGCGCCTGTTCAACATTGTCCACGCCGACGGCCACAAGCTGTACCTTGTCTTCGAGTACCTCGACCTGGATCTGAAGAAGTACATGGAGGCTCTGCCCGTCTCGCAAGGAGGCCGTGGCAAGCCCCTGCCCGAGGGCTGCATGGACGGCCGCGCTGGCCACATGGGACTCGGCGAGGCAATGGTCAAGAAGTTCATGCACCAGCTGTGCGCCGGCATCCGCTACTGCCACGCCCACCGCATCCTCCATCGCGACCTAAAGCCGCAGAACTTGCTCATCGACAAGGAGGGCAACCTCAAGCTCGCCGATTTCGGTCTGGCTAGAGCCTTTGGTGTGCCGCTGCGCACCTACACTCACGAGGTAGGTCTCCCCTTGCCAGCCTCTACCTTCTATATGCTTGTTCGAACATAAACTTGACGTCTGAAACTAACACCGCCTAGNGTCGTCACCCTCTGGTACCGCGCTCCTGAAATCCTCCTCGGCGGGCGTCAATACAGCACAGGCGTCGACATGTGGTCCGTTGGCTGCATCTTTGCCGAGATGGCCACTCGCAAGCCTCTCTTCCCCGGCGACTCTGAAATCGACGAAATCTTCAAGATCTTCCGCATCCTCGGTACTCCCAAGGAGGAGGACTGGCCCGGTGTCACCAGCTTCCCCGACTTTAAGCCCAGCTTCCCCAAGTGGTCGCGCAACCCCGACGACGACATCATCAACCACGACGGCGCAAGAGTCCTGGGCGAGGACGGTATCGACCTTCTCGAGTCGCTGCTCATCTACGACCCTGCCGGCAGAATCTCAGCAAAGCAGGCCTGCCTACACCCCTACTTCAACGACTCAAAGTACTACGGCGCACGAAACGGCTACCACTGATCCAGTCCCGAGTCGCCATCGCCGTCGCCGTCACGTCTTGATGTCCTCTCGTATTCCTCTTCGCATCTCTTCATGTCCCCAACAACCTTCCTTTCTTTTCAAAACTACCCAATTCTCTGCATCGGCATGGCTCGTCTTCATTACTGGCGTTTCAAGGCGAACCACGGGGCAATCGTCTCAACTGTCTCTGTTACATTTCTCTTCCATTCTGTTTTACTTCTCGGTTCCGATATCTCGTCGAGCCATGCCGGCTCATGCCCCGCTTATGTTCAGGAAAGGCTTTTTGGAGACCGTCTTCTTGATAGGCTTCTTTATTCGCAATGAATCTCCTTCTAGTCATGATATGTGTGCCACCTTATATTGATAGTCCATGTACAGTGTAGTGTTTCAGTACTCGAAGAGCAGCCCTGCCGCATACTCTACGTTACCGCTGGTTGCATTGAGTGCCGCAATCGCTTGTTGACTCGAGAATCCCAAGTTCTGCAATGTTTCAATGTCCTGCGCAGGGAAAGAGTGCGCTGGTACCGGTATCGTCGGCGGCAAGTTGCCTGCACCGGGCCTCTCCACGCCTCTTCCTCCCTGCAACTGACCCGACGGCGGCAATGCATGCCTGATTGCTCTCGCCATGCCTGCAGCCCAGTGCCATGGCTCACCGTGCTCGCCGGGCATTGAGTTGAAGTACTCCCAACCCATAACACCGCCAAATGTCGGGTACTTTGCCCGCAGCATTCTCATCACATCGTGAGAAGTGCTTTGCTCCACATAGCCCGCTCCGTTTCCTGGGCTCGTGACTAGACCGACGACGACTTTGTCTGCGCGCCATCCTACACTCATGATGGCATCGTACCAGAACGTCGTTGTCGCATCGCCCCAGCCGCAGTAGAATTGTGTATTGTACCATGCGATTTGGTTGCCGCGCATCTGCTCCAACAGTCTGTAGTCAAAGCCTGACAGATGGGGTTGGTTTGGAAGCAATGCCGTGGCCACCGGAGCCAGTGTAATGAGAAAGGCAGGACCGAAGTCCGCACGCAGACGGTCAATCAAACGAATGACTCCCGATATTGTCATGTGTTCCTCAATATCCAAATCCAAGCCCGAGAGATTGTGTTTGGATATCAAAGCGTGCAATGGTCTATAGTAATCTTCAANACTGTTACCCGAGACACGATGTTAGCCTTTCCGAACCTGCGTTTATGAATATGCACATCAAACCCAGTTTCTCACCTTGCGACCATCGGGTCCGTCGAGTCTCTCGAAACTGCCCTTTGCAGCACCACCCAGCATCCCCAGCACCTTGACGCCGGATGCTTGCAACCATGCCACCTCTCCCCATAGCGTTTCATATTTGGAGGCGTGCGGAGGATCATCGTTCAAGGTAATGTTGCCCGGACCTTCGTTCAGATGGATAGCCGCCACTATTACATGCGTCACGCCCGTCTGGTTGGTAATGAGCGGCAGCAGAGACACGTATTTCCCATCTCGGTGTATTGTTTGGTGGTAGACGATGACTCTCGGCCCTTCGCTGGTCGGCAGTAGTCTTGTCGTCGCCGGCGTCGCTGATGCCATTGTAATTGTGATCTTTTCTTCTTTGGGTTGTTTGTATCTCTCGTGCGTAACAGCGACAGAGTCATGTGTGGGTGACACAAATCTAGGTGGAGTGTGCAGATGGTATCATCTCCCCTCGCCCGCTTTCGCGCGTTGGTCCATGCCGGCCCAAGAGATCAGCAGCGACCATATCAAATCTACCCATTCCACCCACTCGGTGACACCACACCGCTCGACCAGTTGACTCGTGCAGTATCAGGAGCACGGTGCGAAGAAATGTGACGAAAGAGATCACCATTGATTAGCAGTGGTCCCAAATTGCTCACTGCTGTGAAATGTATGCATCGTTGATTTTGCTGCTTCTATATACAATGATTGCAGAGTCAGAGACTGATACCGAGCAAAGAAACCCCCATAGCCCAAAATACAAGTAATCCGTGGAAGTGAAATGTTCATCAAATGGTATCATGTGAAAATCGAAAGAACGCCCCCACTTCTGGTCCAAGTCCAACCCTCCTGCGACGCAAAAAAACAAAGGAAACCAAGGAAACAAGAAAATTTGGCGATCGGGATCACCAAGAGAATTCCTCGAGAGGCCCGGAAGTCGCGGCCATACCAGGAGCAGGAACGAGAGGCAGAACCTGAGGAGGTTCAGAAAATACTGGAATCTTCTCATCGAAGTACTCCATCATGTCTGCTCTGAGCAAAGAAGCAGTGCGAGGTGTGGAGACGGTAGCTGCGTCTGTAGTAGAATCCGCATCGTTTTCGGATTCGTCGGTGCTGTAGAGAGAGCTGGAATCATCGTGGAAGACCTTGCCGCCATTTGCCGAATCATTTCTAGCTAGCTCCTCGGCCTCGCTTTCAAGTGAGAAGTTATCTTCCTCAAGGTCTACATCTGTCAGGCTTGTACATGAACGCGAGAGTAAAGATTCAAACATACCAGAGTCTGAACCTTCCGGAAGGGCAATGTTCGCTGGGTTTACAAGGTCTTCGACCTCAGGCTCAAGAGGAAGATGCTCCTCGGCATCCTCGAAAAGAGCGTCATCTTGTGCCTGTTCTGATTCTGGGTGTGGGAGTTCCTCTGTGGATTGTTGATCTATTGGTCGTGTGGATTGTTCTGGCGTGACTTGTTCTTCGTCCATTTGCAATGCTTTTTGTGCATTCAACTCTGCTTGAAGTTCCATGTATGCTTCGTCCAATTCCTCATCGTCGGCCACTTCGCTTCCAATAACACTCAATCGTCTGATTGAAGTGGCGTCCAGCTCGCTGAAGAGGTCGGAATGATATACAGGCTGGCCTGCGTCGGACTTGGAACGATGTTGGAGCAGGGGTGCAAGCGAACCAGGAAGCTCAACGGGTGCACAGTAGAGGCCGCCACCTTGTGGTAGCTGCGTGAATATGGGCCATGAAGGGATCTCTGGGCTGGTAAAGACTTCAGGAGCTGCGGTGGCCGAGGCTGATCGTGGACGTAGTGGACGCGTTGACGCTTGTGGCTTCACGACTGCAGGGACGTTGGTGTTGAACTTCCGGCGCCGGAAAAGATTTCGGAAAGCGCGTTTGAATTGTTCATATGTATCGGCTGGAGATGCTGGGGACATTGTTAGACGGACCGTGGAGAGACTCGACCCCGAGGGGACAATAAATACTAACATGTTCCGGGCATTATGTCACTCTGGTGGGGCGCTTGCCCAGGGCGTGTGCTGAGCAGGGAAAGCTGAGACTTCGTGGAACAGAAGCAGAAAAAGAAGGTCAGAAAGGATGGTGAATGGTCAAGTGCAACTCGAAGAGAAAGAGCAAGGGAAAAGAAGGGAGCGCTGCATGCTTGCGCCGAGGGCAAGAGCGATAGGTGCAGCTAAAGACGTCTTTTCAATTCGTGTCTCGATCCAATGAACGGCACCAGACATGTTTGACTTTGTGCTCCGGCACCCAGCCGGCAGCCAGAAGCTTTCGCGGACCTTTCTAGCGCCGATTGGCGACAGTCGAATGCAATCTCGAGCCAGCCTCTTATTGGCCATCCCATTGGAGCTACCGCCAAAATCGTCCTGCTACGCTGATCATCAGCTTTCCACGCGCTGACTCGCAGCTCCTAGCCTCCAGACTATCGCCATTTTGTCTTTGCCCTGTGTGCTGTCTAATATCCTTCTTTCCTCTTTCGTCGCTATTTGCAAAGCGGCACACGTGGTTGTACAGCGTTCCTAGACCTGCATATGTACAAGAGACTTCTCCCCACTCACCGTTTGCCATGTGTGCATGAAAACGAAACCGTTTTTATCGTATCCGAGCGCTGGTGGCTGCGAAATTCCCAAAAGACGTTGAAGCTATGCCGCTTATTCTGTCCTATCGGGTCCGTCTATCTTGGTTGCCGTCAAGTTTCCAGAAGGCGATGCACATAGCAAGTACGAGTACATACGCGTCGTCTGATGGTCTGCGACGTCTCGTCACGCTGGTCGATTAGATCCTGGAGGGCTCTTGGCCATGGTGCTCTTGCGACATTCGCTGCAGATGATGGTCCGTTCGCTGCCCATGGCGCTCCTGTGACAGGCATTGCCGACATGGGTACTGCTGTGCTCGGCCACGGTGCTCGCGTTGATGGCTGCGAAAAGCTTACGTTTGTGAGATTGGACGAGTTCGATGGCCTTGGTTGAGAGCCCATATGAGCAGACGTGGCGGGCATCGGAGCACTAGGATCTTGCTCCCATCGAAAGAGTGAACCGAAAGGGAAGTGCTGGACAACTGGGAACTTGGACAGAACTTCAGCGTTGTACATCTTGATCATCCCCTGCTGATCTGTTAGCAAGACCACACTGGTATCAGCATGCGCATAGCGTCTGACCTTGTTGATCTTGGCCCATCCGTCCTTGATACCGGATATATCGAAAAGAGTAGGACTGTGCTCCCAGAAGGGGCCATTCTTGACGTCGAATATGAAAGCAATGGCAGAGAAGTACATATTGGTGTTCCTGTACATTTCGGCCGAGTCGCTCTTTGCGGTGCGGTTTGGCGATGGCGAACCCGAGAGAGAGCCCTCATTAGGAATTCTGGTAGCGTCGGCGTCGATGGGTGCACAGTATTGAGCAGAACCTAGGATGTAGGGTATGAACGAATGGTCGTCAAGTCCCCAAACTCCATGAGAACCAGCAGGCTCAAGAGAATAAGTCAAGATAAGCTTTCGAACAAGATCTAGATNAGCTGCATGATGGTGAGCCTCTTGTCAGTAGGAGGTTATCAAGACAAAAACTCACGGTTGTATGACTGCAGTAACAATGGCTCTCTCTTGGACACCACCATCGGCGTGGGCGAAGCCACCCAGCTTCCAGATACAGGCCAAGAATGCCAGGAAGCTCAGCTCGTGGCCGGTACCATAGTCAAGTCTTTCGGAGCTTCCAAAACTACCCAGAAGGTATGTAGCCAATTCGTGATTCAGTGCGCTCAGCTCGGCGTCGTCCCGAGCACGGCCCCACAACCTGTCGGAGAGGGCGTCTTGCAAAAGAGATGGTGTGGCTTCTTGAACAGCCTTGTACCATGTACGGAAGGCAGCATTGCCAAATCTTCGAGGTCCAGACTCCGGAGGCGCTTTTTCCATGAGAGCATCGAGGGAGCGGATGAAATGGTTCAACTTGACCACGTCGGGAGAAAGGACAATGTTCTTTGACTGCAACGGCCATGTATCGACAAGACTTGAGTTGTCTGCACGCTTAATGGGTATCATAGAACGGTTCAACTGAAGAATCCAGGTCATGATGTCGGCATAGGCTGAGCTCCGCAAGAAGAAAGAGAGGTCGTCGCCATCGTTGATACGTTTGGATGGCGTTTCGAAGGGTCGTTGGGCCGAAGGTGCCATGACATGTAGCAATGGAATGCCATGTCCGTTGCGCAAATCGTCGGTCATATTGTCGAACAGTCTAGTTTGTGGTGTTGGACATGGTCGATATGGATGGCGCTTTTCTTTCACGAGAGTCTCGTCGCGCGCTGCTGGTCCAAGCTCAACATACCAACACCAGCCTCTCTCTCGAATTTATGAGCCATCCGATAATTCTCATATCACCATCAACTCAACATGTCATAACATGGCTTCCCGTGGAATCTCAACAAGCAATATCTCACAAGGCGATTCGGATGAACGTGTTGTCCTTCCTGGCTTCGCAGAAGAACCACGAATAACAAAGCTCGGAAGCAGTATTCCGATACCCTCCCAGTCCGATATGCTCGGTACTTGACGCGCTCTCGATGAACCAACATCTCTGAACTGACCATGAGTATCAGACAGTGAGGGCCCAGAAGAAACTTTCCGTCTGCCCATGTCGCAATTTCTGCCCGAAGCCATAATCAATGGCGTTATCATGCCTAGGAGTGAGGCTGTTCGTGCCCCAGATGTATCAATGTCTTCTTCTACTGGCAGACTGAAGAGACCCTCTTCAAATTACATTCACAGAGAACCAGAGACTGCCTCGCGAGGAGACCTGTTCCAGATAGCAGCCTCGCCGGAACGCGGGATCCAACCAAGCTCTAGTGTACTTCGAAATGGGCCCTTGAAGAAGCCTAAAAGGCCCGGTCCTCCAAANCATCAGCAGAAGCAGATAAGAACTGCTCCTCGAATGAACCTGTTGGACGCAGACGCCTCATCAAACGACGTGGTTGACTCACATTCTACAATAAATCGTGCACCGCTCAGACATAACCCTCCACAGCCTTCGAACAAACGGCGAAAACGTAACCATGATGCAGTTTTTGACTTTCCGAACTCGCATCCTAGCTCAGTACGTGATCCACAAGAGGTCACAAACTCGTCTGTACCCAGCCCAACAAACGAGAAGCGAACAACTCGCTCTATGCGGCGTCTAGTGGCGCCTGGATCTGATTCTAAGCAACCTCTACGCAGCCAGTACCGGAAGAACGATGGTTCGAGTCCAGTAGCTCAGGATCAGCCCGTTCTCCCTGCGAATGTCCCATCTCATATACCATACGAGCAGCAACCCATGCTCAAGTCTCACCATCGAAGTCTCCCTGGTTCAAAACAGGTCGTAGAGGTTGTGATTGATGACACTGCCTCGATTCGGCTTCCAAAGGAGGACACAAACACCAGCAACCAGAAAACATCCTCTCCAACCATCGCCCAGAACAACGTCACAGTGAATTCACCAGTCCCATCAGCAGACGTCGTGCAAGATCAAGATCACGCCAGTTCGGCTGCCCCAGCAGATTCTGTAGCTTCTCCGGTGGTCGTCAACGACGTGCAGTCACCTGCGATTGAAGGAGGCCAGGAATGCTCCCATGAAGACTCTCCTCTCTTCGAACCTTATCCGCAGCCTACAAGAGATGCACGGTCACAAGCCGAAGTGCTTGCACATGATGTTAAGAGAGTACAGGAGCTCCACGACCAGTATGGTCCCGGAGATGAGTCTGAGAACTACACTGCAGAAATCAACGATTGTGAGGATGAGGTCAACAGCTCCGAAAACATCTCCATGCCAGAAGACCTGAACGGCGCTCTTGAAATGGCACACCGTATCCACGAAAACGCTGAGGAAATCCGACAGGAGTTCGATGGCATTCACATCCTGAAAAGTTATGGTAGACTGAAGAGAACCATCGTGCAGTGGAAAGCGGCACAGAACTATAGCGAAGCAGGCCATCTTGTTCAGTCCTCTAACGAACTCACGAAAGAAGCAAAGGCAATCTTCCAGAAGCCAGTGTGGGACCAGCGCAAAGGGCTCGATTACATATATAAACGATTATTGCCGACACTTGTGCGCATGTTGTATATCACCTTGGTATACCACCTCTCGAAAGTTCGGACCATGAATAAACTTCCCTATGGACGACTGAAAGAATCGGAAAGCGTGGTCAACGCTATAGTTCTCATCTTCGATCAAGCTAGGAGTGCAGGAACACGATACACTCGTACACGGGATACTATCTCAATGGTCGCTAGGATCAAGAAGGTATCTCAAAGTCTTGGTGAACTTCTGAGAGGCTTCCCACTGGCGAAATCGAGAATGGAGCATACCCAGAGACTTCACACTCAAAGATCGCAGTCAGAGGCAGTTGATCGAGAAGGAGCAGTTGTCCGAGAAGGAGCAGTCGTCCGAGAAGAAACAATTGACCGCGAAGAGGAAGACGAATCAAAAGTGAGGGAGTGGAGACACCGTTGGAATGTGCTCCATGACCAAAGACTCGGTGCGGCAATGGAGGGTCGTGTTTTCTTCAGTCCCGGACAGGACCGCCACCTGCGACGAATTCCTCTCGATAGTCCTTATGTCCCTCCTCCTTATTGGGATCTTGACATGCATGTCAGCTACTTAGCAGTAGGACTTGAAGACTTTGCTGGTATGCTCTACTTTGTCTTTGTTATCAACTTACATTACTGACCAGCTCANGGGCCAAACGTGTATCGAGACATCTTCCGCAAATATTGTCGGCATGGTGGACCGCTTGAGGAGTTCAACGTGGCAGAGATAGTTGACAAGGCAATGTTACTGAAGGAAGCAATTACGAAGGTAATCGAGGAGGACGGCGAGGAGCTGGACCAATGGGTCAAGGATATATTTGATCCGAGAGTGCCTCCTGAAGGTTTGCGGCCAAGGGAAGGTCACTAACAGTAATGGATGACGGATGTTGCTTGTTCCACACATTCAATGGCTTCTGGGTGCTCATTGACTTTCTGGTCTTCTGGACCTCTACGCCTTTCATTGCTCAAATTTATCGAATTGCCGTTTCTTGGATTGATCCTTGTCTGCCTCAGGCACGATGCTGCTGTGATCACCCTGACTGGGATTTATAGCCAGCCACTTTCATCCAAGAAACAGCATCCACTCTTCGATTTTGCTTGTGGAGGGCACAGTTAGTAAGTCAAGAATATAATTGACGTATTCGATGGAGAATTCATGCCGATAGTAAGAGCTACGTGCCACGGGTCGGTCGTTGAGATAGAATTCCAGAATATGTCACACGACCCCTGGAGAACCATCCTCATCTGATCAGCACTTTTGAAGCTTGACCAAGACACCGCTCAAGTACATGATGTTTTACGGCCAAAGTATCCAGCATGTATTCAGTTACCAGAAAGCCAATACTTGTCACACAGACACGAGTAGTTGAGATATTTGAAGGACGATACAAAAGCAGGTTTATACACGTTGAAAGATGCTGCGAGCAAACTACCATCCTTCAACCTCTGTCAACTTGACCCGTAAACCATTCTTGGGTCGAGAAGTGATGCCGCTCTTGACTTCTAGAACGTAATCCCTGTCTTCAAACTCCGTCTCAAACTTGCCACACCAGGCTGCAAGAAGACAAGCAAACTCGGCATTGGCAAATCCTTGACCGATACACGATCTTGGCCCGTGAAGGAAGGTCATGAAGCTGTAGTTGGACTCGGCACCGCCGTTCTTGTTGCTGACGCCATCCGTCAACCAGCGTTCAGGCTTGAACTCCATGGCATCGTCACCCCAAAGGTGTTTGCTACAGTTGATTGCCAGTGGAGCGAGGACAACGAGCGTTCCCTTGGGGATGGGATGCCCACCGATAGTCTCATCCTGAGCAGCGACTCTCATGGTTAGAGCCACAGGAGCCCAGAGACGAAGAGTCTCCTTGCAGACTGCTTGAAGATAGTGGCAGTTGTCGATATCGGCAGCCGTGATCTGGGCCTGAGGATCGCGCACCGAAGGCAGTTTCGAATGTACCTCTTCACGCAAGCGCGTCTGTACCTCGGGATGGCGACACAACATGTAGATAGCCCATTGCATGGATGAACTTGTAGTCTCGTGTCCCGCAGCNNGCTAGTATTGAGGTCAGCATGGTCAACAGAAACATCAGCACCCGAAGACTTACAGGAAAGTCATCATCTGGCTGACAAGGTTCTCGTCGTCAAAGCTTCCGCTTCTCAGAGCGACACTAAGGATGTCGGTCTCATCTGCAGCACCCTTCTCCATGCGAATCTTCTTTGCAGCAATCAAGTCGCGACACGTCTGTTTGATCAGAGCAGACCCCTCTGAGATCTCGTCATTGCGCTTGAGCGGCAGATTCTTGAGGAACCAGCGAGGCAAAAACATGCCGGCGACCTGCATATATCTGGCAGACTTGGGTGGGTGGAAGATAGTCTTGTAAGTCTTGTTCAGTTCATTGTCTGGGTTCTGGAGAGCTTCAAAATCACGCCCCATTCCGGCAACTCCAATGATATCCAATGTAGCTCGGCTGCTCCAGTCACTGACTTCGACGACATTGGCAGAGCTCCCATCCTGGGTAGACGAGTCTTGCATTGCGATAGACATTCTTTCGACCATTTCCTTTGACTTCGACCAGAACACGGGATAAAGGTCTTTGATGTGTCTGTATGAGAAGGCGGGCATGAGATTCTTGCGTTGAGTTCTATGTTCATCGCCCTCTGCGAACAACAATCCGATGCCTAGAATCTTGCCAATGATGTCAAGGAAATGCGCTGGCTTGATGAACTCGTAGTTCTTGCTTGAAAGGACCTCAGCAAGAGTCTTTGGATTGGTCAAGAACACCCTCTCAGAATTGAACCAGTTGGTGTAGCGAATGATGCCATCATTTGGAATCGTATCTATCCATTCACGCATCGGATGACCTGATGGCTGTGCCATTATCGTGGATGCATGGCCATTCCACCAACTGGCCCCCGAAGGTTCAGGGAGATCTCTCAAGGGGCTGAAGAAATTAGGGTATATGACCACTCGCCATGTGGCCCACGCGATAAACTCTGTGAAGGCGATGAGGAAGAAAGTCTGGAGACGCGAGCCTGGAGCGTAGGCAGGCGTGTAGTGCGCCAGAAGTATTGACGCTGCTGCCGAACTGACAAGAATTGGAAGCTTCGGCGGCATGTTCGCTCAGGAGATCGATGCCCTAAGATTTGGCCAATTATCAAGTCGAAGGATTGGCGTGGAGAGTGAGTGATACGACGTGTATGATGACCAAACGCGAGAAGCTCCATGACCATGGAGTTGCCACTTGGGAAGGCGATAGCGCACTGCCTCGGAACTTCGGCCATGTCTCGGCCGCCTCCAAAGATCGGAGTCCTTCCACCGTGCGTTTATGTTTGATGACGAGGTTGGGGTCAGTAATGCAATTATGCCTAGAGTTATGCCCATCATGGCAAGGCTTCCTGTTCTCGATGATGTGCGGACGATTGATTTCTAAGCATCGAAAATCATGATCGTGTTTGACGGTTTCCCTAATTCTAGAGCTAATGACTGTTGTTGGTATATATTGTAACGAGGACTCCCACCAGATCAGACATACAACCTTGCAATCCATACAGAAAATCCCTATATCATGCCTGAAGCAATTTCTCACCACAACATTGTCGAGAACGTCGTTGGAGAATCTCAGCACATCAACCGTGCTGCTCCCGGAGTATGTAAAGTACAACGATATAACTCTACCAGCCACAAACTGAGCATGTACACANNGGTGCCATACTTCACCCCACTCCAATCTCCTCCCGCAGGTGCAGCATTCGTTCGCGAGGATGGCAAGCCGGTGCCCAAGTTATTCCAGCCCCTGAAGCTGCGTGGCCTGACCCTTCCTAACCGCATCTTCCTGTCTCCTCTATGCCAATACTCTGCGGCCGATGGCCATTACCAACCATGGCACATGGCCCACATTGGCGGTATTGTCTCGCGTGGCCCAGGAATGACTATTATTGAAGCAACTGCAGTCACTCCCGTAAGTATTTACCAAAACGAGATGAACCCAGAGTCGAGCTCGAGCTAATTACCTTAAAGNGAAGGTAGAATTACTCCCGAGGATGTCGGTCTGTGGAAGGACAGCCAGATTGCTCCTTTGAAGGAAGTTGTCGACTTTGCCCACAGTCAAGTAAGTAATTATGTGCTATAGATTGTACTGCAGATGCTAATACTACCTACNCAGAACCAACTCATTGCTATTCAGCTCGCACACGCAGGCCGCAAGGCGAGCTGTGTGGCTCCCTGGTTGAGCGCAGCTGCTGTTGCACCAAAAGAGCAGAACGGATGGCCAGACAATGTCCTCGCACCTTCTGCTATTCCTTGGAACGAGCACCACGCAAACCCCCGCGCTATGACCCTTGAGGATATCGAAAGCTTCAAGAAGTCTTATGCTGACGCTGTTCACCGCGCACTGAAGGCTGGTTTCGATGCTATCGAAGTCCACGCCGCACACGGTTACTTGCTTTGCTCGTTCTTATCGCCCACTTCCAATCAGCGCACCGACAAGTACGGTGGAAGCTTTGAGAACAGAACCAGACTTCTCATCGAAACTGTCGATCTCGTCAGAGAAATCATCCCCGAGACTATGCCTCTCTTTGTCAGAGTCAGTGGAACCGAGTGGCTCGAGGAGGTCGAAGAGATCAAGGAGAGCTGGACTTCGGAACAGACGGTTGAGCTTGGAAAGATCCTTGCTGAACGCGGCGTTGACTTGATGGATATCAGCTCGGGCGGTAACCACCCCAAGCAGCACCCTCACGCAGCTCCTGGATACCAAGCACCTCTCAGTAAGGCAGTCAAGAAGGCAGTCGGCGACAAGATGGCCGTCAGCGCTGTTGGCAGCATCCACACCGGAAAGTTGGCAAACGAGCTTCTTGAGGAAGGTCTCGACGTTATCATGGTCGGACGTCTGTTCCAGAAGAACCCTGGTGTTGTGTTCGCGTTTGCCGAAGAACTTGGTGTTGAAGTCAACATGCCAAACCAGATCAGATGGGGATGGTCGAAGAGAGGTGCTTCTCAATTGAAGACTCTGTTGGATTCCAACCTTTAGGATGATTTTCAGGAAATGTGTCGACACGTAGACTAGATTATAGAAAAACATACGTCGGCTTAGAAGACGCCTTATCAAACAAACGAACCACTCATGACCAGCAGAGGTGGAGAACGTAGAGAGAGCAAGGGCAAATCGAGTTGATTAAATGGAGATGAAAATTATGATTGCACGTTGGATAGATGATGGCAAAACACAAATGACAACCAAGCAAGCGATGGTGAAAGAAGCGAAAGAGAGAAAAGCGCACAGATGTGGAAGATGTGTATTAAGGAAGAAGCAGAACAAGGAAAGTATCCGGGTATCTTGGAGGGTATAATGCTTTTTGACAAAGGAGAGCTGATGGCGTTGATGGGCGATCACCTGGATGCAGAGTTTGGGGGATTGAGCTCGACAACAAGTTCACCGGGATTGAGGCCTTTGACTTCAGACCAGAGTTCTCGCTCGGTAGGCTGGGTGGCAGCGAGCCATGCGTCTTCGTCGACAGTCGTGCTTGTGGGTGACGAGGCGCCACTAGAAGAGGGAGGGAAGTGCTTGTTGAGGAGGTAGGGGTAGTCGCTGGCGAGTTTGGAGTCGTGATGGAGGACGTCGATGAGCTCGCTGCTGACATGTTAGCGCGTGGCGGGACATATGACAACAAGGGGTACGCACTTGGACGTCTGGGCGCAGATGCGCTCCAGCACTTCGCGTTCCCTTCTCAGCTCTTCCGGGTCGGGCTCTGGCAGAGTCGCGCCGGGAGTCACGGTGCCATACTGAGGCTGGGCTGCATCTTCGTACAGGAGCCCTTCGCTCTCTGACGCNNCTTTAACCAAGTCAGCAAGGGGCAGCAGCAGTCATGATCAGAATGTACTCACTTCACGCGCAGCTTGCCGGTTGAGGCCGAGACAGCTCGCGCAGATGCCCATGGTCGTTGGAGGCCGCTGTCATCGAGGAATGGAGGCCGGACTGATGCTGGAACGTCGTGCACCATGCATCCACATGCATACTTTTATGCATCCTCCGCCAAGCCCTCAACCAAAACTCCAACCGCTGCTCCTACGCATGCCTCTCTTCCATCTACACCATTCCAGACTCATCACATACCTCGCCCTCTATATCCGTCCACATACTAGATACGAGCTCGTGAAACACTGAATACATCCAAGCTTACTATTCCTGGGCCTGTGTGAGTTTCCTGCCAACATGGTCATCTCGGGACAGCTAAGTATTTACTACTCGTCTTTACTCGATTCTCGAGCGTTGCACTGTTTCCTCTGTCATCACAACCTGATTATGTCCTCCTTCGACCCCCGTTCGCATCTCTTGACCATGACTCGAGTATCAAAAGAAAGTGTTTCATGTTTCAAGCTCAATATTTCGTGTGGTTGCCCCTGCAGCCTGTTGTCTTCATACCTCGCTATTGGGGAATGTATATCTGTCGTTGCGTACGCGACGTGACGCGCTCACACCATACCTCTCCCGCATGAGTTCTCCAGCTGCAGGCACACTTGCCACCTAGATCGGTGGCTACGTGAAATCTACGGGTGAGATCAATGCCCTTTCTGTGCACCTATATAGCCCACATCTTCTCCCATCATGACTAGAACCATATCACGGTTGACTGCTTCTTCACCCAGAGTACAAATACCATCCTTCGTTTGGTGTACTCAAAATGCGTTCATTCGTTTTCTTCTCAACCTTCGTTTTGAGCTTTGTTCTGTTCCAGCTCGTCGCCGCTCGAGCCACCAACCAGCAGAAGCGTGCTGAACAGGATACTAGCCCCAATGGAGTAGTCAACTTCATCCGAGATCTCTTTGGTCTGACTGCTCGTCAGGAGCAGGTCTGCGTTGAGGATGACATCTACACAGAGGTTCACGACTACCCTAACGCCAATGAATTCTGCAACCGATTCTTGAGCAATCCNCCCAATGTGGTCGCTGTCTATAATACCCCCGTCACGTAGGTTCCGAAATTCTCAATACGTTGGTAACCGTCCTGACCATTTNNCAGAACTGTTACAAATACCTACACGACCATCACTGCGACTACGACCAACACCGTCAGAGTCGCCGTCACTGCTTCAGCTGATGTCGCAACTAACGGCAAAGTCAAGCGTAACCTTGTGAAGAACAGGTTCGACTCTGGCGCAGTCGCTCGTTTCATCAGAGTTGCCGAACACAATGGCATTGCCACTGCCGACCCTACCTTCATCTCTGCTATCTCTAGTGCTTGCAGTTGTCAGATTCTGACTCCGCTCACCACTACTGCGACCTACACCGAGGGTGTTTCGGTGAGTTCATTGAAGTATTGGGTCGATGACTATGCAACTAATTTTCCTAGNACTTTCACTCGAAGCGCTTATGCCAACACGATTCAGACCGTGAACACTACAATCACGAGCGGAATTGTTACAGCAACTATCACTGCTGCTGTCGAAGTCTCATCGGAAGTTGTGGTGCCATCAAGCCCCTCCAAGGTTGGCCAAGTGCCGTCAGCAGACGTGGCATCATCGACCAGCATATCTAGCACTGCAGCTTCGCCCATCGCGACGTCTCCTGCCATTGTCTGTCCTGACGATAACAACACCATCGATAGCCAGCTTATCGACGGACAGCTTTTCCAGTACCTCGTGCAGTGCGATACCGACATCACCGATGACAACTTGGCCCAATACCGCTACGAGGCCTTCACCGAGTGCGCAGCCGCATGTGGTAGCGCTAACTATGGCTTCAGCTCGGCCGTCTGCCAGGGTGCCGTCTTCTACCCCGGTGCAACCGTACGCTCAAACTGTTTCTTGAAGAAATCCGCCAACTCAACTGTGGTTGCTGGAGGCATCAACGCGGTCATTCTTCAGAGAATTGAAGTCGCGGTTACTGATTCCACCACCCCCAGCCTAGTATACCTTCCCTCCTCGACCACTTCCAGTATTGATACTTCTTCGATACTCTCTTCTATCCTCCAGAACAGTACTACCTCTATCCCTATCATCACTCCCGCTGCAGTACGCAACGCAAGACTTGCCACATCTTACTCAACCTATGTTTCTGGAGGAAGTACATACTCATCTGCGCTGATCTATTCTACCTACGCCTCTAGCAACGGCTCCTGGTACGAATCCTACTATACCACTTACACCGTCGCTTGGGCGGCATCTTCCACTCAAGAGGTATCTTACGCGACTTCTTCTTCGTCAAACAGCGGCGGTAATGGCGGATCTGCTGGAGGTGCGAATGGTGGAGATTCCACTACTGGATCTTCCGGCTCTTCTGGTAATTCGACTGGACTTGGCGGTGGAAGTGATGGCGGTGCTGGTGGATCTAGCTCCGCTGGTTACACCATTATCACGACTGTCTACAACAACACCGAGACCAACGGAAACCAAGAGATCCGCAACGAAACCATTGTGACCACCTACACCTGGTCAAACGGCACGACTTCATCTTCATCTACTACCACGATCACAGACACAATCATTGGCTCATCGTTGGGAGGCACTTCTGGTAGCTCTTCTGGCGAGACGGGTGGTACATCTGGATCATCTGGTGGTTCCGCAGGCGGATCGGCTGGAAACTCAACCGGCGCAACCGGAGGCTCCAATGGAGGTGCAAACGGTGGCAGCAACGGAGGTGTCATCACAAACGGCACAATCATTGTTACCAACTCCACCACAGTTACCAACAACACCATCTCCGTCAACGGAACAGCTGGTGGTGCCAACGGTGGCAGCAATGGCGGATCTGGAGGTGGTGCTGCCGGAAATGTCAGCACCGATGTTATCGTCTCCACGATCTTCTCAACCGAAGTGTCGACCGTCTACATCACTGCTTCAACTCCATTCACAGCCTCCATTCCAGATGCTGGTCGTTCAGGCTCTGACTCGCCTCCAACTTCGACCCCTTTCCCAACTCTCACACCATCGTTCCCCATCAACGGCACACTCTTGACTAGCATCCCTCTGTACAACAGCTCTAGTGGGGCATACCTTCCGCCCTACGCGACTGGCGGCATACCTTTGCCACCAGCAAATGCCACTACTTCAGGAGGAGATCGTTCGGGTACCGCCACTCCACTGACCACTCCATATGGGTTCTCCAATGCTTCGACTACTGTTGGACCTACTGGTACCGCACCAAGTTCGTTCTCAGGCTCTATTCCCAGCGGTGATCGTACTGGAAGCTTGGCGCCTCCTACGGGTACCCCGGGTGTGAACACAACCTCGACGGCACCATCTGCTAGCTTCCCTTTCTCTAGCAGCAACTCCACACTGGCCATCCCCACTGGTACTGCTTCTTCCGCCAGCTTCTCCTTTCCCACTGCAAACTCGTCCTTCCCTCTGCCGACTGGAACCGCACCATCCGCCAGCTTCCCAGTCCCGACTGGCAACTCCTCGGTGGTAATTGGACCTACTGGAACTGGTCCCTCATCTGGCTTCCCTTGCCTTCTGCCAACTCTACAATCCCGCTCGGCACTGATGCCCCTNCGCTCGGGCACTCTTACACCGTCCGGGCCTAGTGCCACGCTCCCTTCAGCCACCAACGGCACCTGTACCGATATGCCACCTGTGACCGTGACCATGTTCTCTACAATCACGGAAGCAGCCACTACTGTGTATGCGACTACCACGTTGTTGGGCTGCTATTCCAACTGCCCTCCCGCAGGCCAAGGTTTCTATGGACCATTTGGCGGCTTCCCTAACCCTACGACTCCTGCCACCACCTCTGCTACCTGATTGACACGAATGATCCGTCACGAACAATGGATGGAAATGGTTTGCTTGCGATGGTCAAAGATTCATGAACCTTCGAATATTCGAGAAAAGATAAGGAACGAATGAGGTGCAGGATCTGGATATCTGGTTTTGATATTTGTCATGTTTCAGCAATGGGGATCAGTAGCATTAGAAGAACCTAGTAACATGTTATATAGCAGCTTTATCATTCACCTTGCCGTCACAAGACCTACAACATCTTACTAAGTCTCTACCAAATCACATGACATGACACGCTAGGATGGCTAAAACTCCAACGCGTTTCGCTCTTCATTTTGTCTCATTTTCTCCCAGTCATCGACTCCTTCGTGTAACATACCGCACTTCTGTTGCAGGAGGTGTAGTGGTTGGAAAGCCAATATAGACCAACCATCCTGATGGACTTGATTGGTCAAAAGGTACCTGCATATATGCGAGCTCTGCATAATCTGCACAACTTTCACAAGCACATGCTCTGATGCACAATTTACCATGACTTTCGTTTGCTCGGATACCTAGAAGAGAAATACTGAAAACTTGAAAGGGGAAAAACGAAAATCGACCGAAAACAGCAACTTGGACGAATGACCATAGCTCACAGAAGAAAAGACTTCTCTGGACCAAATCAAAGCTTCGAACGATGTTGCTCCAACCTGGAAGACACGACATCTGCTCGAACACACAAAAGGAACACTGCACCACAGAATCATCCCATCAGCGCGCTTTTCCAATGGCCTGAGTCTTTCGCTGTTTCTCAATCTGCAACTGGTAAATCTCCTGGTCGAGGTCTTTGATGATCTCGTAGGATCTTTCGATGGACGCCTTCAGCTTACTGCCCTCGGATTGCCATCGCTGGATCTTTGCAATTTCTGCAGCACGACGGCGGAGCTTGGTGTCGATCTTCTGGCAGATCTTGCACTTGTCGTTGCTTCTGGCTACTGCATAGACAAGCTTCATGCCGCAGGTCTCTCCGGTGCGGTACTCGCGGTTGCAGTGCTGGCGGAAGCGGTCCCACTTCCAGTCGCCGCAGGTCCACATTACTTGGTCGAAGAAACACATATCTGGGAGAAGGGCTCTGATGGTCGTCAGCACGAAAGTTTCTGGATATCCTGAGCGTTTAACACGAACCGGTTCTTTGTGGTATCGTAAGAGGGCAAGGGGATATGGATGAGCCGGATCGATAAGGATGTGCGTCTAAGAATGATTTGAGCCACTGATAGTTGGTCTCAAATTAGGTAGGAGGCGGAAGGGGAAGGAGGTAAAGAGTTGGGTGCTTAGATGGTTGCCAGGTGTTGGAGACGAGTCAATGCTTGATGGTTCTATCTTCTGGAGGACCTTGAACCAGCTATTTATGCTTTTCTCAGCAGCAGGGGACTTCGACTCGATCCATCCGACGATTGCTTTGCTGTCAAGTACATCTGCAATAGCTCTCACCATTCTGCAAGACCACCTCCGGTATCCCGCCTTGGACCACTCAATGAGCTCTGCAGACATGCATCAGGATGCCATTGGAGCTAGTCGATCTTCAAGTATGGGTCAGGATGCCACCCCGACCCTCCAACGCTTGCAGAGACATGAGCAGAGATATCACGCCTCCGTACGATCACCAGCGGTGTGGCTTTTGGCTTTTGCTTTGCTCGCCTATTCCTTCTAGCCGATGCTCGATTGCTCAAACTCGAACTTGCCGTCATGCTTTGGGGCGCCCTCGATGTGTTGTCGTGGTAAGGGTCAGGCAGTGTGCCTATGGTTTGAAGCTTCAGGAGACGACCATACCGGACTTCTCTGATATCACGTGCGCTGGCCTTCTTCCTCGAGCTCCCCTCGCACTTTGTTTGTTTGTTTGCCTTGGCAAGGACCTCTGTCCATTGGACACTTATTTTTCTTCCACTTCGGACTATGCTGCCAACCCTCAACCAGAAGGTTCATCTGCTCTGGCGGTTTGTTCCGCATGCATCGGCTTTTCTTGCTTGTCGGTCTTCTTCAATCTCGAGAGAGAGGGGGCGCAGAATACACATGCTGGTTCGGTACCAGGAGTGCAGTTCATTGAGCTGACTAGCAGAAGCGGTAGCGGTCGGGACATCGGATGGCTCGATACGATGGCCTGCCATAGGCCCTACTGCTGAGGAATGGCTAAGGAATGGCCGAGGGAGTTGTGGGCTTGCATGCAGCATTCATTGACTTGGCGAGAGCATACGCGGGCGGGAAGCGTCGTTGTCCAGTCAGCTTATCGTCGAGGACTGCGATCGTATCTGGACATTACCACATGGGTGGAGCATTGCCCATGAACAAGGTTCATCCGTCCTTGGTCCACGCCTCATGCGTCTCCTCGCTACTCGGATGATCGTCAAATTGCATTTCAACTCCAGTGCATAGAGCCGGAAGCAACATAACAGGTCAATTCAACGCAGACGGCAGCGATGGGCTGATGGTGCTTGCCTAGGCCTGAGGAGTACCTTCGTCACCCGTCACCTCAGGCAATCACGGCTGGAGCTGGCCGACGCTAGAACTGAGAGGATGCTCCTTGTCTCCGCCCTTGTGACGTGGCAGTAGGAGTATGGCGGGCTAATGAAAAACCACCGTCACTGTCATTTTTTCTGTGTCGGTTAGCAGGCTAAAATGATGATCAGAAAAGCTTCTGATGGATTTAGTGTGATACCATTCACCACCCGGAGGCGCTTGGTGAGGCAATTGACGACAGTTCCTTTGATCAACGCGAGCAAAAGTCTGCTCCAGATTTATGTTCATAAGCGACAGCAATGCATGACTGCAACGGATTCTGGATTCTGGATGGCGGGTAAGTTATGCACGCCCAGCGAAAGCCCTGGTGTCCGGACTTCCACTCCTGGACAAATCTGACAATTCAACACATACCACAGCCAGGCTTAGCTAGGGATGATCAATCGCCATGTTTGTTTGCAGCATATTGTCCAAGAGATGGACATGCAATCATCAGCAGAAGAAGCTGAAACACTTGTCGCGCTCTATAAAGTTGAGCGCCAAAATCCAGTTTCAGAATAGTCGAATGCTCTAGATGCTGTTGCACACGAAACATCGCAGTGAGGGTCTTTGCTGTGTAAGCAGCTCATCGTAATAAGAAAAAAACAAAGCAGGTACGAGTAAGCACAGTCTGGCGACCAAAAGACAAAGCTCCACCCTACAGTCGACGTCGAAATTTACCTTTCTCAGGCTTTCTGCAAGAGCTCTGATGCCGGACGAATCAGGTCATGTGAGTGTTCGATGCTGCTTGGTGTCTTCATCTCATAGACCCGCCTTTCTGCATCGTTGGAAGGGCGGGAGACAGCGGATTGGGGCTGGGATGCGACGACGGCGGACCGCTCACAGCGGAGCAAAGTCACGATACTGCCAGCCGGACATGCACAAGTTGATCCGGGCGTAGCCTTATTGGTGCAATGAATGCCAACTCGCAGGACCAATTGTAAATCGAGTAGAGGCCGATCTTGGCGCAGTACCCCAACCTGAGGCGACAAAGGAAACGCTTTGTACAGTGCAGTTCTATGCACAGATACTTGCTAAACCTGCATGGAAGACTGGCATCTCAAGGTTTGACCCTGTGAGTTCGTGGCAGGTACGCGAGAAAAACGCTACTACCCGGCCCAGCCTCTTCATTTTCCAAGGAAGGCAACAATAGCAAGAACGGTCAATGCTGATATAGCGGCATCTGGAGGAGGGGCCATTTGTAGAAAAGTTATGAAAACAGAAGGAAGTGGGGACAATGTCTTTGCGAGTGATATCTTGGAAGGGGAGAACGAGGGACACTCGGGATGATAGAGAGACGAAGGAAATCTTGCTCACGTGCGTGAGAATATTGTCGTACACTCCCGAATAGCATATTTCAACATTCGTGGGAGATACGTGAGCAGAAGTCGAAATGAATCTCTGTGCGAGCGCGTAGATCAGGTATGCATAGAACAATTGATGGAATCAGCAGAAGATGTCACGGGCGGCAAGGCCCGCGCTTGGACCAGCCCCACCTGCTTCACCGCATCGCACGCAACACGCTGCCACTCGTCTTGTTCAAGAATCAAGTCATACATAATCAGCATGGCGTCAAATGTCACAGCTAGCACCGTGTCTCTCACGAGGACTGTACCGAGCCTCGAAGCTCTTCCAGACGAACTTCTTCTCCAAATCCTGAGCCATCTAGACTACCCTTTCCTGCTGGCTCTTTCTAGAGTGAGAACTCTCGGTCTTTGCTGTGGCTCTTGCTGAAGCACTTTATAACAGGTGTCACACCGACTTCGATCCGTCTCTCTTGATCATGTTCTGTATTTGCACCGTCTGCACAAGTCATCTGTACATTTGTCGTTATTCTTGCCTCAACGTCCTTCATTACGATCCATTCAACCTCCTGCTTCGGCGATATATCTAACTCGTACGCACGTTGCTGCGCGCAATCTCCATTTTCGCCTGCTGTCAGCAACTCTCAATCGATCTCTGTCCCGGCGACCGTCCGTCTCTTCTCTTGTCAACGCACGTATTTTGCCCAAAGATTGCTGTCGGCGTGATCGTTCGAGTGGGGAGATTATCGTCACGCATTCCGGACTGTACGAACGCAAGCGCAAGCTCGAGCTCGAAAAATTTAAAGAGGGCATGCGAACCTGGCTCGAGAAGAAGGCTCGGGCGATCAGTAGATACAAATCGTCTGGAGGTGACGTTGGTATCCTGGTGTGGAGGTTTACCAAGAGAAGCAAAGGACCCGATGACTTACCTACAGAACCCTCCTCTCACGCATGCTCGGACAACTATCATTTCTCGAGCCTGAGACGTTTCTGGGAAGACATGGGTTCAAAGGGAATCTCTGCTCGAAGCCGTTGATGCTGTGTGACGTTCTTCGAACCTACATTAGGTGACAGGCCTGTTTGCAGAGCACACTCGACACCTCGGAAACATTATGCAGAAGATCGTGAATCCATTAGTAGCATATCCCGTGTCAATATGATCATTGCGGGTGGGAACGTGTCCATCGAGCTGAACACTTTGGTCAAATTTCTTGAGTGACCGTGGAGTTAAAGCGGTTCTTTCGGAATGACCAAGTGGCAACCAGTGACATTGGTGCCTTCTGGACGACATGATACTCAAATAAAAGATGCTGCGGCGTGACAGTGTGTTGGCAAGAAGCAGTCCTGGCGAGGTTGAGCTGGTGGGGCATCTACGGGAGAGTGCACGTTTCAGCCTCTTTATCGATAAAGGACAGCTTGACAAAGCGAAGTGTTCTTTGGCAGATGTGTCACGGCGCAATCATTGCAACGCGGCGAGCAGGCGGCAAGTTGAATTCTGCCTAAACAGTGATGAACTCGGATAGATAATGCAACAATGGTCATGGATTGAGGACGAGCAAAGACACGTTTCCCGTAGAGCAGCCGCAGCATGAAACAGTGTTCATTGCGGAGAATCGGGAACTTTCTATTACGGACATGCCAAGAGCCAGCTGTCCTAAAGTCCGCAGAGAAGGCCAGCGTTACAACTTCTTTTGCTTTCTATTAAAGGAGCTTCCTTCCGTCACTCCCTCTTGCTCTTGCATACAAAGAAGGCCCATCTTTCTTGTCATCACAAGAACAACCCAAGATGGCGAGACGCTCAGGAACCGAGTCACGCTTTGCGTGGTCAACCATCTTCTACCTCCTCCTGGTGCTTCTTGCGCCCATGGTGCTCTTCGGCTCCAATGCCAGCGCTCAGGACAGCGGCGAGAAGGCCATCTCCGGCCCCGTCATCGGTATCGATCTCGGAACCACCTACTCTTGTGTCGGTATCATGAAGGGCGGCAAGGTCGAGATTCTGGTCAACGACCAGGGTAACTGTATCACCCCCTCCTACGTCGCCTGGAACGACGAGGAGAGACTTGTCGGAGACGCAGGTAAGCACACATACAACCAATGCTTGCTACACACTCGCTGACAAGCTGCACANGCCAAGAACCAGTACGCAGCCAACCCCGAGAGAACCGTCTTCGACATCAAGCGTTTGATCGGCCGCAAGTTCAACGACAAGGACGTTCAGCGTGACATGAAGCACTTCCCCTTCAAGGTTGTCAACAAGAACGGCCAACCCAGAGTCCAGGTCGACGTTCAAGAGTAAGTTCGACGCAGAGAACCCATGCACGAGCCGAGACTGACATGCAATGCACAGNNTGGCCAGAAGACTTTCACCCCTGAGGAGGTCAGTTCTATGATCTTGGGCAAGATGAAGGAAGTCGCCGAGTCGTACCTCGGTGAGAAGGTCACCAACGCTGTTGTTACCGTCCCCGCCTACTTCAACGACGCCCAGCGTGCCGCCACCAAGGACGCTGGTACCATCGCCGGCCTCAACGTTCTCCGTGTCGTCAACGAGCCCACCGCCGCCGCCCTCGCCTACGGCCTGGACAAGACCGACAAGGAACGCCAGATCATCGTCTACGATCTCGGTGGTGGTACTTTCGATGTTTCCATCCTCACTGTCGACGACGGTGTTTTCGAGGTTCAGGCTACTGCCGGTGATACTCATCTCGGTGGTGAGGACTTCGATCAGAGAGTTATCGACTACTTTGTCAAGACCTACAACAAGAAGAACGATGTCGACATCACCAAGAACCTCAAGACCATGGGTAAGCTGAAGCGTGAGGTCGAAAAGGCCAAGCGCACTCTGTCTTCTCAGATGAGCACCCGCATCGAAATCGAGGCCTTCTTCGACGGCGCCGACTTCTCCGAGACTTTGACCCGTGCCAAGTTCGAGGAGCTGAACAACGACCTCTTCAAGAAGACCCTCAAGCCCGTCGAACAGGTCCTCAAGGACGCCAAGCTTAAGAAGAGCGACATCGACGACGTTGTCCTTGTTGGTGGTTCCACTCGTATCCCCAAGGTTCAGGCCATGCTCGAGGAGTTCTTCGGAAAGAAGGCCAGCAAGGGTATCAACCCCGATGAGGCCGTCGCCTACGGTGCCGCCGTCCAGGGTGGTGTTTTGTCTGGTGAGGCCGAGGCTAGCCAGGTTGTCCTTATGGATGTCAACCCTCTTACCCTCGGTATTGAGACCACTGGCGGTGTCATGACCCACCTGATCAAGCGTGGCACTACCATCCCCACCAAGAAGTCCCAGATCTTCTCGACCGCCGCAGACAACCAGCCCGTTGTCTTGATCCAAGTCTTCGAGGGTGAGCGTTCCATGACCAAGGACAACAACCAGCTCGGCAAGTTCGAGCTTACCGGTATCCCCGCCGCTCCCCGTGGTGTTCCTCAGATCGAGGTCTCTTTCGAGCTCGACGCCAACGGTATCCTCAAGGTCAGCGCTGGCGACAAGGGCACTGGTAAGAGCGAGAGCATTACCATCACCAACGACAAGGGCCGTTTGAGCGCCGAGGAAATTGAGCGTATGGTTGAGGAAGCTGAGAAGTACGCCGAGGAGGACAAGGCAACCCGCCAGCGCATCGAGTCCCGTAACGGCCTCGAGAACTACGCTTTCTCCCTGAAGAACCAGGTCAATGACGAGGACGGTCTCGGTGGCAAGATTGACGACGATGACAAGGACACTGTAAGTTGACAACAACAATCTTCACCGATGGAGCATCACACTGACATATCAAACAGNATCCTTGACGCCGTCAAGCAGGCTCAGGACTGGCTCGATGACAACGCCGCCGATGCCACCGCCGAGGACTTCGATGAGCAGAAGGAGAAGCTCAGCAACGTCGCTTACCCCATCACCAGCAAGCTTTACGGCGGCGCTGGCGGTGCCGGAGGTATGCCTGACTACGATGACGAACCCAGCCACGACGAGCTGTAAACGTAAAAAATTAGTTTTTGTATCATGGGATTTGTGAGAGCAGGCATTCAATAGAAACCCAAATGTTCAGTTCAGCTTTTATTTTCAATTCGCTACATGGGCCAACCTTCCAGTCCACGTTGACACAGTGCCGCTGGAACTGCTAAACACGTTATACCTAGAGTGATGTCAGATTCCAGGATTGGAATCCTATAACCGTCCATGCGAGCAGCAATTCTCGAAACATGATGCAAGGTGTTCGAAACGCATCGGGAACATCAGGTTCACAAAATCCCAGAGAGGGCCAAAAGGTGGAGAGGAGATTGCTACATCGGGTCTGGAGCAGGGTTTCGGTATGTTGATGGTGTGAAGGAACAGGGGCGCGTGTTTCAGTCTGAGGGAAGCCAAACGCGGAAGGCCTCTGAGCAAGAGGGAATGATTGCTCGACGACGGTTCCCGCGGGCTGGTACGAGTAGAGCCCCTCGCCTTCGTTTCGCAGCGCTTCCAACTCTGCCCCTCTTGGCCCACGGTACAAGTGCGCAGCGCATCGGTCGTCCACTTGCGCAAGCGCCCATTTCACATCGCTTTGTGCAACAGTCAAAGGAGAGAGCCGCCTCTGACGGGCTCCTCATTCAAGACGTCTTTGTCGCGACGAGCTCTTCGTTGTTCTGTCGACAAAGACTCCCGGCCCTGGAGACAAACGGCCTGGCCGTTGCAGAACCTTGTGCATTCCTTACAATACCTGTCCCAGCCATTCATGGCCTTGCACTCCTATTCTAGACAGACCACACTCCTTTCTATTCACTCTTTTTCTTCTCAATACCATACACGCGCACGACATCTGCCGGCAGATCTCGCGCGATATTACAACGCAGACAACGAAACGTAGCTACGACAAGCAACCAACGGCTCAGAACGCCTTTTTAATTCGTCGCAGCTGGGCTGACGATAATCCCCTATCTTTCACATACCGACCTCCGGTCCGAAAAATCCAACATGGGATGTTCGGGTGACAGGGAAAAGGGCCACCTGGACGAGTCGCAAAAATGGGACTACGTGGTAAGTGTTCGGATGGATAATACCCTGACCACTATGTTTGATGTGCTTGCTGACATGACAATGTGTAGNACTCTTTCCGACTTCCGCGCTTCTGGTGCTCTGACCTATCTTTCTTACGGATGGCTCTGGATGATGGCTCTCGTAGCAGTTGCTGTGTATGGCGCCGACACTTTCACTGCCGTCAATCTCCTTGCATACGACAAATGGTCTTCTCAGATTGAGCCTAGCATCCCCCTGAAGTACTCGAAATGGATCTTTGCCGCTTGTATCATGTTCTCATGGGTTCTCTGCATCTTCGAGTGGGTGCGCGCCATTCGCGTCATCCGCAGAGGCAGTGTTGCCGAGAGCTACATGGACTCGGTTGCCGTCACACTCCAGTCGATGCGACCCAATGGCTGGAAACGCTTTCTTGTATTCGCCGAGTTGACCAAGAGTAAGAAGGGAGTCGACTATGTCGCGCTGTTCGTCTACTTCGGCTTCAAAGGTGCTGTACGCATCATATTTGCCGAAGGCCCTCGCCAGGTTGTCAACGCCATCACTCTTTACTCATTCATGCAATCGGATCTTATTCCTATGGGCGACCACGCCGCAACAGCGAACCATACCTCGTTTGAACAGTTCTGGATCAACGTGGAAACGCTGGCCGAGTCAAATCGCGAACAGGCCGTCGTTCTCTTTACCATGCTCTTCACCCTTGTCATCTGGGTCATCTCAGCCCTCTGTCTGATCATCGCTGTCTTGCTTTACCTGGTCTTCTTGTGGCACTACATACCTCAAAGCGACGGCCGATTGAGCAACTACTGTCGAAGGAAGATTGACCACAGATTGGAGAAGGTTGTGGGTCAGNNAAAAGTCAGGCAAGCGTTGGAAGAGCAAGAGAAGAAGCAGGCACAAAGCGAGGCCAAAGCGGCAAAGAAAGCCAACCAACTTCCGAGCAGAGTGCAGGTCAACCGCAAACCGACCCTGCCTCAAGTTGGCGCTCATACGCCCGACCTTGACTCGAAGAGCGACTTTGGTCTTCCAAGACAGGATAACAAAGACCGTCCTGCTCTGCCTCCCTTGCGCACTTTCACCGAACCAGCATTGCATCGCGAACAGACCCCGCCCAGCCTCAACGCGATCAAACCTCCTACTCGTACTCACACAGCACCGCCAATGGCAATGCACCGACAGCCGCCGCCGTCTTCTGAACTCAATTACAACAGCCGTCCGTCTATTCCTTATCGTTCAGACACCGAGACGTCTCTCGCCTCTAATGCCACTTATGCTTCGGATGCTTCGTTACTTGGAAATGCCAACGACATGGGATACAGTGATAGCGTAGACTACTATCTTACACAGCCCAGGCCTACATTTGACAGATCGACATCTTATGCTTCTAGGCCGATGCCGCCATCGTTTGACCATCAGTCCGAATATGCAAACCAACCTTACCCCGGTAGAAGCGCAACCGTGGGACCACAACAAACTCAAAGATGGGGATATGATGATTTAGACGAGCAGCCAGAATATGAAAGAGACACGACTTCAGAGCCAATGGACCACCCGTCGACCCGATTCATGACTCCTTATTCTCAAACCATGCCCACGCATCAAGAAAGGATGGAATATGACGACGTGGAAAGCACCGTGTTGCCGCAGCAAAGACCGCAACAGAACTTTCAGAGATCATATACTCCATTGACTGGAACCAACAATGGATTGAGCTTTGCCTCGCGTCATACACCTGAGCCTGAGATCCAGAGCTTCGAGATGCAACCACGAACAGCAGTTATGCCAGAGCCCTTCGAGCGCTCGGCTTCTGCAGCATCTGGAGGCTATGTTGCTTTCAACCCTTCATTCACACTAGCAGCCGCTGCACCCTCGTTTACGCCGCCAGACCGCAGCACCACAAGTCCTCCGGAGATCGCAAGACCCTCGTTAGCAGCTGGACCTCAACGCAGTGCTACGGCTCCTCCAGAAGCCTACGATGGACTGATTGACGAGTATCGCGCTCGACCCCAAAACGATCGCCGTGATATGCCAGGCAGAAGCGCAACAGCAGTTCCCAGTCAACGACATGTACCCCCAATGAGGAGTGCTTCCACTGCTCCCTACCAATCGCATGAGATACCAGGTAGGAGTGCATCCACTGCACCCTACCAACCGTACGAGGTACCAAGTAGGAGTGCTTCTACTGCGCCCTACCAACAAATTCCAAGCAGGAGCGCGACTGCTGCTCCCCGTCAGCCATACGAAGTTCCCGGTAGAAGTGCAACCGCTGCTCCTCAGCAGTACCGCACGCAGGAATGGTGATAACCTTTACAGAGAAACGTTTTTCTATGTCTTGTTCTCTTTTCGTCGATACCCACTTCATCATGACCGAACCTTGACTTTTCTCACACTATGTACCATAACTTACACCATGCATGAAAATGACCACGAACGGTCGTTATGTTAGCTAGACATACCACAATCAATCCTTTAGACCACAATCATTTTTGCAACTTCCCCGTGTTCTTGTTGTTCCGTGTCCAATAATCTCTCAGAGGACCATAAGTATACTCTGCTGTCAGTCTCTCATCGCAACTCCGACGAACAGGTATCCTTTCACATTCACTACAACTAACTCCAGATATAAGAGGATTAACTCTTATTTCACTTCCATAGACGTCTGACGGCTGAGAGTTTGGCAAGCCTAGATTAAAGGCAACTTTTGAACATTGGTATTCTACATTCATTCTAACATGACGTTTTTCTCAGGTCAGGTCAGATCTCTCTTTGTGTAAGTTGATTTGCCCAACGCCATCTGTGGTGTTTCATGCAACGAGGATCAAAGAATCTAGAAGTCGTTTTCGTCACTTCCAGCAATGATGACATTGTTGACTTTGAGCACCATGCGGCAGAGTTGTGTGGCCAAGAGAAGTTGTTGTCTCTTGGAAATCAGGGGGTCGATAACGAAGTTTTCTCTCATATCTGTAGTCGAGTCAGTATCTGTAGGCCTGCCATATTGGATGGGTGATATCTTACCATTGCTGCCGGTCTGCATGCAGTCAACGCCCAACCTTGAGTTGCCCTCCTTTGCCTGTCGGCTCTTGATCTGGGCCAAAGTCTCGATGGGGCTGAGACCGGAGTTCTCGGCGAGTGCCATGGGTACACTGTCGAGAGCATCTGCAAAGGCGCGCATGGCATATTGCTCGAGGCCAGGGGACTTAACAGCAGCATCTTCAACGGCTAGCGAGCAGGCGATTTCTGCGGCACCACCACCGTAGACAATTCTGTTGTCGCGAACCAAGTTACGGACAACGCAGAGCGCATCGTGCAGCGAACGCTTGGCCTCGTCGATGATCATCTTGTTGCTGCCACGCACAAAGACGGTGACGGCTCTGCTGTTGGCGCATTCCTCAATGACAAGCATCTTCTCTCTGGTGGTACCGAAGCTCATTTCTCTAACGACACCAGCAGTTCCAAGCTTGTCGGCGCTGAGGTCCTCGAATCTCGGTACGATTCTTCCGTTTGTGGCAATGGCGATCAATTCGATCTCGGGACCGCCAACCCATCGCACGGCAGGGAGCTTGTTTGTGAGCAAGAGGTGGTTGGCCTCGTCGTCGAAACCCCATTGACAGATAACAACATTTGCGCCAGTGTCCTTAATTTGTTGAATCATCTCGGCGAACTTCTCGCTTTCGTAGTTTTGTAGGCGCTTGAACTCTTCAACCGAGGTGATGTCGAGCTTGTGTTTGGTCTTGGGCTTTGGAGGCTCGAAGGCGCAGGTGAGAATGGCCAATTTGGCGTTCTTGACCTCGGAGGGCATTTGCGGGTGTGAGAAGTCCTTGTCGACGATGACACCCTTGACGAGCAATGTGTCCTCGAGACTGCCTCCGACCTTTCCGTCAACCTTGATCAGCTCGAAATCGACGTCGCGACGCTCGAGGTCAGCGACACTCATGACAGCGTCGACGGCAATCTGAGCGAATTGGTCGTGTGACTTGCTGACGATCTTGCTTCCCAGACTGGTCTTTGCGACCTTGAAGAGGTTCTCGGTGTTATCCTTGTCGAAAGGCATGGTGTCTGAGATTTCGTCGAGGCGGCCAACGGCAACTTCGCAGGCGGCATCGTAACCGTCGGCGATGCGGATGGGATGGATGCCCTTGTCAATGAGGTCGGCGGCCTGCTCAAGGAGAGCGCCAGCCAGGACAACGACACCTGTAGTGCCGTCACCGATTTCCGAATCTTGTGACTGAGAAAGGGAGACTAGTAACTTGGCGACGTGGTTGGAAATTTCCATNNCTAGATAGCGAATCAGAGGAGGCTTCCCTTGTTGAAGGAGTTGGTGAATATGTACCTGAGACAGGATGGTAGCGCCATCGTTGGTGACGGTAATGTCGCCGTCGGGAGAGATAAGGATCTTGTCGAGACCACGAGGACCGAGAGAAGTGCGGACAATACCGGCGACCGTCTTTGCAGCGAGGATGTGCGACTTGACAGCATCGTTTCCGTGTTGTCTCTTCTTCTTGCCCTGGTCTCTTACAATGATGAAGGGGCGGCCGTTCTCGTCTTTGGCGACCTGGGCTGAGGGGGACAATCGTGTCAGTCTTGTTTGGAAGTAGAGATGGGTGGAATGGATTGAAAAGTACCGTTGGACATATCAAGTTCTGTGCATCATGTCAGCAAGGAGAGCAATTAAATTATTTGGACAATCGGCGTACGCATGGCCATGGCGGGCAGTTGTTGCTGCTCCTGGGGAGCGTTGGCGAAGAAAGGGAAGGCCCGGAGAGATTGCTGTACGGCAGAGGAAAGAGCGAAGGTTGGTGTTGCCTTGTTCAGTCGACGGGCGAGTGTTGTCGACTTTGTGGTTGCTGCCGCTTGGCTTTCAGACTTTCGACGCTCCTTCACTTTCCGTCAGACTTTCCCTTTCACTGACGGTGGGTCTGTGCGCGACAGCTTCCACTTCGCTGCTTCCTCCTCCGCAGCTTCGAGACGCGTCCTTCTTGCGCCAGCGTCGCGCGTCTCTCACTTTCCGCGCGGTCAACAACTCGGTCGCATTTATACCTTCCCCGCTGCGCCGGTCGCATACACACACACACACTCTCTCTCTCAATCCCTTCTTCGACATGCCTCGTAAGGTTATTTTGACTATCCATCGCGTCTTCCTTCGCATTGACTGACCATTCCAATCGCAGCCGCCATCAGCGACGCCGAAATGTCCGATCCCTTGTCTGGCGACGACGACGTTCTCCCCCCGAAAAAAGCCCGCAACTAAGAAGTCCGCCGCCAAATCAAAGGCCAAACCTGCCCAAGAAGAGGTTGACCAAGACGTCGACGATGCCAATGATCATCTTGACCCGGAAGACGACGATGAGGACGACGAGGACAACGCCGACGAATATGTTGTCGAGAAGATCTTGAGACATGCTTTTGACAATGGCAAAGACTGCCTCTACGAAGTGAAGTGGCTTGGTTACGAGGACCCCGCCGATCGAACATGGGAGCCTGAAGACAATCTGTAAGTCGCACTATCAAGCTACTATGGGCTATCACTAATTGCTCGCTCTCAGCTCGGGCGCTATGGATGTCCTCAAGGCTTACTGGGATAAGACCGGCGGCAAGCCTCAGGCAAAGCCCAAGACGCCAGCAAAGAAGGGTACCAAAAGAAAGTCGATGGCTCAGGACACGCCAGAAGTTGCCACCACATCTACCACTAAAAGCGTGGAAGAAAGTCAATCAAGACGGCCGATGCCGACGAGCCTGCAGAAAACAAGGGTTACTCTCTGCCAGAGGGCTCTTGGGAAGACAAAGTGCAGCTCGTTGACTCGGTCGAGAAGCCAGATGAGGGCGAGCACAAGGGTGTCCTTATGATCTATCTCCTATGGGAGGATGGCACCAGAACACAACACTCCGCCCAGCAGTGTCGCCAAAAGTGTCCTCAGAAGGTACTTCTTCCGCTGCTCTCCATTAGCTATGTAACATCTGCTAACATGCGACAGCTACTTGACTACTATGAATCGAAATTGTACGGCAACTCCTCCAAACCCAAGCGCCGAAGACGTTCCACTAACAAGGCCTAGGGTCTTTAAGACAAACACGGACGCGGATGCGGATGAGTAGCGAGGTTGCGTGCCACTCTAGTTTCTCCTTCTCCAGCCACCATCTGGACCAGCCCTGGTCTCTCTGAGCATGACATCGTGTAACTAGAACAAATCGATGCCCCTTTTACTAATGATCAAGTCTGCCTCTTCCATCGACATAGCATCTTTCTTCCATGGCCCCGCTAAACGCGGCATCGCACGTGATTTGTACCCGGATCAACCGACGGACCAACTTTTAGGTTTGCTTTTCTACCCGTTCTGACTCTTATCTACTTCCTCCTCTTGCGCCTCCGTTCTTTATGTATCTGTCTTGATAATCTAGCATCAATACGCCTCAAAATCACACAGCCAGTCGGTCTACACATCTGATGATCGGTCGCAGTCACTCGGTTGATCAAATACGCGCAACGGCTTTACCGAAAGATCATGATCTCAATGGAAATGTTGCCGATTCCAGTGCCTACGCACCAGTCGAACAACAGGCCTTACCTATAGAAGAAGAAGAAGAAGAACGAATGTTTCCAGACCAGTCACCACATCACATGTCCGAAAAGCCACGACCTGTTTCTTGGAGGAGTCTGCCTCGGAAAGACCAACTATTTATTCTCACACTGGCTCGATTATCCGAACCACTAACACAGACCTCGCTACAGGCCTATATGTTTTACCAGCTCCGCTCCTTCGATCCAGCTGCTCCGGACAGTACCATATCATACCAGGCCGGCATGCTCCAAGCTGCTTTTACAGGAGCCCAATTCTGCACAGCCGTGTTCTGGGGTAGAATGGCCGACTGGGAGCGGATGGGACGTAAGAGAGTCATCCTGATCGGACTCTTAGGCACTGGAGTCGGAGCTCTGGGTTTTGGTTTTAGCAGTAGTTTTGCTGTTGCACTATTGTGGAGAGCTCTGGGTGGAGGTAAGTCAATTTCCTTCTGTATCATCGAACCAGAGAGCATCGAGGAACAAGCCAATCTCAACTTTTACTTCTGAGAGCTTATCCATTCTGTGCTCGTGAGGTTGACGCAAACGTGGAACTCGATGCACTCGACGAGGGTGTATGGAGGTCAACGGTGGACGATGACTTCTGTCCAAGCTTGACGATGAGCGCGTCTTCTTGGGGCGGATGACTTGTCGCTTCGTTCCAAACAACGTCAGTCGGACGGAAAATTCTGTGTAGAGACTGAGCACCATAAAGCAGCATTACCTGCTTGTAGCCTCTGTGGTTCGATGGTATGAGCTATCCACAGACTAACAGGAATCAGCACTCAACGGCAACATCGGCGTGATGAGAACAGTACGTCAATACTTGCGGCTCCTCTTGCAATGCTGACCGTTTTCCAAGATGATCTCCGAGATTATTCGTGACAAGAAATATCAATCGAGAGCCTTTCTTCTACTACCCATGACTTTCAATATCGGTGTAATCATAGGTATACGTTTTGCGATGTTCACCAGCCTTGCGATTTGTGCTAATCGTCTATTTTGTTGTAGGACCGATACTTGGTGGATTGTTGGCCGACCCTGCAGGGAACTATCCTGATTCTTTCGGATCAATAGCCTGGTTGAGGAAGTGGCCTTATGCACTTCCGAACCTCGTCAGCTCTATGTTTCTATTCCTCTCAGCAATGGTCGTGTTGCTTGGGCTCGAAGAGGTAGTCCATGTGCCATCAAGATCAGGCTCCGACTTGTTGCTAACTTGCTCGCAGTCGCATGAAATGATGAGAGACAAGCCAGACCTGGGGCTACGTGTTGGGCGCTGGATCGCAAGGGTAGTCCTTCGGCTTAACTTTGATCAGCAGTATCAGGCGATATCTGGTGATGAGGTGGATCCTTCGACGATGGAGATGCATTCACCGACCGACGAACCACCCACGCCCAGACTACCCAAGGTCAGGAGGAAGCTACCCTTTTCGCGCATCTGGACTGCCAATGTGCTCTTTACGTTTACCGCTCACTTCTTGCTGGCTGGCCATGTAGGCACCTTCAACAGCCTCTGGTTCGTTTTCTTGTCGACACCAAGATATATTCCCCATGGTCAGACAAACAATGGTACAAACCCAAACTCAAGTTTAGGCGTACCTTTGGATTACAAGCCACATCCACCCTTTAGCTGGACAGGCGGCCTGGCCCTTCCACCTGCACGAATTGGTTCTGCGTTGGCCATCTTGGGCGTCGTCGGTATATCCCTACAGTTGTTGCTCTACCCTAGATTATCCTTCCGCTTGGGCACAGTGACATCTTTCCGGTTGTCACTCTGCCTGTTCCCCTTGGCCTACTTCCTGGTACCTTTCCTCTCTCTTGTACCCACTACCTCCACATCACCTGCAGCAGCCTCTGGGCCGTTGCTCTGGATCTCTATTGTCGTTGTGCTCTGTATCCAAGTCACCGCAAGGACATTTGCATTACCTGCGACAGCAATACTGATCAACAATGCCTCACCACATCCCTCTGTCTTAGGCACGGTACATGGCCTGGGTCAGAGTGCAAGTTCGGCGGCCCGCACGATTGGTCCGCTCTTGTTGAGTTATCTGTACGGTGTTGGACTTCGGCGTGGTGTGGTCGGGCTGTCGTGGTGGTGTATGGCGTGCTTCGCTGCAGTGGGTGCTGTGGCAGGACTTTTTGTCAAGGATGGGGATGGACATGAGATCTGGCTAGAAGGAGAGAAAGAGGAAGAAGAACAAAATGGTGTACCGTGAGAAAGAGAAAAGTCGGCCTCTAAGTACATCGATGGCTGATCTATGGCGGTCGAAGAAAACATTACTACAACTGTCACAGGCCCGAAACAGAGGAATGAGCTAAATTAGACATCCCAAAGTAATGTGATGGATTGGAAAGACATGATACAGAGTTTCTAGAGAAGGCTTGCAAGATTGTATTCCATCGTTACCTTCTTTACAATCAATGTCTAGACCGACCGGTACCATCCGAGTTTGTCATACGGCTAGACATTACATCCAGTGTTTGTGCAGCAAGTCATACGTTACAATAAGTAGTCAGTGTCACTTATGTTGAGTCAGGCCCTCTTAAGGGAAGATTGAAGAAGACGTGATACGTTGCTGTGCTGTATGGGAGCTTCCCTACTCGCATCAGGTACGAGTTGATGATGTCAGCATCGTTGCCAACCAGTACCACCAATCTAGCGCGCGCATCATGTTCGGGATCATGATCCTTTTAGCTGAGGGTACACTGATGCTCTGTTACTTACCGTGGGTTACCAAGTCCATCAGACGCCGAGTGCTGATCTCGTCCTTCTCTCCTAGCTGCCACCAACTTTGGTACCAGGTCTTCGCTTGTATTTACGAGGGTCTGAGAGTCAAAAGCCGTTAGCACTTCTGTCAAGGTCACGCGTCTCGAGGCATGTCCATGGTATTGCCAAGCGCGACGACGCGAGGTTGGTTGTACTTGCCTTTTCTGCTCATCCGAGTCTTGTCCCGAGTACCTGGTCACACGTCAGCCCCCATGATCAATGTTTTTGGTGTTTCGCCTAGACGCGGCGGTAAACTCCTGCAGGTCCCAGCTGGGGAAAATGCCATGAGACGCTAGAAGCATCGTGTACACAGGTACACAATTTAGACTTTCACACCGGCGCGCGGGGGAAGTTGGAGTTGCATGGATCCCATGGAGTCGCGGTCATCTGCCACTGACTGCCAGGACGTCATGCCCGATGCGAACAAACAGGTGCCAGTTTTGCCGCATCGACGATTGGTGAGGGGAATAGTTGATGCGTGAATCAAGGACATGATGATGGAAGATAGTGAAGGATTTCATCTTACCTTTGCCTCCTTCCCAGAACCCATGACCTATCCTCGCAATGAGGCTGGAGCGGCAGAAGTGGCAGTCGTNCCTAAAGGGGAAGCGTACAGTTAGCATGTTTCTTGTATGGGAAAAGTCCCAGGCACGAACCGGTCTATAGTTCTGTTCTCTCGAACAATAGCCACAGATCATGCGATTAGCGTGTTCGTTTGGATGGCTCTCCATCTCGTCATGGCATCTNNCTGCGAGGGATCAGTCATGTCCTCTATCATTGTGGTCTGTTCAACCTACATCGCAAGGGTAAACCTTGCTGCAGCATGAGAATCTNNGCGTTGGGTGTCAGCATGATCCAGAGATTGATGTGCCAGAAGAGACATACCTGAACCATCGGTACGATTTTGCATAGTGCGTGCAACGGCCACGTCTTGGTAACTCCTGTCCGGCAGTTATACCCAAGCTTTCTTTGACCTTTCTGCGTACAGGAGCACGGCTTGCTCGGANCTGCAGTATGTCAGCTACAAACCATAGAAGCATCAAAGGTTGTGACATACCTGAAGCGGCGCTGACAAGCAAGAACTTAGTCTCTGGGATGCGGAAACTCATCTTTCGATGGCATTCTCTACAGATTGCTAAGATTGAGTCTCCGCGAACTCCAACAACGCCTGGAGCTGGGTAGGATGTGGAACACTCTGAGCAGGTTGGGATGAAATTGCTGCAGAACAGTTAGTCACGTTGTGCCACTCGTGTCACGCGGGGAACTTGCCTTGGAAGCATGTCAACTACTGTACAACCGTCAAGATCCAGATATCCAGCTCTCACAGAGTTTTGATGGATCAGGTCCGCTCGGAATCCTATNNACTGTCAGTTATCTTCGAAGAAATGGTTTTGGCATATCTCCTTACCAATTGCGAGACTGTTGGCACATTTCTTGCAGATTTCGTCGCGCATCCCAGTCACATCTCCCTTGGTATTGTTTCTCAGACGCTGGACGTCAAGCAAGTCTTTGCAACGCTCGCACTTGACTGTGATACTCAGTGAGATGAGCTCCAGGAGCTCACAGCCGTACAACTCTAGATTGGGGAACGATAACATAATGCCTCTTTCCGCGAGTCCTGACGTACTGGCAGGTGGTTGCTCTGGTTGCTCACTGTCCTCCTCTTCTGTTTCATCTCCACTGTCGTACGAGTAAGAACCGTCACTGCTCCAACCATCTGGACCGTCGGTGTTCCATTCTGGAGGTCTTGGAATAACATGAATATGAGCTTTGTCAGAATCTTGGTCTGCGACAGCACCGCTCGATTGAGCCGAAACAGGGACAATGGTATCTGCTTTGGATACTTCTTGAGGCGTCTCTTGAACCTCGGATACGCTGGGTGACTCCCTGACAACGGACATGGTGTGTGCATGCTGAGTAAGGTAGTTGATATGTGCAAGTAAGTTCAGTCCAGTCTCACCTCGGGCTCTTTGTTGGAACGACTCTTCAAGGACTCTTGCTGCAGGATCGTGGTTGCCGTTGACTTCAATTCGAGGCAGATGTAAGTTGTAAAGCTGAGGCACAACTAGACGAACCGATTTTTGGTTCCGCAGAGCTTCCGGTAACATCATCTTCTTTGTAGGTTGAAACGGGATAGTGAATGAGATATCGTCCGAAGACTGTATGAAGCCTGGTAGTCGGCCCAATCTAGTCACAAGCTGTCTGATATCGGACTGACGCTTCTTTTCTGCCTGTAGCTTTTGTTCGGCGGTGAAAGATGGAGTGGCTTCTACACTGCGAGAAGTCACTGCCTGCTGCGGTTTGGGTGTCTGAGTAGCAGGAGGAAGTTTTGTTTGAGGTTCAACTCTTGGTGCATTCCGTACGATCTTCACTGTATCCGCCTTGTCGCCGGAAAGCAAGATTTGGAGTTGCTTGTCCAGACGATTGAATACTCCGAGAAGCGTCGCGTTTGGTGAACCAGCGACGATTTGGTCGAATCCACGTTCGACATTGAGCTGAAACCCGCGTGGCATCTCTGAGTTGGTTATACGCAAACTTGGCTTGGCTCCCGGATACGACAATGGTATAGTGAGAGAGCACTCCAGGAAGGGAAGATCGAACGGAAAGTCAGGATCGCTGGGAGCAAGTTTCAACTTGAGAAGGGTGGCATCCGGAAGAGATTCTTCTGTGGGAGCAAAGCGACGACGAAGTTGACCCATCTGGAATACCCGTGGGTCCTCCTGCTCTGTCTTGGNGGTTGGCCTACTGACCACTTTGGAACGGTCAACCCGAGCTTCATATTGACGTTTGGGAGTAGCAGCATCACTGCCATCTATTTTTCCAGCTTTCTGCTTGGGGGTTCGAGGTTTGGTCCCAGAAGTTGTTGGCTCAGATGTTGGGACATGCGCAAAGGAACATTCAGTACCTGCCTTACAGCNCTACGATGTGGTAAGCAAGTGATATGCGAATTTCATGAGCGGACGTCAAATCATGTGAATCCTTCGTATCCATGAGCTAGCAGTGTGTACCTTTCGTCAAGCAGCGGACTGTGGTAGCACGTTGACGAAAGCAACGACTCGGCCTAGAAGAACTTCAAGGAAATGACATATTTATTAATTACCTTTCTTCGAATTGAAGTATCGACAGACTTGTTTCTTCTTCTGGCTTGCATGTGATGGTTTAGGTGCATTGTTTACCCCAGATTGAGGTTCAGGTGCCAGCACCACATNCTATGAAAACCGTGAGCAGATGACCACTTCAGTAGTGTCGTGGTCCTGTTGGAGTGCCAGCACATGAAGGTCCGATTCGAACTCACCCGTTTCCTGTCCCCCTTGCACTGCAGCCGAAGGTGGCTCCATTGTCATGCTCTGCTGCTGCTTTTCGTGCACGGGAATTGTGCTGGTGATCGTCTCGTAGATGATACACTCGCGGAGCCTGATCACGCCTTGTTATCTGAACGTGCCTCTAACTTCTTCGTACAAGGTCGAGCGAATTTGACGTCGTATGAAAGCGCACGCACATTGGTTTTCACATGTGATGACGGGTGGGATGCTGTCATTCTTCAATTCTCCATGAGTCATGAGCAAAATGGACGTCTGACGAATCACATCGCCTGTTCTCTATCCTACTTTCCACAGTAACACCGTAACTTGGAAGGGTAATCCTGCATGAGCAAATTACCAGTATAGGCAGCTGCACATATCAATCATGCCAGTTATATGAAGTGGGACGTGGCTGAACTCAACAACCACCTTTCTCCTATCTGCGATCCTTCGACAAACATCGATAACGAGAAAAACCGAGTATGACAACGTGAAAATATGGTTGAGGTTCATCCCGAGGGTTCCATTCTGCTTTACAGGCGCATTGAAGCTACTGTGCATTATGAACCATTGGTAAAACCAGAACAAGCCGTTGAACCCAGGCTCGACGAGATCTTTTCAATATTTATAACCCACGTCATAACAGCATTTCCGGTGCGCTCCTCCAGAGTCTCCACAGCTTAGCTCGAAACCCGCATCCACATGTTTGACGAGCATGGAGAGCTTGCATTGAGTGATTTGTATTGTTGCACGGTCGACACGAACCGAAGGTCAGAGACGTCTGCCCTCAAGACCTGCATCCACTCTATTCATAGTGGNAATCGAAGAAGCGGTGAAAAGGTACATTGATTGGAGTCACACACTGCTTCGCGTCTGACACAACACTCGGCAGTGCCGCCAACAATGGCGCAACTACAGTACCGTGATCACAAGGACCGGAAGCTCTTTGGATTNTTATCGTGTTTTTGAATTTCATCGGCCCATCGGCCCTTCCTNCACGAAGGTAGAACCTATGTATATATTGTACAACGATGTTTGGTATCAGCTCGGCCACTGCCTACAAACGCGCGCGCCTCCTGACAACAGTCGGGCCGAGAGCAAAGTAAGCAGTCTGATGGTGAAGACTGGACATCAAGCATTGTAAAGCAGGCAAGAAAGGAATACAAAAGAGAACCATACTTTGGTATCGGAAAACAATTCTTTTCTGTTAGCAATCGCCAGAGAATAATGCCGTGATCGCATAAGAAAAATAAGATCCAAAACACCCACGCGATGCCGGCTCGCTGATGCAGAAAAAAGAAGAGAGAAGAAACAACGCATGTCGCTAAAATGCAGTAGCAAGAAAACAAGTAAAGCCTAAACAGGGGGAGATGTTTTCACCAGCCTTTGGCATGGTACTCCTGGAGTCCCTGGTTGAAGTATTCGTTTGAGAACTTCTTCTTATCGTTCTCCTTGACCGACATGACCATTTGTGGCTCTGGGTGCTGTTTGAGATTCTTAATGTCGTGAGAGGTGTGTCTGCGCTTCATGGCGGCTAGGTTGTTGGAGCTCTTGTGTTGGCGTTCCCAGAGGAGGTTCTTGCGCAGCGACTCCGTCAATTCGGTGGAGAGCATGTTTCGTCTGGTGGTTCGTGGTGAAAGAGCAGGTTGATGGGTGTTTGAGGTGGTCATAATTATAGGCCGTGGTTGCGAAGACTCTGAGGCCTCTGAGGCTTGTTGGGAGAGTTGCGAAGGGTGCGTGGTGTAATCCGGACCAGCACGCTCGACCTCGCGACGATGTGGTGATGGAGTCGCTGAGGGTCCGTTAGGCGAAGCACCACGCGAACGGCGGAGAGCAGGGGTAGAACGCGACGCAGCGCTTGCCATGGCGCGAGCGCGATCCGGTTCGTGCATCATAGTGGTTAGCATAGAGCGACGTGAGGTGAGGTTGGGCTGCGAGTCCACCCGACGGAACATGCTCTTGTTTTCATCGGCTGAAGAGTTACCGCTCTCGCCGACATCATCGTCCTCCCAATCAGACGAGTCTTCGTCCTCCTCAATGACACTCTCGAAAGCATCGTCGTCATCCTCATCGTCAGACTCCTCGAACACAGGGCTGTCGGTGATGGCTCTGTCTTGGATAATATCTCTAAAGGATGCGTGCTTCTTTGGCGGTTGTGGCATACCAGTCGACAAGGAGCCGACACTGTTGCGTCCCATGTGGCTGTCGAGTGAGCTCTCTTCTTCACCGGAAGAGGCGCCGAGGGTGAAGGTCGCGCCCTTCTTGGGGCGATTGAGGCGATCGGGGCGATATTGAGGCGAGGTCTTGAGAATAGGCGTCGGTTGGGTTGCGGCGAGGTTTGTTTGCGAGCGGTAGGACGAAGGTACCTCGGGTCTGAAGCCTCGTACAATGTTGTGGGTGCTCATCTCGGTGGACGAACTTTCGGAGGACGATGCGATAGCCTGGGAGTCGTTGCTGCTGACGGTAGAGGTAGACGATTCCAGATGGGTAGGCGCGGCGATAGTAGGGATAGGAGTGGCGACAGGTTTTTCGGAGACTAATGCAGGTGCAGGTGCAGGTGTGGGCGCAGGTGCAAGTGCCGATACAGATGTGGTGTGTTTCGTGGCGGTAGAAGTTTGACTTTGGCGGTCGTCGGAAGGCGGCGGGCTCGGCATGGCAGGCGAAGGCATAGATAATGCGGATAGCGGTTCGAGGCTCTTCTTTTCCTTGATGGAGATGACCATCTTCTCGAGGTCGATGGGCGTAATGTGGTTTTGCTGGCGGCCTCGGCTGCGGTGCTCCGAGGACTCGCTCCTTCTCAACTCGGGTCTAACAACGGGAGAAGGCAGCAGTGACGACACGTCTTCTTCGTCCGACTCGTCCGACGACGACACGCTGCTCGAAAGGGCGGGTAGAGGAATGCTTTTCCGCGCGCGCGGCATGCGGGAACACACAAACGTCTCGCGGTTCCATAGACGCCAGCTGAGATTTTCTAATCGCTTGCCATCCTCCATTGCGTCTGAGATTTTGTTAAAAACNNTGCAGTCGTGTCAGCAATAATCGACGGGTAATGAATATTGGGTGGCATTAGTACCTGACCACATTCCAAAGAGGTCCTCAACGGAACGAGTGTCGATAGTATGCATCTTGTCGACGTCAATCATGACTAACGAATGTTGGGGTCGGAAAGGCATGGCGGAAATTACAGGGCAGCGAGTGCTGCTGGGCAAGGCGAGAAGTGAGCGAAAAGGCGAGGTATATGCAAGAGTGTGGAGGCTCTTGGGGCGCTCTGTTTGCGGACGATGTGTTGCGTCAGGCGGATCGCCAAAACAGGAAGGGTCCGGATGTGGAAGGAGCCGGATATATGGGTAGCGCAGTTGATTTCTGCGACAGCATCTAGAGCAGTGTCGAGGTAAGAGTAGTGAGCGACGGCGACCTGAGGTAATTGATTCTGTTCCAGTGGTGCGGGGTTGTGTCTGGTTACGTGGGCGCGTTCTGGGGGCGACGAAAGGGACGAAAGGTGGGAGGCCGACTTACTTAACCAATCTCCCGTGCTTTCGTCGTCAAGAAACACTCTTCTTTTCGTGGCTCCCACTAGATCACCTGGCGCTGAGCTAACCCACAAGGTGGCACTTCGGGCCCTAGCAAAAACAACATCACGCCTCGGTTCGTTCGGAATCTTTGTACCGGCATGCCTGTTCGGGCCCACGTCCTCCAGATAGACGACCGCTTGAAGAATGCTACACTCTGGGGTGTTGACTGGTGACCGATTTGCTGGCCGATGGACTGCCTGCTTCTGGCTTTTGTTTCATTCACACTCGTGCGTTGGCTGGTCACGCCGCCTTTCCTTTGTTACACCGTTCGCTTTTTCTCTCCAGACGCGTCTGCTCATCTGGCGCTAGAAGTGTTGGCCGTGCTAGGCATCTTCCAGAATCCAAGAGCGACCCGATCGCCATTTTAGGGGTTCTTGCATGCAGCTCGTTGGTGGGACATGTGCTGCAGCTTTGGAGACACGCCCGAGACCCTTACTTCATGACTCGACGTCTATTGTTGATGACTTGCACAGTCAGATCTCGTTTGCTCACGGCGTGCGCTGCTCCGGAACCCCTTGCTGCCAGCTACAATGAATGTGACTGTTAGGTGCGACTTTACCTGTCTATTGTCAGTATCGGCAGTCGATAAGACTGTTGTTGGTACGTCGCAGATTTGACGGCGCCGTTGGAGCCACAAAGAATCCACGTGTTGCGCCCGTGGCTGTGACTCCTACTTCGCGCCCTCATGGCAGGCTTGGGTTTGACCATTGGTGAGAGCGGGCCCACGAAAACTGAAGCAGAGTTTTGAACGCCAAAAAGTCTGTTCATCACCGGTGTCTTTACGGCGGTCTGCATTGCGGCCTTTCTCTGAGATGCAAGATGCCAAGGGGGAAATCCGACTCCGCCTGTCTGATCTCGTCTTGACTCGTCAATCTCGATGGCTAGACCATCTTACGGGGCTGGCCTTTGTCTACTAGCAAAGATGAAAGACCTAGATGCTGTATGTATCTATGTGCGCTTGACAATCACATATCTGACCAAGTCGCATGATGCCTGGGTCTATCTCAGAAATTCGGTCGTCCACATATCAGTGCAACCCGGTCTGCTCCGCGCCAGCATCCTCATGACTCTTCCCGGTGTGTGGGTAGTTTTGGAGAAAACGCTTGTCAGACCCTTCAAACCCGGGGCGTGTCAAACGTCGACACAATATAAGATCTCAGGTTGTGATTGCTGACGGCAAGAATGCCGCATCCTCTTGACCGGGCAAGCATACCTGAGCGACTCTTTGGAGGTTCCGGTATAACGTTTATACAGTCTTTAGACCCTTAGGCTGAAAATGGTATGAGGGGTAGCCTGCGTTTTCGTGACGACTCTGGTCAGCAGCTCAGGTTCTCGAGCTGATCCACCTCGCAAGGGTCTTTCAAACGTTCTGTATGGGCACAGTGCGGATTCTAGGTTTGCCTGTCTTTTTACACTTGCTAGAGTATTCATCCCTCGGGAACCCGTGTGCATTTGACGAAGATTGTCAGCAACAGGCTTCAAAATGGACAACCGCAAACGTGCTGCGGGATAGGGCATGGAGGGCAAGATCGGCCATCGTTCCGATAGGATTAGACTCGGGCCGCTGCTTTCGGGCCCGAGGCTCATCGCGTTTTATCAAACAACCCCTCGAACGATGCGCTTTCTCGCGACGTTTGTCTCCCCTCTTCGTAGATTCCTATATTGTCTCCCAAGCAATACATACTCAGCTGACATGGTGATCTTCAAGTCTCCGGACAAATATTATGCGGACTTGATGTGGCTTTAGGCTGAGATTCGTCCATATCTGCCGCCTATAGCCGTGTCGGGACTGTGAGAAGAGCGCCACTAGTCCACCGCCTACCGGTCACGCGCGTACGGCAAACCGTTCCACGCTGATATATGATAACCAGCAAGGGTTTCCGGGGGAGGGATCCTAGACTGTTCTCGGCTGGGAATAATGGCACCTAGGCGGTACTTTATATGACAAGCAGATGACCTGTGCCTGGGATGGGAGCGTGGGATGTGCACTTCGAGCGAGATACAGCATGCTCGTATTAAACGTCCAATGGGTAAGATGGTTGATCCGTTCGTGTCTTGTCTTCAATTGACATGAGTGGAATCGACTTCTCAGACATTCATGTGGGCCAATTGTCCGACTGACGATGTCTTTGAAGTCTTGAGAGGTAGGGGCCTTTGCTTAATGGTGGCGCCTGCCGTAGTGTAGCGAATTCAATCGCGCAAAGAGCTGGTGTTTGTTGCTTCACTGCTTTTATGACTAGCTAGGACACCATCTCTGCTACCGACATTTGAAATGTACATGCGAAATGTCAAGCATACTCACGATCAGGGACTGGTGCAGCATCTTGAGATACGAGATATGGTTGGTCGGAGTGATGTTGGAGCTACGAATGGTTTGAGCATCTGTCACCATGATGGGGGCATGACTGAAGCCTGATGGAATGCGTAGTCAAAAGCATGCATACGCTTTGGGAAACAGTAGTCTCGATCGAAAGGCTTGGGTACTCTTTCAATGGCAAGCAACACAAGAGTGCGGTATTTGAAGAGATGTGGGATGGTCATGGGAAATGATGGCAGGAGCTTGAGGCGCGGCTGTCACTGGTTGTCACTGGCCTGACTCGTAGGGCACCTCAATCGTCATAGCCTGATTTTTGTCGAAAGTTGAAGCGTGTGCCAAGCCGCTCCGACATTCGCAGTCTTTCTGCTGAGACTGCATCTGAGCGGCACAAGCACAGCATTCGCTCTCGTGCCAACCACCCTCTTGCTTGCTAGCAGCTCTCCATGTCTCTGGCGCATGGCATCCCGACAGCTGCTGCGCCCAGGCGTGCAGGTGTCATGACCCCGGCAGCTCTGTCGGTTGTCAAGCTTCTCGGAGTCGCTCTCATCAACCTACCTCTATCGTACGCTGCTCCGCTGTTCTCCAAATCCGACTCGCCCGTCTACAGACGCGAAGAGCCCGATCCCAAGTCGCCAGAAGACCCCCAGCTATGGGTCTATCTGGGTGTTGCCATTGCCCTCGTGCTCCTGGGTGGAGTCTTTGCCGGCCTGACGATTGCACTCATGGGCCAGGACGAAATCTACCTGCAGGTCATTGCTACCTCGGGTGAGGGAAGCGAAAAGAAGAGTGCTGCCAGAGTTCTGCGCCTGTTGAAGAAGGGCAAGCATTGGGTCCTCGTCACGCTGCTGCTCAGCAATGTCATCACCAACGAAACGCTGCCCATCGTGCTGGACCGCTCGCTGGGTGGTGGCTGGCCTGCTGTGCTGAGCAGTACCATCCTCATTGGTATCTACTCGCCCTCTCCGTACAACTCCCTTGCACGCAGACGCTAACACGCTGCAGTCATCTTCGGCGAGGTCGTTCCTCAATCCATCTGTGTCCGTTTCGGTCTTCCCATTGGCGCCGCCATGTCTCCTCTCGTCCTAGGTCTCATGTGGATTATGGCCCCGGTGGCCTGGCCCACTGCCAAACTCTTGGACTGGTTGCTCGGTGAGGACCATGGTACTGTCTACAAGAAGGCAGGCCTCAAGACGCTCGTGACTCTCCACAAGACTCTAGGCACTACCCCGTCCGATCGCCTGAATGAAGACGAAGTCACCATCATCAGCGCCGTTCTTGACCTCAAGGACAAGCCTGTCGGCGACATCATGACTCCTATGGGCGATGTCTTCACCATGTCAGCTGACACAGTCTTGGACGAGAAGATGATGGACACTATCCTGTCGCAGGGCTACTCCAGAATCCCCATCTACGCACCTGATAACACTCGTAACTTCATCGGCATGCTGCTCGTCAAGATTCTCATCACCTATGATCCTGAAGATAGTCTGCGCGTTCGTGATTTCGCTCTTGCTACCCTCCCCGAAACCAAGCCCGAAACAAGCTGTTTGGACATTGTCAACTTCTTCCAGGAGGGCAAGTCACATATGGTCCTTGTATCAGACTTCCCCGGTCAAGACAAGGGTGCTCTCGGTGTCGTTACTCTGGAAGATGTTATCGAGGAACTTATCGGAGAGTGAGTAATGTCTGCTACTTACGTGCTATCGGCCACTAACAAGATGCAGNNGGAAATCATTGATGAGTCGGATGTTTTTATCGATGTGCACAAGGCGATAAGACGCATGGCTCCGGCACCGCGCACTAGATACACCAAGGGCAATCTTGTTGTAGACACTCCTGCAACCGAGGATGATACCGACGTTGATGAGCGTACTCATCTACTTGGACCCAAAGATTCAAGCAGTCAGAGCCGCAAGTCCTCGCTGACCGGCTCTCGTGAGGCTACTCTTCTGCTGCGCAGACGTAGTAGCACAGGCAGCGACAAGAACCGACCATTGCCTATCAGATCAAACACTGCCGACCTGCGCCAGCACTTGAAACATCTCGGCCCAAGCAACGTTGCAAGCCGTCCAAAGGCCACCAAATACACTTCTGTCAAGATCAAGCCCGGTGTAGGAACCATTCCTGAAAACCACGTACCCACCCCCGCCTCAGTTCAAGAAGCAGAGTCTAGTCAGGCAGGTACTTCCCAGACGGTCATCAACGGTGATTCATCTAGGCCTGAAGGCGGCATCGGTGCCGGCCTCGTCGGCTCGGCTGCTCTTGACGCTCAAGACGGAGCACACGCTGTCGCTCATGGATATGGTACAATCTCCCCTGGCTCCAAAAACCCTTCAATCCATGAAGAATCTGAAGTGCAGGCCGAGCACAACTTGTCTTCGCCCAAGCCTATGACCGCTAGCGAAGCATCTGCTTTTGCTGATAGTCACACTGCAGCAAAGCTTGGATCCAAGGAAAACGATGTACATGATGAGCAGGAGCAGCAGAATAAGCAGCAAAACGGCACTCACGAGTCCTCCGAGCAAGAGCAACCTGACTTGCCTCAAAAGTTGGTCGTGCAAGGAGGCACTTCNCGCCCCATTTCTCGGGACAGAAGAGGTTCGGGATCGTCACACTCCACAGTAGGAGAAATGGAAGACCGACCTGGAATCAGATCTCGTCGTGCCGTGCGATCCGGAAGTATCACTGAGAACATTGTCGACGTGAACGGTATGAAGAAGGTTGTCCTGGAAGCCAACAGCTCGTCCGATGGAGATGAACAAAAGGGCGCTGACGGTAGTGACGGCGCGAATGACAAACGTGGCCACGATGAGGACCAAGATGACGCTGGCCACGATGATGCAGGTCACGATGATTCGAAGGGCACCAAAAAGAAGAAGAAGAAGAAGCGTGCCGGCAAGAAATTCCGCAACAAGGGCGACTCTGTCAAGAGCCGTAGCGGCGACAGCACTCCTTTGTTGAACCAGGGTGATCGTTAAAAGTTGATAAGGAGGTGGTTGTTCTTTTCATTATCTGTTCCCTTGTTTCCTTACCACTGGTTTTCCAAGCACAGCGGCGTTTCAATGTCTTCACTTTACAGGTGTATACGTATCTAGTCTTTACAAAGCTTATATATCCGTGGTAATAGGGAATACGTGTTGTTTGATACTCGAGTATGAAATTATCTAGTGACAAGACCTGAGGCACATAGCTTTCCAGGCATCATCGAGCCCACTGTCGTCAAAGAAACGATAGATTTGTTAGAGACGTCCTTTGCGCGCCAATGCTCCCGCGACGATAGTGGTTGTGGCTTACATGGCGATGCCATCTTGTATAAGAGCTCGAAACTCGACCTTGAGACTCACACTTTCTCCCCATGTGCTAAAGTTTGTGACTCTGACCTTTCCCACGAAAGCGTAGAGCGAGGTGTGCACTATAAACAGGCACAAATGTCTTCCGGAGCAGAGGAGCGGCCGAAGAGAGCCACTAAAGTGTTGGCTCTCAGTAATATTGCCCTGTTTCCTGATATGATCATGCATTTCTATAGTTATATGCGTGACAAACTTCAGCACACGGGGAGGTTATATTCGAGGCTAAGAACCATTTCGTAGGGCGCGTTGTATGAGACCGACCCCGCATCCATAGCCCGACAGGGAGGTTTGTGACTCCGTCTACCTTGATGGCAATGATACCTATTCTGCATCTCTAACATACAATTGCAACATGCCAACAAGAACAGTGATGCGATCCAATTGGATCTCGACCATCAAATGCCAAAGGTCGCGCTTGTATTCTACTCTGCCACCCAAAGCACGACTGAACACACCCACGGATTTCGAGGCTACCACCCTCCTCAATCACAATTCCAAGTCTGCATTAGCCAGCAACGAATTATCCTCCGAAGCGAAAAGTGGTACTGCGACGCGGTTGAATCTTTTCCAAGCCATCAACTCTGCTCTTTCATATGCGCTTCGAACGGATCCTCGTGTTTTGCTATTCGGAGAAGATGTGGCTTTTGGAGGAGTGTTTCGCTGCAGGTACCAGACCGTGTCACTGCATGGCTTTTGTACGATTGGCTGACGTTTGTCGNNTAGCATGAACCTGGCCTCTGAATTTGGAGACGATAGAGTCTTCAACACACCCTTGACTGAGCAAGGTATCGTCGGGTTTGCTATAGGCGCGGCGTTCGAAGGTATGCGGCCTGTTGCTGAAGTTCAGTTCGCCGACTACGTATATCCTGCGTTCGATCAGTTAGTCAACGAAGCAGCAAAGGCTAGATTCAGAGCTGGTATGAATGCACAAGGACAGAGCTGTGGGGGTCTTGTGGTGCGAATGCCTTGTGGAGGTGTAGGACATGGTNNAAGTCATAATCAACCCTTTAAGTGTTAAGATGATGAGCTAACCAAGTAGGTGCTCTGCAAGTATATCCATGTCAGACATGCCATCGAGTATACTAACAGTCGCAGATACCATTCTCAGTCACCAGAGTCGCTTTTCACACACATACCTGGATTGCGTGTAGTGATGCCTCGTGGACCCGCACAGGCCAAAGGTTTGCTGCTCGCAGCAATTGCAAGCAACGATCCTGTTGTTTTCATGGAGCCCAAGATACTCTACCGTGCAGCAGTAGAATACGTACCTGCCGAGGCGTATGAAATCCCTTTGAGCAAAGCAGAAATCGTCAAGCCTGGCAAAGACATTACAATTATCAGCTACGGGACCCCGTTGTACACATGCTCAAACGCAATTGAGAAGGCAGAAGCGGATTTCGGTTGCCAGATTGAGCTCATCGATCTTCGGACAATTTACCCATGGGATCGGCCTACAATCATTGAAAGCGTAAAGCGAACCGGAAAGGCCATCGTGGTTCACGAAAGCATGACTAATTCTGGAGTTGGTGCCGAAGTGGCAGCGACTATTCAAGAGACATGCTTCCTCAATCTAGAGGCGCCAGTTGCTAGAGTCTGTGGATGGAGCACACACATGGGTCTCATCTATGAGGTAAGTCGATTGGCGATTCATCTCCGGCTATTCAAATGCTGACTGCTATAGCGATTCAACATCCCAGACGTGACACGTAAGCGCATGCTGTAATGTGTGGTGATGTATTATGAGCTAACGACCACTAGGTATCTACGATGCCATCAAGACAACACTAGACTATTAGGTGGCTCAGCTGTACGCCCTGCGGAACTGAGAGACGGTAATGTTTTGTATCAACGCAAAGTCATGCATGGAGAGAAAAGCATATTAGGTGTTGGGTATAGCTGCTCGTTATCAATTTGGTGTTGCCTCAAAAGACTCCGCTTCGCAAGATGGTAACGAAATCGTGCGTAGGTGTTTAGGCGCGGTTCCATTCGGTTTTGCCCAGGCGGATGATGTCGCTTTGACCGATGATCCAGACTTTTTGCTGTGCCTTGCCTCCGTGACATTGCAAGCCGGCGGATATGGCAGCTTTGGCGATCACATCGGCGTCCTGAGCCCAGAAGTCCTTGAGCCATGGTTCGCTGATCTTGCCAGCCAAGCCAGCGATCTTGCGTATAGCGAACTCTGGAGGCCTCGAGTCCTCCCTCTGACCGACGATCAAGCCAGGACGCAGGATGACAGTGTGTTCAAATCCCAGCTGCTTGACGGCTTCTTCCAGTTCGCCCTTCATTCTTGGGTATGCCAGGAAGCTGGTGGCATTGGCTCCTTGACTGGAGATCAAAACATAGGTCGTGGCACCATTTTCCTTTGCTTTCTTTGCGAGCTCGAGATTCAGATCATAGTCGATCTTGCGCTGGTTTGCTACACTTCCGGCAGCACCACGAGTGGTTCCCAGGGCAGAGAAGAAGATGGACGAAGCTTGCGGATAGAGGGAGGCCCAGGTCGACGAATCAGACGAGACGAGTGGGTGGACCTTGGCAGAGGCGGTGGGAAGGTCTTTACGAGCGTATGCATAGAGGCCCGAGACCGAGGGATGCGACGATAGGATCGAGTAGATGTTGCCGCCCTTCGATGACAGTTTAGCAGCTCTTCATCACAGCACCGTGTGCTTGTCTAGTCTGCTTGTGCTGGCACTCACAACCAAGCCTGTGCTTCCGGCAAGTGTGCATGTCAAGTCTGCCATGTTACGACTTTTGTAATGAGCAATTCGTTGTGTTGTGTGATGTGGAGAAGGAGAGAAAGATGGCTGTGCCGATCGAGCACGCGCGCACGGCCGAAATTTGTGGCTTCGTATCGCCTACAATACCAACCTGCCGCATTATCTATCTGCTGTCTGCCGCACCACTTATCTGACGAACAACTTATTGCAATCGTCTTTCGCCGTCTACAACTAATCCAATCCAGCATCGACATGCTCCTTGTGCCTTCTGCTCACTCGCCCGTCAATCTGCACTCACTCGACCCAGTTTCATCCACCATCATCCGAGCCCTCCACAATCGAACACACAAATCTGAAGAGGTACGATCTGCTTCAATCTTTCATAATTCCCAATCATGCAAAAAGAGTGGCCAAAACTCTTCTTCGTCGTGTTTGGCCGGGTGCTGACCATCTGATAGCAGATTCTCAGGATTGAGAGAGAGTCGATATCATGTTGAACGTACGAGCCCTCAACAAGCTACTAACCGAAAATGTCGACCACAAAGTCTTCGTACGGTGGTTGTAAGGCTACTGATATCTAGCACATCCAATCTAGCCAGGCGCTGACTTGGTGCAGNNCATCATGACTCCGAACGGATCATTAATGGCATACACCTTGCCCGCCAACATGAAAGAACTTCGTGATCAAGTTGCTCTAGTATCAATATCCTGGAAAGAACACCTAGAGCGCAAAGACAATGAGAGATATGAACCGCAATACAGTCAAGGTGGTCCCAACGAGCCATCAAAACGTGTGGTCCGACCAGACGCTTTAGAAACGCTTACCGTCGAGTTCGACAACCGGAACCTGATTGTCAAATACCTGCAGCCCAAGTTGCTATTAATACTCGAAGGCGGAGTGCCACCAGGAAGGAAACGCGAGCTCAAAGTGACAGCAGAGGCGCCTGGCGATGCACGATATCCACCCGAGGACTCAAGCACATCTGACCGCGCTGATACCATGCTCGGAACATCTGTTGGATCAAAGGCGTCAACAACAGTCAGTAGCACGCAACGACTCAGCGTTCTTCACATCCAGCGCAGGAAGATGGAAATCATGGCCGAAACAATCAAGCAAGAACTCTCCGGGTTCGAGGTAAGTGAGACATGGTACATATTGATGTCGCAGTGCAGCTAATAGTATACATAGATGCCCGACGATCCGACCGACAAGTTCTTTTAAAGACAAGCCCCTCAGCACGTTGATCCGAGGCTGAACAACGAGAGGTGGAGTTGTTGATGATAACGACTGAACGAAGGAGGTTGATCGGTTGGGCTTCTTAAATAGCATGTGTGTAGCGTACAGCGAGTTCTTGTTTGTACAACAGAAGGTAGCATAAAATTGGGATGAAGAGATGCACAAGTATACATAAATTTCGGCAAGACTGATGCACAAAAATGACGTTCGTGGTGTAGCTTTCCCCAGTGACGTTTCGAAGACAAGGACAAGCACGTCAAGGCCGAGCTAAGCAACAAAGTGAATTGAGCACGACCTGACTCGATCTCTTCTTGCTCCTCCACTCCAATTCACGCCGACCTCTTTGACAGACACACATCCAGTTCACATAGACAACCACAACAAGCCAGCAACCATGATTACCGGACCTCTCAGCCGCCGCCTTTTGGCCCAGCAACCTCGCGTGCTCAGCCAGCGCCCTTTCGCAAGAATCATCAGCAGACCTTTGTCATACACATATCAGCTCCAAGCACGCAAGGACGCTCAGGACAAGGACTCTCTCAAGCCCGAGCCCAACGAGTACAGCAAGAGCGGCTCCGACGACGAGGCGGCTCGCGTCGAGAAGACGGCCTTCGACCCCAACAAGACATCGCCCGAGGAACAGCACGACTCGGCCGCCAGCGAGTCCGCAGAGGTAAGACAACATGTCTCTACGATTGATTTCCTTTGTATTTTGGAAAGGAGAGGAAGTTGGCGCTAGGGTACCAAGCAACAGAAGCTAACCACTCGCAAGCTTGGACAGGCATCAAACCCTCTGAACGTCAGCCCTGCAAACCAGGAAGTCAGCAAGCCCAGAAGTTCGACAGAGGGAGGACACGAAGGCTCGGCTGCCTCATCGAGTGACAGCCCTAGCGACAGATCCAGAAGCAGTGGTGGCGGTAGCCCCACCAAGGGCAGCGAGGGTCAGAAATACAGCTCGTAGTTGAAGACGGAAGCATGGCACTATTAGTATTACCCTCGCCTAGCATTGGCATATACGCATACGAATAGCTCGAAAGACAGCACGTTCAGAATTCCATGACCCCTGTGAACACATCTTTGACTATCCCTGAACTGGCTTCCGAACGGGGTATACCTGAGACATGCGTAGGTATTGCTGGTCTGCTCAAATGCCGACGGGAATGGATGGCTATTACTAAGGCTGTGCGGGGTATTGTTATCAGTGCGTCATCAGCCATGCAGCANGCAGTTCGCTCTTTCAGAAAAGTCATGTTCAAACCAATTGTCCAACCATTCTTCACCAGACGAGCATTTACATCGTTCCGTACACTCGCCGCCGCCATGTCAGACACTTCGACTTACAAGTTCAACCACAGCATGCTGAGGGTCAAGGACGTAAGCACTCGTCAACCTTCTTCTCTCTAGACTCGAGCTGATAGAAGTTCCCTACAGCCTCAGCGATCCGTCAAGTTTTATGAGCACCTGGGCATGAAGATGATCAACAAGTTGGAGAACCCCGACGCCAAGTTCGATCTCTATTTCATGGCCTACGACGACCCCAAGTCGGTTTCCCATGGCAAGCACTGGTCAGACCGTGAAGGCCTCATCGAATTGACCCACAACTATGGCGAGTTGAGCTCATCCTATACGCACAGATAAGCCAGCTAACATCGTAGCNNAGGTACCGAGAAGGACGATAACTACACAGTCAACAACGGCAACGGCAAGGAGAACCGCGGTTTCGGCCATGTTTGCATCAGCGTCGACAACATCCAAGACGCCTGCAAGCGTATCTCTGATGCCGGCTACTCGTTCCAGAAGCGCCTCGAAGACGGCCGTATGCGTTCTATTGCTTTCGCTCTCGACCCCGACAACTACTGGGTCGAGATCATCTCCCAGAATCCCGTCAGCGAGACCGAGGGCAAGAAGTCAGACGTGGCCACATACCGCATGAACCACACCATGATCAGAGTCAAGGACGCCGAAAAGTCGCTCAAGTTCTACCAAGAAGTCATGGGCATGACCCTGCAGCGCACCTCGGAGCAAAAGGAGGCTGGCTTCACTCTTTATTTTCTCAGCTACGGCCCCAAGGCCCCTGAGCAGTCTGCAAACGGTGTCAACCCTATTGCTGACCGTGAGGGTATCCTCGAGCTCACATGGAACCACGGCTCCGAGAGCGACGACAGTGTCAAGTATCACAACGGCAACGACGAGCCGCAAGGNATGTACGTTTCCAGCTATAGTTCCCATCTTCCTACCTGAACCTATACTGACATGTGTCAAGTCGGCCACACCTGCGTCTCTGTCGACGACTTGGATGCTGCCTGCAAGCGCTTCGAGGACATGAACGTCTCATGGAAGAAGCGTTTGACAGACGGCAGAATGAAGAACGTTGCCTTCATCCTCGGTAAGTGGTTGACAAAACTCGCTGTGCTTGATTCCAGACTAACGAACCAANNAGACCCCGACAACTACTGGATTGAGGTCATCCAGAACGAGAAGCTCAAGAGCAGAGCCAACTGGTAAACAATCGACTAGATCGATATGATTGGATGAACGCCGTTGGAAGCGAATAGTTGGTCCTTTTAGGGAGAGAGATACTTGACATATGCAATGATGAACCCATATTTAATGTCTGTACGACCCCTTCAACGAATATATCTTGCTTCAGCACCCTAGCTTTCATCGTCCTACAGATACATGGTACTTCAGAACGAGAGCGATACATTGGGGGTGACCCTGTCGTCAAAGTAGTTTCTTCGCTTCAACAGCCCACCATCCATCCCTTCAGCCTGTGATAGACTCGCTCTGGTGCGAAACTACCATATTGGAGTAAGAATTTTGTTACGATTCTATAAAGGAGGCGAGTGCATTGATATAGCATTGCCGTCCCAGCTTGGAAACATTTCAGCAACTTGCACACGATTTGCGCGAAGAAGTTCGGAACCAGATGGAGTCAAATCCCTCTATCGAGCGCTCAATACCAATTGATCTGTGGAAATAGAGATGTAGAAGCTTGATTCTTCTGACTACTGACGGAAGACTACCTATATAGCTGCCTGCAAACAAAGCACGCAGCTGCTGCCTTACCGCTACAAAGACCGAGACAGCTGTTTGCTACTATCTTTGAGACCTGGGAGGCATAAACAACTAGGTACATCGAATAGATAATTACTCAAGGAAGTCACAGGTACGAGAAAAGTGAAGCTTGACCTGGGTTGGTACGATGACAGCGAGGACTCAAGACAATGACAGGGTGGTCCCATCGGCAACGTTCTCGAGAAGGAGGTAGAACTCTCGACAAACAAGAAGTACACCAGCTTGGAGTCCATGTTCACAAAAAGGCAGGTAGTGCACACCGAAGAGGAGAAACTTAGGGAATGAAATGCTTTTGTTCGACATTAGCCAGAACTACCTGGTCATGATGTTACACTAAATCATCCTCCATCAATCTGTCGGTCCCTTATGCCTCATCACCCAGCACGGCCTTTCTGGAGAAATCGTACAGGGGAGTGATGTCGGTCCAGTGTTTGAACTGNNTGATAGAAGTGTTAGCAGTTGCGTCTGGTATGTCACAGGATCAATTGCTTACCTGGTGCACACCCTGTCCGACCAGAGCCTCAAGGCCGGGGACGGTTTTCCAACCACTGTTGTCAGCGAGCTGCATCAGCGATGTCACGCGCGGCTTGTAGGCCATCTCAAGAAGAACCTTGGCCTTGTCATCGGGTCCAGGGATGTCCCGAGGGTTGTTGCCAGCCTCGAACAAGGAGCATAGCGTCTCGCGCATTGCAGGGTCGATGGGTGAGTCACCGGGAATGGTACCGATGGCCACGACAGGGTGTCTGTCGGGTGACAGCTTGGAGACTTGCTCAGTATCACTCAGGACCTCGATGTTGAACGAAGCGTCGAAAGCGTCGGCCAGCGTCTGCAGCTTGGTTGTGTTGCGGCCAACCAGGTAGACAGGGCTGTAGCCCATCTTGTGCAAGGCATAGATGGCGGCGCGTGCAGTGCCGCCACCTCCGATAACCATAGCCGCCTCCTTCAATACACCATTGTTGCCTTCGGCACCAGCGAACTGCAGTGCGATAGTCATGCCCTGCCAGTCTGTGTTGTAGCCAGTCAAGATGGTCGTAGCGTCGGCGGTCTGAGTAGGTACAATGGTGTTAACGGCACCAATGATCCTAGCGGCCGGGTCGACATGGTCGAGCAATTCCATGACATCTAGCTTGAGTGGGATTGTCACACTGCCACCACCAAAATTGGGGGCACGAATGAGCTTCTCAATCTCCTTTGCTACGGTAGTCTCGAACAGGCCATACTCGTGCGGGAGTCCCGACTGTGCAAAGAGAGCGTTGTGAAGGGCAGGGCTTCGGCTCTGTGAAATAGGCGAACCAAAGAGATAAAACTTCTTAGGTTCAATCTCGCCGATCAAGCTAAGACCACGACGGATGTCGGCAGCTGAAAGCTGGCCAGGAGCAGCTACGACGGGCAGAGCAGGGGACGAGACCGGAGTCATGAAGCGGTTCGTGATGCGACTGAGCTTACCATGCTCGCCCATGTTAAGGGCAATGAGCGGAATTTCTGGGTGAGTCTTTGCAGCCCAAGCCTTGAACTCTGCAAGTGCGAAATTGTCCTCCAACGACTTTGCAGTACCAACGATCTTGATGATGTCTCCGTATTCCAGCGCAGCGTTGTAGTGCGGCATCCATGCACTTCCTCCGGTAGCCCAAGAAAGCTTACCAGCAGGATCATGATGGGATGCGATGATTTTGCTGTTACGCTTGTTCGAGATGACGAACTCCTTAAGCTCCGGCGATGAGGTCAACTCTACATCGACAAAGTCACAGCCCATGCGAAGTGCGACCCGGTAGAGCTTGATTGCCTCTTCGTCAGCGCCGTCAGGGAAGCGTCCACTCTGGGCCTTGGTGCGGAGGGTGAAGATGACAGGCAAGGAACTGCCTGATCGCAGAGCCGCAAGTTGTTCGACAAGGAACTCTGGGCTAGGGCGTCTATCGGGTGTAGATGGGTCCTGCAGAAGGTCTGCACGGAACTCGATAACATCAACTCCGAATGAGATCTCGTTGAGGCGGGACAAGAATGGGGCGACGGTCGGGAGTGTCAGCGAGACGAAGAATGACTCCCTCTTTCTCCTCATACGCTCCAGAGCACACTCACGGTTAGTGAGCAATCTCAAGAAGCTACCAAAGTCCTCGATTGTGTTCTTGGCTCTGGCGCCATCCATCGACTCAACTGTCTGGCTGTGGTAATGGAAGTTGCTGCACTCTTCGTACCAGGGCTTTCTGCGGAGCCACACACCCATCATGTCTTCGACGTAAGCTGGGCGTGTCTTGTCAATCTGCAAGAAATTCATGACGAGGTTAATGTCTCTGGTCACCAGGAGCACGTTACCGCCGTTCTTGTGGTAAGACGTGAGAATACCACGAGCCTCGGCTGATTCAACGATACCACCACCAGTAGCAAAGATGTATCCAGTAGGCTTCTCCTTCATCACAGTCTTGAGGAGAGCGAGTTCAAGCCCACGGAAAACCTCCCAGCCCTTCTCTTTGATGATATCGGGAATAGTCATACCAGCAGTTCTCTCCAATTCAGTGTCGAGATCAATCAGAGGCCAGTTGAGCAGACGGGAAGCCCACCCACCTGTAGTGGTCTTACCAGCACCCCTCATTCCAATGATGAAGATTGACTTTTGGTTGCTCGAGGAGACTGTGTGGCCAACAGAAGAAGAAGATTTGGGCTCAACACCTTCCAACTTGACCTTGAAGAGTAGAGACAATTGGTCCCACCATCCAGGCCAAGTCTTGCCAACGCACTCCCTTTCCAAGACAAGGGTGGGTTTGGGAGCCATGGTAGAAAGGACAGAGAAACTCATGGCGACTCTGTGGTCATCGTAACAGTGGACACCACCCTGTGCCTCTTGTAGATCAAAACCGCGGCCATCAATTTCGATACCATCGTCAAGCTCTCTGCATGTAACACCGAATTTAGCAAGCTCATCCTTCATCGCCTTGATACGGTTACACTCCTTGACACGCTGGTTGGCGATACCCAGGATACGGGTAGTAGCGCCGTTCGCGTTGGGCTTAGCGACAGCAGCGAGAACGGAAGCAGTAAGGAAAGCGTCAGTCATGGTTTCCATGTCGACTTCAGGCAACGGCTTCAGTTCGCCGACAGGAGGACCGGTGACTGTGGTAGAAGTCGCAGACTGTTCGACCTTGCAACCCATTGGTCGTAGCACCTCAACAGCAAAGCGGGCGTCTCCCTGAAGAGAGCTGGAGCCGATGTTGGGGACTGTGCAGGTAGTGCCAGAGATGGCAGCCATTGCAAGAGGATAAGTAGCAGAACTGGCATCACTCTCCACCTCATATTCAGCAGGGTTGGTGTATGCCTTGCGAGGAACGTGATACACATTGGCCTCAGTGCTAGATCGCTCGACTTCAACACCAAACTGAGCCATCATAGCAATGGTCATGTCAATGTATGGTTGCGAGATGACCTTGTCGCCAACAAGACGAAGAGTCACAGGGTTCTTGGCGTAAGGGGCGCACATCAGGATAGATGAAACATATTGCGAAGACACCTTGGCAGTGAGCTCGATGACACCACCCTCGAAACCACCAGCAGCGGCGATGCGAAGAGGAAGACTGCGGCTTCCAGGCTTACCAATGTACTCGATCTCGACACCATTGGAGCGAAGAGCATCAACGAGGGGACCCTGAGGTCTTTCCTGCATACGAGCGTTACCAGTAAGGACAGTATGGTCGACAGAAGATGGCTTAGCAAGGGAGACAGCAGTGGTCAAGAAGCGAGAAGCAGTGCCGGCGTTGCCCAAGTAAAGTTCGTCAGCGCTAGCCTTTAGCTCACCACCGTTTCCGGTAAGGACAAGGACGCGGCCTTCATCTTCCCAAGAATAAGTTGCTCCTCCGAGCTTGTTAATGGCTGTAAGCATGACCTGAGTGTCATCAGAGTGTAGCAGGTTGGTGATACGACAAGGACCAGAGCCGAGAGCAGCAAGAAGCAGTACGCGGTTGGAGATACTCTTTGAGCCTGGAGGCTTGCAGGAGATGTTGAGAGAACTGTCGACACCAGGGTGGACGAGCACGCTAGGAGACAGAATTATGCGGATATCTTTGTCAGCCACAGTGCTTGCCTTTGGCTCGTAGGTCTTGCCAATAGCCGAAAGCAAGACAATCTTCTTTTGGCCGCCTGCATTCTTCTTGTCAACGGCCATAATGGAGATCAAGCGATCGACGGGACAGTGCTTGTTAGCCGTCCTCCTGCGGACAACCTTGTCTTCCAGTGAAGTAGGCAAGCCGTAACTTGAGATGCACTTGGACAGACGGGCAACGGCACCAGGAGCAAGGACACCGAGGTGGCGGGCTAGCTCAGCTTCCTTGACCATTCCAATTGCGACACATTCGCCGTGCAGAATCTGAGGAGTCAAGATGGCCTCAATGGCGTGGCCAATCGAGTGACCAAAGTTCAAGATGTTGCGCAAGCCGCCTTCTCTTTCATCAGCAGAAACGACCTCGGCCTTGATGCGAGCAGAGCCGAGGACAATGCGCTTGAGGATGTGGGCAATCTCTGTGAATCTGCCCTCGCCCTTCTTGGTCTTGTCATCCAGAACCTTCATGATCAGATCGGCGTTCTCTTCCAGGGTAGCGAACTCGGCCTCATCCCAGAAAGCGGCCGTCTTGACAACTTCGGCCATGCCGTTGATGACCTCTCTTTTGGGCAGAGTCTCGAGGAACTGAAGATCAATGTAGATGCGCTGGGGTTGCCAGAAAGCACCAACCAGGTTCTTGCCCAGAGGAGTATCGATGGCTGTCTTGCCACCGATGGAAGAGTCGACCATGGCCAGGAGTGTGGTGGGGACCTGAACGAAGCGCACTCCACGCATGTATGTAGCGGCGACGAAGCCAATCATGTCTCCAATGACACCTCCGCCCAGCGCGATGACAACGCTGTCTCTGGTGACACCTTGCGAAAGCATCCAGTCTTCGACGGCGGCCTTAGTTGACCTGCTCTTGGAGCTCTCGCCAGGCGCGACCTGGTAGGTGAGAAGTCGCGGCGCATTTTTGAGCTTTGACGTGTGTTCGTTGAAGGCGGCCTCAAAGGTGGGTGTATAGAGGGCGCCAATGTTGGTATCAGTGATGAGGATATAGGTGCCCGAGGATACGTTCTCCAGCAGGTCGGGCACAACGAAGTTCTTCCAGAGTCCGTAGTCAATGATGATGGATTCCTTGCCCAGAATCGAGACCCGTGTGGGCTCGCTTGCACTTGAGCTGCCCGACATGATGGACAAATGGGCTCACGGCAGCAGCGATGGAGCTCTCAAGAAGGTCGGGGCGAGCGGGAAGGTCAATGTCAATTGCACGGTGACTCAAAGCGTCTGGCCATGGCTGGCTCTTGCATGAGCACGCCAGTCCCTCCCCACAAGAATATTTTGAGAAGCCCGACTACCGACATCGGCATAAACGGCACAATGGCGAGTCACTATTTTCACAAGACGTCGTGATGCAGTTCAAATCATCCGCTAAGCTCTTACGGTATCACAGTCATACGCAGCAGGCACGTGAGGAACAGGCGAACATATAGTGGCAATGTCTACTTAGATAGGGCAACGTTCAAGTACATCCCTTCGAGACAGCACAGGGCTTTCCCCACTGGCAGCAAGGCCAGTGGATATCTTTCCCTCATAAGCGCCGTTCTCTTTGATCTAGAGTAGAGCAAGAATCGCGACGGTGAAGTGGAACGCCGAACAGCAGCAAATGGACTTTTTGAACTTTCGTAGTCGGACTTATTGAAATCCCCCATTTTTGTCGTATCGACTTTTTCAATCAAACCGGCTCTCGCCCCCCCTCGATAATGTGACATTTACCAGGTGGTCTCGGGGGCGGTCTCGGCGTTGGTCTCGGAGGCCCAGCCCTCGTTACCGGTCTGGACGGGAGCGCTCGAGGCGGCCCAGTCGGCACCCTCAGCATCCCAGCTGGAGTTGGCGGCAGCACCGGCGGTGCCAGAGGCGGCAGCGAAGGCACCAGCGTTGGCGCCGCTAACCTCCCAGTCGTTGGCGAAACCGCTCTCGACGGCGGCGGGGCCAACCTCGTCGGCACCGGGGACCTTGGCCTCGTCCTGGTTGGCAGAGTCCTTGTTCTCCTCGGCTTCGGGGTCGCGGTAGAAGTACAAGTCAGTCATGACATCCCACTCGGCCTCACGGCTGGGGAGAGTGCCACGGAGACGGAGGACCTCACGGGCGAGCATCCACCAGACGAGACCGATGGCGTGACGACCCTTGTTGTTGGTGGGGATGGCAACATCGACGTACTCGGTGGGCGAGTCAGAGTCGCAGAGCGAGATGACGGGGATGTTGACGTACGAGGCCTCCTTGATGGCCTGGGCATCGGTGCGGGGGTCGGTGGTGATGATGAGGCGGGGCTCCTTGAACGAGCGGGTGATGTAGTTGGTGAAGTTACCGGGGGTGAAGCGACCGGCGATGGCAGAGGCACCGGTGTGGGCGGCGAACTTCAGGACAGCACGCTGACCGTAGGGACGGGCAGAGATAACGCAAATGTCGGCGGGGTTGTCAATGGCGGCGATGATGCGGGCGGCAAGGACGATCTTCTCNNCCTAAAGGCGCATCCGGGTCAGACATGGCTCTTTTGCGAAATTTCGAGGCTGCGAAAAGTTGCGATTCGCGCGCGGGTGTGGTCAAACGCACCAGGTCTTGCCAATGTTGATGACGTTGACGCCGTCAGGGCGAGTCTTCCAGAGGTAAGGCTCCATGTGCACCTGGAGGTTCTTGGAACCGATGTGGCACTATTGTCCACATTAGTTGAGGAAGTCGGTCTACTGCGCAGTCGCACGAACCTGAGCGGCCAAGAGCATCTCAATGTCTTGGCTGGTAGCAGCCATGGAGGCAGGGGTGTTGGAGGGAGACATCTTGACCGGTATAGAGTTGTCGACGGGGCTGGTGACAAGGAGAGGGAAGGCGCAACACTGTAAAAGATGGAAGCCGCGTCCTCGATTTTCAAGCTGTGGGCCGAACGTGACTTCCCGGGATTTAGCCGTGTGCTTTGCCAGGGTTACCTCGAGACTTGAACAACCACCACTTGTTTATGAGATGTAGGTAGATGCTTTGCAGACAGGACATAACATTGAGCCTTTCTGTGTGTATCTCTTTCTCGCGCGAATCATAAATAATCGAAGTATGACATAAGGCCCACATACAACATCTCCTGGCCGTCTGTCATGGCCTGTCACTAACCAGTTCGTCGCTGCAGAGGTACTCAGCACATCTTGCTTTGTTTTGATTCCAGTGTCTTTCTAATCCTTAAGCCCATGGCTCTGTCCAGAGCGACTTCTTCATATAGATGTAATGATTGAAAGTGTTCTTGACCGGGTACAGAGAGTTTTTGGTCGTCGCGAAAGTGCCAAGGAAGGCCGCTGGACGTCCTCCGATAACATCTCCGCTCAAGCCAAATTTCACGACCAGTTGAAGGTATACCTAATCAACCCAAACACAATTATGCCGCCACGCGTTCCTCTATTGTCGAGCCTAAGAGCTCTGAATGGTTTGTTAGATGTTCAAGAATGTATATCGCGGATTCCAACATTTATTACAGGACAAGGCTGCACAGCATCCCCGTCGGCGCAGATCTGTCGTACTTTCGCCTCGACATCTGTAGACCAGGCCTCGACCGTCCAGCAAAAGAGACGACACCGCGATCCATACGCTCTAGCACAGGCTCGTGCCCGCAAAGCCGCCAACATCTCGCGCCAGCAAGTTCTCGAGCAGGAGCGCTCAGCAGCCCTTGGTGACCCCGTGCGAGGAATCAATACGCCTTTCGTTCAGTCATTCGACACGGCCATTCCTCCAACTCCCACCCCTTCTTCCACTAGCGACACCCATACTGCCACTCGCAACGAATCACCTTCACCAAAACGATCCCCTTCTGGCCCGAACGCCCAGACCGAGGAATACAAGAATTTCTTCCTCACTCAACGGGAAATCAAGGAGGCGTCTGTCCGCAGTGAACAGTTGACTGCTTCTGTCGCCGACCAGGACTTCTTCGAGACCAACGACCCCGAAGAGAAGCAACGCAGGGATCAGGAACGCCAACAGAGCGAGCAAGAGCGCAAACAGAAGCATGCCACAGCCACCGAAGCTCTCAACCGCATTGTGTCATTGTCGAACGGCTCGTCCAAGGATCGTCTTCGCGTGAATATCCAGCGCTGTGTCGACGCTTTCGGTCGCCACCAAACCGACAAGAAGCTGCCCTCCAAGCCTCCGGTCGCCGAGTCAATTCTTCTGAAGAACCCCAGCGCCAACACACAAAAGGTCGAGCGTGCTGGCCCCGACACAGGCAGTAGCGAGGTTCAGATCGCCATCTTGACGGCCAAGATCAAGACGGTGGCCGATTTCTTGGAGAGCAGAGGAAGACCCGATAAGATCAACAAGCGCAACCTCACCATCCTGGTCCACAAGAGACAGAAGCTTCTCCAGTACCTTAGGCGAAAGGAGAGAGGTGGCCCAAGATGGCAGCACCTGATTGAGACACTCGGCCTGACCGAGGGAACTTGGAAGGGCGAGATCAGTCTACGATAAAGATTGAAAATCGTGCATAACTAAAACAACCTATAGCAAATGGGGGTATCTGTAAAATTACTCTGTTCCTGTATATCCAATTTCCTTTCAATATTGCAGAAATCCTGCTGCCAAACCACAGACATTTCTTTGCATGACCGTGTCTCATTGTTCACAGCCTACGAGGCACATTCGCTTTATTCTTCTTCACTCTCCTCATCGCTGTCTGCCCCACCTTGTTGTCCAGATGCAGCATCGTCGTCCAAACCTCCTTCCAACTCCAGCAGCATTTGCTTTTCGAGATCGTAATCGTCGTCGCCGCTGACAGTTGGTCCGCTAATGCTAGGTCGATGCACCCGAGCAGGACTGGGTAGGTGCAAGGCGTCTACATCACCGTCTTCGTCCGCGTCACTCTCAACCTGATCATATTCGTTGGCTTCTTCATCTGGATCCATGACGAGTTCGTCTTCGTCGTAATCCGGTTCCCGATGTTCAGTAAGCGGACTTGGCCGTTGTGCGGCTGGTGAGTTGATGTGGCTACCAGCTGGACTGCTTGCTGCGCTTCGCAAGCTGCGTGGCCCTTCGGTCAGTCCATTCGTGAGAGCAAGACCTAGGCTTGACTTTGAGTTGTTGGAATGATATGAAAATCGCTCCGGCTCATCACCCTCAAGAACCAGGTCCCCGTCATCGTCATCGTCAAGCGAGAGTTCTTCTGGTTCTCGCTTCTTTGGCGGAGGCTTCGAAGGCAACGCAACTCGTGTCGAACCACGACGGTCGAGACGAACAGCTGGCACTTGAGCTTGGGTCTTGCAGTGTGATTGTGTTTCTGGCGAGGGCGAGCGCGCCACATCCCTAGAGGTTGACCCGACCTCGGCAGGAGCTGGTCTCGCTCGTGGCTTCGGTGGTAGATTGGCGGACTGCGGAGCGAATGCAGAGGTCTGTTTGCGGATGGATTTGGCGATTGGTGTGTTTGTTCTTGTCGAGGTTTGAGAGGCTGCCGGAGTAGCCGCTGGTGCAGCCCTGACGGGAGGAAGGTTGGGACTGGGCGAGTCTTCGACATCCAAGTAATGTCTAAAATCGAAAGGGTTGGCGGCGTCTGCACCAGCTGGATCCAGCGAGACACCTCCTTCATTGTCGTCTGCATGCTCAACGTCCTCTTCGTGCTCGTCGTCGATGGATCGCAGCTGCGGGTATCGGTCGACCAGGGCTTTGGAGCTCGATTCCCAAGGCGCACGAGTCAAGTTCAGAGCGTACGATGAAGCGATCCTTTCTAGCACAAAGTCTTTACCTTCGTCGTCGAGCAGCAGGAGGTAGTCATCCTCGTCGTTGTGGCGCGTGCCGGTATACTTGTATTCGTCGGCGCCGTCTTTCAGGGACAGAGTAACTCGATCGCCCTCGGGGGCATGGCGAATCGAAGACTCGGCATTGTCAGGATCTGAGAGATCTGGTTTATGATTGTACTGTATACTAGAACATGACGATAGTTGGCGGCCCACGCGGATTGTGTAAGGGATCGTGTTGCGTAGGTCGAAAGCAGTCGAGGGTCGTGGAGAGACTGCTGTCGCCATAATATTTGCAGCCTCAACAAGCAGTCAAATAGCCGAGCAAGAGGACTATGGACAAGCGGACACACCAGCGAGTCTGTTGACAAGGGTTATGGATGGACGGCGGTCGGGAACAATGGCTTGAGTCGGAACCAACAACCCGACTGTTGACTCTCGGCAGCTCTCCGATAACAACGGCCTTGCGTGTGTACAAGTACTTGTACCTATCAACTTCCTAGGACTTTCGAACAGTGGGAGCAGCTCAACGAACGACCAGACAGTGGTGAAGGCAGGAGTTAAAAACCTGAATAGAGACTAATCACCCGAGGGGATTACCACCAGTAGTCAGTAGAACAAAGACAGTGTACACCAAGAAACACGTGCTTTGTTCCAGAAATTCTACAACAACATTGAGTAGCAGGAGCTCAAGTTCATGCGCATTCGGACGGTCACCACCAACACACGGCAAACAAACGCCATGTCAATTGACATGTTCTCGAAGGAAATTAGCCTTGGACGTGTCTCACCCAGCAATCTATATAAGGAGACGTCGAATTGGTTGGCTTGGATTTCGCAGGCTTCCCGAGCCGCAGCTGGCTTTTGACACACGACTGACCAGCACAGGACAGATATAGAGGCACAGAGACGATACAAAACAGCAGCCAGACTCGTCTGACAAGGAGCGTTTGGTCTGCACGAGACAGCAAGGTGGAAATCAGTCAGTGCATACTGGATATGACGTGCAGGGTCTTGGCGGGCATGGAACTTCGATGGCTCAGGCACGAATAGCTACAAGTTGACAGCTCGAAGAAAGACTCGTCGACCTACCTTTCCCATCCGCATTCAAATCCGCCAGACAGAGTTTCCCTGCTGGCATGTCAATGTTCTGGTGATTTCTGTATCGTAAGTGGCCCCCAATGGCAGCAGCCCTGGCACGCACACTAGCGTTTCGTTTCATAAGATGAAGCGGCTCGTGCAGCATATTTGTCGACCGAGGAGCGCAATCAACACCAACCTTGACCCCGAGACCCTGGCTGCAAGACTCAAAAGACTCCCCAATGCAGCCAGATGCAGACGCTTACCTTTCGGTGCCCGCAGCCATGTCAAATCGTTCCAGTAGCCAAGTCCGCAACCTGCTCGCCATGTTCGAGAACAACAACAACGCCAACACCACCACATCCACCGACTCTACCTCGCCTGACCGCGGCCGCTCAAACGGCCATCTGTCCCCGGCTTCCAACGGCGACCGTCCTCTGTCAAAGGTCCGCTCGAGCTTCGTGTCTGTCGAGCACGGCAGCCCAAGCAACCCTAGCCCGGCCATGGACATCGACCCGCAAAAGACAAAGGAAGAGTACCAGTCCAGGCAAGAGAGCTCTGCCAGCCTCCGCCGACATAGCTTCAGTCTCGACGAAGGCAGCAATGCCATTGCCAACCTCAGGCAGAGTATGAGCCAGGAGTCGGAACGCAGGGGCTCAAACCCCATGGTGGCAGAGACTATTCCAGAGGCTGCCATTGAGCAGACNCCCGCCGTCGCCACTCCTGCAGTCGAGGCCAAGGACTACATGGCCGCCGGGCAGATTGCTCATGGCAACAGCGACATGCCACAGAGCAAGCTCCGAGACGAGGTCACGGCCGACGACGTCGGTGAGCCCGCCGACACCACCCAGACCACAGAAGCCGACGCGTCTCAGCCCATGACGTTACCTGCTGATGACATGCCTGCCGACAACCCTGACAAGCCGGTTAGGAGCTAGACCTGGTCCCTTTGCTTTCCAGATGCTAAGCTCGTGTACAGNGTATCTGGTGTGCAAGAAGAGCCCGGCTCCATGCAGCCTTCTGACCTCACGGATCGCTCCCTCGTCTCGCCTACCCCTGACGCCAGTGCAGACGAGAAGTCGACGCCNCCTGCGAAGCTTCCTTCGCGTGCCCGTCGTGGCACTGTCACAGCCGCCGATGCAAGCCCTGCCTCTGTGCCCCATAAACCCGCCAACATCGTCGCAACCGCGCCCGAGCCATCAGTCGAAGCTCCTAAGACACCAACCTCTGTCAAGAAAGCGCCTGCGCCTACCCCTGTCAAAAAGTCACCAGCAGCCAAGTCATCGTCTACCCTCTCGCCCAAGCCCCCGGTTCGGAAGCCTAGCAATTCTTCTCTTACCCAGGCCAAGTCGAAGCCCGACGCTGCTTCTACCAAGACGTGAGAGGAAACATCTAAAGTGTGTCANCCGCCTGGTTTGCTAATGAGTCTTGTCAGGAAATCTCCTCAGTCTAAACCCACACGTCCTCGATCGCCCACACGACCAGTCAAGGTTTCTTCGCATCTCACTGCCCCTACTGCCGCTTCGGCAGCAAGACAAGACTCTCAGCCTCCCAAGGCTTCAGTGTCTGTTTCCAAGCCTGCTGTGACCAACCGCCCCCAAGCACGTGCTCCTGCAGCTTCCGCAAAGCCCGTTGCTCGACCATCAGTTGCGTCGACCTCGAGCGCACCCAAGAAAGCCGAAAGCAAGCCTGCCGCTGCTTCCAAAGGCTCCGATGATGGTTTCCTTGCACGTATGATGAGACCGACTGCAAGCTCAGCCAGCAAGGTGCACGACAAGACTGAGGCCAAAAGCCCTCCCAAGCGAACACCTTCGGTGATCAAATCAAAGACTTCGGCAAAGCCCAAGACAACAAAGGTCGAGAAGCCCAAATCTTCATCTTCGGCTGAGAAGGCAGAGCAAGCAGCCGGTGCTTCAACGCCACAAGGATCATCCGGTGACCAGCATGGCACTGCTGGATTAGAAGGTACTCCAGCGTTCGACGCTGCGACGATTCGTTAGGGTCGGACGGTGGTGATAGGAGTGAATGACGATGAGCGAGCGTGTTTGAAAGCAATTGCATGCATTCGGGAGTGATTATACCGGCATAGCGCTGTTGGAAACGAAAGGGCAAATTCAGGGAGCTTAGCATTAGACTAGACCAGCAAGGTGCCAGACCGGACTGTATGTCCGCTATTGTCGAGGGTTCCGACCACCCTGTCGTTATGTCATGACTTTGATCAATCAAACCAGCCAGCATGAACGTGTGTATGTCCTTTTCTCCTGTAGGCACCACGAGAAGTGTGAGCAACAGAGGGCCTCTGCTGATTTGCGATATTGAGCAATAATTCCGTAAATGGAAGGTGCCGAGGTGGTGGTGCAAGAGTGGAGGAGTGGAGGTGGTGACGCTTCTATCTACACAAATCCGTTCTCGCCGCGTATACCTACAACTTGACCTTATCAATAACAATCATGGCTGAAGACAACACAGTGCCACGGTTACTCAATCTACCAGCCGAGCTGATTCAAAACGTGCTTCAATTTCTCGAGCCGACGTGTCTGGCTGATGTGGCGTTGACTTGCCGCTTCCTTCGTAACCATGCTCTGAGTGATGCTCTGTGGCAACAGCACGTTAACGGCCAGATTCCGCACCTTTTGACCAGTGCAGCTCCTCTACCATCATTCCGGGATCTCTACATTACTCACCACCCTTATTGGTTTCTGTGTCGACACAAAATCTGGTTCTCGGATAGTGAGCCAAATGGCAAGCTGCTGCTTGCTCGTTATGATCCGCGCAGAGGATGTATCGAAGCAAATGCTATAGTCGCTGAGCCTGGCATCCGCAAGTTCGAGCACTGGGAGCATGATGAAGATGTTTCTATTCATACTTTCAATCCCAAAGTCCAATTGGATCTCAACTCTCCTGTCTTGAAGCTTGATCCAGGAAACCCTCGTACTCAGGCCCGTCTTCCTGACCAATACGACGACCAAGGGAGCCAATCTCTGCCCCTGCTCTCTCGTGAGATCATGATGAATTGCTCTGCTCCGCCCGGTCTTTACACATCTTTCATGCTTGCACGCGACCTTCCTGAGGTCGCAATGGGCCCTGGAACCAGAGTCTGGCCACCTCTAAAGATTCCGGCTCTATCTCGAACTCGCAATGCTTCAACTCGATCGTTTCAGGCACTTTCGCATAGACCGTCAACACTAGACGAGGTCAGTCAAAACACCTTTCGTCTGCGGAAATGGATTGAGTTCTCCGGCCGACGGCATAACAGCTCGATAATGGCCCTAGGCGCTGCTGATCGCATTCACACTGCTCTTGGGTTCGGCGGGTTTGCTCCGACTCTCATGAATGCTGGTGGTCACGCTATGACGGTCCGCATGGGTGAAGAGGTATCCACATTTGCAACATTGCCGCCTAGTTGTTATATCCCCACCAAAGAAAAGCCCTGGCAAGGTATCTGGTGTGGTGATTACAGTGGTCATGGCTGCGAGTTCCTTCTTGTTTTGCAGCCAGAGCGAGGTGAAGAGAATCCCTTGCCGGATGGAATGAACCATATGCTCGAGTGGCTTGCCACTGGTCGGTATCGGCGCAACAGCAACGACTCTGAAAGCAGCGACAGCAGCTACGCGAGTGCACAAGAAGATCAGGAGTCTGATTCTGGTACGTCTTCGATCTACGAAGTTCCTACGCCAGCTTCGTCCGATAGTGTCAACGGACAGGACATTCACAGCGGACGTATCGAAGCTGTCAAGCTAACAGGCGACCCCAACGTTCCGCGCGGAGAGTACACCTTCATTGCACCTGACATAAGCGATGGCGGTCTTGTACGTATCGCAGATGAAGCTGCATTCAAAGGTGCGAGGGTTGTCAGGAGTGCCGGGCATATTGCAGGCGTAGGATTCGCGCATGGTAAGGGCTTCGTCCTTCTTCAACAACTACGGAACAGCGCTAACGATCCTGGTTTGCANGACGAGTATATGCCTTCTCAGCTTATCCTTATATCTCCCGACTGCCTGGCACAGCATTGGATAGAGTTCGGACATATCTCCTACTACCGTCGCGTCGATGTCGACAGTCTCCTGCAGATGTAACAGGTTGCTGGGAATGCTAGATATTGAATAGGTTCATTCCTCACGATACAAGCAAATTACGAGTTTTCAACCAAACTACCATTATTGAGGCAAGAGCCACTTTGGTCTAACTAGAAGTAGTAACAAAGTGGATGGTTCCTTCCTTGTTGGACGAGAAGTCTCAGTTGTCCTCTCGCTTCTGCAGAATGGTTAACTCGTTCTGGCTCGTATCCTGTTAACAGTTCTCCTGGTCTGTGATAACCTTCCTCCTCTTCTCACAGCAAAGAACACGAGGGCTTGTACGAAACGCCTTTTTACACAAGACCGGACCATCTATCTGAAGACAACGTGGCCATCGGGATCTTTGAGCATGACACGACCATCAGCCAAATGAACGACCTTGAATCTGGCCTTGGTCGCCTTTCTCTGCGGAGTACCAGAGGCGGGTGGTGGCATGGCGGCTCTCGCGAACAGTGCAGCCCATGCGTACTGAGGACCGGCTGGACGCATGGTTTCCGGAAAGTCGTTCATGTTCCATGGTGGAGTGCCGTCGAGGTCGGCATTGAGATGATACTCGACGCCCAGGGTGTAGCGAAGACCTTGGATGTCGACGGCGACTCTGGACAGGAGCTGCATCATGCAGTAGACGATGATCCAACGGCCGAGACGACCTTCATGCGTGTCCATCTGTTGATACTTGGTTGAGATTTCGTGGTTCAGGAAGGCTTTGCAGAATGGCGACANCTGTTTTGGATTAGCCTACGTACAGATAACATAAATATGAGTTTGCTTACTGTGCGTCTCGGCGTTGATCGCATGTGTGTAGATGTTGGCAAGGTCTGGAGCCTTCTTGCAGTGCTTCCGAACAGCTGGGATGAGGGAAGAGCGTCTGGCGCCCTTCTCCTCTTCTTGCTCCACGATCTTGGTAGGAGAGTAGTCCGGTGCCTTGGGATCGGAGTGTGGCAGGCAGATGAAGCCATTCTGACGGTCCCATAACGCGAAAAGCTGTCTTCGGTTAAGCGCACATCTGAAGGAATCAGCACGAGCGGGAGTGGTCAGTCCGTTGTTGATGTCCTTGTCGACAAGTAGATCATAGAGATTGCCGAAGTCTTGTTGCAAGCGTTGAGCCACCGAGCGAGTCAACCAGTGACCACTGTTCTGGTGTACGAGTGGTGGCCATGTTCCATAAACCTGGGCATAATGCTGCTGGAGGAAGTTTTGAAAAGCCAGGAGTGACTTTTTGACACCAGCATGGTCCTGGAGCCCATCTAAAAAGGTAGAATTGATGCCGAACATGGTCATGTGAATCTCGGCAGATGAGAGACGATAGTGCGTGTGCGTGCAGCTGTGCTCCAGGAGAGCACGGGTTGTCGGCGAAAGAGCATCCAGAGATTCGTGGTCCAGGAATCCGCAGTTAAGCATGCCCACGCAGTGAGCAAAGGTTTCGACAAAGGCTCTTGACCAGCGAACCTCTTCTGTCCATGCCAGAAATCTGCCTATGTCGGCAGGTCTGTTGGTGAAGTTGTCAAGCTTCAGTTCCTGCACGTAGTCTCGGACGAAGTCGGCAGCCCTCTCTGGTTGATACTGCAACTTGAAGATGTGTTTGACGATGATCTGAAGATCCTTCAGAGCGGACACCAGATCACATCCGACGATGGGCTTGTGGATGATGGTTGCGATGAAGTTGCGAACAGCGAGGTTGTATCTGTCGACCTTCTCCATATCCTCGCCAAGTGGGGGCAATTTGAAGTGGTAATGGGTGCCCTCTTCGCATACACATTCNNTACTGCGCAGTCAGCACACTATTCTTTGTACTGTTCAGAGGTGTAAGACGCAAAAGTTACCTGAGACCAGTGAGATAAGATCTTGCGAGTTGGTTCCGAAGATGATCTTGCTGTCGAAGCAGACGTCTTGACTGTCCATCCTGACCTTGCAGTCGCCTTTGGCGTCCCAAAGGTCATCCTTCAAGAACTTAGTAGAGAAATATCTAGAACGCCGATGTTCAGTACTCACAAAACCGTTATAGCGCCTGACTCCATCTGCTTCGCCCTCAAAGACGAGCAGCAGGTCCTTGGTCATGCCATCCTTTACCAGAATGTTGATTAAAGCCATGGCAGAGATCCAGGGCTCGGCTGGAACCAGGTCAGTGGCCTTGAGGAGTGCAGGATGGACCATGATGTCCTCAAACGAGTCGGATGTGTTGTTAGTGTTTGCCATGGTGGGCGTGGAAGCTGATGGGCGTCTTATCGCGCTTATCGCCAGAACAGCTTAGCGTATAAACAAACGCATGCGTGGTGAAGGTAGTGATGGTAAGGATTCTCACATGTCAAATGGGTTCATCAGACAGTGAAACGAACCATCACTTGAGAACCGACGACAGTCAGGATTTAGTCTCTGGTTGAAAACATTGTCCGCCCACATCGATCAGATACTTGGCCAGTGTTCTATCTACAAAATCCGGACATGTCGTTGTGATTACGAAGGCTTCCTACACCTGGCAGTAGACAGCATACAGAAAGGGCGAAGAAACCAACCAACCAACCAACCAACCCAGCTCTTTCGGTGACATTGTAGGGGCTAGTTCCTACATTGCTTTCGATGATGCAGATACGAGAAGGGACATGCAAGTACATGACAAACATGCAACAGAGAAAGTTTTACGACAATGAGGCTGCTTGCCTTGAAGTATGGGCTTGACAGAAGCGTGTGCTAGCACGCTTTGAGACGTGGTTGATTGGTTGTAAAAGCATAACCAGATGAGACACGATAGGTGGTTGCTGCATCTTGAGTGAAGGATGGAAGTGAAGGAAGATGGTATTAGGAAAGGAAATGCTGGCAGCGTGGGAGGATGCGAAGCAAAGGGCGAGCGGCGGGTGGCTTGCTCCGAGCTTCGTGATTGGCCAGCTCGAAGCGTGACTTCCTGCTTTTCTCCATGTCCCCAACCACCTTCCATGCTTCCACACCCTTGCCAGCCCCCGCGCCTACTCGGGTTTGTCAGATTCCACCAAAGAGGCCAAGAGCAATGTAGAGGTGTTGGCTGCATATAATATAGTGTCCCAGCCTTTGCAATCAAGATTTTCGCTGTCTCAAGATGCTGCGCGAGTGGTTGTAGTGGTCGTCATCACCTTGTACAAATACTGACCGTATCCTTCTGGATTTCCATGAGATTAAGCTAGTGGTAACCTCACATACATACTGCGTGCTACCTCAGCACCTCTCGCCTTGACTCTGCAGCCGTGCTGACCAGCTCCCCTCTTGCGAGCCTCCTCTAAACTTCTTCAACCCTTGTCGACGAGCAGTCCTTCTCACTCCACCACTCGCAATCATGGCACTATCAGGCTTCCTCTTCCTCTCGTTTCGCATTGCGCAGATACTCACACTCATCCCAATTGTGGGTATGCTCGCGTGGTTCGTCCATGGTTTCGTCGTCAACAATCAGCTCACACCTACGTACATCCTGCTGCTCTTCATCACTTCAGTTCTGGCGGCAGCATGGACTCTCGCAACGCTTGTGACGTATCTGCGCGCTCGTCACTCTGCCTTATTCGTTGCATTGGTCGACCTCGCGTTTGTGGGCACCTTGATCGCCGCTGTCTATGAGTTGCGCGCCATCACAAATCAGGACTGCGCAAACTTCAGCAGCGGAAGCATCTATCTCAGTCTGGGTCCCTTCGGCTACTATGGCCGCCAGAGCGGTAGCGACTGGGCACTCCATATCAACAAGACATGCGCTATGCTCAAGGCCTGTTTCGCCCTTGCCATCATGAACGTCATCTTCTTCTTCATCACTTTCGTAAGTCACTCGTCTACATCATCCTTTGTTGCCAACTACTAACGCCTCTCCAGCTCCTTGCCCTTCTGGTTCACAGACGCCACCGAGACCGCGATACCGTCGTCGTCAAGAAAGAGTACCACAGCACCCGTCACGGTCAGCGACGCTCCAGTCGTGGTAGCTACGACAGACGCAACTCTCCTCGCCGATCCCACCACAGCAGCAGCAGACGCTACTACGTCTAGAGCTTGCTCCTGCCAAAACTTATGTTGCACGTACAGATGACGATATGACTATCGAAGCTCTCTCTTCACACGACCCTTCTTGATGATGACACGAACCATTTAGTATACCACAGCAAGCACTGGAACGACGACTAACAAGCGAGGTTTCGCCCTGCATCTTTGCTTCTATGTCTTAGGTGGCTCTTCTTATGAACGGTTACATATCTTCTTTAATTACTCCGACCATCAATATCTTCAATGATCGTGGGGTTCCTTTGGCTGTCTGTCTCGAGCTCTGTACCATACTGAGAGTCTGGCATGCTCGTGCGCAGCAATCATTTACTGGCTGACATAACTACACTGATTACGAATGATGATTGTTTGTAAATTGTTTCTTGTTATTGTAGTCTTTCGACAGCCTGACTTTTATCGAACCCCAACCCCGTTCGTAGTCGTACACAGAAAAGCTCATAGGTATATATTACAGAAAGATAAATCAAAACGCCAATCGCTAAATGCCATAAGGTTCAATGCGATATCATGACAGATGTCAAAGTCTATCTAGTAGACGATGGCAAGCTTCGAGCGAGCGCGCATCTTGTGACCATACTTGTAGAATACGTAAGGCACCAGCGTGAGCACGCAAGCAATGAGCGACAGGATGAGGCCGGCATACTGGCTGCCGACGTTGTGAAAGAATTGAGAGGCAAAGAGAGGAGAGACGGCGCCAAGAGTGTTTCTCATGAGACCCTGGCCGGCGATTGCTGAGGATGAACTCTCTCCGTAACAGTCGGCAGTGTAGCTGTAGGTAGACTCGAAAATAAAGTAAACACCAAAGGCGATGGGAGCAAGGGCAATGGTGGGACCGACCCAAGACAGGTATCCGTACTGGGTGAAACTGTAGATGAAGAGACCGATGGGCATCCAGACGGCTCCCCAAAGGGCGGCCCAGAGACGGTCCTCGGGCACGACCTTGTGGTTAGGGTCCTGGGTGAGCTTGAGGTATCTTCTCATCTGAATGTGATGAGCCAACCAACCGAGAGTGACACCGACACAGAGAGAGATGTAAGGAAGACCTCCAACACCTTCGTTCCAGCCGCGCTTCTCCTGGAAGGTGATAGGGATGACGGACAAGAACAAGAAGACGATAAACCAAGAGAAGGCAATCCAGAGGCCGAACAAGAATACAACGGGCTCAGTGGCCAACATGTAAATAGCCTTGACTGAAGATGCCTTGAGCATAGCCTGAACACTAGGGGTCTCGAAGTCCATAGCGCTCTGGTAGCGGTCATCGCCCGTAGCCTTGCGAACAGCCTTGGCACGCTTCTGGAGGGCGACGCCTCCGCGGGTCTCCTTGAAGAAGAGGAAGATGCAGATGAGGAGAGGAATGTTGCTCAATCCCTGAATACCTTCGATCCATCTCCAACCGATAGTCATGTCAATGAAGCCAGCGTAGATGGGAGCGCCGACCGTACCAAGAATTGCGACGTACGAGAACATGGCCATGGGTCTGGCACGCTCGTGCACATCGTACATGTCGCTGAAGGTACCACCAACAAGGATGGTTCCAACACAGCCGAAGAGACCGAGAAGTGTACGCATGACGAGGATAGTGGCGATGTTTTGTCCAAGAGCCAGACCGATGAAGCAGAGACAGAACAGGAAGTATGCTCCGGCGTAGATGACCTTGCGGCCGACCAGCTCACAGAAAGGGGCAAGGAATAGCGGGGCAAGGGCGCAAGTCATGTTGAACGTGAACAGACCCAACTGGCCCATCTCGGTGGAGCGGTGGAATTCTGCAACCATGCTGTTGATTCCAGAACTGTATGCAGTGGTAGCGAGACCGATGAAGAGTGTCATGAGGTTGAGCTGGGTTGAGATGAAACGTCTCTTCCACTTGCCCCACTTGAAAGGGTTCTCCTTGTCGTCAGGTGCAAACTTCAGCTCGATCAGCTGCTTGTCGCCTTGGTTGATAACCTGGGTGCGAGTAAGAGGAAGGTCGACATCGACCTCGGTCAAGGGGCCGTCGAGGTTGAGGCTCTCGTTCTGACGAAGCTCCTCAAGGTGCTTGCCTCCACAAATCCAACCCTGCGAATGAGGCTCTACATTGGTCTCTTTCTTATCGGTGGCATCATCGTCGGTAGATCCTGAGCGAGGAGACTCGGAGTCCTTTTCTTTGTAGTTTTGCTCTGTCCAAGAGGCGGTAGCCGTCGAGGCGTTCCGTGAAGGGTTTCTGAGATGTGTAGGTGCGGTATTCATGATGGGAAACGACGAGGTGGATGCAAATGCAAAAGCAACCCGGGGAGGGATGGAGCAACTATATAAGATGACGGAGAAGTGGCTCACGAAAAACTCGCCCCGGAGAGTCTTGGAACAACCCACCATCTTCTGACCAGACGTACCCACTGAACCGGCGGTGGCACGACAAGCAGATGCCAGTGAGATCACACTCTCAACCTAAGGTTCCTTCTCGGTGGACGTTGAAGGGTCCGCGATGTGACCGACTGACGGACCGAAAACTCAGACTTACGGGTTGAACTGCCTAGTTGCATGCAGCATGTTCAATTCTTCGTGTAGAACACGAGACATCACTCGTAGTTTCGTACTTTATCATGTTCACACTGCTGTCTTCGAAATGCGACTGGCGAAGAAGTGGTTGCAGCCTGACCTCTTTGACGATCGTCTGGATGAGCTTTGAGGTTGGAAAAGAGTGTTCGGATCTGGAACGAGGACTTCCTTCGCGGGCCGCGATCCGCCAAGAAATTGGAATGTTATGTTCAAACCTAGGATGACGTCGAGCTCTTTTCCCTTCGCCCCAACAGATAGAATATTATTTTCGTTGTCTACCTTCTTGCCGAGCAACCGATCCATCTGACGTGCGGCGCCTCTGCACCATGAAATCCAAGCAGCACGTTTGTTTGCACCAGAAATCTAGGGCTGGGCAGTGCTGGCCTGCACCATTGGATGCCCGGCTGCCGAACTTCTACTTCCATTGCATGCCGGCGGCAGTCCCGGCACCCGAGTGGAGCTCATGGTGGAGGATGACACGGAGTAGAATCTCACAGCGTAGGATCTGTTGTGATTGTTTTGGATGACGCGCTATTGGTTCTAAGAGAGTGTAGGTGATAGAACCGTGGAGAGGCTGGAGCGCCAGGATGTGATGTTATGTGTTTACTCCAATGTTGGATGTTTACTTAAATACAGTAGTTCGCTAACTTTTTCTAGAAGCAATATGGTAGCAACAAAGGGATTCTTATTGCGTTTCATCGAGTCTCGAGAGTACCAACCCGGGATCATCTACGTAGTTGAAACGCGTTGTCGATTAGGTACCTATCAAGGGCTACCAAGGACTCATGGAGACAACACGCCGCCAGTCAAGGGCTTAGAAGAGCCTCAAAATGCCTAAGCATTGTTGACGCGTTGAGAAATTGACAACAACAAGACTTGCTGGCTACACCTCCTCTGCCGATCCCAGTCGCGTGGCTTTGCCCTTGGGAACGTCTTACTCGAGTAGTGTTGACACTATTCAAGGAAATAGCAATACAAGTATTGTCTGACCGAGCTTCTATCAAGTAGCTTACGATCTTCTTCGCGAGTGACAAGACTCGAGCCCTTTCCAACACCGTCTTGCTGGTGAATCGAACTTTTATCGATACACGATCCTCGATTAGCAGCCTCGTCTCGCTCGCGAGCAATCTATCCCCTCAAGACTGGAAATGGAGACCGAAGGACGACCGGCCCCAGGTTTGCAATGACGAGCAAATTCCTCGCAAGCACAAGCGTTCAGTTGACGTGCAACATGGTAATCTCGAACATTGACCTTCAAAATTTGGCACAATGTTGTAGAGTCGAGCACACAATGCTGCTTCGAAAGGTGTTACAACTCTATAGAAGTTGGCAAAATCTCCTGACAATTCAACTTGCCGTTTAGACGATGAGAGCAAATATGGTTGACTGTTATCCTATGCGATGGTATGGAGGTGAGAATTCAATATCAATCTGCGGAATCTGTCTGTGGCATGACGCCGTGGCGTATGGTACGTGCCTGGTCAAGCTTAGACAGACTGACAGGACATGTCAGTTTAAGCTCAACCACATGAGTCGTTTGTTGCTACTACCTCTTGTCGTGTTCAAACATCAAACATGAGGTTTTGAGGTTTCGGAATGTGTAGAGCGGAATGACATTAGAATCTATGCTCGCTTGAATTCGCTATATCTAGCATCGTACGGTCTGCATATTCTCTACTCATGTAAGCTTGTCTCGAATCCGGAGGATGTCGTAGTACAATGCAGATAGCCATCCAGGATTAGATCATTTCTCCTCCAATATTCCCAAAAGCGTTGTATACACCTGGAGTTGTACACAGTGTCGTTGTATCTAGTGACTAATCTAAACGAGCAATTGCTTCATGCAAAGTGACTTGAGCTGGGAAATAATTCCGTGACAGGATCGTCCTGCTAACAAGGCTCACTGATATCCAATGTGAAACATCATTCATGCTTTGCAAAAGGACCAAAGGAATCGGCTTATTGATTATCGAAACATGAGGAAGATCTACACTAAGGAAACTTTTGCCATCTATGTACAGCAACATCATTGCCAAAGCTATTAACGTAAGAGTGTATAAGTCTATAGGAGAACAAACAAACCAATAATTACAGAAGACATATCATAAACGGCGAACGACAGATGTAGTCTATCTCTGCCATGGCCGGCCTCCCTTCTGGTGGCCCCAACCTCCCGATCCTCTACTCTGCCAGTTTTGGCCCCAGCTCTGTGTTTGACTGGATTCTGCGGCCTGAGAAGCTCCAGTCTCGCTCTCGACGGGAGGGTTGGGGTTGTTTGTGTAATAAGCAGCAACTGCGCTCACGATCTGGCTTTGCTCGTTGTATGCACCCAGGTTGCCAAGATAGTTGAGCTTACTCTGAATCTGATCATCCGCATAAGCATCGGCAGACCAGTCTTGTGCCACAAATCGCGAGTCGGTGGGGTCATCGAGAGACTCCACGTTATCGTAGCCCAGGGTTTCGAGTGCCGTGACGTTGAATGCGGCCATCATCATTGAATCTTCGTGTCGAAGGTTGTGGCAGTGGAACATGTAAAGTCCATTCCANNACTTGTTCAGGTCAGTACGAGACATTGCACAGATGTTCGTTGTGTAGACTTACGGGCCATAGTACGCCTCGATATCGACGGTCTCACCAGGCTCAAGAAGGACAATATCTTTCAGGCCTGCCGATTCATAAGGGAGGACACCTCGACTACCACCAGTTCGAGAGATGATNNCTGAGAGCATTTAGTCTCTGTTTCTGCGTCTTGAGATCAACGCGTGACTGACCTTAAAGTCCACAAGGTGGACATGAACAGGGTGGTACCCGGGACCACCAGCATAAACTAATCTCCAACGCTCAGTTGATCCCTGAGGCGGTTTTGCAAGTACCCGGTTGTTGACGTCGTTGAAATCAACGCCATTGATAGTCCAATGGTTGTCTATAGATACGTTAGATAGGGTGTCATTGGTGGTCAGAAAGATGCTATACATACCACCACCCACTTGGAAGCGGAAAACGTGGTCAACTTGGGCCCTATCCGCTGGCCAAGGAATGTTTGGATTAAGAGTGCTGGGGACACTGTTCGATGACCAATCGTCCACGTTGTTGCCGACGACAAAACGCATGACGAGATCTGTATTGTCATATTGGGCAAACCCTTGTCCCTGAAGATTGAACGCGTTCTTCAGAGTAAGGTTCTGGTTGGCAAATGCTGCGAAGTCGACAACAATCTCGTAACGTTCTCCCATTGCAATTGTAACGTCATTAGAGTTCACCGGGGATCCGAACAGGCCAGAGTCCGAAGCGATGACCTGAAAATCGACCCAATCTCCATTAGACTGCTCCACGTGAAGGTCGAATGGTCTGCTTGTAGCAGTGTTGTAGAATCGCAGTCTATATTTCCTGGGTTCAACCTCAAGATAAGGGAAGGGTTGGTGGTTAACTTCTANTTCTGAACGGTTTGTGTAAGTCTTTGGAGCAAAGAGTGGGTATTGGTTGGTGCAAACGTACATGTCCCCAATAAAGTCCTGTTCCTTATCCTCAGTAATAGAGACGAGGTCACCCGAAGCCGTGTACATTTTGTCGCTAATCATGAGCGGCACGTCGTACTTTCCAGTAGGAAGATCCAGTTTGTCCTCTTCAGGGTCGTAGATGATGTATGTGCCAATCAGACCTCTGAAACAGTTCAATGTAGTGATTCCATCTGCATGGTCGTGGTACCATATAGATCGAGCGCTCTCACNTATAGGTGAGAAAACAGTTAGCATGACCTTACTGGCGTATATGCAGCAAGTAGGTCTGCTGATCAGGGCCAAGGGTACATACTTGTTTGGGTAGTAATAATCTTTGAACTGGCCTTGTTTGATACTATCGCTCGCCCAGCCATCCCACGGTGTATGTGTAGGCGAGCCATGAAGATGGATTACCGAGTCATCAGTATGGTTGTTGTGGTAGCGAATGACTGTCTGTACGCCCTTCTGTATATAGTATGTTGGGCCTGGTGCAACACCGTTGAAGCCTACGAGGTTGGCAGGCCCCAAATCAGGATACACCTGCTTTTGGAATGGCTCGACAGTAACCTCGTAGAAGTCTATTTGTTGACCATTGACATTGGCGGAGCNTGAGAGGAGGTCAGCCTTAAACTTCAATAACATCAGCTGAACTTCTCACCTTGCCGGAGTTGCGATTGGTGCTATAGGTAAAGGATTTTGAAAGATGGCGCTATACGTCGGACTGCCGGCCAAAGCAAGGGGGACCGAAGCAAGACTAGCAAACCATAGAAGCGTACGTGGTGCCATTGTATCTGTATTATGGAATGGATACAAGATCTGAAAAGCGAAAGACTGGCGCGAGTTGCGCGAAAGAGATTTTACAGGGCCAGAGAGAGGATGAGGTATAGGATGGGCCTGCAGCAGGCGCCGCCTTTATGAGGACTTGCCTTGCCTCCCTGCATGGGCTTTGGCCTTGAGTGTCTGCTCATGACGATCGAAAAATTCAAGTTCACCCATCTTAGCAGGGATCCATTATCCTACGAATATGCATGTGTTGCTGTGGCAAGCATGCGGCTCCAGAGCGATCATTAACACTTTGAGCACCATGCATTCGGACAAGTTGGAGACCCGAAGGATCTTGACGTTAGGCGGCAGGTTCCGGGTCGATTCATTGGCCTTGACCCTGGCCCTGGATCTGGATCTCAAAAGCTTAATTACGCGCCTCTTGTGACGACCTGTTGATGCATGGCCACTTCATGCTTGCTTCAACACCATGCGTTGAAAGATATGGCCGCTTGAGCATCGCATCTAGCCAGTATGTTTGCTGTACTTGTGGTGCGAAACCCTTCATGGTCGTGCTCAACAACGTCTCGCGAGTGTGTACCATTGCATGAACCTTGTCCATCCAAGTTCATGGCTAACGGCACGCTGCATGCTCGCTCCCATGCTAGATCGGGTTTAAGATATGATGTACCGCGACGTCTATTTCAACAAAAGTTCGCTGCACGGCATCGCGGCACTTCTACATGGTTTCGTGATTAGGCTGACTACCTAGAGGTGGCAGTCTGCATCGGTAGTCATCCATCCTTCATTGTTTCACATGTTTATGCTAAGTCTGTCAAATTCGTACTCTTCTCGAGCTGGATATGATTACAGGTAAGTCATCGAAATGATGCGAGCACTTCGTGTGTGCGTGTTCGAAGAACGCCATCAATGTGACAGCTTGCGATGAACACGATTTTGTTCTCCGACAGTATTGTACACTTCCATAAAATACGTGAATGTGACCGGGTTTACGAAGACTTGATCTTGTACCGGCGAGCCGGCCAACGCCAATTGAGAGATAAGGCGCACTCACGTTCATCACACCCTCTATCTATTTGTGTTTTCTCTTCCGAGACCTCACCCCAGCGCAAACAAACAAATCCTCGGCATGATATCCACGCAGTCGTTCTACAGACGCAAATCATGTCCTCAAAACTGTTGAGTGTAGTTACCAACGAACACCCTGCATCCTTGAGACTCAATGTTTTGTGCATGTCTGTATTGGGACCTTGATTATTGACTGTATAGACAATGGCATACGAGAAAGCTCTAGATAACACTGCGATGCTTATGCTTTCACTTTACCAATCTATGTTACCCGACAGGTCGCGTGCAGCAACGTCATCCTTTACTTCCGGCTCCTCGGTCCACTCTCCTCCACTCAAAAGGTGAAAGAACTTGCCCTTCTTGCGCAACAATCCCTCGTAGCTTCCCTGCTCGACGACTTGCCCTTGCGAAAGCATGACGATTTTCTTCGCAATACTCATCATGTCTCTGCTATGAGTGATAATTATTACGGTTATGCCAGTGCCATCGCGCTCGACCAAGCCTTGTATGGTATCCCGAACCAGGTTTGCACTTTCGACATCAAGTGCGGACGTTGCTTCGTCGAGGATCATGACTGCTGGTCTGCGGACCAGAGCCCTGGCAATGGCTACTCGTTGAGCCTGTCCACCTGACAGTCCAGTACCGCCTTCGCCTACCAGAGTCTCGTAGCCCTGTGGCAGACTCATGATGAACTCATCAATACCCGCTGCGGCTGCAGCCCGACGAACTGACGCCATGTTGCTGTAGGAGGATGACTGTGGCAACCCATATGTAATGTTCTCCGCAACCGTTGCAGGAAATAGTACTGGGGTCTGCGAGACAACTGTTATTAACGAACGCAACGTTGGAGTATGGATATGTTTCAAATCACGACCGGATAGCATGATGTCTGGTATCCTACCATTGGCATCAGACGATTCGCCTGCAGTCGTGTACAGATTCAAGAGCAAACCAGCAATGGTAGACTTTCCAGACCCTGAAGATCCGACCAATGCAGTAGTTTCGCCTGCCGGTATGAGCAGGTTAACGTTCTTGAGTACTGCTTGATCCGGACGAGAGGGATAAGAGAAACTAAGGTTGTGTAACTCAATATCACCAATCGATGTGATCTGTGTGTTTCCAAAATGTTCATGCGAGTCTTTGGGTAATGTCGAAAGTCGAAGCAGGCGAGATGCGCAATCCTTTGCTAGACCTATCTGTGGTATAAGACCCAGGTAAAGGCTCACGTTCGTGATTGCCAAAATTAGTTGGATGAAAACTTCAACAATCTTTGACACGCTGGCACCATCTCGTATCAATTTCGCCCCAGCATAGAACATGAGTGCCATGACAAAAATTCCAGAAGAATCCGATAGGCCGTAGAAAAAGCCAGCGTAGATAGAGCGTTTGAAGCCAACCTGTAGTGCGTTCTTGGTTGCGTGGAAGTACTTCTCTCGAAAATGAGACTCGAGGGTCAAGGCACGTACGGTCTTGATGTTGGTGAAAGTTTCAGTAAAGATTGATCCTGCGGCCTCCGCGGCGTCATTGCTTTTACCCTCCCAGTTTCCACTAACAGTGCTGAAAGATTTGGTGACGAAATATACGTAGGGACCGAGAGCCGCTGCGATAAGGGTGAGCTTCCATTGCGAAGTCAAAGCCCAGATAAAAGCAACCACACTCAGAACAAGCGCAATATAGAGAGATGATGCGAAGCGGCCTAGAAGATTACGCATCTCTTCTGCATGTCGGTCTAAACCCTCCATCACATGCGAAACCGAGTTTTCTTCGTGGGTGAACCAATCACGGGGCTGATCAAGGATACGTTCTAGTGATCTTTCACGCATGGTATTGATCCATACCTGACCAGCATATTCTAGGAACAAATGCATGATATAGCTGCTCGCGCCACTCAGAACCGCGATACCAAGAATGGCCACAGTGTAGATCACAGCGGTATGTTTTTCTTGGTCGCCTTTCCCATAGGTTCCTATCAGCTTGGACAGAACGTTGGAAAAAACAGGAGTACATGCTCCGTTGATAGAGGCAGCAACAAAAGCGATAATGAGAACGGCCCTCGTATACCAGTCAAGGCTAGGCCAGACGGTGCTGAGAATAGCTCGTAGGGAGAATATCTGCCGGTCGTCCTCGAGCGCTTCCTTGTTTTTGTGCTCTGATAGAGGTTGCATCTCGGTGCCACCAGCGACAGCATGTATAGACCCATCAGAAGGCAGACGTCTTCTCCTCGGATTTCCTGAAGTAAGACGAGCACGGGCAGCTAGATTTCCGGTCGACTCTATAAACTTGTCCAGAAGCTCAGGCGCCATAGACTTCCTGTTTCTTGTTTTCTTGTCTCCAGTAGCTTCTTTGTCACTTTGCTGTGTCGCATCCTCAGTTCGTGGTTCGTCTGAAGTAGCAAAGTTTTTGCCGCTAGACCTCCTGTTTGTAGGTGAGGACGGTCCCGATGCGAATTGAGAAGTCGGTGAGCCGAGTTCGCTGAGTGGAGTAGCAAAGCCATATACTCCCTTAAACGCAGCTTTCGTGTGTCTGTTTGCGAAGAGTGCCGGCAGATAAGAATATCGTGAGTTCTCACCAGCATCCAAATGGGCCTCCAATAGGTCGTCTGTAGCTTCCTGGTTTGTTGAATCTATATCTAGCTCTTTCTCCGTGCCTTTGAGAATCTCTGAAGAATTTGGCGTAGCGTCGGAGTCGAATGATAAGAACTTTTGGAAGGGCGAACCACGCATTTGTTCCATGTGTTTGCGATGACCTTCCTGTACAAGTTCGCCATCCTCAAAGATCATTGCGTAATCATCAGGGAGGATTTGTGTGATATCATGGGTGATGATCATAGTCGTCTTACCATGGCGCCATCGACGAATTGCTTCCATCATCAGCGAACGACTCACTTGATCCAATGCACTCGTCGACTCATCCAGAAGGAGTACAGGCGTATCTCGCAGATATGCTCGAGCAAGAGCCATCCTCTGCCTTTGCCCACCACTCATTGTGCCGCCTTTCGCTCCAACCATGGATTGGAATCTCTGAGGCATGTCATTGATCATAGCCAAGAGGAGAGCAAACTCAGCAGCGCTAGTCACAGCCTCTTGTGTAACACCATGTCGACGCTCAGTTCCGATGGCGATATTCTCAAAGACAGTGTCCTCAAACAACATGCTGTGCTGCTCAACAAGGGTGACGCGCTTCCGGAGCCAGGTAGGATCCAATAAGTCTATGGGCAGCCCGTCGAAAAGGATCTGTCCTGAAGCTGCTGGGTAAAACTTCAGAAGCAATTGACCAAAGGTACTCTTTCCGGAACCGCTCTTTCCAATAACAAACGTTATGTCATGTGCCGGGATTGAAAAAGTGACATTTTTCAAAGCCATTCGGTCTGGACGGGCTGGATAAGCAAACGACACCTATGAAGTTATCAGTGATGGAAAATCTGCGTGATGAGTTCGACTTACGTCTCGAAACTCGATGTTTCCATCGCATCTGCCCGGTTTCAAGAGCTCGGGTGACCTCAGGGCGTCTGACTTTTTCGCCATTTGCGCCATAATGGCTCTAAGGGTTGATCCGGCTGTTCTTCCTTTCTGGAGTACTATCATCTGCGGCAAGATGCTAGAGATGGCTTGAAAGGCGCTGATTGCCGAGAAGAAGGTTGTGACAACATCACCCGTGTTCTTTTCATGCTTGTCGACCTGCACACCGCCATAGTAGAAACCTTGAACGAATATTGCCAGTGTCATGAATCCCACGAGGCCGAACTGCTGGGAATTGGCGTTGACGACACGATAGTACCAGCTTGCGGCTTCCTTGAGGCGAGAAGAATATCTCTTTAGTTCGTGATCTTGACCGTTGAAACACTTGACAGTCTCAATGGCGTTGATGGCGTTGCCGACGTATTTGAGTGCTTCCGTGAGTTTCTCCTGTTGCTTCTTGACTGACTGTTGCATGGACGCACTTAAGTAACCGATGACAATGACGATTACAGGAGTAGTTGAAATGATGACGAGGGTGAGTTTCCAGGAAGTGTATAGAGCAAGTCCAAGAGAGGCAATGGCTTCTGCGGCAGAGGCTATCAAACCACCAAAGGGTTGCGCGGTGGCGAGTTGAAAATCCCTTATCTNGTCTGCTATCATTAGCAAAACAATCTCTCGGTGGGAGTGGAGTCAGCCTTACGCTTGCAGACGAGGTATCATTGCGCCGATTCCGTTCTTGCGCATATCGTACCACTCAATTTCCTTACTCAGCATACCCAGAAACAACCTTTCCCTTGCGCTGTTGGCTTGCAATTCGCCAAACGCGAGCCAGGCCGAGAAGAAGATAAAATGCACTAGCCAACTGCCAAGTCCGACAGCAACAAGGTAGATGGTGTAGTTAGTGACACTCTTGAGGACTGCGCTCGGACTGCTGGAGCCGGTGAATGCGTTGAATGCTTTGCCGAGCAGATAAGATTGCGCTGGTGTGATACCACCAACTGCAAGCGCCGCTGCGAGACCGATGAACAAGCATGTTAGGTGTGACTTTGTGGTGAAGAAGAATAAAGCTCGCCATGGCGCTGCGTGCACATCATCTTCCTTTGATTTGCCGAGAGGCGCGTCCTTCTCCGGACGACTTTTTGTAGCAACATCTTGCTCTTGAACAGACTTGGTCTCCCTCGAGCGGGTTAGTCTTGGTATCCTGGGCATCTAAGCGTAAGAGGGAGTAGAGAGGAGCGGAATTGAGCAGCGCTCTGGAGGGCTCGAAACAAAATTCAGAAATCTAGTGTCTGCTGCGATTGTTCTAGAAAAGACGGTTCCGGAGCGGTTGCATAATGCTTGCCCGGTTGGTACAGTGCAGTGGCGTGTTGGCGGCGGTTGGTGTGAAGAATGTGTCGCGTTACTATTGTTCTTGTTCTGGCTTTGAGCAGACGCAGCACCGCCCCTTATTTAGCCCCTCTCCAAGATGACATTCTTCATGGTCAACCATGTGCCCCCGACTGTAACGATCTACCGCGAATTTACTTGGATTCTGCGTGGAAGGTTCTAGCGCCCAATCCGTTACCCTCATACGATCACCGCTCTCCCCTCCCGCTCCGCAATTCGTCGTGGCTTTATCAAACCATCGAGGTAGGTCGAAAATCATGGTCCTCTGTTCGTTGAGCAGCGGCTTACTCTGCAACAGATTGTACACAAAGCAGCGGAGTAGCAATCTGTTGATAGCAGCTACAATCCTACCAGCGTCCGCCTAGCAGAAGTGGTCATCATTTGCTCGGTGCTCAAGATGCCTTGTGGCCTTGAGCTTTCTCGTAGATCCAGTCATTCAGACCTTCGCGATTTCNTGCCCGGTCTCATGAGTAAATAATCGAATACAAAGCTTTGAAGTCATACCTCAGGATTTCGAGTGCATAGAACTGCATACGCACAGCTAGAGTTTTGAAATCAGCNNTACGTTCAACTGAGGGGTGAAGGTGCTAGGTGGTACCGAAGATGGTCTCGTCTTGGCCGTACTCAAAGGCAGGGTTGGAACGCAACAGAGTGCCAAAGTTGTAGTCGTCAACCTTCTTCTCATATTGGTTGATGAAGTTTCTCCAACGCTCCTTGCCTGCCTTGCTCTTCATCTCGTCCTCATCGATGGTAGCTTTGGGGTCGTAGTCGGGGAACTCTTTCTTGAAGTGCTCGTAGATTTCGTCGTCGATCTTGGTCAGGCGGAGCTTAGAACCGGGCACCTTTTCAAGAATGGACCAGTAGGTGGTCATGTGCTGGACAGCNNTGTCGAAGACAGTCAGCGATGGCATGCTTGGAGCCACGACAGGACGCTGCGCACCCTTGACGGCGAATTGCTTCTCGATGTCCTCGAAGTTGTCCTGTTGCTCGGCGGTGAGAGACATGGCGACCGTTGTGTGTTTTTGGACGAGCTCGCAGGCTAGTATGGGAGACTCGGACGAGGTCTGTAGTTGGAATGGTATTTGGGCTCGACGCAAGAGTTGAGGATGCCTTTCTCACATGAACTCTGACAATCAGAAATCTTGAAGTGAACCCCACGCCTTGGCAAGCGCGTCACTTCTGGTTATCCTGAGCGCTTGGGAGACACGACCATGCTCCGCCGTCTTCCATTTTGATCGCGATCTGTCGCCGTTCTACACCGTTTGCCATGTCCGCCATGTTCGCAAACACTGTCTGCCATTGGACGAACTTGGGGTGGCTGGTCGCGTAGCAGTAGACGGCGAGACGACGATAACGATATTCCTCCGCAGAGCATGAGGCTTAAAACGTGGTCCAGAAAACTCACTTGCTCAGAACATGGGTAGCCACACCAACTGACTCAGATTTGCGACGAGCCAGCTCCTATGCAGAAGCAGAGCCAGCTACGCGCTGTGTCGTATGAGACGAATAACAGCTCAATATATTTGCGATAGATTCCCACGGATACAAAAGCCATGACAGGTTTAATATGGAGCCAATGAGCTCTCAGAGACATGAATGTCGTGGATGTCACCAACCGAATCCTCAACTAAGCGCTGTGGGGAAAGTAGCCGATGTGTGTTGCATGAAGCCTGTTTTTCAGACATCAGGTGAGCGCGAACGCTGCTGGCTAACGTGCAGGAATGTGAGAAAGACGATGGAGCAACGAGGTTTTGTGCATACAAAGTAGCTACAGCTCGGGCATCGGTACAGCTCTGGCCTCCAGGCTCAGTGATGGACGTGTGGGCTGGACGATTGGCTCGGTCGGCACGTTGGGTGAGTTCCTTGAATTCGTGGAAACAGCACGGGCAGCTTGTGGGGAAGGAAGCAATCGCATGCATGTCAACGTCATGGCAACAGGCTTGAGGCAGGCGCGATCGAATCGAAAGCTCCGCGCGCAGCAGCTCAGAGCTCCGGGAGCTGCCTTGTTTAAAGACGTCTCCCCCTCTGCTCCTCTTCCTTGATCCCCTCATCCACCCTCCCCCTCCAACTCATCCCCTCTACAATCCACGCCGCCGCCATGATTGTCGACCCTGTTGAGGCCTTCAAGGCCACGAGCTCTGTGGCTCCTCTGCCCACTGTTGTTCCCTCTCTTCCCGAGTACCAGACCGTCACCGAGACCGGTACCCGCGCTCTGTGGGCCGTCATGGTTCTGATGCTCCTCTCCATGATTGTCTTCGTTGGTCTCTCTTGGACCGTCCCCATCTCCAAGCGTCTCTACCACGTTATCACCACTCTGATCGTCACTTTTGCTTCTCTGTCCTACTTTGCCATGGCCACTGGCCACGGCATCAGCTACCACCGCACCACCGTCACTGACTCTCACCGCCACGTCCCTGACACCACCCACGATGTCTACCGCCAGGTCTACTGGGCCCGCTACGTCGACTGGAGCTTGACCACCCCTCTCCTCCTCCTCGACCTGGCTCTGCTCGCCGGCCTCAGCGGTGGCCACATCATTCTGGCCATTGTTGCCGATGTCATCATGGTCCTGACCGGTCTCTTCGCCGCTTACGGTAGTGAGGGCACCCCTCAGAAGTGGGGCTGGTACGCCATTGCCTGCATTGCCTACCTCGTTGTCATCTGGATGCTCGCCGTTCACGGCCGCGCCAACGCCATGGCCAAGGGCGGCAAGGTTGGCAAGTTCTTTGCTTCCATCGCTGGCTTCACTCTTGTCATCTGGACCATCTACCCTATGTAAGTACCAGCCAAACATGGTCCCTACCACTCGTTCTAACATAATCTCAGCGTTTGGGGTGTTGCCGATGGCTCTCGCAAGATGACCGTCGACCAGGAGATCATTGCTTACGCCGTCCTCGACCTGCTCGCCAAGCCTGTCTTCGGTGCTTGGTTGCTCTTCACCCATCAGAGCATGCCCGAGACCCAGGTTGAGCTTGGTGGCTTCTGGACCCACGGTGTCAGCAGCGAGGGTGCTATCCGCGTTGGTGAGGATGACGAGGGTGCATAAATTGCTTCACCCAACCACCATCCAACTCCAGCAATAAACTGAACAGACAATTCAGACCCAGTATCGAGAAAGGAGAATGAATGAGGGGAAGAGTCTTTCATGGTGATGCAAATGCTCTTCTGCCTTTGACTGCCTTGGCCGGCGCTTGCTTCGCCGTAGCAGTATCTTGTGTATATTAGCCGTTAATGATAATGCCGCCGAACGTGTCTTTACGCCTAGCTTTCTGATTGTACTCGAGTACCGGTGCCACAAGCGAGACCCTGTGACACCTTTGTTGGAATGACCCCGCACACCTCATGCAGGGCCCTGTAGGTCGGGTGAGGACAAAGGTCCAAGAAGCTCAGGACGTTGTCTACCACCCAATCTATATTTACCTCGCCATCACGACACCTGCTGTGCAAACCGATTCATCTGTCGAAGACTCTGGCTGTTGTGGAACTCAGCAAAATCCTATCCAACCATGTCGGACGAAATGCCCCCTTCCAGCACCAACCCCATCTCTTTCGAGCGCCGTAACAGTCTGGAGAAGGCCATCCAGAATCGGCCAGAAGCACATGAGCTGAGGGAGAGGCACATCCTCCTCAATACCAATGCTGCGCCGTATGCAGTCCTCTCGATCGAATGAACATCGAGCATCTACTAATGAATTGCAGAGCTCTGCAGGCTCAGCAGCAAGAGCTACAACGTCACAAACTTACCGACAGCTTGAACAAAGCCATTGCTTCTCGTCCGGAAAAGGACGCGCTGGTCGAACGTAACATTCTGCCTGACTCTACCGCTGCTCCGGCTTTGCAAAACCACCAGCGTGAGCTGGCTGCGGCCATGCGTCGTGACTCTATCGAGAAGCACCTACAGACTCGACCTTCGCCAGCTGAGTTGATCAAGGAAGGCATACTCGAAGGTCCCAACATGTCCTATTTCCCTTGTCGTCCTGAATGCTGACCTTGGTGTAGCCAACGAAAATCCCTTGGACGAGCCCTGATTTCATACTCTTCCGCAAGATTTTGACATGCATGATTAAACAAAACATTCTCCTTGGAGTGATGACCCAGACTGAGAAACGGCAACTGCGTTTTCATTGGCTCAACCGTTGTATGATTGTTTCTGTATTACGAATATGAAATACAACCTATTCTAAGCTGATACATTGGTTCCTGCATCATGTTTGAAATGACTGTGTGGTCAGTTGTGTGTCATTTTCGAACCTAAGCATACTGCAGTCTCTCGCTTGTCCACCCGGGCTGCAGATAAGTCCAATCCTGCACAAAGTTGAACGAAGTCTCGTATACATTGTAAGCAAACAATGAGACGTTGTCCAGCTTTGCACCTGCATCTGTCTCTGCCCAAACGCTCAAAGCAAGTGTGTTGTTGCCTTGATTGTTTACCACTCCAGGTGGGAAGGGGAATCGTGTCTGCGGCCCGATGTGAGGAATGTATTTTCCGTACTGGTAGCCATTCAAGAAGATTTGTACGCTCGCGACAGTATTCGAAGGAGCCGACAACTCGAGACCAATGGGTACATCAAGATCCGAATCAATATCAAGATCAAATGTCGTTAGGTACCACTTGATGCCACTGGAGTTGAGACCTTGAGCAGGGGAACCGGCAGACCATTCGTCACCAGAGGGAAGGAAGCCAGGAAGGTGCCACCCAAGACGTTCTCCATAGAGTCCTCCTTCATTGAGAGGGCCTCTGACTGGATCAATGTTGGCAGATCCACCGGCATTTCCTTGGATTTTCCACTGCTTGAAAGTGGCAGTAGCATTACCAGAACTTTTAAGGACAGCACCCAAAAGACCTCGAGGGTTTTCAGCACCTTTACCGGTAGATGTTTCATCGTGACCGGTGTAGTCAGTAACCACTGTCAGCACGTTGTTCCTGTCGTAGAGTGTTATACCTGCAAAGTCGAGCACATCCGATGTCAACAGCAGCGAAGCATTTCCAGGATGTCCACCGACAAGTTTTCCGTTCAACCAAGCACTCCAACCTGCGGCTGATCCACCCTGTGCTGTCACGTTGGCTGACTTGGCGGACTTCCCATCAAAGTAGCCACGGTATATCTTGACTCCAGAGTAGTAACCATAGTCTGAACTATAGAGAACAGGAAGCGACAGTGGCTTCACCGGAGCTCGTGTGGTCGTCTTGTTGCATACCGTCCATGCAGAGTCGTCATAGTCTCTAGCAGCCTCGGGCAAGGAGTTGGCTACTTGCCAGCTAGAGAGGGTCGGAATGGACACTTTGCGCTCGAGGATACTTGTAAGTTCGACTGTAAGAGCACCATATGCTGTCTTCTTCGTAGGCAGTTCTCGGCCGTTCCAGGCGATTGTGTCAACATTTGTGTTGCCCACAAAGACTTCGAGTGTCGTTGAGTTGGTGTTGTCGCCATTGACAAAGACAACATTACTGCTGATACTGGCATTACGAACGAGGTAAGGTCCTATCGCAAAGATCTGCTCGTCTGCTGCGACGTTGGGGTTCGAGGTAGTGGGTGGTGCCCAGAATGACCACGCTGTTGACACGTCCAAGAGATATATCAAGACACCATTGGACAATTGTAAGGCGGTCTTGCCAGCTGATTGCTTATAGACGAGCTTAGTGTAGGAAGAGGTCCCGTTTGTCTTGACACGAGATGCTGTAACGTTTGTGCTGCCGTATGACTTGACAGAGATATTTCCTGGGAAAGCAAATTCGCCAACTTGACCCGCCTCAAGGTAGAGCACAAGGGCTGGTGTCGAGTCGAACAAGCCGTAAGTCAGAATATCGACAGACGAATACAGCAGAGTGTACTTTCCGAAATGGTAGTCTGTGACAGCAATCTTGCTCTGACGGCCATTAAGCTGCACGCTCGGCACGGTGATCGACCCCAACGATGTTTGTAGATTGATCGAGAAGTTCGTGACAGCTCTTGAGCTCGACTTTGAGTGCTGAGTCACGTAGAATCCTGCAGTCGTGTTGGGATTTCTCAGAACCCAAGTCCAGATATCTTGAGTTGACACAGCGTTACCAGTTCCGTTGCTTTCCATGTTTGTGTAAAGAAGATCCTGTGATACTCTCGTAAAGAGTGCAATCAGTTTCCTACAAGTGTGTCAGTCAGGTCGTCGGCGATGGAAAACATGGTCGCAAACTATTGCAACACAACACTCTACTCACGTCTGGAACATCTTGAGCTGAAGCTCGCGAGTTTCACGCATGGGTGCAGAGTAGTCGTAGCTTGTGTAGACGACAGGGGCTCCAAGGTTACCCCAATTGGTTGCTCCCATGGCCATGTACAGCGACATTAGTGTTCCTCTTTGACCTATGTTATTCTTATAGTAGACATCAGCAAAAGCAGGGTCGTGCTCTGCCAAACAATCATCATAGAATGTTCCACCCCAGGGCGTGAAATATCCTGCCTCAAACTCGGGCCAGAACTCTGGCTGGGTGTAAGAGTAGTTCTGGAACCATTGGTAGTAGTTGCGGACCAGATTGAAGCCAGAGTCAATGTTAGTGCAGCTCAAACCGCCTGGGTAGCTGTCTAGTCCGTAGATATTCACAGCGCCTCCAACATCCTGGTAGTCAGTTGACCAGCTCTGGCTTCGTTGTCCTTTTTCGTTGTGAGTGAGAGGAACCACAATTCCAGAATCCTTGACACTCTTTTCGAGCTGCTCCATGTAGGTCACGAGCGTGTTATCGGCTTTGTGTACAGTCTCCTGTAGCTCGTTCTCGATCTGATATAGGATGATAGGGCCACCTTCGGTGACCTGGTTTCTGGCCAAAATCTTGTTAAGCTCTCGCATCCATGGTTCCCAAGCCTCAAAGTACGTCTGATCCGAGGTACGATAATTTCCTGGTGCNNTGTTTAGCTAGATTTGATTTTGACCAATTATACCAGCCGTACCTCCAGATCCATCACTTGTCCACAACGCAAGACCGCCCCCGTTTGTCTCGGCGTTTGCATAGGGCCCAGGGCGCGCTATGATNNACTGAACAAGCACCTCATAGTTAGCATATTGGTCTCGATGGAATCATGAGTGAGATCGAAAGACGTACTATAGACCAGCCTCCGCAGCAGCATCTATGACTTTCTGGATATCTTTGCCTCCAGACTTGAAGTCAAAAACGTCGCGAGAGGCAGAGTGGTAAGACCAGAAGAAGTACAAGCTGACTGCATTGAATCCATTTGCCCTAAATTTCTGGAAGATGTCGGACCACATTTCCGGCACGGGCATACGTTCATAGGCAAATTCGCCAGAGAACAGAAACAGCCGCTCTCCATTGACCATGAGACTATGGGGGTCCCAGGTAACTTGAGTGGTCAAGCCATTGTCCGTCGCAAGGACGATGACGCCAACGAAGAAGGCGTAAATGAGAAGTTGCAAGCAGAGTCTCATCTCGACACAATGACAGAAAGATAATGGAGTGAAGGTCAAGAGATATCTAGCTTGCCTACCATCAATACATCTTATACGGCATATGTGCTTCTGTTGCAAAGTGTGAATTATTCAGGTGGGAGGTGGGCGCATTAGGCAGGTACCCATGCATGATATTATCCGCCAATGGTTGTGGGTTTCTCTATGCACATCATCTGGAGACCGCTTCCCACTTCGTTACACGAACCGGTTCTCGAAGATCGTAGAGCACGGTCGGGATAAATCAAGGTGTGATTTCCTCATGCATTCCTGTGAGGAATACGACATGACGATGATGGAAAAGAGGGGGAAGGTCGGTCGATGCTGACCCGAGGACTGCGGAGAGGGTCGCTTGCAAGGCCGGCTGAATTCTTGAACAAGCGAGCAGAAAGATGTCTTTCTCCTTGGGTTTGAAAGTGGCACCAATTAAGGAATGAAATTCACAAGCAAAAGCGAAGAAAGACACTGTGTATGAAAGTCTTCATAAGAACTATATACGATGGGGTGTGAAGCTGGAACAGGTTGCCCTGTCTCTTCCTTGACAATGAACAAGATATGTTACGATGGATTTATTCTTCCTTTGCAGAGGACGAGAGACCAAGTAAGCAACACAGGTAGCTGATCTTCCAGATACGTGAAGATGTTGTGACGGTAGCGCTTGGCGTAGCGCAATGGCAAGACGGTTTGATGGTTGATAGCATCAACGTTCATGTCGGAGTCACTGGGATGGTGAAACGATCAGGTAGGTGAGCATGGGATGTAAACCAGGAGTTTACCATCCGCATCTCGCGTCAACATCTCACATAGGAGATTGGTGTTGACGGGAGGGGGATTAGGCGTTTTGCAAGATTTGCAGTCAAGCAAGTCAAAACCATGATTGATGGCCGACATCTCTTCAGCCCTCCTCAGTCGCTTCGATGGCAACGCCCTCACCAGCAGCTTCTTCATCTTCCTCGTCACTCGTGAAGCTTGCGAACTCTTCCTCTTCCTCCTCTTCCTCGTCACCATCGTCGTCCTCTTCTTCAGCCTCTCCATCTTCATCTGTAACTGCACGCTTTCTCTTCTTGATGAGCTCGGTCTGGATCTCAGCCTTTGCCTCTTCAGCGGCGGCCCATGCAGCTGCAGATGCTGGTGGTGGGGTGAACCAAGGAATCTTGCCACGCAGGAAGTCATTGAGGACCATCTTGGCAACGCCGTCCATATCGGCTTCACCGCCCTTCAGCAGCTTACCACCCTTGCGAGCGAGAAGCTCGAGGAACTCGGTCGGTGTCTCCCAGTCACGTACATCGTAAGTCCTCTCGATGTGGTGTCTCTTGCACTTCTTGAGCGCAGCGGCAACATACTGTTCAGGGTTTTCGACGTTCTCGATACGGACGACACCACGCAGAAGGATATCTTCATCCGTGTCGCCCATGTTGGGAGGAACAACACCAGGACAATCGATAAGGTAAATACGCTTCATCAAAGTGATGTACTGCCAGACCTTGGTCTCGCCAGGAATAGGAGCAACATTGCACACCTTCTTCTTGCGGAGAGTGTTGATAATGGAAGACTTGCCAGTGTTAGGGTATCCGATGAAACCAACCGAGATCTGCTTGCGAGAAGAGTGCAGGGCAGAGAACTGGCGGAGGAGTGAGATCAAGGAGCCTTTGCCGAACGAGTTGTTGATCGAGGCGTGGAAAGCGAGGGTAGGATATTCCTTGCCCAGAAGACGAACCCAGTTGGCCTGAATCTGTGGTCAGTACAACGAACAGACGGAGATTGAGCGGTGAGCATGTGGGGATAGCAGAACAGATAAGAAAGAGAAAGAAAAAACAGAAGAGATGTGTGAATCATAACTAAGAGAGCCTCCATGAGCCACTCAAATGAGCGGGAGAGGTACTCAACTCAAACGAAACACGCTCGAACCCTTTTGAAAGCAAACCAAGACGGCAAGCGATCTACTAGACATCCATAACGGGGTCTAGCGGCGGGCCGACTTTGATCTGCCAGAGTTGTAACAGTCTCCTTCCATGGGGAGAAACGCACACAAAATGCGGAAGGAGCCTTGACTTAACGCTGGCATGGGACGCGAAATGGACAAAACAAAACACAGACGATATGAAGGATGAAAGAACTTACAGCAACACTGGTGGGAATCAAATCGCACTTGTTGAGCACAAAGAGAAGATGCTTGTGAGGAGCTTCTTCGCGAATGTACTTTTCGACACTTCGGCAACGAGTACCAAGAGGGTCTCTGGCGTCCAAAACGTGAATGACAACATCACTGGAATCGATGACCTTGTAGAGCTCGTTCCAGATACGCTTGCTCTGACCCTTGGAGAAGATGGCCTCTCTTGCAGCGGTCAAAGCGCCGTCAGCTTCGGTCTCTTGACCATCGTCGACGGGTGCTCCGCTAGCAAGACGAGCTTGCTCCAGACGGTCAAGGTAAGTCTCGTGCATCTTGTCCGACTCGCCAGCGAGGTCGAGAAGAGAGCTGACAGCAAGCTTCGGGCGCTTGCGCTGGGCCTTGGGACCGAAAGTGTCTGAGAAAGGAGCGGTTTCGACGGCAATCTTGGCCTGGTGCTGCTTCAAGCCGTTCTTCTTGGTCTCGTCATCCTTGATCAAGCTCATGGGCAGCTTGTTCTGCTTGAGCAGGTACGAGTATGGGTCGTTCTGCTGAGCTTGGACGGCGCCACGGAAAGCGGAGAGAGCATCTTGAGAGATAACACGGGTGTTGGTGAACCACTTGCGGTTGGGTTCGATACGGGCCGAGGGTCTCTCGCGCGACTGGAAGACGGCGGCTTTTGTAATGTCACCAGCAGCGTTGCGCTGGGCAGTTCCTTTCGTGAGGATGTTGAGCTTCTTGACCTTCTTGGCATCTCTGCGACAGGCATTAGTATACTGGACGTGTGTGTTTTGTACTCGACTGAACGAACCTGTAGAAGTTCTCGCCCTTGACCTTGACGTTGGCCATGCCATCGCCAACCTTGCCCTGGCGCGTCTTGCGCGCAGCCTCCTTCTTGCCGGTACCCATTCTGACGGCAGCAGTGAGTCGAGGTTAGTTGGTAGAAAAGTCTTAGGGAGGGAGCTCAAAAACGGCAACCCACGCAGAGACGAAGGGAGCGAGGGAGAGAGAGACTTTTTTATCACTCCTCCGCAAAGGGCACGGCCGCGTTCTGCGGCGACCGAGGCTTCTTGAATCTTGATTGGCTGCCGCTTTTTTTCTGGCCGGCGACGCCAAGACCAGCAAACAGCCCGCTGAAGAGGGCAACTGCCAGTCCAAGAGCAGCAGCGCTCGAATAGGCTGGCAGCACCCACTGCTCCCTACATCTGCACACAACCCAACATGCCTGTCCGTCTACCACAGGCCACTGGCCTCTACAAATGCCCCTCATGCGCCGCCCGCTCATCTCCTCGCGCCTTCTCCGTCTCGACAGCTCAGCTGGCCCTGGGCCCTGAATCTCCTCGCTACATGGACATCCCCCAGCCACCGCAGCAGACTCTCCCGGACAAGACACGCCTCAAGGGTATTCTGCCCGTCCCTCGCGATGTCTTTGCTGGCCAGGACCCCAAAGCTCCCCTCAATCTGGACAAAGCAACCAAGGAACCCTCCCGCTCACAACTTCACAATGACCCTCGCTCTGTTTGGAANGAGCGCATGGCCGCTTCGCGAAGGAAGAACCTGAAAGAAGGCCTCAAGGCTCTGCAGTACCGTAGAGTCAAGTCCGACGACCAAAGGGCCACTCGCGCCACCCTCCGCCAGCAAGAACGCGAGGCCCGTTTGCATCTCCCCGAACGCGAAGACGAGCGTCTGACTGCCCCCTCGGTCGACTCCAACCTCCTCAGCCTTTTGCANAAAGGGCCCCTACAAGACCCCAATAGAGAAGCTCGTCTGGACGACATGCGTGAACGACATGCTTTGAAGCAGGCTGCTCGTCAAGAAGACCGCCGTGATGCTCTGCACTCTCTCTACGTCAATGCTCGCGAGTTTATCGTCAACGACGCCCAGCTCAACACTGCCATCGACAAGGCCTTTGGTACCGTTGATCAGCCCCGTGCCTTTGGCCAGAACGGTGCCAGCATCTGGGACAACACTCCAAGCGCCCCCAGCTCTATCGTCGACATGCTCAACTCGGCAACCGCCAGAGGAGTTCGTGGCGGTGCTCTCAACCAATCAGCCATGAACAGGGATACTGCCTTGACTGCTGCTAGGGTTCGCAGAATGGCTGCAGAGCTGACAGGAGGTCAATTACCGTCAAAGTCCTACTAGTCTGCCTTCATGTATAATATCCAGTTTCCACCCCTCGTTTGTCTCTATCACCAACTTCATTTGGGGTATGCCTTTGTCGTCTTTCGTCTGACTCAAACTTGTGTTTGCCATCTCCCGCTCCTCTTGTCGTCCTGAGTACTAAAAGTCTCTAGCCATGTGACAAAGCCGTCCATGAGAAGGCTCTTTGAAGCCTAAAAACATGTCTCTGAAGAAGAACGTCAATATTGACATCTCTTCGAAGAAAGATCCGGGTATCTCTGAAGCCTGGTATCTGAAGCCTGCAAGAAATCTTGGAGGTTTATCATCACCCCTTCACCTAGGCATTACAGGACGACACCTCAGAACTGACTATACATCCCGAGCCATATCATTGTTGATCATGGCCTATCGACTCTTTCTCTCTATGTGTTGCGGCGTCGAATTCGAGATGTGCAATGACCCATCCTCCAACCCGATCTGCGCTGAAATCTACACAGCTCATGATGCATACCGTCGCCGTTCCTCGTCTACTCACTTCTTGACATCGAGCTCGGCTCTCACGATTGGACAGTTCGACGATTCGACGAGGACACGCTTCTTTCCCAACCCCGAATGACAGTACCTCGCTATCTGTCCCTTCCACTATCTCACTCCAACTTCCTTCACGTCCTTCCAGATCTTTGACACTATCGTTACCAGTCCAACAAGACAACCTTACGCTCGTTACTCTCAGCCACCGTGCCTTCTCGCACAATGTCTGTTGCCAACCCATCTAATGCTCAAACCGCGATCGAAGAGGTCGTCAGAAGAATGAGCGAAAAGCGCTCCAAAGACGCAATCAGAAGATCCATCAACAAGATCATCAAACAGCGTCAGTCCAGAAACAGGATCAACCTTTCTGGCGCAGAGAATGTCCTCTTCGCTCTCGCCTACTCACCTGATGAGTGGCTTCTGACTGCCCAAATTGGCGAGTTCGCCATCTCGAACAGCCGCTTCTTCCAGAGGCAAGCTGCACAGTTCTTCTTCGGGAGACCCGGCTATTACGCTCCTCCCCTGAGCCTCAGCATCTTGGTCAGCCGCACAGATAAGTACGTACATTACCCTCATAGCTTTCTTTCACACATCCAAGGACATCGTGCTAACTTGGCGTCCGAGTTACTTGCGTACATATGGAATCCCCGTCCACTCCAAGATGGAAAACAACCAGAAGTACTACTCGATGACTGTAGGCGCTGCCTATGCCCTACTGGAGTCCTACAAGGACAGCTCCATGGTTGTTCCTGCCGCCACTGGCAAGAAGTCGACTTCATGCCCCCTTCTGATGATCCCTGTCGAGCTTCGCGTGAAGATCTACCGTCTCGTTCTCAAAGCCTCTGGCTTTCGTCTGCTCGTTGGCAACCAGTCGTTCTCGGTCTACAATGAGGACACCCCAATCTGGGATTCTCGCGCTCAGGATGCCCTCCTCATGCCACCCATCGCAGGCTTCCTCGCATTGCTCTCAGTGAACAAGCAAATCCACAGCGAGGCCATGCCCGAATTCTACCACGAGAACCACTTCCAATTCACAGACATGGGCGCCATGAAGCGCTTCCTGAAGAACATCGGTGCGGAGAGGAGAAAGCACGTCCGTAACGTGTCTGTCTACTACGACAACTTGTCAGCCGCTGCTGCTGGAGCTAAGCTCCTCACCGAGTCTGACACTCTTCAGAAGCTCACTCTCACCATTACTGCCACCCAGGACGCCGCTGGTCACTTCACAATCAACTCCAGCCGCCGCAAGTTTTCGACTCTGACCCAAGTTCCTGGCTTCGCCGCAATGAAGCGCCTTCGTGGAGTCCAGGAGTTGGCTTTCAACCCTAGACTTGAGCACGCTGTGGTTGACGCTTTCTTGCGTCCCATCATCACACAGCCCAAGTCTACCAGAGTTGTCAGAAAGACCAAGAAGACTGCCAAGCGCAAGTCGTCCGACCACGAGACCCCTACCGCAAAGAAGTCGAAGAGTGGTTGATTGCCCACATGGCTGTGACAGGTTCAAGCTATGCTCAGCAAACGAGTCAAGAGAGATTACACAAAGGGTCGATGGAAAAAGAGAATGGAAGGTTATCGATGGCAAGCAGAGTGGGTCGTTATTAAAGAAGAGAAGTGGATGATTATCGGCGTGCAACAGAATGGATGGTTATACACCAGTGATTAGAGAAGAGGAGATGGCTTTAATCAACGATTCGAGGTATGATGAGTAGGAGCGATAGTTATGGTGATGGAGCAGGTCTCCTGAATTTCTCAATCTTTAGCGCAAGAACATCGCAGGATCCTCATATACACTCGAATGAAAGCTTGAACGGTCTTCAAGTGCATCATTGAAACCTTGGGGTGACTGTTTTGTCGAAATTTGACCAGAACAAAAATTTCTGATATTGTTGTAGTTTACCAGTAGCTGCCTCCCCATATGCTTGGTAGGTAACATATATAGCCATGAAAATGCACAATACTATCAAGAAACAAGGCACTGTCCACTAAGAGCCAAAATATAGGCAGCTCTCCATGGGTACTCCTCTGCTTCTGAAAGCAACTATGTCTTTCTACAGCATAGACTTCGTTAAGTGCTCTTGTGGGAGAAAGGTAAAGTTGCGGGATATAGCGGCTTGTTTGAACATACTATTCCATTATGTTTATGGAAGGAGAAATGACAAAAAGCAAATAAACGTCGTTACAAGGAAAGAATACGAAAGATGGCCAGAACATCATCAGGAGGCCATCATACGCTCCAGATTACTCCATGTTTGCGCTGGGGGATCTAACACACGGTGATGTAGAGACCGATACTGTGTTCACCGTCAGTTTTAGGACTTCAAATAGACATTAGAAACAACTTACGGGCTCGGATTGTAGTCCTGGAAATACTGTTTTTGCCGTTGATTAGCTCCAATTCATGGCTCAGGGGCTCTGAACAACTTACAGAAAGCATGGTGCCATCCGAGGTAGAAAGACTGAAGCCAATGGCAGAGTTGGCCGGGCAGGCAAAGGTGGCGATGGTGTAAGAGTTGCCTGGAGCGACCTTAGTCACACCGTAGTCAGTGGCGACACCTGGCTTGTTGTTGTAGGTGGTGCTGGAGCTGGCAGGTCCCTTCAGCATTGCAAAGTCGATACCGCCGGCACCCGAGAAATCGAATGAGGAAGTCTCCAAGTCTGCCTGCTTAGGGAATAAGAAGACCAAGGAGCAAGTCTTTCCAGCGTCAGAGCTGGGAATGTCGAAGTTGAACAAGCTAGAGACAGATCCAGCAACGGTACCGTTGTACTGAGTACCGAAGGCCTTGTCGGGCTGCTTGGAGTCGACAGGAACAATGAGGTGAGGGTACTCATAAGCACCTGACAGGGCGGCAGGGCAAGTCTTGGGAGCAGGGGGCGCAGGTGCAGGACAACCAGATTTGCAGTTGTCTGCACTCAGCTTGATTGAAACACAGCCACCTTGACCCGCAGGGGCAGTGGTGTAGATGTTGTAACCGCCGTTGTCTCCAGTAGGGCAAGACTTGAAGTCAGTGTTGCCATCGAAAGATAGAGTACCATCACATGAGACCGAGAAGCCATCAGTGGGACTAGCGCCAGCATCGCATTGGAACTGGCTGGTAGGAGGCGTCAGGATACACCCTTTTCCGGTTCCGTCAGTGAGACCACCTTTGGAATCGATGCAGAATGTTGCTTGTCCATTGGCAAGTCCAGCGGTCTGGCCGATACGCGTTTGCCCATCAGCTAGCTCGCCAACGGCTCCGCCAGAACCACCAGAGGCAGTCAGATGGAAGCAGCTNNAGATAATATGTGGTTAGAACGTTGTTGGAAGAAAACCGGATCAATTCCATGCCCACCATGTAGAATCGCGAGCAATGAGTGCATCTGCTGCAGCAATGAGGGCTGCTGAGACAAAGATAGACTTCATGATTGTGATATTGGTATTGAGGAGGATTGATAGTGGTCGTGGTGATAATGAGGACAAGACAGAATCATGCTGCAGGGGATGGGCTATATATATGTTCAGGGTATATGTGATGGAAGGAGGATCATCATTTGGCCAAGTCGACCTACCACTAGATCGTAAGATGAGGAGTACCAGCAAAGCAAGCTTGTTTGCATTAGGAATGTAAGAGCAGCAAAGCAAATGATGTCGTCGACTGATCCTCTCTCTCTCTGGCCTGTCATGGCTAGCACTGTTATTCCCGATACATTATACGAGGTCATCTGAGCAAGAGTCGACTTGAATCCTCCGAGGAGGCCATCGACGTTGGAATTGACTAGTCGATCTCTCGGAGCAGTTCACAGTCGAGGTATACCTAGCGCGATATATTGCTTGACACGCGGCAGATACGTTTGTGTGAATGGCGACACGATATATTGTACCCTGTCTAGGGAGGCATATATCAGCACCATATCATCAGCGGTCGATTGATGCGAGAAAGTGTTGTGGCCTAGGAAATAGAAGAAGTGACACAATACTGGCTTGATTTCATCTAGGGCTTGAGGTTCGAATGGGATGTGAGACCCCGCAGGCTTGGCGGACATCCTCCAAAATCAACGTCACGATTGACCTGTGTTTTTACTCAAACCATCCAAGCTCCATGGAAAGTCGGAAATATTATTCTAATGATAGCATCCGATCCTACCAGATGCACAAACGACAGGCCGATCCGCGACCTTGATGTCCATGTGACATTCGAATATCAAGTTCAATTATCAAACCGCTACGATCCCATAGGCCGGAGGTAAACTCTCATTGATCCTGCTGTCAGCACAAAGACAAGCATGCTCACAAGCAAGTGGCTCAGAACCAAGAATCTTGAGAAGCTTGTGTGCGACGTGGTATTGATGGAGCTAGAAGTCTGATCTCGCTCTATGCTTCAAACTTCCTTCCGAGCAGCAGCGGTAGCGTTGACAAGCGTTGCCTGACCGCCCACTTGAATTCCTCACGAGCCATCGTGCCCCGAGAGAGCTAGTAGAGACGCTTGTTACTTGATATCTTGGCCTACTCTAAAAAGAGGAGAGTGTTGCAGTATGATCCTGGGCCGACGTGTATTGAACGGCCGTGCATCCACGATGACTTGGGTGTGCAAAACAATAGTCCGCCTTCACGAAGCACAATAATTCAAGTTGATATGTGTCCACAGGAGAATGAGCTTCCGGTCAGAAGGTCCACACTACTCATCTGGCAGGGTCAACTCCCGTACACGATTGAGGCTCATCACAGAAGACTCTATTTACACAACCAATTACTGGACATGTGTATAGCTCACACGTAATTACGGGTGGAGTGAGAAAAACGGAACAGGGTTGTAGCAGCAACAACCCCGCTGCGCCAAGAGTTTTATGACTCTGAGAGCGAAGCCCAGTGACATTTTTCGTCGATGTGGGAGGGTTAGAGCTGGACTGATATACAATCAAACATGGCGGACCAAGCACAAGCAGCAGCCAACGCTGTCAAGGAGGCAGTCAACAATGTCACCGAGAAGGTTGGTGAGCTTACCACTGGCGACAATGCCGCAGCTCCCACTCTCTACCTGGACGAGGTGACTGGCGAGAAGGTCAGCAAGACCGAGCGTGCGTATCTTGGCCGAGTGTGACAATGGTCATGTCAGAGTATGCTGAGAAGATTCCANGTCAAGAAGCGCCAGAAGCAGCGCGAAAAGGAGGCCAAGAAGGCCGAAAAGGCAGCCACTTCCACAGCACCTCCAGCAAAGAAGAAGACGGTCAGCGCCGAGGAGGAGGAGGCTCACCTGAACCCCAACCAGTACTTTGAGATCCGCAGTAGAGCCATCCAGAAGCTCCGCCAGAGCCACGAGCCCAACCCCTACCCGCACAAGTTCCACGTCGACTATGATCTGCGCAAGTTCGAGCCCGAGTTCGGCCACCTCAAGTCAGGCGAGCACCTCAAGGAGAAGACGCTGTGCATCGGAGCCCGTATCTACAACAAGCGTTCGTCGGGTGCCAACCTGTGCTTCTACGATGTGCGCGCAGAGGGCGTCCGCATGCAGATCATGTGCCAGTCGCAGGAGTCGACCAGCGACAGATCCTTCGCTGACCAGCACGAGCTCCTCCGCCGTGGAGACATCATTGGCATCAAGGGCTACCCCGGCCGTACCAACCCCCGCAACCGCGACCAGGGTGAGCTCTCGCTCTTTGCCCAGGAAGTTACTCTCCTCACTCCCTGCTTGCACCAGCTGCCCGATGAGTACTACGGCTTCAAGGACCAGGAGCAGCGTCACCGCCGCAAGTTCCTCGACTTGATCATGAACGACCACACCCGCAGCACCTTCATCACCCGCTCCAAGATGGTCACCTACATCCGCAACTACTTCGACACCCGCGACTTCATCGAGGTCGAGACCCCCATGATGAATGCCATTGCTGGTGGTGCCACCGCAAAGCCCTTCAAGACATACCACAACGACCTCGATATGGAGCTGTACATGCGTATTGCCCCCGAGCTGTACCTCAAGCAGCTGATTGTCGGTGGTCTCGAGCGTGTCTACGAAATCGGCCGTCAATTCCGTAACGAAGGTATCGATCTCACCCACAACCCCGAGTTCACCACTTGCGAGTTCTACGAGGCATATGCCGATGTCTACGATCTCATGGATACTACCGAGGATCTCGTCTCCAACCTCGTCAAGCACTTGACCGGCGGCTACGAGACCAAGTTCGAGACTCAGCACGGCGAGGTCTACACCGTCAACTGGGCCAAGCCCTGGAAGCGCATTGAGATGATCCCCGCCCTCGAGGAGGCCTGCGGTGAGAAGTTCCCCGAAGGCGACCAACTGCACAGCGACGAGACCAACGAGTTCCTCAAGCGCATGCTCAAGAAGATGAACGTCCAGTGCTCTGCCCCTCTCACAAACGCCCGCATGCTCGACAAGCTCGTCGGTGAGTTCATCGAGGAAAAGTGCATCAACCCCACCATGATCACTGGCCACCCCCAGATGATGTCCCCTCTTGCCAAGTACCACCGCAGCAACAAGGGTCTCTGTGAGCGTTTCGAGGCCTTTGTCTGCAAGAAGGAGATTGTCAACGCCTACACCGAGTTGAACGATCCCTTTGACCAGCGTCTCCGTTTCGAAGAGCAGGCTCGCCAGAAGGAGCAGGGTGATGACGAGGCCCAGCTTGTCGACGAGACTTTCTGCCAGGCTCTCGAGTACGGCCTGCCACCTACCGGTGGTTGGGGTATGGGTATCGACCGCATGGTCATGTTCCTCACCAACCACTACTCGATCAAGGAGGTTCTTACCTTCCCCTTCATGAAGGACGACAAGTCACAGGGCGAGAAGCCTAAGGCCGCCGAGGTTGTCGACGTCACTCCCATGCCTGAGGAGGGTATCCGTAAGTCTTGTAATCTTCCTTGTCAAAATCCGCTTACTGACATGCTCTTCTTGCAGCCCACAAATAGACAATGAAATTCAATGTTGTCCGATCGTGTGAGCAGAACCTGTAAAATCAGCCATACGCATATGGAAGAGAAGAAAAAAAACCGTCACATAGACACGATTCAATCCACGCCTTTTTTCATTCCTTGCAAATTCTTTTCGAGGTGTTTATAATAGAGTATCGATGCCTATTGTGATATCATAAGAACAGTAGAATAAGAGAGATAATGGGGGTGATGTTGTTCCCGTATACGCCGCAAGGAAAGAGAAGCCCACCGCTTCCCATGTAAAAGTGTATCAAATGCGTATGTTGTTTTTGAATCGTCATGACAGAAAAGAGACCTCTACATGATGACCTCGTTGGTCACATCTCTACGGAGATCCTTGTAGGGCAAGCACACACAGTTCTGGACGCGCACCTCGTCGCCGACGTTGCACTCCTTGCCCAGGATGGTGACACTCTGGACTTTGACACCGTTCTTGATGATGGTGGTGTGGTGCTCTCTGACAGGGGTAGGGGTACCCTCAACACGAGCCCAGGCACCAACGCGCGAAGACCAGCCGATGATGGAGTAGAGAACGCAGGCGTCGTGCTTGATCTCGGCGTCTTCCAGAACAATCGAGTCCTTGATACGAGCACCGGCACCGACCACAGCACGAGGGCCAATTGACACGTTGGGACCAATCTTGGCGGTGGGGTCTACCTGTGCCGAAGGGTGGATGTAGACGGGCGGGAGAATGGTGGCTGAGGGTTTGGCGAGGTCGTCGCTTTGCTGCTGGAAGGCCTTCATCAGGTAGAGGGCGTTTGCGGGCACGGCGGAACCGGCAGTCTTGATCTGGCGCCAGAAGTCGGTTGTCTCGAGAACGAAGAACTTGGAGCTGTCTGCCAGGTCCGACAGGATATCCTGCTCAAGACGAATGACCTCGTTCTTGCGGTTCTCATCGTCCTCATCCTCTTCAGCATTATTGAGCGAGAAGTCGCGGCTGTCAAGAGCCTCGGACGAGGGGTAAGACAACAGACGGGGACGGTCGCTGCGACGCTTGATGGCAGTCTTGATGCTGGGGAAGATGCACTCGGTGCTAAAGAGGTAGACACCGCAGTTGATCAGGTTGCTGATGTGGCCCTCGGGCTTCTCGACGTAGTGCAGAACACGCTTGGTGTGGGTATCGCTGACAATGCATCCGAAGTTGGTGGCAGCCTCGTTGGAGACGCGTGTTCCCAGAATGACGGCCTCGGCGTCCTTCTCTTCGAACAGACGCAGCATCTCGCCTAGCGGGAAGGAGCAGCAGACATCGGCGTTGAGGACGAAGAAGCGGTCGGGGCGGCCCTTGAGGATGGCATCACGGAAGTGGTACAGACCGCCAGCAGTTCCTAGGGCCGTGTATTCGCGCAGGTAGCGGATGGAGATGTGGGGGTATTCGCGGTGGGCGTCCTTGATGAAGTCGCGGAAGACGGTCTCGTCGTAGTAGCCGACAAGGAAGACTTCGGTGATCTCGGGGACTCTGGTGACAGCATCGAAGCAGTGCT